CCACCAACGGTACCCAACGAAGCCTGGACCAGTTCAACTTGCTCTCGTGGGAACTCGAGCCTTAGGAGGGGCTACTGTCACGGCTCGCGACGGGACGTTTGAGGAAGAGTCGGAACAGGGGTGGGAAGGCAGCGCGGGGGCAGTGCAAGGGGCTGCGCGGGCGGCAATGCAGGAATGAGCCGGAGGAATTGGGGCTGTGTGCAGTAAGCAGGGGTAGTGCGGCTGCGCAGGGTATGAGTCACGGAAGCGGGGGTACTGGCAAGGTGGATTTCTCAGGGTCTGGCACACGCCCACGGTTATTGTCAGGTTGCGAGAAGAAGTGGAGGGTTTCCTATATAAACGGGCCGTTGCCCCTCTGTACTTAGTTCTTCACGCAACAACTTGTTAATTCAATCACTGTTACCTCTGTCCTTGCCTCGGCTGCCGTCTGCGCCGTAGTCCTTGTCCCTGCCTCTGTTCTCAGTTGCCGTCCGCACTGAGCCCTGCCTCACCTTGTCCTCTGAACCTGTCTTGTCTCTGCCGAACCTAGAACCCGATTCCGAGCCCGACTTCGCTACCTGGAGCCTTGCCCGACCGTGCCGTTACAGTTGCCCCTCTGTATTTAGTTCTTCACGCAACAACTTGTTAATTCAATCACCGTTACCTCTGTCCTTGCCTCGGCTGCCGTCTGCGCCGTAGTCCTTGTCCCTGCCTCTGTTCTCAGTTGTCGTCTGCACTGAGCCCTGCCTTACCTTGTCCTCTGAACCTGTCTTACCTCTGCCGAACCCAGCACCCGATCCCCCGCCTGGCTTCACTACCTGTCGCCTTGCCCGACCGTATCGTTACAACAACAGAGTTTTCTGATGATGTGCTTAATTGTACGGGTAGACTATATAGTCACTGGACTATCGTCGCAGAAATCCCAACACCAGCACAACCTGAACACCAAACACTACCGGCGATACCCCTCCAGATTATGCAGCTGTGAATTATCGAAATCCCTGACTATTATTCTATACTCGATATCTATCAAAACTGCGACGTCCCAAAACCGTTCCAGTCTCACAACAGGTTCCTTGATCAATGTGTCTTTCTACCGGATTTCATGATGTACCGCCTCAGAAATTCTTAGTTGTATCTGACTTTACTGTACATCGTGCGCATCGCTGATCGCTCTCTAGACTCTGGATGCTGTTAGCTTACTCCCGCCCAACTTGTCTCTCCCCTATGACTATTTATTCCTGTGTTCAGATCCTTTCCAAACGAACAGCTCTTGCTGTGACTACCCGAGAGTCTATAGGGGTGTCTCAATCTATTCCTGTGGTCTGATCCCTTCTGAAACTAACCACTCTTGCTGTGACTACTCGAGACTCTATTGGGGTGTGACAACACCTGCCAACTGAAAATATGAGTGGAAAAATGGTTTTCAAATTTGTGTGGTAGCCGGATGAGATAATGGGTGCGCTAACGGGGTCCAAGGAATAGACAACTCCGCGCCGCAGTAACCACATTAAATAAATGCTAAAATATTACTGCATTTTAATTTGATTCCCCTGATCCCAAAGTCCACTTGCTCCGGCACTAGCTGCCCCCAACGATAGTTTCCGCACGCTCGACCGGCGGGCTGGTACGTACTCTACCCTTGACTATGAAGCGGCCGGCTTTCCGATGCTGACGTTCCAACTACCAGCGGTGCAACACGGGAACATCTCTTTCACCAGTACATAGTCCGAGGGCCCAGCACAAGGCGCTATTGCTACTGAGCGAATGCGCGACTGAAGACAACCGGCTACTAGCGTGCAACCGTACGATGACCGGTAGGCTCTCTGCCGACTTCCCGCGCAGCCCATCCTGAATCCCCGACACAACGCCGACGGTGGTTGAATGATGCCGAGAGGGCGAAGAAACCGCCATCGTGCCGAAGCGGACGAGGAAAAAAGGTCCTCCGACACGCTAGGCGCCTTCATGGTGGGGTACGAGGTGGACGGGGATATTAGTGAGTTCGTAGATAGGTTGGACATGGAGGCCGCGAACAGTGATACGGGTGTATATAGAAGCTGTCATCATGCTGTACTTTCCTTGGTGCGCTCCATCAGGTGTCGGTACCCAGGCGGATGGCAGGGTACCAGGTTGCTACATGTCTACAAGATTGGTAAGGGTTTGTATGTCGCCATAGTCTATGTAGATAGAGTAAGCTCCATGCAATTGGTGAAGCAATAAAAGGACGGTTTCGCACGCCAGAAGCCATCGCTATGTACCGCGGCCATCCTTCGAGGATATTGCCGGTGACAGGCGCAGACTCAAGTTCCTCATACCTGCAACGACGTCAGCATGAATGCAAGGTGCTTGTAATCACAGCTTGTGGAAACTCCCTCTTCCATCTGGGTATTCTGAGTGCAAGATGTCGATCGGAAGCGCGAAGGGGTGCCCCGAGCCCACCACATTTTAGGGATTTAGGGCTGAGTATCAACTAGTCCGGCTTGACTTAACAGTACTACCGTAGCACTTCGAATTCGGCCACTTCCAGCTGATCGGTCTGTTTGTAAAGTTGACCTGGTCGAACTGTCGGCCGGATTTCCGTATAGATATCAACAACTACAGAATATACTTTAGACCCCAGCGCGCACACTGATTCGTTGCGAATACTGAGATACCGCTCTCCCAGATACACACATATCTAGGCACACAGATTCATGAATGGAAACTTTTCTTACGGGTGAATGGCCGACAGCACACCACCTCCCAACTCCGAAGTCGACCGTATATCAGATGTCACTTCTTTTTGTAGGGGAACTAGGCACTCACTTATTTGGAGTAGTTGGCTCCCAATCGAAGCTGTCAATCGGGCTGGGTTAAACTCGTCTGACACATAGCAGCGGTGGTCATGTAGATGAAGTGTCGTCGGCGAAGCTACAGTTTGTGGCCAGGTAATCAGCCCAACCAAATTTCCTACACTTTGCCTCCCGCTACGTCAAAGTTCATTGTGTGAAGTTGCCTATTGGGAAAGCTATGAGCGCAGGTAGCGACGCCGGTTGGCGGTGGCTTCTCCGGGTTGACGCCAATAATATCATTCCTTCTCGCACTTCTTCACTCTTGCATTCATTGGAATACCCGAACATAGCCTGTAGGTACACAGTCGTGTGGCTTGAGTCCATCAACTCCGCCGCTGCCTCGTCCAGTGTTCTACATGGGCCGGTCCGGACTGGACCGGACTGGACCGGACTACCATGTAGAACTCTAGCCTCGTTCCCCTCCCCCCCCCCCCGCTGCCCGCTGAGATAGTAACTGCAGGAGCATTGGGACAGGAGCTACCGGAGAGAGTACACTCAAATCACGGGCGTCTCATTAAGAAAAAAAGGCGCAGCCGAAGTAGAGCTGAGGACTCGATCGTGAGTTGGGGTCAACAAGACTATCCATCTCCTTGAACGGGCTGAATTCAAGCTGCCCATTAATACTCTTTCCATCACACACGCAGGATCGGACAGCATAGTGTCTCGGTATAGAGTTCGGCCCCATGATCTTTGTCCGCTCAAGCATCCACTTTCTAGGCCCACTGTATGCACAATACATAGGACGTTTACATGGTTTAGGAAGGTGTTTACGTCTAGCGACTGGGTTGACGATCTCCCGGCGACCCCCAAATTCCAGGCGATGATGGGATAGGTAGGAGTCGGTCATGTGAAGCCCTGTAGGTGGTGGCTCTGGCAGCGTTCGCAGAGGAGACCAAGCGAAAGGATGATATTCAGGGGCCATGTGTGGACGATGTCAAAACAAAAGCTTCCTGTATGTGTCCCATCGATTGGACATTTTTCCGCACCCTTGACGCCACTTCGTGCTGTTAATAGCAGCCCCTAACTACATGTTGATACGTACGGCTGAATCCCGACGGCAGCAAACAAGGTAACTCCTCTTGTATGCTAGGCTACGGCGGCCACGTTATGTACATACCACTCTAGACTCTACTAGGTAGTAGAGTACGGTACATGATCGCTGCTGAGGACAATCTATTGATGCTTAATTCTCGCTTCTCGGCTACCCCCAGTGTGACAACTGCTGGGTAGTATACCTAGTGTGTAGACCTTATATCCGAATTCACGCTTCACTTGGGCTCGCTTTGGCGATAGCGAATGCGCTAAATGACTGTCCTTGCAGTCATGCGCTGGTAATTCTCGTCGGGGTTCTCGTAAGCTGAAGCCCTTCCGTCCTATATTCCTCCCAACGTTTATGTTCGGGCGGAAGTGATGTGGGCGGCGCTAGGAATCGGGGTGGAATTCCGATGGCAGTATCGGCGTCAGGTAGCGGTTTCCTGCCACCAAATTGCAGCCAGCAGACATTTTGTTGACGTCGAGAATCGATATCTGAGACATTCTTGTGTCTGTTGGTTTGCCCCTCCCCCCTCCCCCCTGTGAGCCACCATGGCACCCAGTCGACCAACCTCACGCCGAAAGCTACAAGCAAGCTTCCGTGATGACTCTCTCGCGAAAGATCTACCAATGGAGACCAATAACTTATGCTTCCTGCTGCTGTCTCTGCAGCAAGGCACAGGTTCTCGCTTCCGGAGGAGCCGACACCAAAAAAGTAGTTTGTGATGGTTCTAGATTCTCGGGTGTCCATTATACGAAATGATGCCTCTCATGCGCAGGGCGAATTCTTGCGGTTGGGGCTCCGATAGCCGGAGGGGAACGGTCAACCCCCAGCTTGAGCCGCTTATTCTTCCCTCAAGAAAAAGGAGATTATTCTTTGAGCCAAGCTACGTGTTAGAGGGGATTTTAATGTTCCTTCGGGTTGTGCAGCAATATAACGGGGTTGGGAACGGATGGTGGAATATGAGGAGATCAAACGCTTGTCTCGATTTGCTAAGGTAGTTTACATGCGTTGCCTGGCAGAGTAGGTGTCATGTCCCTCCGGATTAAGGAATCTCTAGCTGCCCTTCTGAATTGCGGGGTTTACGATCAAAGCTGAGAGCTGCGAAGGCTGAAGGCTGCAGGCTCAGTGGTTGGGGAATGCTACTAGATCCGTCACGGAGGTCCGACTTCCCACCTATCTATAGCACATACTGGCTTTCGTAGTCACGGCTGCTTTGTATAAGAGCAGCTCGATTCCAACCACTATTCGCATCCCCATTCCCATCCTCTTTTCTCATCCTTATTCAACCTCCACTTCCGGATCCACTCCCACGCTATCACGCCCTTACGAACAGAACTTCTTAACAAACTTCAATCTAAACCGCAATCATGAGAATTTCTTTCTACACCCTCGTCGCCTTTGCGCTCTCCGGTGTCACTGTCTTTGCGGCTCCCATTGCGGCTGCCGATGGCAAGCTCGGTACGCGCGCCCCCTCCATCCTCCACCGTGCTTCCTCCCTTGCGGTGATGGTGACTGACAGGTTTCGACTATATCCAGCTATGTACGAACGCAGCGCCGTCGCTTTTAACGATGCCACCCCCATTCAGGCGCGCTCGTTGGAGAGACGCAAGAAGGGTGACAACGCCGATAAGAAGAGGATTCAGGAGGAGGAAAGGAAGGCGAAGGAGGAAGCTAAGCTGAAGGAGGAGGAGGAGAAGGCAAAGGCAAAGGCGGCTAAATTGGCCGACGTGGTCCCTGTGGTTGACGAGCCTGCGCATGTGGAGGAGCCTGCGGAGGTTGAGCCTGTGCATGTGGAGGAGCCTGCCCATCCGGAGGAGGCTCCGGAGGTGGAGGAGCCTGCCCATCCGGTGGACGAGCCTGCCCATCCGGTGGAGCCGCCTGTGGGGGAGATTCTGGTGCTGTAGGTGCCTGGGGAGTAGGGGGGTGAGGAGAAGGGCTACAGCAAGGGAAAACACGCATAGTTTGTCTCTTGGAGAACGCATGACAGCACGAAGATACGATGATGGATTTTATGTTTTCTTTCTCAGCTCGTCCTAATGTATAATGCTCTCGAGTACTTAATGTTGATCGAAATACTCAACGGTCAATTCTACATCACTCTAGTATGCCGTTTTTTGTGATTTCCCTCGCAATGAATGCAATGGTTTGGTACAGGTTGGTGGGGCTGTGCCACATACGAGGCTTTGGTCCGATGGCGGCTGTAGGGACCCAAGGAGTCCCTTCATTACAAGATTCTCCTTTCATGTGTCTATTTTGCCTTCTAGGTTCTTTAGTTCGCCCACCTCATCTCTCGACGGCCTTCTTTGCGGCTCTTTCCGCGCATAACGGTAGGAGGATGTTAACACAACAGCAGGCCGTCATTCCTGGTCAGACACACATTCTTCCAGTTCTGCTAGGTTTTATTGATAATAGTAAGTGGGTGGATGATTCGGACCTTGAATGATGTATAGATTTTGATGGAAAATTAAGAGCTTCCGCACTCGTATCACGTAACTCTATACTCCTACGGCTGCAAAAGCGGGACTGGCTTTCGACCAGACCAGAAAACGATTTGGCTGTTCCCTCGCAAATATCAGTCACCGCATGAATAGAGGGTGAAGTACGGAAGCAATGCGGTTGATGGCAAAAACACTACATAGTCACCCACATAGATTCGATTTCGCCTACGCTCAAGGCTCATATTCACACCACCTGGACGAGCCGCAAATAGTAGTGTTTTTTTGGCACGAAATCCAGTTTGATCCTGCCTTCCACCTATCATTACTCCCACTTCGTTTCCTTCGGTTGCGCCGCCGCCGCTATCGTTGGAAAGACCTACGCGCTTCACATTGCCGGTCGGTGCCCATCGTAAACCCCATTATTCCCACTCACCGTCACCGGCGCGATCCAATTTTCGCATCTCCAGGCTATCCATTGTCAGTCAGTATTTATTCGGCCGGTCGTCGGTGATGTAAGAATTTGGGATTGCCGGACAGTCTCGCTCCTCGGCGAAGAGCCTTCCAGTTCAATTGCACGTCTTGGACTCTTGGGTCTGCCAGTTCTCCGCTTTACTTGTGGCAATACTGTCTTTTACCCGACTCTACACGCTCTCCAATGCTTGAAGAGGTGCTCCCGGGACTGAGTCGGCCCGTAAGCATTGTTTTGTTTGCTATTTCTGTTTCATAATTCTCGTATCCCATCTATGAAGACTATGGTGGCATAAATGTTCCTCTATATCCTGTCCACAGTCTGTAGAGGCCCGTAGTCTGTGTCCCTGCCCACCACCTTGCTTTTAACTCATGATTCGTATATTTGCTTGTTCCGATACTAGCAGGAACCCGTTCCCTAGCGTTTGAAGAGTTTTCATGGCTACATATCGGGAGCCTTCAGCATATTTGCTGCATCATTCAGACGATGCACAAGCAGAGCTAGCAGGAAAGGGCGGAGTTGTGGTTGCCATAGTCTAGTAAGGCCGTATGCGACAATGAGTTTAGTTTTCCCCTTCTCTCTCTTTTGTCGAATCTTCCACACTTGCTGCAGGCCTCCGTCGAGTGCCAGCCTGTGATGCAGCCTCAGCCAAAACCTTATTTTCAGCTCTTGTGATGTGAGCCTCTGTCAACATATGGTGTGGGCTGCTGAATAGTGGAATTGATTAGGGAGTAGCCTCACAGCATGCGGATCAACAGGCACCGGAGGTGGTGTACCCACCGGCAAGCAGTAGCCCGCACGACTCTGTTCTTGGGTCTGTCTTTGGTCCTCATGTAGTATCCGGCCTTTAATACAATGTAGGAGCAGGCGGCCTCTTCCAGATAGGTGCCCAGCTACAGGCGGACGAGTGAATACTTGTCTCATTCCACCTTAATTCACTATTAATTGAATATAGCCGATCTAGACTATGCTAATATACGCAGTCTTCCCAGTCGTGCCTACAGTCCCGATAACAGTCTCAATCCGGCGGCAACCTCGCCTCCCTCAGTCGTCCGCCTGACCACATAACAGCTTGCTTTTTTCCAAAACTCAAGACCGCAAGCTTGGCCGAAGGTAGTGATCTGTCATTCCCCCGCCCATCGGCGGCCCTACATCTCTGTAATGAAAGCTGGTACATGCCAAGGATTGAGCTGACGAGACGGCGCAAAACGCACAAGTGCTGGAGTATGATTATACCCGATCCAGAATTACGGTACCTACCTAATCTATCAGTTTGCCGTCTGACTGCATCGACAACCATATAAGTGACAGGTACACTCAAGGTGATGAGTAGATGCTCTACAGGTAGCAGGCCATATTGAAGTCAGTCAATTTGTTCCCATAGGTGCGAGACGACAATTACTAGCTGGTCATACCGGGCGCACTCAAGGACTTACAGAAGTGTTCGACGCAATCTTGACATACCACTGCAGCAATAATAATTGAATCTTAAGAAATGTATTTCTTCAGCGGCCTACCTCGCCCAAGCGCGTAAAGACGCGATTGGCTCCGGAGACGAACATGATGACTCCCGAGGGTACATGGAATGGGAGGAGGCCCCTTTAGTTGAATGCGAGTCTACATGTAAACTGGCTATTAGCACAAAGTGCGGCTCATTTGCACTGGTAATTCAGGCTTCTGCCAGTAAATTGGCCTTTTTTCCTCATAGGGTACACGTTGCCATGTTTATTTGGGCGTAGGCGAGTCAATGGGCGGTTAGTAGTAATTGCGGCCAGTTTACGATGGTCATATTGGGCGAAGCCTAGTCAGTGGGCGGTTAGTAGTAATTGCGGCCAGTTTACAATACTCAAATTAGGCTCTTTCACCTAATTTGGTTATCAATACTCAATGTAACGAATAGACAGAGGCCAGATTTGGCGTTGAGGTGTAAATTGGCCATTGGCAGTAAATGCAAAGTCTTTCCACCACTCTCTTCGGGAATCCGTTGGTAAAAATATAACTTTCCGCTCATTAGGCTTCCGGCGTAAGTGAAAATAGGCTTCGGTTTATAAATGGAGCATTTTCTCCTTATTCGGCCGCCCCGGCCATGTTCCCCGCCATGCGCACCAACATTGATGCCCACTACATACTAACCACATTCGCTTCCTCCCGTCGACAGCTCCTCCATCACTACGTCATCCTCTCACCGGCACCCACAGCTCCTACATCACTTCCTTCTCCATCACTTCCTTCTCCATCACTTCCTCCTCCATCACTTCCTCCACTCGCTTCTCCTCTTGCTAACAACTCCTCTACTCACTCTTTCTCTCACTAACAGCACGTGCTCACGCTTCCTCCGGTCATCGATAGCTCCTCCATCACCGCCGTTCACTCTCTCGCGGTCCTCTGGTCTTACTACAGCAGGTACGTATTCATATCTGTGCTCCTAGACCTATCTCGCTGCGGATACTGTTGCGGCCGTAAGGCCTTTGTTGTCGGAGCGGCGTGTTTTATCGAGTGAGGTTTGTGCACGGCTCACGAGGAAGGTTCTAGTTTGCCTGGGACGACTATAAGTACAACTAGAACTTCAGCTAGAATAATATGAACCACATCTTCTTCTTCCGACTGCCTTCGGATCGGATCCCCTCACGTGCGCCCCAAAACCACCAGATCGTGCATCAACAGATACCCGCTGTCGTCGCCGGTACTAATAGACTGTCTACTGAGCAGGCCAAGAAGTGCGGGGACAAGCGGGGAGAGCGGGGACAAGCGGGGACGAGCAGGGTTTGGTTTGATTGGGCGCGGAGGGGAGGATATATATTAGGCGAGCAGCTGGAATCACAGCAATCTCAAGCAGCAGATTGCACTCGTACAATTATTCAATGTCAGCCATATGAACTCCCAAAAGCCATTTATTATCAACGCCAGTTGAGAAACTGTGCCCTTTATACGTTAGAGCCCTTTTAATCCTTTAAGCCTGGATACAGCCTTTTCACAGCCTTTTCACAGCCAAATGTTGGCTAATTACAGCCAGAAAAAATATTGGAAGCCGATTTAAATGCATGTCCATTCAACAAAACGGGCCCTGTCCCATTACCTACACCTTAGGGGCTTAGTGACCTGATCGTTTCGGCCACGGCAACTCGTTTCCGCTGTCGCAATCGCCCCCGTGGCCTAGTGCGAGCCACTTCCGAGTAGTGTTCTCCATCGTCCGGTCCGGTCCGTCCTGGGCCTCGGACGACGACGGACGGCGTGCCTCCCGTCCGTCCAAGCCTAGGACGTGACGTCCAAGACTGCTTTAACGGGTGGACGAAACGGACGGCGTAGGACGGCCGATTCAGAATACTATTACTATTCACAGCATGTGGAGCGGTGAGGGATGAACTGGCGCGGTGGTGCGTGGGATATTGGTGCTAAGCAATTACCAATCAGCCGACCCATATTCACGTGACTTGGACGGCCGTCCTCCACCGTCGGACGGGGACCGACCCGTCCGGCACCACTCGGGCCTGACGGATAACTTTTGCAACCGTCCGTCTTAGGCTCGGACCGGACGGACCGGACTATGGGGAACACGGTTTCCGAGTAGATCAGCCCCCTAGCCAGGTGAAATGCTTAGCGGCTAGGTCGAGGCATTTGTTCTCCACCCATTCCCAGCTCCCGTCCCCGCGCTGTTCACTAAAATACACGAGCTCAAAAGACACCACCCCATTGCTACCTTCGCCACGATCAAAGCCGCTGGCTTCCGTAAATCGAAGCGTATTTCAAGATGGGTAGATCAAGCATCTCATTGGCGGCGTGGCCCACTCCCGGGCTTCGTACTGAGGCAGTGAAGAGTTTGGACCTGGGTGGTGACGTTTTCGGTCCGCCTTTGCTATGATTACCACTCGCTCACTAGCATCAACATTGATCTGCAACTCCAATACTTCAGCACGTCCGTATTCATTCCTCAATCATCGAACCGACAACTAACGATATCAAGTGACAGCCCGCAGCACTCGCCGCCAATAATGTGCGGTTCCTCCCAATCCGACCCAGCCACAATGAAATCCTAACAACTCAAAGCAACAGCGAGGAAATGGAAGATGTACGCAGAAGCAAAGCAGTGCCATGACCAATCTCTTTGATAGCTTCCTTTGCAACCGAGTTGGCACAGACCAATATTCCGCTGAGTGGAAAGCGGGTCCGGCGTCCCTAAGACTGTGCTGTCTAGTCCAGCTCCTTCCCTCCACCAGCTCTGAAGGGTGAAGCCCAGAACCTTGATCACAACCGCCTCCACCGATGAGAGTTAACCGACGGACCAGTTACTATGAAGATTAATAATCTTTCGGCCTTCTCCGAGAGCTTGCCTTTCGCACTGGAGTCCCATCCAGCCAATCAGCTGGAAGTTGTGCGTGCAGCGCTGCGTATGAGCATGATTCTAAGGCTCCGCCATCCATGAACCTAGGTCATCGTGAGTTTTGCCTGCTTCTGCTTCTGCGCTGGCTCAGTTGATCCTGCCCATCGACACCAACAATTCGAGTGGAAATTAGTTGTGCCAGCGATGTCTGCAGGACGCCGATGGCATGCTCCGCCGGGCGGCTTTTGGCTCAAGGCGGACTTCGAACTCGCACGCGACCGATCCGCGGGTCGGAAGCCGTTTCACTGCAGCATCACCCATCGCTACTGGATAGAGAGGGAGAGGTTCGCTAGTGTTTCGGGGGGTATCCTAGTGTTTATACGTGGGAATAAGCCTTCCGACTGCGATCATTGTGTACCACTTACATACCTACACACGGTCGTTCGCAGTGACGTGTTGGAATAGGCGGACACACGAGGCGAAGAGCGTGATATGTTTGTCTCCGCATGTCTAACTAAGAATTAGTGTCGCGCGGGTTCGGCTAATTACCCACTGCTGCGCATGCGCATCCTTCGTCTCGTCTCGTATTCTGGTGGAGTTCTCTCGTATGTAAGTCGGCGGCGCATGGCGAGTGGACGCTGCGGCTAGTATCCGAGGGGCCGGTGTTCTCAATATGTGCGGGGCGGTGCACACTCTAGGGCAGATACCTACATCCTCGAATAGTCTTCAGCCGGGAGTAGCCCAGGTAGCAGCTCCCTGTAAAACCACGCCAACTTCACCAGATATACGATCGCCTTGCTTGTTAGCAGCTGGCTGTATGTATCACGTACATAGAGCACTCTAAAGTGTGGCTGAATCCCAACTACCCACATATACAGTATACCCCGCACAATGGAAGCGGCGGCCTCCGCCTACCTACTATATATCTGAAAGACGGTCTCTAAATACTATCTGGTAGCGAATGTTAATTTCAGTTGAAGCCAGTCGTGACGCTAGCTCAACATACGTCCCAAAGATCATCGTTGCTGTCCCCAGAGCCCATACTATCCTACGTAACAGAGCAATACGATCACATATCCCTTAAACCATGCATTCCGTAGGTCTTCGTATTGCGAGTATTTATTCAAAACCGCCTACCAGTCACTATTGCAGCTTAACGTCGAGTTGCCACGGGCGATGACTCTTACTGCGGGCGAACAACAGTACGTGACTGGGAATAGACTACAATCCAGGGGGCGCGTACGGGCACTTACTGACTAGGTAGGTATTATCCCCTCCCAGTACGATGCTGATCCTGACCCCGGCGTGGCTGGTGAAACGGACGATCGCAACTGCAGAAATATCGGCCTTCCCTTGAACCTACTTTCTGTGTATGTACTTACCGTAAGCACGCATTCCGCTCTTGCGGCGAGGATGCGCAGCAGGTATGGGAGAGAGTACGAGTACATAAACCAGACCTGGGCGCCATGCTTTTGTGTCTCTACTTCTTCCAGAATCCAGACTACATACAACCCGCCGAGCATTTCCACTCCCGACGTCTACCTTCGCCTACCAACCATGCAATTCACCTTCACTTCCCTTGTCGTTGCCGCCCTCGTCGGGCTGAGCTCCTGGTATGTAACCTGCCTCCCCCGCGGCCGCTCCGCCACCCATTCCATTACACCACTAACCTGACCAGCGCGGACCCGACCACAACACTCAGCCCGGCGCAGCAATCCGCCATGTCGGCAGCCTCGCAGCGTATCCAAACGGGGTACTCGACCGTGGCAGGATACAACGGGTTCGTGACGGCCTACGAGACGTTCGTGAGCAATTTCTGGGCGACACAGACCGTGATACCCGGATTGGAGACGACCGCGACTGCTACGACGTTCCCGTACGAGCAGGTGACCAAGCTGGCTAGGAAGCAGGAGGAGGCCATCTTGGATTTTGTCGCCACCCAGACGTACATCACTGGCACCCCGAGGGAGAGCCTCGTCAAGGACTTTGATACTGCCCTGCAGGTTCCTGGTGCGGCGAACGGGAGGGGGGCGCAAGCTGCGGGTGGCGTGGCGGCTGCGGCGGCGGTGGGCGTCGCGGCGGTGCTCGGTTGGGTGCTGTAGGGGAAGGGAGGCGTGGATCCGCGCGTGCGACGCGGATGGCGGGAGAGATACGATGTAATGAAAATGTTTGTTTGTTTAGGGAGCTGGCGTTGAATGTATGGAAGTGGTTGGTGGTTTGGAGACGATTATTCAACACCTGCTGTTTGGTACATCTGGTGCACCAACTCTGGCATGGTGTCTGCGAAAGAGCCGAGAGTCGCTGATCCACAGCCGAAGCAGCACTACATATCGAATCCATCATCAGTAACGTGAACCATGTTGACGCAGCTATCATCCATGCAAGAGATCATCCAAGTGCCACCGCAATGCTCGGACCACAGCCATCACCATCCCGAGCTGAATTTCGGTGCCCACTTACTCCTTCTTCTTATATTTCCAGGCCGCGATTAAACCGCTAGTTAGTCGCCGAGCGCTAACACATCCACTCATCCTACCTCAGTGACCTCACAGGCCGCTGGTAGCAGAGACCGTGGGCGTCACATTCTAATACCCGTGTCGTGCCGGCTGGCGGATCGAAGTAGCCAGGACCGAACTGTCGGGCTATCGACAACGACCAAGCGCCGGTTGTATACAGGACGGGACCGTTCCCAGCGGAAACGAACGACCGCGCACACTCGCCGAGTGACGGTGAGCGTGTAGCCCTAACCGCGAGCTTGGCATTGTGGTTGGTCTTGGAACTGGGGCGGACCAGCAGCACCCGCCCCCTAAAAAAAGAAAGACAAAATAGCCTCTGCGCTTTCGAGGGTAGAAGCGAAACATGAAACCTGCCAGCCCTCATTCATAATTGATCACTCCACTGAGCTGCGGCTGCCTGCCCACAATCACATGAGGTTGAGCGGGAAAGTTGAGCGGTGAGCGGGAGATTTGACTTGAGGGGAGGGTCAGGCTGAGTGCAATAGGGAATCGAATTCGAGCTCGGGGCCAGCGGTCGGTGGTAGCCGGGTGGAAACGGATATGTACCTACATATCTGCCATGATCTATTAAGGTCGAATGCAATGATGATTGAACAAAAACAAAAACCTGTCAGGCCTCATTCACAACCTGCCAAACCTCATTCATAACTACATGTCACTCCACTGAGCTGCGGCTGCATGCCAGGCATCATTCACAACTGATCACTCCACTCCATTGAACTGCAGCTGCCAGCCCTGTTTGCGAACGAAATATTCACCACGCCTCTAACTTGCGATTACTGTGGCCGTAGGCACTTGGCAGGCGCGCTCAAGTCTCAACAGGTGCGTAAAACGTCCACATTTTAGTTGAAAACGACGTTTTATTTGCACGTTTTTCGGACGCGCGGGATTAATAGTACATACGAGTAGATACCTACATACAGTGCAAAACTACATAGTTACAAGCGGCACCCGCAAGTCAGCAAGCACGCGAGCGAGCAGATCCTTCCCCCGCCCCTCTACGGCGTGCTCAACTCCTAGGCCTCGACGTAGTACCCACACGGGCCGACGCCGGCGACGTTGTAATCGTGGCCATTCTCCTGGTTGCGCTGAATAATGAACCCGGGGGTGCCAGCGGGACATGTATCGGTGGGCCTAGCATCCTCGGGGCTGTCGGGGCCGGCGGAGATGATGCAGGCGTGCTCATTGTCCGGCCGGCCCTCTTGGTCCATAGCCATTGGGAAGTGCAACCAGCCGTTGCACGCCTTGGGAGCGCCGGTGTGGTCGCCGCGCCAGCAGCGCAGGCAGCACTCGCGCGCCGAGACGTCGGGGATATCGTGGTACGAGTCACCTTCGAAGCCGGATACGCCGGCGACCATCACCCGGTCGTGGGTGTTTGCGGGAACGTCGCAGGGGTGCGGCACGGTGCTGGTTTCGGTCCCCAGGACGGTCGTGGTGCTGACCGTCGTGGTCGACTGCACTGTCGTCGTGGTCGTGCCAGTCACCGTTATCGTCCGGATCAGCGTGGGCTTGGCCTGTACCGTCTTGGTACTGGTGCGAGTGATCATCTGGGTGGGTGCGGGACGCGCGAGGCGCCGGCAGGCGGAGGTGATGGTCGATGGGTTGTATTTCTTGCCGACGTACCGCGGGACGGGAACGTAGTTGTACCTGCGGACTACCGATGGGAGCTCCGGTTCAGCCGGGGAGTTGGCCGTCTCTGAGCGAGCCTCGGCCGTGATGGTGGTGGTCATGGTGTTATCGGTACTGCACGCAATCCATTAGTATGCTTCTCCTTCTTCTTCCACCGGATTCGCAACCACAACGTACACAGTCGCGGTAGTCTCAACCGTCTCGGTGGACGTCTCGGTGACCATCCTCGTCGAGGTCCTGGTGATAGGCACGGCCTCGTAGTATCCACGCTGAGTCTTGGTCTTTGTGACCCACTGGGTCTTAGTGGCCGGGTAGTAGTTGAGGTAGGCGGAGCAGAATTTCAAGCCATTATTCCGGCGGAGTTGCCATTCGAGCTGGTCGACTTTTGGATATAAATCAGCAAGAGAACGCATGGCGATGAGGGGTGTAAAGCAAACCCTTATTGCTGTATCCATACGCCCTCTTCTCGAGCTCGGCAGCACGAATCAATCCCGTCGGTGGATCATAAACGCCCCCGCGCTTGGAGATAGCATGAACCAGGCCGTCGGGACCGACGTTAGCGTTGCGCGCCTCGAGCTCGGGCAGCGCGGTGACCACCGACAGGAAGAAAAGAACGAATGATAGTATCGGAGCCATTTCAATCAAATGAGTGTGGGTGAGTGAGTGAGTGAGCGTGATGTGTACCGTGCCTTGGAGAGGATCTCCGTGAACGCAGGTGGTGGGCGGTCACTTATATGCCCGCATTGCTCTGTTCCGCTCGGCTGTCGGATGGGATGGGAGATGGGAATGAGAAGCCCCTGAGTCTGATGACAATCTCGTACGGGCAACTGAACGGGATGGACCAAGCCCCATGGAGTCGCCACGGGTGTTGCGTGCAGGCAGTAGTTATGTAACGTCGAGCGCCACGAGAATTCGTTTTTTCTGTTGCGTCTGCCGTGATGTGCATACACGGGGCGGAAACGGCTCATCGCGAAACTGAACATACCCTTCAAAGCTGCACCGTCCACTCTCAAGTCGACTTCCCCAAGCTCGTAGAGAATCCCATACCTCGATATCCCAGGTTCCGCCGAATCCTCAAAAACAAGCACGCCGATCTCTCGCCGTCTCCTGTCTCCCAAGCACCAAGCACGCGCAGCACCACAGGGCCGCAGGCTGATCATGACCACGACAGGGGGGAAGGTCGCAGTGTTCGGCGCTAGCATAGACAGCAAGAACCGAGCGTGTTCGATGTTGGAGGTAATTTCGTTTAGCCAGCCAATGACAGTTGGCCAGCGACAAGAGTTATGCGGCGTCAACACCGCATTTTCCCACGCAGTGGCTTTCGGGTTACGGGCTCTATAGCTGATAGACACCGAGAGGGGACCCGTTTGCCGGATCCTGTCTCTTGCGAATAGGGGAAACGGGGGGGGAACGGGGGGGCGGCATTATTGTTGTCATCGTATAGACATTTTCTGGTCGAAAGTTGTCAGGACTCAGGAGGGTTACACGCAAAAATAGAGTATAGCTCCACGCTACTAAACTTAAAAGCTTAAAGCAGACGGCGCGGAATCTACGCAGATCCAGACGGATACCAAGCTTTGGCGCATCCATCCTTCAAACTTCTCGACGAGGCGACGCCAGTCCTCGACGACAGCGCCCGGCGCCGAGTTCTGATGGCGTGGGCTATCGGGTTCACAATACCTACCTCCTAGATACGGTAGACCATAGCCCATAACCACTAGATATATACACCGCGAGCACATCGCCGCCGTCGTCTCGGATGTCCTCCTCGTGTATAATACACGTGCACACGTGGATCGCTTCACCGAATCTCACCGAATCTCACTTTCGCAGTGTATGGGGGCGTTCATCAGGACAGGAGTGTTACTCGACTTATGTGATTCCAGCATCGCTTCGGTATTCTGGTACATACCTACTCAATGGAATGTGGATTAATGCGAATGCCTCATGCCTGAAATCCTGTCGCCCTATATCGACCAGAGTTGTGACACTGCGCAACGTTTTTACAAGGCATATTTATCTGAAAATTGAAATACTTGTGATAAATGCCTGATCGTATGACTGCGCGAGCCTAGGCATCTACATGCTGTATTTTCCGGCGGGCTACTATAGGTGGTGCCGTATTGTATTGTTTCAAACGGTCCGTCACTGGTACTCTACTCTGTATTGTAAAGACGACGTAGGTATTCTGCGAAAACACCGGTTCCCAAGACAATGTTGTATAATTGTATTCTACAGAACTTCGGTTTAATACGGTATTGATGCAGAAACCCCTAGATAAGCTTGGTTCCTATAGCAAGCTCTCATGAGCCGTGAAACTTGAAAGCCAGTGTATTACTATAGTAGACACCGGAGTAGCTACATACTGCGTTGGAATTTGGGTTATCCTTCTCGTGGGGCGCGGCCACTGAATCGTCGCGGATACCCCTCATAGTGGTCGAATACGTTATTAAACCAAAGTTATGTAGAATGCAGCTTCTGCGTAAAAACCGGTTGGTAGGCGGGAACTACTACTAACTGCAGTGAAAGACGGTATTTCTGTGGCACAAAGTGGTGGTATGATATTCAGCGTTCACGGCGTTGTCTTGTCTAGGGGAACCGGTGTTCTCGCAGAATATGTCGTCTTTACAATGGAACAGTGACGGATCGTTGCTGAAACAATACAGCATCCCATAAAGTAGCCTGCGTGCAAATGCAGCATCTAGAAAGACTTGGGCAGTTATACGGCCAGGCAATTGTCACCAGCATTTCAGATACCGGTAAATCTGCATTGAAACCGTTACGCAGCATCATAATTCTTGTGCTCTAAAGCGACAGGCTTTCACGCATGACGCAGCCGTATGAATCCACATTCCATTGCCATTGAGCGCGGTATTCTATCAAGATTCAGGATACTAAGACGATGCGGGAATTACATATGTCGAGTACTGATAAAACTCCTATCCTAATATACACACCTTTTTGCTACTGTAGTTTGGTCGCTCCTAACCGCTGCTCGTCGCTCGCCGTAATACAGAGGCGTCGAGAGACCTACGCTCCATCAATAGCGAGGTGAGGTGGGGCACGGTATCCCGTTCACGGACACTCACTCGTCACGAGCTGTATGCAAGTTCAGACCGCTGGCTTTTTGTAGCACCGAGACCGTCACCAGTGGTGTGGAAACGGAGATTGATCTGCCATGATCTTATAAGCTCGAATGTTACGATGATTAAACAAAAAAGCTGTTAGCTGCACCGAGATCGTCACTTGCCTCCGGCCAGTCCCCCCCCCCCCAGTGCGGCGTGTCGGGAGCATCAAAGATCACTCTCTCTTCAGTGACATACATCAGAGTCAATCACTTCTAAAGGGTACATTGGAAAAGCAAAGGGTACATTGGAAAAGCAAACGGTGCAGTTGGAACTTGGTAGTCAACGATCAAGTGCTGTTGGCCCCCCCTTCTATTCCCCTCCCGACTGCCTGCCTGCCTGCCTGCCTGCCTGCCTGCCTGCCTGCCTGCCTGCCTGCCATCCCTCCCCTCCAGTCGCGTCCCGCCTGCCGTCACCATCCTCCATCCTCGATATCGAAATGTCATCTCTTGTCTATACCAGCTGGAAGTACACGAGCACTCAAACTTCACGTCTACGCCCGTCGCCCGTCGCCTCCATCACCATCATCATCACCATATCAACAGTCGTTGGTCCACACGCACAGACACACGCACACACAAGCCCATCGAATACCCTCGAATACCCATTTCATTGGTCTCATCCCCCTCGTACGCACCCATTTCCTTATCCCGCGTCATCTCACCATCTCACCATCTCACCGTTTCACCCATCAATCATCCGACTATAGTAGGCACGCGTTCGCGTTTAGCAACCCCTCGGAAACCCCCTCAAACCGAAAGTGAAGTCAATACAAAAACAGCAGACAAAGAAATAAAAACGGAAAGCGCACACATCCCCCCCAGCCAAACATGTCCTGGGAAGTCAAGTTAAGTTGGGTATCGAGACTCAAGAGCGAGTGAGAGAGAACACCAACTCTGAAACGTTATCCCACAACGACAGACAACAACAATCACAACAATCACAACAACCACAACGATAACAACACAAAGAGTCAATATGTACCAATTTACAAAGTTGATGAAAACAATGAAAGATGAAAGATGAAAGCAGGAAGCAGAAAGCGTAAGGAAAAAAAGCTAAGCAGGAACGCCCCACCCATCCCGGATGCACACCTCCACTCCCACCCCTTCTACAACGCGACAGCCAACAGCAACAGCAACAGCAACAGCAACAGATCCCTTCCCCCCGTCCCCGCCCCCGGCCCCCGCGACCTCTCTAAGAAATATTAAACCCACCCGGCGGGATTCTGGTATAACTCTGCATCTGGGGCGGCGGAACGGTGCTGGGCATTTCGATCCCGGCGCCAAGGCCCATGCCCATCAAGCCGGCCTCGCTGAAGAGGCCGATATCGTCGCCCCAGAACGTGCCAGCGCTGAACTCGGGCACGTCCAGCTCCGGTGGCGTCGGGTTCTCGAATTGACCAAAAAACGTGGCTCCGCCAAGACCGCCTTGGCCGAATGTGTAGCCTTCGTTCCAGCCAGCTCCTCCGCCGCCACCATTACCACCATTACCACCACCGCCACCACCACCGGACATGCCCTCGCCGGGATGCCCGCCGACTCCGAGCATGCCGTTGTATTCCATCTCCATCTGCTGGCGGTACTCGTTGACGCTGATGCGACATTCCTCGATGGGCTGTTCGAACATGCCGAGACACGGCCGTTGGACCTCACCACCCTCGATGCGTAGCAGACACCAGCGGAGAACCGCGGCGACGCGGCTCGCCGACGCGGTCGATGTCTCGATGGTGCGCAGACACATCAGTGCGTCGAGCACACCGTCCTTCCACACGCTCACGGATGCATCCCGCGGAACCGAGAGGATGGCGGTGACCAGGACGAGCGCCGCTTGAAAGACGTAGTAGGTGGCGTACCAACCCACACCGTGCCACAGTGGCTTGTGCGTGTTGGTGAACTTGCGGATCGAGGACAGCGTCGACAGGGCGAACGTGAGGCACTTGCGCACTTCCGGAAGTAGCGCGATATGGGTCTGTCGGTTGGCAGGAATCTGCGACGAGACGGGACCGGGATGGTCGACCGGCGAGTACGAGAGGCAGTCGAGGAAACACTTGTACATCAGCATCCTCAAGTTCATCGCCTTCCACTCCACCACCGCTCTCGGCGCCGCGAACCAGGGCTCGCAGTTGCGCTCGCTAAAGTACGAAGGCAGCGCGGAATGCCAGCGCGCGATCTGCTCGTCAAATTTGGCGATCAATTCGCGGCTCAGCGGCAAGCGGCAAGAGCTGAGGGATCGCGGGTGGATGAAGAAGTTCAGATGGATGCGGTTCATCAGGACCACCAGGTGTGCGTGGGCGATCATGGCGGAGTAGGCCGTTACGGTTTCGCACGGCGGCGGGAGGATGGCGTTCCGGTCCGTCAAATTGTAGTCGTTGACGTTCATCGGGATCTTGGTGAAGACCTTGTCGCTCGGGATCGTGGGGCGGCCAAAGGTGATTGAAGCGCCGACATCGAAGATGTAGAGGGTCCACCAGATGCGACGGCGTATCTCCATTCCGAGGGTTGTGCCTTTGCTCTCGGTGACATCGCGGTGGAGGCCAAGACCGAGTGCCATGCGCATCGCCATTCCGAGACAGTTGTAGCCGGTATTGGGATTATCTCGCTTTTGGAGGTATGCGCCCTAGGGAGGAGAAGAGCGTTAGGGGGCTGCTGTTGCTGCTACCAGCTGAGGAGGGGGGTAAACTGGGAAACGATGGCCACATACCATTAACGCCAGAGCCTGCACCCCTTCCAAAGTTCCATACGACAGAAAGTCCAAGGTGCTAAAGGTGTCGTTGACCGTCTTGTAGATGTCCATATCCACCGTGGTGTCGCTGTGATCGGTACTACTCATAAAGGCACCGGTGACGAGAACCATCCGGTAAAGCGTCTGCCAGTGCGTGTTGACCTTGAGGTCGTTGCTTCGTTGCTTCGTCACCTGGTCACGGAAGATGGCTTCGTGAAGGATCGGGTACGATGCGTGGTGGCAGCGGAAGTAGGAGTCGATCAACGAGTCCTCGGTCCAGGTGACGTACAGGCGCTTCTCGGCATTGTTCATCTTTGGCGACGGCATCGGCGATATGGCTTCCATCAGTTCGCAGCCCACGGTTCCGGTGGATTGTTCGTGTGCTTTGAGGAGGCGACAAACGTGTCTCAACAGCGCCGCGGCAGATGACCGTCCTATACGAAGAAATCCGGTTAGTAGCCACTTCTCCCCCGCCAGGCCCCTCCTCTCTCTCCCGCCCGCCCCCGATACCGCCATCGAGTGCCAACGCCTTCACCGGTGGTGCGCATCATCACCGATGACCGGAAAGACCGACTAACCTAGATAGCCCACCTCTTTCGAGTCGATATTCAATCCGGCCATTCCGTCCGCCAGGGCAGCGCCAGCGTCGTTGAGCGTGGGATTGCCTTCGTGCCACTCGAACTTGCACTGGTTCATATCCTCCTCGCCATCAGAATCGTGATCCTCCTCTTCCGGTGTAGTTACACCCGACGATTCGGCGCCCGAGGACTGTTTCCGGTCGTGGCCGTAGCGCGTGGTCGAGGGCAGGCTGCCGCCAATCAGGTCTTCGACGTCGATGGACGGATCTATGCTCTGGAGCAGGGACTGTAGACGTTGGCAGCGATCATGGAGGTCGTCCATGTTTCTACATAACGCGGGTCAACGTTAGCCCTTCCCCAGGTGGTGGGGAAGCGTATACTGACTTTCTCGTGAGAGGAATCCGCGATATCTGAGGTTGATCGATACATTTTCGGCCGGTCTTGGCACAGAACGTACAGGGTCTTCCCCCAACACACTGTATTGAGTAGAAACGATGCCATGGTCAGCCAATTGAGTCTTTTTGTTTTCTCGGTGAAGCGGCAGGGCGTTGGTGGGTTATCGGTTGAGTGAGAGGGAGCGAGGGGGGCTCGGCCGACCGTACGGGCGCGAGGGTGAATGACCAAGCTGAAGGTGCAAAGACGATCACGAGGAGGGGGGGCTGAGGGTGAATGTGCAAAGCCGATATGCAGGGGAGCAGAGCCTCCCATCTCCCCGGTCGCACATATGTACGCGAAGAAAGGAATGTGCGTTTGCGACGAAGCAGGGCAGCAGAGAGGAACAGAGAAGAGAGAGAGAGAGAGAGAGAGAGAGAGAGAGAGAGACAGAGAGAGAGAGAGAGAGAGAGAGAGAGCGAACGTACCTTTCCTTTCCTACGCTACAAAATATAATTACGGGCGACTCTTCAGTCGTTCATTCATACAAGATATAATCGAGACACGGGAGGAGGAGGGGATGCGGGTGGAAATCGCCATTCATACCTGACACTCGGTGCACTGGATGTCTTGTTAGCTTTCGGCTCGGGCTTCGCAAGGGATACAGTGCTCTAGAAGACGGAGAGATGGAGGAGGAGGGTGGAAGGCTGCGAAGGAGAGAGACTGGCCGCGGCCGTGGGGGTGGGGGGAGGTGGAAGGGGAACGATGACTCAAACCGGGGGAGAAGGGTAAAAAGGGCGGAGGGAATGCCACGAACCGCCGAGGATTGCTCTGAACGAGCCCTCTTATTTGATGATGAAGAAGTCGTCGACATGTTGGAACGGCTCTCTCGCTCGCTATAGGGCCGATGAATGTGGTACGGTACCGCCCGACAGTAGGCAAGGTGGAAAGGGACGGTGAGGCGGGTAGGGTCGGTCGGGTTCTATGCGATGCGATGTACGATGAGCGTGATGTCCGCTGGCTGCTGGCTGGCTGGCTGCTGGCTGGCTGGCTGGCTTTGGTGCTTGTCTCTGGATGGTTCGCGCTCTCTGTGTCCTTCCCTTTCTCCGTCGGGCTGGCTCGCGCTCCTTGTCGCTTTCGGTGTCGATAACCTTCTTTTCGCGAAAGGACGGGTGGCACTGGTCAAGTCGGAGACGATGCCGCTACGATGGCGCGTGCGATATGCGTGCTACGGTACGTTGCGGTACGGTCGGGGATGCGGAGGAGAAGGGCGCAACAGCAGGTAGACGTCGGGTAGTGGTGGTGGTGGTTATTGAAGGTGGTGGTGGTGGCAGTGGTGGCAGTCGGTCGATATGGTATAGAGTAAAGTGGTAGTAGTCAATAGTCGGGCCGAGCGGTGGCGATGGGCGATGGCGACAAGCGACAGGGCAGGGCTGGATGGGCCTGGACAAAAGCGACGGCGGTTATGTGTGTGTTTCTGCTGTGAAATAATCTGCGTGCGCCGAGGGTGCGTGTGTGTGGGTAATGTGTTTGTCGGGTGTGGGAAAAACGAACGACACGGACGACTCCGAAGCAGTGGTGAGTCAGAGGTCGGGAAGTGAGAGGAGAAGAAGCGGAAGAAGCGGAAGAAGAAGCGGAAGAAGAAGAAGCAGAAGACGAAGAAGCAGAAGAAGAAGAAGAAGAAGCAGTAGAAGGCGGAGGAGCCAGATGGACAAGATGGAGGTGAATAGCCAGAACAGTTGGGGGGAGGGGAGGCTAGCTGAGGAGTGCACTATAGGTAGAGTAGTTGAAGGATGATAGGGAAGTGGGTACAGAGTAGGTAGAATAGCCCGTCAGGCTCGGTAGGAGATAGTTGTTGTTTTGTTGGCAGAGTTAGAGTAGAGTAGAGTTCGGTCGGTGGAGTATGTATGCTATAGATTATTGCTGTGGCCAGAGCAGAAGTTGCTCAGTCAGACAGTCATCAGAAGCAGAAGCAGCAGCGGGAGAGCCGGCGAGTGCCAATGTCGGTCGTCGCGGGCGCGGAGTGCCAATGGCCAGAGCAGGCCCACTTTTCGGGGGGCTCAGGTAGCATCGATTCGTTCGCAGCCAGCACAGGAGCATCGTGAGAAAAGCAAATCTGGCCCACAAGTCGAACAAGCAAAGCCGGTGGCCAGCTAGTACTATCGTGGTGGCCGGGAGGGGGGAAGGAGTGCCCAGAAAATTCGAGAGCTCGTTGCCCCCTCGAAACCGAGGGAGGACTCGCACTCGCGCCCTGACTCCTTCCTCGTCCGCGATGAATGAACGGATTGAGCTGTTTGCTGTGCGCGCTGAGTAAACCCCGCCGCCGCCGTTCACCGTTCACCGTATGGAGACACGCACTCTTCTACGTCCCGTGGTCATGAATCATGACGGACTCGCCGCATTCATACGAGTGCAACCAGTTACCAAATCCCGCCTTATTCTGCTTTTACACGTTCGGCTCGGATTCACACCACACACACACACGCTTTTTACCCTTCACCCTTCACCCTTCACCAGCTCTTCCTCTTCCTCTTCCTCTTCCCCTTCCTCTCCCACTCCATCTTCCCCATCTTCCATCCTCTCCTCCCACTACCCCATCTCAGCCCTTCACTTGTGCCGTTATATGCACTTGCACTTCCCACCACTCTCGCCACTGAGCTTCCTCAACTTTCACGGAATCCCATCGCGAGTCGCGACGAAGTGGAACTAAACTCTATCCGCCCGACCGCGGCCGATTACAGCAGCTCAAAGTCAAGTGGTGCATCCCCATCCGCATCCGCATCTACCCCTCAGCGCACAGCAGGCACAGAGTTCGGCTCAACGTCGACGACAAGGACGACGACAATAACAATCTAATCAAAACCCATTCAGCCAAAAACCAAAACCACAACCATGCAGCAGCAGCAGCAGCAGCGGGCCACAACCGAAGTTCCGCGTGCAGACGAGTGATGTCGTATGTTTCTCGTGCGTGAGTGCGTAGGTTTTTGCGTGTGTGTGTGTCTGTGTGTGTGCGTGTGTGTGAGCTGCGTGGGACGTGGGACTGGATATGGTGTTATGGTGTCATGGCATGGTGTTTTTCACGATGACGGGTTTGGTTGGTGCTTTTGCTTCTTATTTTGCTTCTTCTTGTTCTGCTTCTGCTGCTTCTGCTGCTTCGCCTTCTCCTTCACGATGACCGGTTAGGTTGCATTTTTGCTTCTTCTTCTTCACGACGACCGGTTGGGTTGGGGTTTCTGCTTCTTTTGCTTCTCCAGCTTCGCCTTCTCCTTCTTCTTCCCCCTCCTCCTCCTCTCCTTCTTCCATTGCCACTACCGTCGCCACGCCTTATGCTTCTCTGCTTCAGTCCCAACTGGCTGGTCCCCTTCCCCGTCTGCTTGCTACCATAAGATGACCTCTTTGTTGCTTGTCGCCATCTTTCGCAGCGCCCTCCAGCCAAAGAAATAAAGAAAGAAATCGCAGCGCATGGCAGACAGGTCATGCGGAAAAAACAAGCGCTTGAAGATGGTATGTAAGTACAAGGCAGGCATCCAGCGTTCCCTCCCTCCAACCGTCCAACCCCATCGAGTCGTGTCGAAAAGGGTTGAAAAGGGTCGGGTCGGCTGGACTATGCGTATACATCTTCGTGACCGTGGTTACTGGTAGAGTAGGTACTTCATCCTTCATCCTGGTAGATTGGTGGAGCGTTCCTTTGGGAACATGAGATGGAAGCTGTCAAGTCATCAACCACGGCCCAGCTCCTCCTCCTCCTCGAATGACGAATGACGAATAAAGCTGAGCTCGCCGTCCACCACCACGAACACTTTTTTTTCCTTTCTTTCCCCCCCTGTGGCGAAGACAAGGCGGGGCACCGGAATAATCGAACGATTCGAACGATGCGGACGATGCCCAGCCACAGTGCTGGCCCCGGCGCCCGGTGGAATTCGGATCAGCTGCCGAGGGTGAAGCGAGAACGCCCGAGAGCTCCATGTGAGTATATAGAGTGCTGGTGCTATGTAACGTGATAGAAACGATGGAAATGGAGACGATGGAAACGATGGAAACGAAGGAAACCCGTGACCATTGCACTAGTTACACTGCAATCAATCAATCATTCGATCTATCGATCGATCAATCAATCGCTTCGTGAACTGTGGACTGTGAAGGCGTCGGGCCAGCGTAAGGCACGGAGCCAGCCAGCCAGCCAGTCATCCATCCGGCCTGCCAGCCAGTCAGCCTGGTATGTACGAGGCGAGTGCAAATTTTATGTACGTACGAGCATCAAAGTTCAAACGCAGCGGGAGCTGGACACAGTACCTAGTATCCCCCCACTCCCCCCGCGCGCATGCACAGCCCGTCAGGCTTCATTCACGATGCGCATCCCCCCCACGCCGCTCATGTAGCACGTCTCTGTACTCCATACCCATCCCGCGTGATCGCCCATCCATCTATCCTCATCAATCCAGATCCATCATCCATCGTGCGAGTGCGAGTGAGAACACGGGTAGGTGCTCCTCGAATTCTCGTCGGCACAAACCCTGCCTACACAGCACAGTGGCACCGGCAAACCTACAAACTTCTAGAAGCCAATCATCTGCTCACGTCCTTGTGCAGCTCCTCCCAAGTGCCCAACCCCCGCGTCCCCTGTCCCCCCCGTGCCTCACCCCCACGAGGCAGGAGTGGGGGGGGGGGGTTACTTACCTACCAAGCACTTACGTGGTTGTTCTTCCGGCACGAGTGGCAACGAGTCGACGCCCCACGCATCGGTTTCCCCAACTGGGAGTCTGGGAGCTTGGCCTGCCTTCGTGATCGCCGAAGCCCCGAAGCTCCTCCGAGCCGAGCCGTGACTACCGCGCCGCCACCGCACCACGGACAACGGCTGCGAAGGGGGGAGAAAAGAAATGGAACGCCCTACAAAGGAATGCGCAAAAAGCGGCAGAAAATGAATGCAAAAAGAATTTGTTCCGTTACGGGGAATTGAACCCCGGTCTGGCCGGTTTAATGCTCTGCTTGAGAGCGGCCGATGCTAGCCACTACACCATAACGGATGTTTCTATACAGTTGTTCTTTTGTATGCTTTATAAAGACCAACTGGATGAAGCGGCAGTGGTGCACAGCGATTGTTTACACAACTACTGCTGCTGGTGACGGTGGATGATGTGTCTAGCTTGATAACCACCACGCTTACAGTACAAGTGCATGGCATCATCACGATGGCGCAAGCAACACTTCCCTCCAGAGTCCAGTCCGCTCCGGGCCTGGCGGGACTACTTACCCCACTAGTCTTAGGTAGTAGGTAGTGCCGGCTTTCCCGAGGACGAACGGTTCGGCTCGGCACGGAGACGGAAGGCGGGAGGCGGGAGGCGGGAGGCAGGGGATGAGAGGCGGGAGATGGCCCACATACGATATCCGGGTGCGCGAAGGATGCCGCCACCGGGAACTTATCGTTCATCGGTATCACTCGTGCACGCCAGTGTGCATACGAAAGTTTATAGGGTATGTAATTCAACGTTCGTGAAATCTCCCCACCGGCTACACCGTGCGGCTTCCGGTGGTGCTTTCGTTCCCTTACCGGTTGGTTCGGCTCTGGATACTAGTATGTACCCGTAGTATGTACCGATGGTAGACTACGGTATTGGATTGCTGGCCGATGAAGTTGAAGTCGGCGGACTTAGAAGGCGACGCTACCACATACGGGGTTGGAACTCGAGAACTCCTGGGCGCGACAGTTACTTACCCAGACATCTCATGGAATCTAATGGTGAGAGAAATCACTGGCAGGACAATGGAATGGACTCGAGATGGTTCCTCTCATCACCAGTGCCTCCGATAGTCCAGTCCAGTCTGCGCAACTGGTAGGGCTGGATGGACTGCAGTCGACTGGATGGACTGACACTTTGAATGGAAAATGTTTGAAATCAGTAATGAACTTGTGTACACGTCTATAGTAAAGCTGCCTATTGCAGATCCTCCTCGCACAGCGCATTGATCATAGGTGGCTGATATCCGTCTCCTTGATATCGCCCTTTGTATGTAGCAGCTACAAGTCCATCTCATTGCCAGCTTTGGAGACATTCCAGAACCTTCAGTGCGTCGTCACCCATGCTGCAACGACGATGACTAAAAACTCGTTCCGGCTCTGCTCTGATGGCGCGAATGCCCAAATACTCGAGAGCCACTCTGGCGAGATCTTTCCAGCGAGGTTCATGTGATTCAGTACCTATTCGCCCGGTACTGTACCACATTGTCAATGGAATCCCATGGAGGCGGTTCGCCAGTTCCTGTTGGAAGATCTCCATCAAATCTTTATTCAGACCACGGCGGGGTACATAAGAGATACAGAGCTGCCATGATACGAAGAAAGAACATGTGATGGGTTGAATAGCCACATAGTTAGTGGCTAGCTGGTGGGGCGCCACGCTTGAACTGTACTCTACTGGGAACGCCGCATACGATCTCACACAGCACCACGCACCGAGCACAACCTGAAAGAACAGTCAATAAATAGTGCTGGATATGCAGAGCTGCGTCTATTCAACCCGCTCTACGCCAATACCAACCACGGAAGCGGCAGAAACCCCCGCGTTGCCCGGTAAACCGTCACCACTTCCCGACTCCTGTTGGCAGATCTTCTGCCACAGTATTCCTGCCTACACCGACAACTCTGCCACACTCCCCACACCCCACATCAGCCGGAAAACTCACCGCCCACCGCCGCCCTCCGCCCACCGTCACATCCCGTCGCCTCCACCTACACTTCCCCACCCCGCCTCCACCCCCACCCTCCCCCTCCTCCCTCCCCTTCGCCGCCCTACCCTCCTTCCTCGCCGCCGCCGCAGCCCTTGCATTCATACGCTTCAGAGCCCTTCTCCACCTCCACCACCACAGCCCTACGGCAGCCATACACACCAGCATCAGTACCGTCACCAGAGCGATAACTGCCCTGTCCGAGAGGTAGAAGCGGCGGTCCGGGGGTGGGTGGTTGCACGTGTATGTGGTTGTGCTGCTGCTGCTGCTGGTGGTAGGGAAGATGGTGGTGAGTGTGGTGGTTCTGGTGGGCCTAGGCGGGCACGGCGGGTGGGACGGGTGGGACTGGTGGGATGCGTGGGATGGGGAGATTACGGGGCCCGGACGGGCGAGGGGCGGTGTAGGCGTTGGCGGGACAAGGACGAAATGGGCGGGCGAGAGGCTGCACTCGTCGGCGTCGATGTAGCCGTTTGTACCGCTATAGAAGTCGCCTGGTTCGCCGCAGGCGGGGGGACGTGAACTGTGGGCAGTCGGCGAGGAGCGGAAGGGTCATGGTGACAGTTTTTTCAACGCCACGCTGTGCAATCAGTGGAAGAGGTTTGGCTCTTGCGGGCCCATGGTCGTGGAAGAAAGACGTGTATTTGCAGGCCAAACGTTCTTTGTTCCGCCGTAGGAGAGGCGAGCGACAAAGGGGGATGAAACCGACGAATGTCAAAAGAGAAGCTGTGGTAGGTATGGTACAAGGAATCATATGATCATAAGCAGCGGTGGTTTGCCGTTCCCGCTCCTACGTCCGTCCTGCTAGGAGCTTCAGCATTGCCTGGTCAACTGATCGTCCGCGGAGTGCTGCGTCATCCAGAACCGGCTTCGACCTCAGCTCGGCGTGTTTCTGGTGGGGTTCCACACCGCGCACCCCTCGAAGAGCCTACTGGTTTCCAGTCGCTACAGTACTAGCTATAGTCACTATTGATGCCCAAGTTCCAACCGATCAGCGATAGTTATCCCATGCAAGTGGCCCACACGACCGACGTGATATCGCATGATCCACTGTACCGCGTCACCCAAGTACTTATCATCAACTTCAACCAGACTAGACCACCGAAGAACTGCACGAATTAAAAGCAAAAACATTTTATTATAGTCGCTCTACACAGTAAAATATCTTCCAGGCTTCCAGGCCTATCTTCCAGGCCTATCTTCCAGGCCTATCTGTCCGCCGATCATGATCAACGGAACTCTATTCCGCGAGATTGACGGATGAGGTGGGTAGGAAACAGTAGAGAGATGGTAAAGAGACAGCAATGAGACAGTGCAGAGACTGCAAAGAGACTGGAAAGAAATAACAAGAGAACTCTGCTATAGAACAGATAATAAGACGTGACTGAAGAATCGGAAAAACCGTCATCGAAAAGCAGAGCAGCAGCCAGAGCAGAGAATCAAGTAAAAGACAGCACAAATAAGTAGCACGCACTTCACCAACGGACAGGAAAGGGTCCATGGATACCGCCAGCGTGTCTGAACCCAAGGCTAAGTCGCCGCCAAAAATATCGCAGAGAACAATAATCACATTTCGACACACAATACCCCAGGATCCAGCCCGCTTAGCTGCTGTCGTCCGCCTCCTCTAGCACATCCTTGCCCGGAGTGAAGCAGAAGTCGGAAGCGTGTCCCTCTTCGCTCCTCTCACTTCCACTGCCCGAGGGCGTAGCACCGTCGACCGAGCCGTCGGTGAAGTTTCCGCCGAATGATGAGCAAACCGAACTTCCAGCAACGACACGGCTGCTCTCCGAGCTGTCGTCTTGGGAAGGCTCTCCTGCCACAGAATGATTGTCACTCGGGGCGGGGGCGGGGGCAGGGAAGAGGGAGGGAGGTTGGATGGGGGTGGGTCGGTGCCCAGCTGCTGACGGCATGTCTGGGCCGTCGTCGGGGACGAGGGTGGGGAAGGGGGTTGGGGCCAGCGGGGGAGTGAGCCGGAGAATGGGCCGGACAGAGGGGCCGGAGCTCGTGGGGAAAAACCGCGATCTGTTCGGAGCATTCTTTCGTGTAGGGTCATTATCTAGAGCATAGTGGGGGATTAGGAAGGGGGCGAGGTTGGGGAAGGGGCTTGGGGTCAGCGGGGCAGTGGGACGGAAAATGGGCCGGACAGAGGGGTCGAAGCTCGTGGGACCAAACCGCGATCTGTTCGGCGCAGTCGTTCGTGCAGGGTCATTAGCTTGAGCATAGTGGAAGGCTAGGGAGGGGGCGGGGTTGGGGGAGGGCCTTGGGGTCAGCGGGGCCGCGGGGCCGATGCTCGGAGGCAGAGATCGCGGTCTCGTCGGAGCAATCGTTGGTGCAGGCTCATCCCCAGGACGGGGCTTATCCCAACTAAAGGGTTTTGTCCTTGGATGGGGGAACGTCCTGTCGGGGGGAGCCAATATTTGCTCATAAGCTAGAGCACGGTGGGGGAGTTGTCCGGGGGCGGGGTTGGGGGTGGGGCGTGGGGACAGCGGGGTAGGGGGGCGGTAGACATCTCGGCCAGAGATACCGATGGGAGGAGGCAGAAATGGCGCCCACGTCGGAGCAGTTGTCGGTTCTGGGTAGTCGGTCGGACGCAGTGAAATTCGGCCGGAGGGGCCGATCCTCGAAGGCGGGAAGGGCGGCGTCGTCGGAGCAGTCATGGAAGCCTGGTGGCTGATCGGCTCCAGAGCCTTCCGGCCGGAGGGGCCGATTCTCGGAGGCAGGAATAGCTGCCTCGTCCGAGCAGTTATGGTGGCCGGGCGACGCGACGCAAACTTTGAGGGCCGAAGAGCCCAACCCGCGTCGATTCGGTTCAGCTGAACCGACAAGTGGTATCCCCGGCCGAGGCCGAGGTCCCACGTCTGCTGCCGAATGTCGCCAAGTATGTGAAAAGCCAGAGCTTCTTGCACGGGGTCCTTCGGATCCTCCGGCTCCACCGTCTGGGCCGGCTCCTCGCCGTCCTTGCAATCATTGATTGCGATGCCGACCTTGAACAAGACCGGGCTGTACTTCCCCAGCACCGCCGTCGCGGCCTTGGCAACTACCTCCAGGAAGCGCGCCTTCGAATTGCCACGCCAGCCAACGTCTATCCTGGCCGAAACAGGCCTATCACCCGCCCGATCACGCGAGACGATGCAGTTGATAGGGTAGCGGTGGCTATCCGGGAACTGCCCAAGAGCGTCGTCGACAGCCGCAATGACCGGGCCTATGACCGATGCTTCCTCGGTGTCCACGATCTGCAGCGCCAACGGTGTTCCAACGCCCCGGAAATTTGATCGGTCCTGCTGAATTTCTCCTGTCACTCGCACGCTGAACTTCCATTTCTGACCCGTGCTATAGAGGATGCGCCTCAACGCGCGGCGGATCATGCGGTTGCACTCGCCTTGGAGCTGCATGCGGGGGTCAACGGCCTTGCGATTGATGGGAAGCCCTAGTGAAAGCATTAGGTATTGTTAATACGGGTTCAAGCCCAAGGACATGCAGAAGGACGTGCGGGAGGACATATGTGTATTCATTGTTAGAAAATGGGTTGCGGTGGCAGTAGGAACTTGGAAAAAGAGGATTGCGAAACGGTGCGTAAGAGTACTCTGGTAAGTCTTCTGGACGGAGAGATTTCAAGAGCAGGAATGAATTGTATGAGCTGGTCTGTGTGGGCACATCTTCCAGGTTTATACATCTCCGGGCGGAATGAATCGTGGATAATTTTCACTTGGGGAAGCTCTGTTCATAAAAACTTTGTTATGACTAGAGTTTCTCGCTTATATACAGTAAACTCGGCTCGTCCCCTAAGCGTGATTGTCTCGTGTATGTATCATGCAGTTTAGGAGGGAAAGCTAACTATCGCAGCATGAGACGACGTCTCGGCGACACCTAGGACCAGCCGAAGTCTTACATCGTATATACAACGGGAGGAGTAGTCGGACACTTCGACGAACCACGGAAGAGCATACTTAGACAGACTTTTTTTACTCGACTCTTCCCCCCAGTTATGTACCGTATTCACCTTATGTACATACATAAACTATGCATCGTATTATGATACTGACTTAAGTGTTTCCACCCATCGCAACCCTTTCCGCCACCGTCTGCGATTATGCACGACGTGTCAGACTCAGACCGGACCACCACGAAGTGGGCGTCTCGTTGACTAGTTGTGAACCGGTGGACTGACCCGTAAACTGCGAAGGCAAGAACTGATGATCCAATGTGGTGCATGGTAAGCGGGAACTTAATGTGCAAAGGGGGAGGCTTGTTTTTCTTGTCCCTCGCATTCGAGAACACCCATTTACGGTGGTCACGATATACCCTCGAGTGCGCACTCATGATCACGTGTATAGTACTACAACCACCCTATGGAAGTGCGCACCCACGATGACTAGACTGAAATGAAAAGCTTGAACTGCATTACGATCGTCGGAGAATTTACTAGATGATGTGCTAGACGATGTTTCGATTCTGCTAGAAATTCACAAGCTTTACAGACTCTTGTACATACACAAGAAAACACCTCACGATCTACAGCACTACCCCTGTCGACTATTCAACGATAATCTTGACAATAGCCTAGGACTCTCCGTACAAAGGTTCTCCACAGAGTTCCCCTGGAAGATCTTTGGGCCTCGTAGGGACTTTCTGAAATTCTGATATTGCCTAATCATTTTCCGCGGTGGCGATTCTAACGAATGTACTAGAACAGCGCCATATTCAGACTGCAGATATCGGATTTGTTCTCCCCACATACTGGCACGAGTATCAGGACGTAATCACCGGTCTACGCTCGTGCACAGCTATCGACATATACGAGGTAAGTTCCTACCTACTTCAAAGTTCATAAGTCCATGCCGATTCCGTATTCTTTCGGCCCGTAACTTCCAGGCATATCCCGGCTGTTCCCGCAGAAACCATGAACCGAAACCGTATTCTCCAACTCCCAACCCCCAACCCCCGTGAGTCGCGGCCTGGTGTTGGCGTTCCCGGCAGAAACCCCTGAGCTGGTTCCGATATCGCCTCTTGAGGTACCTAATCCTGACACTTCCCTGTGGCACTTTCTCGTTTCAATGTAAGATCTCGGATCGATCGCCTGAGGGGGTGGTGGTGGTGGTGGTAGCGAGGACGCACGTACCAGAGCTTGATTTTACGTGCCATGTACCCTGGTATGAAGAAGCGGAGGGAGGAAGGGTTTCCCTGCATAATGGCAAGTTCTACCACACGCACCGGTCCCTCTATCCTCCACTGCTATCTCGTACATATCCATCCTGTCTCCAAGTGGGTGCATCAGGACCTCTCCCGCCGTAGGCCACGAGCTCTTGCCATACAAGTTGTAACGGTCTGGCTTACCGGAAGCTTCCGTGTCTTTGTGGTCTTGACTATTTGGTATATACTCTGCCTTCGGAAGGTTTTGAGACTATTGAGTGCGGGGAACGTTCCTGTCCGGCATGGGACGTGGCGGGCGGCGAAACGCTGTAATTAGAATCGAGGGACACTTGCTTTTCATAGGCAATTCTGAGTTCACAATGAGTCACGACCGTCGTCTTCATGACTAACCTTCGATATCCACAGTCCACTCCAGTAGAGCATAACCTCTTTGCAGTGAGCGCAACATCGACATCACCAATCCCTCGACCACCCCCTTCCAACCGACAAAGTAAATCTCCCACTCGAAGACACGCTTACCCGTCTGTACTAGTACATACCACATCTGGATATTCCCGCTACGCCGATCCCAAACCCGACGTGACCTTGAGTTACCCCTCCACCGAGGATCACTCGACTATCCACTCGGTGCACTTTGCTGACGATCGGAAAAGTATGATACATATCGTTCTTCCAGTGCTTCTCCGCTTCTACCACCCAAAAGATGCTGGAGTGTATGGTAACGAGGCTCTGGATGTGTAGGTACCGGATCAGAGTCCAGGCCCGGGTCGGCCACCTCCGCCGCACGAGCCGAGACAGCAGGTACTGTTCCTGTTGCCAAGAAAGGCACGGTGATCATTTAGCTCTGCACCTGGGAAGATTAATGTTCTACATGGCAATCGCCGGCCCCACCAAGAAAACAGCATTGAAAGTCTGACAACTCTCAAAAATTCAAAAATGCAACTTCACCACCCAGCGATGACTAGTATACACCCGATCCTTTCCACCACGAGGACCGATCACTACCGGTGGTTGGCCAAACATATTCTAGGGCAGTCTATCTGCTGGTGGAGTCTGGATCGACGGCCCGTATTTCCGATGGTAGTTGAATAGGTAGGTAGCTGAGTTCCCGGTCCGAAAAGTTCTCCGAACTTTTAAATTCATGCTCCAACCGAGTACATGTGGCCACTAGATTTAACTTTAGAGTGAAAATCAGTCGCCACTGAGCACTCGTGAGAGTTTGGTGCACTCGAGCATGATTTCCATACAAAATCTGGCGTTTCTTCCTGTAAAAGAACTTCACACCAACATCAGACCAGAAATCTAAATCTATCGGGAGGTACATACCCCGTACCTTATATACACTGATGTAAGGTAAGTCTCGAGGCCTTTAGACTATGTTTAAAACACTGCCGTTAAACTCTGCTGACGCACGGTACTCCAGTCGACCCGCCGATCCCGATACGAGCCGTGAGATATTCCACCGAGTGATCTTTTATGCCTTGAGCTGGGCCGCTTGCCTGATTTCCGACGCAGAACAAGCGGCCGAAGTACTTGCACTAGATGCTTGTTGTCTGCCATCACTATGAGAGGAGCGATACGTAGGATATAAAGGATCAGATAAGATAGGAGGAGTGGCTAGCCCGATCGGTGGATTCGGATGGTGGTGATAGCCGGACTAGCCGGATCGGGTGGTACCAAACGTTGTAGGCAGCGGAGGGGAGCCACAAGATGGCTCTTCGGGGTTGAAGAGAACCTCAACTTCCCCATCATCCTTCATGTTTGCCGTCACCCCTCCCCCCCCCAGCTACGTCACTCCGAAGTTGAATAGAACCTCAACTTCTCCATCATTCCTTCTTCATTTCACCGTTCCCTTTGCCGGTGGACTCTGCATTTGTTCAATAATGGGTACCTATGAACATCAACAGCAGCTTGACCGTGCACCTGACACCCGCCGCCATCCGCCGTCAAACCAAAACGTCCTGCAGCTGCAGTCTTCATTGTTCAATACGGGACCCGGGATCACCACACCATACGACGACTTCTTACCCGAGAGCGGAACGTCCGTCCGGACACTCAGTACCCGTCGTATCGGCCGACCCAGACCGAACCTGCCACCCCGTCACGGACCCGGGATCGCTCGAGTGGCAGCGCAACCACCGCGCCGTGCTGGCCCCCGTGGCCCGCTCACCGGAGCAGGAGCAGTCGAGCAACGGCCGAGCACGCACCGGCCGCGAGCACCGGTATATATCGGCGGCCGGAAGCGGCTCGCAGCACTCTGTTGATATTGATATGTACGGTAGCCTGTGGGGTGTGAGGTGTGGGGTGGATATCTGCGGGGTAGAGTGACGCTACCTGCGATTGGGGTGCTTGCTTGCGTGCTTGCTTGTGCAAAGAAACGTTTGCTACCGTCGCCCCACGCGGATGCCGCCGTCGAGTCCGTCGAACCACCGAACCGTTGAACCGTCGAGCCTGAGGAACATATGATACACATAGCGTGCGATGTGACAACTCAGAGAAGCACCCATCTCCTAGGTATCTCCCTATCTTTACCGTACCGCGGCACCCCTCCTGTCCCCTCCCCTTCCCTCCCGTCCGCTCGGTGTGTTGTATTCCTCTCAAGCTCCCAATATTTCTGCAGGCTATTCCGGATCGAGGTAGCCAGCAGAAATTCCGAATATTCGAGTGATGGACTGTGAACACCAGCGCAAACAATGGCGATGGTGATGGTGAGCCAGCAGCGAGTAGCTGCGGCGGCGGCGGGTCTAGGCACGGAGCTACTAGTACTCCCGTGGTGGTTGACACTGGCTCGGGATGGAGCTGGCTAGACCCCCCTCCCTCCCCCTCCTCCCTCCTCACCCCCCGATAGGTACTCTATATGGCCATTGATACAGGTTTTCACAGGGCAGATACCTAATCTAGGTGGGCAGATAGTTGGAGTACCTAGGTTTCCTTCTCTTCCCTTCTCGAAAGCTCGGGAAGCACATTGGAGGTTGGGGGTTGGAGGTTGAAGGTTGGAAGTTAGAAGTTGGATCGCACCGTCGAAGCCCGCCGGAAGCCACACGAATGGGTGGGCTTGCAGGTGTCATCGAATAGATATTCCTTCTTCTCCCCTCGCCATGTCCGTACCGGTATGTACGTACACATCGCCCGTCCCCGGCGCCCGTGTACCTGCAGCACCCCGCGCGCAGCAGCAGTACATACGGCAGGCATGCACGCACGCAGCTTGCCAACTCACGATAACTCTAGAAACCATATTTATTTCTTTTTCCTCTTCCGCCGGTACTATGGAGTGTGCATAGCATGTCACTCGCATTTCTACAACAACGAATGAACCGGTCCGACTGGAGGGGAAAAAATATGGCTTTGCGACTGCACCAGCGAGCGAGCGAATGTAGATGAGCATCCATCGCAAAGCACTTGGTCGCGAACCATCCACATGCCCATGCCAATGCGGCAATGCCTGCCAGGTACCCGAGCGAGCCGTCCGTCGACTCTTTTATATGTACTCTATGTAAGGTGTCATCGTGAGTTGTTTTTATTCGCGGTTTCCATCGTATTTTCCCCCTCCACCACAAACGTTACGGACAAACTGACAAACGGGGGGAGTTGGTACCTGCTACTTTTAGAATACCATAGGTGTTGGTTGATCTTTGCGTTCCCCGAGAGCAAACGTGGAAGAATTGACCGTGTCTACGTACAGTACAAACGGGACTTTACTTTCGGTCATCGATACTCTACTCTACTTGCCGTCCACCAACCATCGATTGAGAGGTACCGGCATCGAGGCAAACATTACATAGCATTGGAGATACGTCGCCGTATGTAGAGTACTACTCTAGTACCGTACCTAGGCTGGTTCGTGACGATTCGACACGGTGTTGACCGACGGGGTAATCACGATTCACGTCTCCTTTCCCAGGCCAGGCCAAGGGGCGCAAGGAGCTGCAAAGCCGCAACAACGCCAGGGAAGGAAAGAAAAGGACGTCGAATCTGGATCTTTCTCGGCTACATACACAGGGCCCCAGTGCCCACAGCTGGTAGATCAATCAATCAATCAAGATCGCAGTTGACCGCATGATATCGTCGATGTGTGAGCTAGGCATGTAGAGGTAAGAAAAGTGGAGAGTACCTAACTCTAGAGTACATACAGCTAACCTCCTGACTTGGATCCATGCTAGAGGTACATAGAGCACTTTCAGCTCGCAGCCACGCAACTCTCGGATCACCAGCCTTCCTTCGCCAAAGATCAGGAGAATGAACGAGACGACATGAGGAATGTCAACGCGTGCGGCCCCCGCATGGAAGACTCGCGAGTTCCACGACCACGGCCGAGGCAATTGCCCAACGGCGGCGGATCGCGGTCATGGCGTTGGATGGCCAGCCCCCTCCGGCGGTGACAGCCCGGCGGCCGACAGCCAGGAATGTCGCGCGGCACGATCGATATGGAGCTACCTACCGTATCGTTTCGCGCCGTCCGTCCGTCCGTCCGCCTTGCATTGAGCTCCTCCACAATCACCACCAACCAGCACTCACATGCCAACTACTTGTGATTCGCCACCCGCCAACTCATCAAGCCCCACAGAAATTGAAATAAAGATGCAACATACCTTACTCCTGCTACGGTACTTGACGCTCGTATATAAAACAAAAATAAACAAGAACACGTTTCCTCCTTCCCCGAAGCGGACGCATCGGACGGCGGCGAGGCAGGGGGAACATCTTGGAAGTGGGTTGAGGTTGAGGAGGGAGGGGCATAAGCAAGCACATGCTGCATGAACCCTTCCCTTCCTTCCTTCCTTCGACCGCTCGCTCAGTCCGCTCGGCGCTGAGGCGAGCATGGGAGAGCAAACAACAAACGCACGATCTGCTTTTTCCGAAACAGCTCGATTGACTGCAGTTGCAGTTATCTGGAGGAATATGCAGAGCGAATCAGTCTCCAGGCGGTGCCAGGTGGTGGGTAGAGTACTACCCAGAGTAGTAGCTCTTACGATACATACTCGTTTCCGTTTCATTCGCCGTGCCGTTATTCCACGATTATATATCCGGAAATACATATGTGCTCGCATCCAAGTCCATTCGTTTCTGTGATTTTGGGATTTGCATTTGCATATTTGCATCAATTTTGCATTTGCATCAGGACGGGCAGATACGGCCGGAACGGAAGGAAGGAAGCATTCTGGCTTATGATCGGAGGGTTTCTTTTCCTGCTTCCTGCTGCCAGGCTGCGTGCGGGAGGAGCGACCGGTACTTCATACCATACGAACAGCACCGCGGTCAACCATACGGACAGCACGTATCCCATGGTTGGGGGGTGTTCGTTAGTTGGCTGGCAATTCGGGATTCATACGACAAAAGTGACCGACCCAGCTGAAGTTCGACGCCAGTGTGCAGGCCTATGCGACGTTCGGTCCCAGCGAGCGACTTTTTGTTCTTTCCTTTTTTCCTTTTTCCATTCTTTTTTTCCCTTCTCTTTCCTATTTTCTGTTTTATTTTCATTTTTTATTTCGTTTCCCATCCTTTCACGCGTTTTCTTTGGTTGGGATGGAACGGACAGGCAAGCACTGGCGACGATGGAGATCGAGCTAACTATTCCGCAAGTGTGTCCACCTGCCACAATCGTGTGGGGCCCCCCCCATTTTTCGACTGCAATCTCCCGCGATCCCTGGTGGAAAGCGCAAGTGCATTAGTTGGTTGGTTAGTCCGGGGGCCAAAAAAGCAAAAACAAAAGCCGCTCGCTCACTCGCTCGTTCTTTCGCGATCGATATCTATCGGGCTAGGGAGATCCTGCCGACAGCGCGGGCGCCGCGGTTGCGAGAAGGCTGGGGGAAGGGAGGGAGGGAGGGAAAACGAGACAGCAGCAGCAAGTTGGGCGGCAGCTGACGATGTGCGACAGTGCGAGCTGATGGGGCGAGCTAAATATATGGACAATCTCGTCAATTCGATTCGACTGAGGGCGATTGAGCTACGGGAAGCGACCGTGCTGGGTATCAGGTTGCAGCTGGCGTTTCGGAAGCTGCAGTCCAGCTCGGACGTGAGATTTGCTGGTCTGAGGGGTGGAGAGGAAACGGGGGAGAGAAGGATGGGGGGGGGCTGGGCGGGCGGGAAGGACTCAGGAGTGCGACAGACAGTTCCCAACGGTGGGACAGACCTCCGAGAGAACTGCACTGGGGGATAGTCCGACGCAACCTGGCCTGTGAGATGTGTTTAGCTCCCCAGCCATCCACACCGGACAGGCGAATGGTCGTCATCCACGAGCGGGATTGGTGATCGGACTAACCCCAGACCAGAATGTGGGAGGCTGGACGGTGGTGGAGGGAGGGCCGGAACGGCGAGTAGGCCTAGTGAATCGCTTCCTTCACACACACACACACACACACACACACACACACACACGCACACCCTCGCAGCTATCCAGCTACCCAGCTAATAATTTTCGGCGGCGATGTGGGTGATGTGGACGGAGGTGAGTGGAGAAGTCGCGAGCTGTGAGTGAGAGAACGAGTACGGCGTGGTGGTGCGGCCGTGCGCTTTGTTTACGATTGTTGGTGGGCGGTCCGCAAGAGGGAACTTGTTTTGTTTCGGCCAGCCACCTCCCTCGGTCTGCATTATTGGCCCCCAGAGCCTTGCGCACTCCCCCCAATGCCGGTACTCTGCTCACCCGCATTGCCCGGTTAACCAGACATCAGCATCAATTCCACGCGCCACTCGCAATTGGCCCCGCCCTCCACCCCCCCAGTTCCTCACTTGCCTCCCGTCCCCATTCGTTTCCACCACCCCTCCCCCTCCCCCAATTGGCTCGCCAGTGTCTCCAACCCAATCCCTCCGCCTTCGATCTCACTCACTCACTCGCTCACGCACTCACGCACTCACTCACCCGACCCCCCCCCTCCCAACCCGAAAGTGCTGCCAGATACTACCAACTTTGTCCCCTCCCCCCGTCCCCCACACACGTAACCGGTCGAAAAAAAAGTCCCGCCCAGCCAGCTACTTCCGCTCGCCTACTTCTTGCTCCTTCTTTTCGCCTTTCGTCTCCCGCATCATTCCCATTCTCTCTCCATCATCACTCCCAGAACCCGCTTCAACCATCCACTTACGTGTCTTTACACATCCTTCCCCACTCCCCATAACCTCCTTCAGTTAGTAAGAAGGATTCTCCCGTTCTTGTCATCCTACACTCTGTGTTCGGACGACAAGAATTTTCCGGAGAATCATTCCCGCTGGCAATCTGGACTTCGAAGCCCGAGTCCCGATCCCCCTAAGTGTCTTCCCCTCGTCATACAGTCGCCAGGAAGGCATTACATCCATACACGAGGAGACAATCTCTGAGGTTCACCACAAGCCCGCGTCTTCCTCCTCCTCCTCGCTGTACGAGCAAGAGCAGGAAGGTCACGGAAATCAGAACCATCTCCAAATCACGGAAGAACACGTAACCCATACCACTACCGCCCACCAGGCCGACCTCGGTCACCAGCAGCATCAGCAGCATCAACATCTCCAGCACCAGCAGCACCAGCTCCAGCACCAGCATCTCCAGCACCAGCAGCAGCTTGTCCAGCACCAGCAGGTTCACCAGCACCAGCAGCACCAGCAGCACCAGCAGCACCAGCACCAGCAGCACCAGCATCACTCGCTCAATCCGTTGAAGCACATCCACCGCCCTCACCTCCCCCACCGCCACCCTCAGCAGCACGCGCCTACCTCGCACGTAGACGTCCTGATCACCAAGAAGGTTTACCGGGAAGGAGATTCATCCTCGTCCTCCTCATCCTCGTCGTCCTCCTCGTCCTCCTCCTCGTCCTCCTCATCCTCGTCCTCGGACAAGACCAAATCGCGTAAGCACCACTTAGCGGCCGGCCACCTGCGCCACCAACATCACCGGGGTCCCCACTCAGTGATCTCATCCATAAAGCAGCACCTCCCCCACCTCCCTCACCTCACTCACAACCACAACAACAACAACCACCAGGCCGCTCACTCAACCCATCACTCGCATCACTCATCTTCCTCTTCGGAACTTGATCACTCCCACCGGAACACCGCCGCCGCTCACACTACCGTCTACCAACCCCAGTCCTCTTCGGTATCCACCACCACCATTCAACGTCCCCGTGTCGTTGAACCCATCTACCCTTCCACCTCCGACAAGTCAACCACCTCCTACTCGGACGAGTCCTACTCCGGCAAGTCCTATTCCGACAAGTCCCTTTCCGACAAGTCCTATTCCGACAAGACCTACTCTATCAAGGCCCTTCCCGCCCCCCCTACTTCAGCCACCGTCGTTTCCGAGACCAAGGTCATCAAGGAAACCCACCACACCGTTATCCCTGTCATCAGACCCAAGTCTTCTGTCAAGTCCTTAAAGACAGCCACTCGCTCCGTCGTCTCAGACTCAGACCACTCCCTTTCAGACACTTCTTCAGTTACCACCGACACCATGGGCAAGTACGACAACTACGACTACGACAACCAGGCCAACAGCTACGATGACCGTGCCTCGGTCTCGGATGTCGCCTACAAGACAAAGGAGTACCCTTCCTACAAGCCTGCCGGCCCCATCTCGTCCGTGCACCAGCCCAAGGCCACCACCTTCACCATCCCTTGTCACCACATCCGCATCGGTGACTTGGTGATCCTCCAGCACAGGCCTTGTCAGATCATCCGCATCACCACCTCTGCCCAGACCGGCCAGCATCGTTACCTCGGTGTTGATCTCTTCACCAAGCAGCTTCACGAGGAGCCTTGTGTCGTCTCGCACCCTTCGCCTTCCGTCGTCCTGCACTCGCTTCTCGGCCCCGTCTTCAAGCAGTACCGTCTCATCGACATCCGCGATGACGGTAAGCTCGTTGCCATGACCGAGACCGGCGAGATCAAGCAGGGACTCAAGGTCGTCGACCAGGGCCACCTCTGGGGACGCCTGAAGGAGGCCTTCGGACGTGGTTCCGGATCCGTCCGTGTCCTCGTCGTTGCCGATGCCGGCAAGGAGCTCGCCGTCGACTACAAGGTGGTTCACCTTGCACACAAGTTGTAAGGCGTCTTTGTATTATTGGTCGGAGTAGCCGTGTATTTTTGAAGTTCGATTTTCTTTTTTTCAGTCTTGTTTTATGTGTGCGTATTTTGGCGGTCGGATAGTTTAGGGTGGGGGGGGGCGAGAAGAGATTGATTGGGTTCGAGGTCTGAATTCGTTTTCTTTCTTTCTTTCATCTATCTATTCACCTTCTCTCTCTCTTCCCTTTCGGACAGGACATCAGTTGTCTCTTGGGTGGTGGTCATCATTGGTCTCTGCGTCGGTAGTCGAGGTATTGAACTGGAGTGTTCATTTTCTGGGAATGACATTTTGTATGTTTTTGTTTTGGGATGAGTGTTTTGCGGAATGGATCGATTGATGTGGGGAAGGCAGTGGATTGGGGATTTGGTTTCTTGGGCTCGAACAATTCTTTTCTTCTCGGGTGAGGGTGGAGGCACGGGAGCATTGGGGATTTGCATGATTTTCACGATGGGAAATATAATGGTCTCTTTTTTGTTCCGCTTATTATTTTTATATCTATTTGGTATCCTCGACGCCGACTTCGTGATGGTGACTTGTGTTTGGTGATATTTGGCATTGACTTCCAAGTTCCCAACTGGTGGGCACTTCTCATGGGGAATTCGGTGGGAATTGATTATTGCGGTGGCTGGCTAGCTGGTTGATTGGCTGATGTTTAACCTAGCGAATATAGTGCTATAGATAAAATTACTGCGACTCCTTTTCCTGCCCGCCTGCCTGCCTGCAGACAGAAGATAGATTGCATGTAGAGTATGTATTTTTTTCGCGTCGGTTTCGTGTGAGTGAGTGTGACACACTAGCAGGCTTTGGGTTGTTTGTTTTCTTCTTGCTCGATCAGGGGTGCGGCGAGGGTGCGGTGGGGTGGGCTGGGGGAGGGTGGGCGTGCGTGTGGGTTGTCACGGTGATGGTGGGCAGGGATGCTCCATTGGCGCATTGGCGCTTTCAGCCGGTGGTGGGTGGTGGTTGGGGAGGTCGGGGGCGGGGGGGTTGGGGCGGACTGGGGAGGCGGACGGGGGAGGGTGTGAGGGACGGGGGAGGGAGGTGTGTGGAAGGGTGTGCAATAAATTACACAAGATAGATCTGCAGGAGGGGTTGGGTGAGATACTACTACATGTGGAAAATATGTATGGGAGATGTGTATGGTAGATATTTTGGATATTTTGCACGAGATTTGGATGTGCATGTGCCGTGTTGTTTGCGTGTTTTTTATTTACGATATGCACGGTAGCCACCGGGGCTAGGGGCGGTGGGTCATGGACATCACTCGGGATTTGTTTCGTGAGCGGATTTTTCGATGGTTAAACAAAAAAAAAGGCCCGGACGCGGTCAGAGTTTGCGATGGAGCGCCCGAGGGGGTGGCGCCTGTTTGCGGCGAGGCAGTGTACGAATAGTGTTGCTTTGGTAGCGGAGACCGATGCGATCGGTGGATGATGGCCGCCTCCTTGATGGCGTCGTCGCGGGGGGCGAATTGCACTTGCGAGTCGGGAGTCGCGAGGTCGATGAACGCATCCAGATTCCACCATCTTCACCGCCGGCGTGGAGGTGGCAAATTACTAGTACTACTTAGTAAATAACGGCGAACTTGGAAAGCGCGAGAGACTTGCGGAACGCGTTTGCGGCCTTCCTCCTGGTCTGGTCTGGTCTGGTCACGTATCGCGGCACTCATGCTCGTGGAATTGGCCTTGTCCTTGCCTGCTCTTCCGCGTCTGCTTCCCTGGGATTGCCCTTGCCACTTAGGACTGTATTATAAATGATAGATATCAGTGTTCGCGGGAGTCGGGAAAGTTATGTATTGCTACTATCTATACTACGCATGTGCGGTGCGCGAAGTTGGCTACACCGGCAAGACGGTCACTGGATGAGTACCGGTCCGGCTCCTCGATATCCAGGAGGTGGAGGGAGCACAAGAGGGAGATACAATCCATAAAGCAGTCCATCCGGAGGACGAGTGTGGCCTTGATAGAAATCACTGATGACAGACCAGGTTAGTAGTTGGATATACGAGTGACATTTCATGACTACAACTCACTCGGCGATCTTTGAATCCGCAGATTGTCTGCGTCCAGATGTGAGGGGGAAGGACCGACCAATGATACGCAAGCTGTTTTGATTCAACTTTCGAAGCGTGATACTGGACGATACGCTGGCGATGTGGATTGTAGTCGAGTGATTCGAGTTGACGACTCTTCGGTGGTAATCATGTACCAAAGGGAGTATCACGACGGCGGTGACCGAAACAGTGATGTAACCCCAGACCTAGCATCATCCGCAGTGTACCGTGTTCGTGAACAAAGCGCGTTCGGCTGGGCGGATACCATCTGCTCGAGGAGTTGAGTCGAGGCGAGTGAGGATACGTGAAGATAATCGCACCTCGTGATGTGCACTCGACCTTCACTGGGGACGCAGTCGGTCAGTGGCGTACAGGGTAGTTACATCAGCGCAACGTCCACCGTTTCACGGAAAAATCCAGGAATTGGGAGGACGGGAAGAGTCATTCAGTTACCCGAGACGCACATACGTAGAGTTTTGAGTACCACCTGCTTGCCTGGAAGCGACCGGCGACGGATGTAGATATTGAGTTCTCCAGTCGCGTATAAAGTGACAACTAACTCATGCTACATACCCCGCACTTGCGATCCATCGACACCAGATAGTTTGGAGCTTCAGACATTTCCCCACGACACCGAGAACAGTTATACCGAGATATCAGAACGAAAAGAACTCAATGAAGAATGGGATACGGCAGCGAACGTGCTTGCTGTGCGACTTAACCTTCAACTCGAAGGCGCAACTCCAGGAACACATCAGATGCACGGTGGGGCATAGCAGTACCAAGTGCGAATGTGATGGGTGTTCCGGATATAAGGGCAGTAATGTATATTCTCCCAGGTCTTTGATCTGCCGATATGGCGAATGGGCTCTAACGGTTTTGATAGGAAGAGCTGCGCAAATTCCGATACGACAGACCTCCTCCGGTCCGGACGCATTGCGAGCCATGCTCGACCGCCGTGACTCTCTGCCACGTTGGCATGGTGGCCCACAAGAACGGAAAGCAGCACATCCGCTGCTCGGTGCGCAGCGGATTCTCCTGCGAAGACAGCGTGCAGACGTTTCTCACCAGCCGGGAGCTTGAGGAACACGCTGCCGTGCTTCACGCACCCGAGACCCAGTACCAGTGCCTCGAATGCGAGCAAGATTTCCTCAGTGAATGTGCCTTGAATTCACACATCAAGAATGGGAAAATACACAGGGACAGGTTCGCAGAATTCGTCTGCGAGGATTGCGATTGGGCGTTTCCGAGCCCGCAGCTCTTGCGGACCCACCTGGATACCCAGAAACACAAGCCCGTCCGGTGCATGGGCAGCACGCATTGCCCGCGCCGGTTCGCATTTCCAGCCGGTATGATTTCGCATCTGGAGAGCGGCGCTTGCGTGTCCGGGTTGAATCGGCAGTCCATCGCGAACAAGCTGCAGCAGCACGACACGGAAAATCTCATCGTGATGCCGGGTGTCGTGGGGACGACAGTGGGGCCCGATCTCCTGGAGAGATATGACGCGCGGATGTCGGCCAAAGCAGCAGTGCTGGAGGTGCGGCCGGCGATGGAGCTCACAGAGGCCCGGCTCGCTGCCATCTCCGGTCCAGTGGTGGTCGCAGATGACTCCGACGATGACGAAGGCACGGTGGTCCTGTCGCCCGTCATCTCGGCTGACATTTCGCGCCGGGATAGCGTGGCGTCCTCGATCGCCGTCGGGTCTGGCATCCAAACACCGTGTTCCGGAGACGGCGATAACGCGGCTATTCTGACACCAACCGACTCGGCTACCCTTTCGCGCCGGGATAGCATGACATCCTCGACAACCACCGGGTCCGGCTTCGTGACACCGCATTTCGACGACGACGACGAAGGCACGATTATCCTGGCACCAGCCGATCCGGCTACTCTTTCGCGCCGCCCCGACAGCCTGGTGTTCTCGGATAGCTCTGGATCCGGCATCCTGACACCGACTTCCGACACTGGCTACAGTGAGGTCGAGGTGATGCTGGTCTCCGACCGCATCTGCCCAATCTGTTCCAGACAATTTGCGCTCGCAGAGGGGCTCCGGAATCACCTTAACTCGACAGCCCATGCGCCTCCGATATACCACTGTCCATCCGTCCTGTTCGATGCGGGTCTGCGGGGGACAGTTGCACACAGAAAATTCAAGTCGCTATCGGGGTTGGTCGGTCATCTGGGGGGAGGGAATTGTAACGGTGGCCAGGAGGCGTTGGATAAGGCAATCGCTTACGTGGAGGATCTCTTTGCAAAGATGGGTGCGAGACAGTCAGTTAGCCTGTTATCTAATTAGGTTAGGCTCAAGGAGTTTCGGGTGCTGGGAATGCGAGTGTCTTGAGGCAGCGTCCGTCCTGGGTGTTTTGTTTCCTGAATCTAGTTTGGATATTGTTAAAGGGCTGGATATTGTACCTTACTGCTGCAAAATTGCATTTGATTTTGTGGGACTCAGCGGAAACGACGCCTTGGCGCGTCCGTTTCAACCCGGAGCTGCGGACCTGGAAGAGACCGATGGCCAAGAAGTTCTGATTAGACTGGGACTCGTTGAAACCAGCTCGGCTGGGGGTATGACCGAGGGTGGAGAGAGTTGTTGTCATTCGAATTGAGGGTGTGTGTTGAGAGCGGGTTCTGTCTGAGCTGTGAGCGGGCATGGAAGATGCACGAGCGGGGAAATTTCGCCGACCTGACTGGACCAGATACGGCGGGCCAAACGTTCGAGGTGCTCTTGTTTATTTTGTTGACCATCTCGCTATTCAACTCGCGGGGTACTTGAGGTTCATCACCTGAAGCACACAGGTGGCTCTTTTCTTTCATCGTCGTTTCTCTCTCTAGTCAAAATAAAACCGGTCTTCTATATTTTAAACAAGGTTGTCCGAGGGTCATCTCGTCCCCAGTGCTTCAATGTCCATCATACCGTTCTCAACAAACCTAGAATACGGCTCATCTGTCATGACAGAAATGTCTGCATCCATCATATATAGCCCGACCACTCTAGCAACAGTTATATCATAGGTATCGTCACCTGTGCGGAGATAGCTTGCCGCGCTCCACCCGTACAGCTAGCCTACATACCATTGCAGCGAACGAGCGTGCCGAGAAGACCGGAATTATATTGCCGCCATACCACGGCGACGAGAAGGCACTGTTGACAAATGGGATTTGGCTGCCGCGAGTCGGAGTTTAAGCCTCACGGACTTGATGACAAACTGCGCTAGGTTTACCGCGTAATCATGAGAAATGCTAGATACCCCGCGTTGCCCACGGGCGTGCATCTTACATCAGTATATAACGTAGAGAATCGAGCCAGTACCGACGTAAGTACCAAGCCCCCTATCGTCCCATTGGCCGCCGATTCGATAAGCTTAACTTGACCGCCCATCGTGGATCGCCAGCGCTAGACTCACGGAATGTCGCTTGCACCCGTCCCGCCTCCAGCCCTTCCGCTGGACCTGTCATCGTACGCCGATCAGATCTCACTTTTCTCTGACTGCAACAGCTCCTCCGTTTCGTGCTCCAGTACAGCGGCCGAGGAATCCCTGGATGCGGCCTTACGATATTTGTACGCGGAATCCGGAATCCCTGCTCAACGACACCACCACGCTCATCTGCAAGTAGAGGAATTACATACCATCGAGATTTCCGAGAAACTGTCACTGTTCAACCAACTATTGACGGTCCGTCCGCCCTCACCGCCACTTCCCCACGATGTGCTGGGAGACATCAACACTGTTTTTGCATTTCTGCCCCGCCGGCACGCGCTCACCCAGCTGGATGACATACCGACCGTTCCCGGCAACGAAAAAATCTCAGTCTGGAAGGGCGACATCACAAAGCTGGCCGGAGTCACTGCGATTGTCAATGCGGCTAACTCGCGGCTGTTGGGATGCTTTCGTCCCGATCACCCGTGCATCGATAACGCCATTCATGCCGCTGCAAGCCCAAGGCTGAGGAAGGACTGCGAGACAATCATCAAACTGCAAGGAGGCGAGGAGCCTACTGGCGAGGTCAAGGTTACGCGCGGGTATTTCCTGCCTGCGAGGTTTGTTCTCCACACCGTTGGCCCCATTGTTGCTCGCAAGCGGCCGTCGGAGAACCAGGCGGCAGAGTTGGCAAGATGTTACAGTAGGTGCCTCGAGGCGGTCGAGACACTCCCAGCGGGGAATGAAATGTCAATAGCTTTCTGTTGCATCTCGACCGGAATGTTTGGGTACCCAGCAGACCAGGCCGCCGATATCGCAATCTCGACGGTAACGGACTATCTTCGGAAGAATCCCGCATCAAAAGTGCAGAGGGTCATATTCAACGTCTTCACCGAAGACGACCTGGCGCTGTACACCTCGCGTCTTTCACCATCAGCACCACTTGTCCAGCCGGCTCAGCCACTCCCACCGACAGTTGCAGCCGCGATAGGTATGCTATCATCCGCCGACGCACTCCTGATCACCGCCGGTGCGGGATTATCCGCCAGCTGCGGGCTAGACTACACCTCCCGCTCACTCTTCTCCGAGCACTTCCCTGGGATGACACCTCGGGGTCTGACCTGTTTCTACGACGTATTTGGCTACAATTTCCCCAACGAACTCGAAAAGTGGGGCTACTACTTCGCGCACATGTCCACAGTCATGAACTGGCCCCTGGGCACAGCGGACGCATATTGCCACGTCAAAACGCTAATCTCCCGCTTCACCACGGACTCCTGGTTTGTACGCACGTCCAACGCCGACGGACTATTCTCGCGCCACGGGATCGACCCGGACCACATCTCGACGCCGCAGGGTGACTACCGCTACCTGCAGTGCGCACGCAGGTGCAGCCCCGACGCCGTCTTCGCCTCTGCACAATTCCAGGAACGGGCTCGTCCCCACCTCGACGCTCGTCAGCAGATACTCCGCGACCCGGCAGCAATCCCCAAGTGCTCCTACTGTGGCGGGAACATGTTCCTCTGTGTCCGTGCAGACGAATACTTCAACGACAAGCCTTTCCGTGCGGGAAACCAGCGGTACCGCGAGTTTCTCGCACGCGTGAAGAAGCAGGGGAAGAAGTTGGTCGTACTCGAGATCGGCGCGGGGTGGAATACGCCCGCTGTGTTGAGGTGGCCGGATCAGTCGCTGGTTGAGAATGGGGACGCGCAAGCGCTAGTCAGGATTGGTATTAAAGGTGACGAGGAAGTGCCCTGGGAGCTGATGGATGGCGAAGGTGAGATGACGAGGGCAGTAGGCATTAATGGGGATGCGACTTGGGCGTTGGGTGCGATTGTGCGGGGTTGAAGGAGGTCTAGGGAGGAGGAAGAAACATGATATATAGCACATAGACGTTAGTTTTCATGGTTTCGGGCATACCGAGGATTGTCAATTCCTGTAGATACCAAGCTGTAAACTAGCCGTGACGTGCTGTCGATGGGAGATCATATAATCTATTTACTTGTCTCTTGCATCAAACCATCCGTTATGGTGTAGTGGCTAGCATCGGCCGCTCTCAAGCAGAGCATTAAACCGGCCAGACCGGGGTTCAATTCCCCGTAACGGAATCATTGTTTTCCCCCTCGAAGAGTCCTTTTTCTGGGTGGATAACTGCTCCTTGTGGTTGATGGTGAGAATAAAGAGCGTTCCAATCGTCGTCTATCCTCCTTACCAGTTTACTAGGCTAGTTGGTCCCCACAATTTTTGGCGCGCCGTCAAAGGGACTCAACGTCAGGTAGGTACATCGTTGACTGTGGACTTCAGTGGTCCACTGATAATAACTATGTCCCAAGACCGACTAGACGGCCAGCGGGTGGCCCGAAGACTGACGTCCGAAAAAACAGACGTCGCTAAGCAGAGCAACCGGGCGATTAAAAAGCGAGCTGAGAGAACAAGGCTGCCTTCTTGCAGTAATACAACTACCTAGCGCACAAGCAAAACAAAGGAATAGCGTTTGCTGACAAAATAAAGAACAGAAAAGGAACAGTGCATCCATCGGGAGTCGAACCCGAGCCAATTGCTTGGAAGGCAATTATCCTACCGTTGGACCATGGAAGCGTCTTGTTATGACAATGCCAGCGTAATGGCTCTCTATAATTATGCGCAACGTTCGGGACTGTCTTTTTGGATCAACCACAGCCCCGAGTACTGAATAATGCCGTGCCTAAAACGCATGGAGGAAACCGAGTACCACTGTGGGGTGTGGTGGTGACCAGCGTTTGCTACGTTCCACTTGACCCACTAGAGGAGTTTCGCAGTTCTGAGGGATCTCTGCGAGGCGGGTTGTTAGCGCGCCGAGCCCTCTGGTGAAAAAAAAGGCGTATCGCAAATTCGAGGTGCAGGCTGAGAAAAAGTGGACTACTCTCGAAATTAGCGGTTTAACTAGTGTAGACTCAGTAAAAATTCTCCGCGACAGAGGAGAGCAGAGTACAGCGGCGCCGAGAGGAGAGCCGAGCACCGCAGTATAGACAGGAGTACTCCAACATCATCATGATGCGCATCGCGAAGGTCAGAATCACCGCACTGTCGACATGAACCTCAATAGACTGTGTAGGTCGGTATTTTGTTCGAGTCTCGCAGGTTTACTCAGTCATTCCTGCTCGGTGACTAGAGTCATTCCTGCTCAATGACTAGAGTCATTCCCTCGATGACTAGAGTCATTCCCTCGATGACTAGAGTCATTCCCTCGATGACCAGAGTCATTCCTACTCATTGATTAAAGTCATTTTTACTAATGGACCAGAGTCATTCCTTCAATGACTCTGACTGTGTGGGTTGATTGACTCTTCCAATGCTTTCTGGATGACACTTGTATGTAACAAAGATCGATACAACAACTCTCCTTCTCAACGCTACTCCCCATCTATGTTAGAGCAGTTAGCGCTACTCCCCATTCACCTTAGAGAAGACACTTACTATGCCTAATTGGATCATCCCACTTGACTAGTTGGCCCAAGCGTGTGCGGGTTGAAGAGACAAATCGCGCGGTATCTCTAGCGTGAGGGATCTCGAATTTAACCGGTAGCGCTTTTTTGTCACCTCACTAAGCCTGAAACGATCCCGCAAACCATCCCTCACGACCTGCGAAACTCCTCTACTCTTCGACAGTCAGATCCCTCTCGGCAGCGGTCAAGCCGGCCTCATCCACTTCGGCCCCGGGCCGCTCCCGCGAGAAGAGAAAATATCCAGCCTCCCCCTCTACCCGACCGGATGCGAAGTAGGTACATTCCAAGTTACATACGCCCCGAGAGGGCAAACCAATATTCACTACATACAGTGCATCAGTCAGCTCTATGTGCTGTCGTAATTCCACTGTCCACAAGTGTTCGTGGTCGAGAAACAGGATAGGATGATCATTTTTCTGACGTATCTATGGACCTAAGTAAATCACGACGTCTAAAAAAGTCATATCGACAACGACAAGATTCGAACTTGCGCGGGCGAACCCATATGATATCATCAACTGTGAAGGTATTCGAGTCATACTCCTTAACCACTCGGACACGTTGCCTTGGGTCTACTGCAGTAGCGCCGCCTTTACATGGCGGGACCGTTTTTTCTTTGTATATACCACCTGACAAAAGATTTTCGCCGAGGTGATCCCAAGGGTATGTATCGTCCGCTACATATGTAGGGTAGAGATTACATACTAGTGAGTTGAGAACTCTGGTACATCATACCGTAAGCTTCTTTTGACGCCTGTGGTGTTCGGTATAAATTTGCCTTGTCGTCTAGATCGATTCGTACATGCTGTGAAGAGCACGGGAGCAGCGGTTGCAGATATCAAGTTTCCCAACTTCCTTCTCGAAGGATCGATGGGGTATGTCCTATGTACTCCTCGTACACGCTGAAGCTTGTTTGTAGGTACATAGACTTGATGTTCCTACTTAGTGCTCTTGGTTGCCATCGTCATCGAATCGTACATACCGTCATTTATTCCTTTCCCCCACCTCTCGGTCACACTAAGTTGAGCCGAATCGAGTAGCACTGCTTTCTTCCCGAATTCTTCATCCTAAAAAGTGCATTTAACTTTGTGTATTGTACGATGGGGGCATCGTAATTAGACCCGTACAAGCATATCGAACCAGATAGCAATTCTCGCAGTCGCAATCGAGTGATCGTCAAAGACACACATGATTATAACCTGTAAACCTCTAGTTCGACATCGAGTCATCCGTTATGGTGTAGTGGCTAGCATCGGCCGCTCTCAAGCAGAGTATCAACCCGGCCAGACCGGGGTTCAATTCCCCGTAACGGAATGCTTCTTTTGCTTGTATGCCGATCATGCTGAATAGACGTTACACTCAGCTGCATCGTCAACCAATCTCGTTCTTTTGTTTTGCATGTTGATCGTGCTAGAATGATGTTAACTACACTCTGCTGTATCGTGCAACCAATTGCCGCTAGTGGAAGGACCAACACTCAATCGACGGTGGGAATGAAGAGACAACTGATCGCACGTAGCTGGCAATAACCAGGTAGGTAGCTGGAAGATATTCCCCAGCAACCACGAAACTACGATCACCCACGTTCCGTTCACCTCCTCGGTCCATGGGATGCTATGGGTTCCGAAGTATTGGCATTCTTCCACAATGTCCTGTCGAACGGCAGTGCTCTTCCCCTTCTCGGGATTGTATGGGCTGCGGAGCATTGGTGGCAAGCAGCCAAGAGCAAGCCCAGCAGTCCCGTGGGTTGCCAGCCGGAGTTCTCAACAGGAAGGTTCGTCCGGAGCTGGCGGCAGGGGAAGCGATGAGCTTGTATGGCATTGACGGCCGACCGACCTTTATTATGCTCACACAAAAGACTTCCGAGCCCAGTGCGGGATGTTCGGGGTGTAAAGAGTGCCAGCAGAGCGAGATCGCTCGCGGTCTAGGTGTGGATCGTCGAGTGACCCCGTGTGAAAACACATGGCGACGAAACGAAACGAAACGAAAAGGGCCGTCCTCCCACGCAGCCACCGGCTGGAGAGCCTGACAGTGTGCCTTGACCACACCCCGTAGCAACCCCTATATCAGCTTCGGAACCAACACACCCATTGCACTGCACGTTTGTACATACATACGCTCTCCATCGAACAACGAATGCTTACGTGCCCACCATACGCGGCCCGGCCGGGGCCCGACCGGCAATCACCGCGCCCGGAGCCGGAGCCGGAGCCGGAGCCGGATATACTCTATCTACTGTCTCTCTCTTATCCTATCCCATCCACTAGAGCAACGCGCTCTCCATCCGGCCGTTACTCCGATTTCCATCCAGCCTTGACTAGAGTACTGAGTACCTAGTCCGTGCTGTCTAAGCGGTCGGGGGGGGGGGGGGGGGGGGAATACGTGTCCGTGAGGTGAGGTGAGCTCAGCTCAGCTCAGACCACGCTGCGCCGACGACGACGACGACGACGACGACGACGACGACGATAATATCGCTGCCCAGTGCCCAATGCCAAGTATATACCCACATCGCGGACGGAGACTCCCTGCTCCCGCTCCCGGTGCCGGTGCCGGCGCGCCGGGGTACGTACTCTACGTAGTCTGTTGGTAAGCTGGACGGATGGATGAGCGCGATCGGTGAGCCACCGCCGCCACCACTGCCACAGGCGGGTGAATAGGTGGGATCCTCCCCGCTCTACATAGAACACCCAGCGAATCGGACTACCGCCAAATCCCGCAACTTCAAAGAGGGTTTTCGGCGGTCGAGTGCCGCTACATGACCGTGTTCTGGCCCGCGTGCGGAGGGGACGGTATAGGGGCGCGTGCCTCGACTTTATACCCCTCGTATGTTTTTATATGTAGGTAAGTTTGTATGTACCGACTGTAAATATGTACCGACCGTACAACCGTACGACCATCTTCCCGCTTTCCCGACCCCGGACCCCGGTGAGTCGCGGCCGCGAATAGAAACCGCCATCTCCGAGATCTCGGTACGGTACGGGACCTGCCCACTCCTACCCCTACCGTGCTCCTACCGTGCTCCTGGTAGTTCCCTATAGTACGATAGGTGTGCACGGTACACAACCCGGCAGATGCTCTGCCGAGTATACCGTCCGACTATAGTACACCGTCCGACCACCGGTTCATGCCCCCGGTCCGACGGAAAGGCAGTGGTAGTAGTAGTAGTACACCGGCCTCCTCGGATGTATCGCAGGTAAGTATCGCAGGTAAGTATCGCAGGTACCGGTGCGAAGGTAAGCATACGCACCTTCCCGTCTGTCTGTATGTATGTACATACGGTATTTACTTAGGTACCGACTGCCTCTCCACGCGATCCGCGCGATATGGTATAAACATAGCGATCACCGCAGATCTGCAGCTCGAAATATCGAAATATCGATCACTGCGGGAACTACTGCCCTACTCAGTAGTATAACTACTCCGGTATAACTACTGTGTAACTACTGTAGCTATTGTATGTACTGTACAGTGTAAAATCTAGATGTAAGGATCGGCCGCTCCCCCCCTTGGGCCCTTCACACACGCACACCCCTATCGCCTGCCCTTCGCCCGCCCTTCGTCCACCCGCCCATCCGCCTGCCCGCCCGCTGCCAAAACGTCAACTCGCCGGTATATACCGTAGTAGAGTATGGTAGCTACAGTATACCGCCGCCGGCGGCCCGGGAGATCCACGGTCGCGGGCCGATCCCATATGCCGTAGGGCAGATCCTGGATGCTAAATTTCGCCAAATTTCCGCAGATAGAGTGCGTATATATCTAAATAACTTCCCGCGCTCCTCCCCTTCAATCATCTCCCGCAGTCCGTAACCAAGTCCACTGCCCGTATGTTACTGGTACGGTACTGGTACGGTACTGGTACGGTGCTGGTGCATATGGTATATGGCCGAGCCGAGCCGAGTGATGACTTCTACTCTACTCTACATACTATACTCTAGCTTCCCACGATGCAGTTGACATCGGAAATGCAGGCTGTGCTGGGCTGGGTCTGTAGAGTACGGCGCGGACGGGACTCGGGATTCCACCCACGGGATTCCATCACTTCGGAATCTCACGGCCGATCTCAAAGAAATGCATTCGCCAATTGTGAGACAATGTAAACATTCAAACCCCATATCTGAATTTTCAAAATTATTGGAGGTGGAGGCGAAATAGTATTATGAAATGAAAGAAAATAGAAGGCCAGCTAAGCCGCAGCATGGCATCGCACTCACCCTCTCCGTTCCTGTCCGGGGCTGTCCGGTGCTGTCCCCCGAGAAAGCGAGCTCTTTAATGACATCCTTCGGCCCCTAATGAACCGGACCGCCCTATGCCCGCCCACGGATCCCCGCCCACTGTCCGCCCCATGCCTCCTCCGACTGTCCGCTCACTATCCCCGCCCTGGTCCGCCTATTGTCCCCACCACTATCGCTGCCCCATGCCTCCGCCACTAACACTCCTCGGCCGTCGGTCGTCAGGACCGAGCCCGAACCCGGACTCGGACTTAGACCCGAGCCCAAACCCGAAGTGCGCGAGTTTCATCCCCGCCCCAGCTCTCTATCGTAGAGTGCTTAAAAGCCGAAAGCCGATAGTTGTAAGGTGAAACAACCTCATCGTCCACTTCACTCCACTCAACTCCACCCCACCCCACCCCGCTACTTGTCGCCGCCCTGGGTTGCCGTAGGTTCCTCCATCAGCCCGCCCCACTCCTTCTGCGCCCGCCCTGCCCCCGCCTCACCTCCACCGCACCCGTTGACCCGACCGCGCCAACGTTTCACGCTTCCCTCCCGCCTCGGCCTCGGTCGAAAAAGCCGACGGTCGCAAAAGCCGCCGGACGGACGGAGTGACGGACGGACTGCGAATTTGTTCCCGAGACGGGCGGGAACGGGGTGCCCACAGTTGCAGGGTCGCCCGAGTTCGTGGCTGGCGTGTTCGTGGACCGCTCAGTATTCCGCTATCCCTCCCTCCACCACCCCCAGTCACCGACCCGCCGGCCCCCCGTCTGTCCGTAATATCGCAATCCCAATCCCCACCCTTGGCACCTCACTGCCCACCACCCAAGAAGAAGAACCTTGCCCGCCGGCCATGCACTCGAACTGAACTGAACTGAACTGGACCGAATTGAATGAATGAATGAATGCGCCCGTTTCATTCTCACCACTCCCTCTGACCACTCCCTCTCACGCCTTCTCACCAACCACTCCCTCCCGCCAATCTCTCACACTGACCCGAAACCATATCTGTCTAGATGTAAACCCGCAAACAAACCAGAACAAAAAAGAAGAAAGAAAAGAAGAAAGAAAAGAAGAAGGAAGAAACAGAAAGAAAAAGAAAAAGAAAAAGAAAAAGACAAAGAAAAAGAAAAAGAAAAGGAAAAAGAAAAAGGAAACAACAGAAAATAGACACCGCCCCCCCCCCTCCCCCCCCCCCCCCCCCCAAAAAAAAAACCGAACCCATCCCCGCCATCCCATCCCCGGATTTCCCATCCCCCTATCCCGCACCCCTCCCTCAACCCCGCCCAGATGACCGAAAAGCCTAGTAATGGGTATATGTATGCGTATGTGTAATGTGTATGCGTATGCTGATGCAGTTTTTGTGTGTGTGTGTGTGTGTGTGTGTGTGTGTGTTTGTACCATGTAGCCCCTTCGTAGTGTAGTGTAGTGTAGGTAATGTACTGTACTTGATGATCGCTGTGCACAACAAAGGACAAAAAAAAGTGTGAAGGAAAGAGAACAAAAGAACCCCCGCCTTTCCTCCCCCTCTCCCACACTCTCCAAACCGTATGAAATGGAAAGAAGAAGAGAAAAAGAGAAGAAAAAAAACCGAAAGAAAAAAAAAGATCGGCCCTATTATTGTTACAAGAAAGTCGGGACACATGCGATAGGTACCACTTCCAGCATACGTCTATGAATCGTCGGGATTTGCGAGCTAGAAAAAAATGTCAGCTATTGTTTCGGACGCAGAATGGACAGCGAAGGATTAGTCACCCGTAAAACGCGGCGTGTATAGTCCGTGTCGTCGCGCAAACTCCGAACACTCATCCGAGAACTGCCCGTCTGGTGATCGAATCTCATGAAGAGCGAACTAGGATCCAAACGTTGATCGTACACCGTCCCGGGCGTTGTCTCTCCAGCCGTAGCAGGGGATGCCGTGGTAGCCGCGCCCGTGGGCGAGTGCATTCCCTTTTCTCCCACCAACCCGAGCGTGCTCATCGACCGCGTTCTCGTCTTAGCACCGATTCCACCAAACACTCCTGCTCCTCCCGGCGGAATGCCCCCTGCAGGTGAACCGGGGCCGCCGTACAGCTCGGCGTGTTGCTGTTGTCGCCGGCGTCGCCAGAAGAGTACCCCGCCAACGATGAAGGCGAGCGCAAGGATGATTCCGATAATCAATCCGGCAGCCCGACCAGCGTTCGAGAAGAAGTTGGAGTCTTTGCTCGAAGTGCTGTCGTTGGGGGTTGGGCTCGCGGTTGGCGTCGATACGATGGTGGTGCCGCCGACAGTCACCGTGACACCGGATGCCGATGTTGATGTCGTCTTGCTTGATGTTGTTTTGGTCGTCAGGGTGCTAGCCTGTGTCGTGGAGGTCGTCGCCGTCTTCGTGGTCGTCGCGGATGTCGTCTACACCAACCATGTCAGCAAACCGATGGGGGATGACAGGGCCGATAACCCAAAAGAAGATGCGAGAAAAGAGATCGGAGGCACTCTTCCAACGCATATCAACAGATGCAGGATGGGAGAAGCCGTACGATAAAAAGGGTCGTAATAGGTCCAACTTGAATAATAGTGGAAGTCTTGGGGATCGTGGGGCTCGTAGTCTTGGGGATCGTGGAAGTAGTGCTCACCGTGGTTTCGGCGCCCTTGGTTCCTGAAGGTTTATTCGAAAGGGTCATATATCCGTACAGGTTCGCCTGGGTGTCGCCGCACTTGTCGTCGGGATATCCGGGACAATCCTGACTGCAATCGGACACCGACTCGTCGGTTCCCGGAACGTAGTTCGAGCACCAGCAATACGAGCCTTGGACGATCGCAAAGGCATAGGTGCCCGTGTTGCAGTTGTCGTAGCAGAGACCATGACTCTGGAACTCACTGATCACTGTGCACAGCATCAGTACACCCGTGGCGCAGCAACATCTCCGGAGAGGCACAAACCCGAATCGTAATCGCTACCAGTATTCACACTGGAGCAGTAGGCGATGGTCCGCGCCGTAGCGGGTACGATCAAGTTCGAAAGCGCGAGCACGGCCGACAACAAGACCAACCCAGCACTGAGACCCGATCTCCGCCCCCGTCCCCTTCCCGTTCTCGAACCCGTCGCAGTGCACTCCTCCATCCTCCTCGCCGTCTTTTTTCGTTCATGGTTCTGGCCGTGGCTATGTGAAGTTGATTTCGAGAGGGACGAGGACCGTGTGCGCGGAATGTTGGTTGCCCGTTCCATAGTGAGGGTTGTTCGTCGTCCGGCGTGTAGGGGATCGATTAATGGTGAAGGAGAAAACCCATCGAAGGCGGTGGGAAGGTTGTGGAGCGAGGTCCGGATCGAGGAAGCAAGACGTGCAAGATATGTCTGCCGCTGCTGGTGCATGTAAGTCTCCAGTGGAGGCGGTATTGAATGTTGGCGGCTGAAAGTGAATTGTGAGCGAACGTGCAGGTGAGAGTGAGAGGACTCCATACTATATTGCACGGTAGTGTGCGGGATGGGGTTGTGCGTCTCCACGAAGTGGTGTGGTGTGGTTGACGACAAGCGGTGGATCCACAGTATCGGGAGCGAACCCAGCACACAGCACGACGACGACGGAAAAAGAGACGACGGAAAAAGAGACGACGGAAAAAGAAACGACGGAAAAAAGGAAAACGGAGTAGTAGTTATGTGGGGGGTCTCGGGATATGTACGAGGCAAGACGAATCACTGACTTTCGCAACTCGCACGCAGTAGTCCTGCTCCTGCTCGGCTTGGGCCTCTCTCTGCTTCTGATTCTCCGATTCGATTTCCACCAAGAAGTCTTCTCGGAGGTTGGAGGTTGTAAGGTAAAGACAGCAAAACGTGAATCAGACTTTGTGTGAGTGACTTGGGTGAAGATGTGCGTGTGCTTGTGGGCGTGGGCGTGCAGCGGACAGTAGTCGGAGCACTCGGATAGCAAAGATTATCGGGAAGGAAGGAGCGAACGGTAGCAAAGAAGAAAAAAAATCGACTACGGAATTAATGTTGGATTATGCGGCACACTTTTCGTTCAACGGGCGATGCGCGGCTTCAATTGGCAGTGAACGATGGTGGTGGTGTTAAACGGAGACGACGATGTTGACTGTTGACTGTGCCGGCTCGAAGAATTTGAATTTGACAGCGAGAGAGGAGCCGCCGGACCAGCAAGCAACCTCCACGAACAGACGGACAAACAGACCGACTTGAATTGTCTAAGCGATTGTGGGCGAGTGTTGGGGAGAGGTGGTGATGGTCGGAGTGGCGGCGAGTTTGCGATGAGAGAAGGTGGTAGAGGTGGAAGAGAAAGAGAAAGGGAGGAGGGGGGTCCGGAGATGGTGAGACGGTTGCTGGTGTTGGTGGTGGCGGCGAACGAGTGCAGTGGAATCACAATGCGGACGCACGAATAAACGACAGCGGCGGCGGTACAAAAGCAAGCAAGCAGCAGGCAGGCCCGGAGTCCCAGATACGAAGACACACCGGCCGGGCCTGGAGGCAGGCCCACCCTATCTCTGTCATCGCTTCATGTTGCACACACTCTCACACTCCTGCACAACTCAGGAACGGAGACACTGACAGACAGACAGACACCGGCACACCCAGAAAATTGAAACAGACAGACACGGACAGGTGCCGATACTATAGACACCGATACTATGGACACAGACAGACTCCGACAGACTCCGACAGAAACAACCAGACTCCAACAGACTCCGACAGACAGATACAGACACTCCGACACTCCAGACACCCCCGACACAGCCAGAAAGCCACCCTTCCCCTTCAGACAGGACCATACACACATCGGGACTGACGCACTCGCAGTCACCCCGATACGGCGGACCCAAACACTGCAGCAGCCCTTAGTCTTGGCTCTCTCTCTCCTCTCTCTCTCTGGCAACAATTCTCTGCACCCGCTGCGGCCACCACCGGTCCACCACACACGGACGGGATGATGGATGTCCCATCCATCCATCAGCAAGCAAGCAAGGAGTCTGAAATTGGCAAGACCGCATCCTCCCTCCCTCCCATACACGGCAGGGGTTGGGGGATCTGCAGCGATGACGGCCGAATTGGGGCCAGTGACGCAAGCCCATCACCCACTGGGCACAAACATGCAGGCGATCCTCGAGCAGAGATATGCAGAAGAGGGCTAGACTGAGGAATCCGCGCGCTGCGGGTACTATATTTCCTTAGTGGATGCATAGCCGTATCTTTGCTCTGTGAGCAAAACAAAACAAAACACCACGGCGTGCCGGATCATCATCTCGGGCTAGGAACAAGGGCCGGAGCGGATGGAGGGGCCGAGGCGGAGTTAGGGGCGGGGAGGAGGATGGGGAGGATATAAGCAAGTGGAAGAAGACGGAGGAGGAAGAGGAGGAAGAGGAGGAAGAGGAGGAAGAGGAGGAAGAGGAGGAAGAGGAGGAAGAGGAGGAAGAGGAGGAAGAGGAGGAAGAGGAGGAAGAGGAGGAAGAGGAGGAAGAGGAGGAAGAGGAGGAAGAGGAGGAGAAACACCGCGGTGCAGAGTGCTTGGCCGACAGACAGACGGAAGGGCAGATCACCCCCCAGGTCGGTAAGCCGACAAGTGACAGAGCATGTGCCACTCTGTACTCTAGATAAGTGGACGGAGAACATCGCGGCATTGGCGGAGCAGAGGGAAGGAATCAATCCCGCGACTTCTTTTCCCCCCTCCCCAAGGATGCCCGTGTGTGTGCACATTATTGCACGACGTCGGCTCCCTACGCGCCACGAGTTGGAGCACCTGAAGCAGCTGTCCGACTGTCCGTCGTCTGGCCGCGATGATGTCTGTGGTCACTGGTCACTGGTCAGCGGCCACTGGTGCGTGGTGCTTGTGCGTGCCGTCGCGGACTCGCTCGCAGGCAAGTAACTCCCGGACATAGGAGAGCGAGAGTTATTTTTACCCACCCGATCCGGTCGCCCAGCGATGGTCCCGTCCCAGACTCCCAGACTCCCATGGCAGCATATCCGCCCAGCGCTATCCAGATTCCAACTCAACTCGAAAACCTGAAGAAAGAAAAAAAAAAGGAAAAGCAAAAAAGCAAAAAAGCAAAAAAAGCAAAAGCAAAAAAGCAAAAATCAAAACCACACAAAACACCACCACAAAACACACAAAAAGAAACGAAACGGGAGCAAAAAAACAAACAAAAAGAAAGGAAAAAAAAAGGGTCTCCACCCGAAACGCCCTCCCCCTTGAAAGAAAAAAAAAAGAAGCCGAGAAATGGAACATGGTCAATCCTTACCGCTTCCATCTGGAAGGAAGCACGGAGCGATGAACACCACCACGACTGGCCCTTCCGGACGTTCCGACCCGCATGGAATGATAATCCGAGTACTGTGGAATCGAAAGTACTTTACACCTCCCCCATCCCCACCCCCATCCCCGCCTCACCGTTCTACATATTTGGTCTGCTGCTGTGTCCGGCGTCCTGTTTCCTCGGAAAGTCTCGTCGGTGTACCGGTACTCTACCCTACTCTACTCTGCTCTACTCTATTCTATTCGGTGATTGGTGATTGGAGAGCAGGCGGGCGGGCGACTCGAGCGTGCGGTGGTGGTGGTGGTGGTGGTGGTGGAGGTGGTGGAAACGCCCATCGTCGTATCAACGGATCAGCCACCTCCCCCCTTCCCCCGTTCCCCTCCCCCCCATACCCCCCCCCCCCCCCCCCGCCCCCCATCCCCTTCCCCCTCCCCTGGACGCGCGCGCAGGCCGCAGACTGCAGGTCGCAGCCGCAGCAGCAGCACCCTTTTCCTTCCCTTCCATCCTCCACTTGTTTGGTCGGCATGACGCGACGCCGCACGCGAAACCGGAGTCCGCACGCACGCACGCATGCATGCATATCCGCCCGCTGCTGCTGATGCCGTCGTCGTCGTCGTCTCCTCTCGATATGTATGATATGAGTGAATGAGTGTGGAGTGGAGTGGAGTAGGTGTGTAGAGCGCGCTGCGCCGCGTGTTCCGTCGCTCGACCGGTGGGGAGCCGGTGCGAGAACGGAGATTTTGCGATCTCCATAGAGACAACGCTACTTTAGCGGTATAAACACGGTGGGAGGAGGAGTTGGAACTTGCAAGAGGTGGAGTTGATTGAGCTACCGAGCACCACCATTAGCACCACTAGTGCATGTAGCGACTGATCGCATACGCTCTAGTCGCACTCCAGTCGCACTCCAGTCACAGTCGCAAGCTTGCCGCGCCACGACCTGCACGCCCACCACGCCCACCACCAAGCTACACCAAGCTACGACTGAGCTAGCCACCACCGTCCTAGCCACCACTGTCCTAGCCACCACCGTCCTAGCCACCACCGTCCTAGCTACCGCCGACCACTCCGATCGTGATTCGTGCGTGCCGGCGAAGGAGGACGGCGGATCATGACGCAGAGTCGGGGGGGGGGGGGAGGAGTGAAGAAGGGTTGGTTTATGTACCGTATGTATGCTCGCGCGTAGAGTACAATACACAGCAGCAGCAACAGCAGCAGGAGGTATGATATGTATCCATCGCGACTCCAGAGTTCAGAGTCCAACAGCGACGTCGCACGCACATAGTTATGCATATGCTCAGGTACATACCGTGTCGGCTGGTTGGGCTGCAGGTTTCGGGCTGACTCCTGTTGCCGCCGACCATGCCATGCCGACGCCGGATGGAGTTGGTGCTGGTGGTGCTGGTGGTGCTGGTGGTGGTGCTGGTGGTGGTGGTAGTGGTGGCGACACCCGTGCACGGACGGCGGGGCGGGGGGGGAGGGGGCGAGGCTGGGCTGGGCGGTGGGCGAGAGAGGGACAGAGAGAGAGGGAGGGAGGAATGAGGCGGCCGCTTGCGGTGGTTGCGCTAGAGTGGTATTATCGAGGCTAGCGTGGGTACGGCTAGTGTCCGGTACGACATCCTGGTAGCCATGGGAGAGCACTCGCTCGCCGCTTGGTCGGTGGGTGAGATCATAGTGGCTCACTCAGGAACTCAGGAACTCGGGAACTAGGGAACTCGAACTCGGACTCCGATTACATGTGGCGTAGCAACCTACGTAGAGCTGAAAGTGATCGCCGTGTGTAGTCTGGAGTAGCTAGGCCGTAGGTTTGCGATAATGGAGTGCATTGATCTCTCACTCTCCTTCTCACTCGGACTCGGACTCGGACTTCATGAATGATGAGACCCAGTCGGAGACATTCTCATTCCCGTTCTCGTTCGGGTGGGGCTGTACGTACGACATACAGCTTGCGAGGTTGCGATCACTTTTATAAAACCGGTAAGTTCACACCACGCGTACCTAGCTTTCACCTCCGTTCTCGATGCGAGTGAGGAATCGTGGCTTGAGGCACCTACATCATATTAGATGCGCAGTGTATGCAAGTTTCAAGTAGCATCCGACTGCGACCGCAACCGCTCGGAGGAGGCAAAAGAAACTACATCTATCAGAGTGCAGGATGCAAAAGCGAACCTTCCATAGAGTAGAACAATCTCATCCTATTATGAGTCTATCATGCTTTGTGCGAGCCATTCCTAACTAAGTCTACTTGGAGATGGGGATGGAGGTGGCTGTGATGTGTATAGAACACCGCATCCACCCCGGAGCAGCACGTGTCACGCATCCGTCGTCGCTAGAGCGCTGACTAGAGATACTGATTAGAGAGTTGGGATGAGGTATCGTTGTGTTTACTACCTACTATATACTATCGGTAGTATGATACATAAATCGCCAACGTAGTCACGTATCTGTCTGCCCCACTTCTCCACCTTGCTGGCAGCTAGACATACTAGACAGAATGTTCGCACGAGCTGGAGACGGGCAGCCTTGGATGCCGGATTGTCATATTACCGCCTAAGAACTTGCCAAATTTCGGCAGGATCCACAGTTCTTAGGCGACAATACGACAATTCGGCATCCAAGGCTACCCGTCTCCAGCTCGTGCGAACCTTCCACAATCTCAGACCCGGCATCAATGAAAAGATTTCCGACTACTGCGCTCGTCTCCTTAGGCACCGCAAGCCTCTACAAGGTACTACCGAGCAGATCACAGATCAGCACCTCATCGGTCACATCTTCTCCACGGTTCCGGACATCTTTAGTTCCGTCACCGATTCACTACAACATCTATCCGAGGAGGACGCAAATATTGAGTATGTCATCCAACGCCTTGAAGACTTTGAAAATAATAGAGGTTTGGCGGTTGGAGATCCCCGAGCCGGAGTGGTTTTTTGTATGTAGCTAGGTAGTAGTATCGCTGGGCCGAGCTCATAACCTGTTGAGAATATGAGTGTGATATTATTCAGTTGCTTGATTCATTCACAAAGAAACAGCGGATGACCAGCTAGACATGCCAGGCAGGAGGAGAAGCAAGCATGAGATAAACAGGGTCCTCCACGCGTGCAAATATTACCAATATGACAAATGTGTTGCGATTCTCGTCGGAACGGGCGCCACCGTTGTCACTCGTGCACTGCAGGATATGCGCATATTTGTCATATTGGTAATACGCGCGCGTCGAGTGCGCCTCGGGAATCCTGCTGATTCTCATACTTGCTTCTTCTTCTTCTTCTTCTCCTACTTCTGTCTGGTATGTCTAGGTAGGTAGCTGGTCGTCCGCTGTGTTTCTGCGAATGAATCGAGCAACTGAATAATATCACACTCATATCTTCACCAAAATGTGCAATATCTGAACGAGTGACGACGATGGCTTTCTGACGAACCTTTCTGTTGAGAACTCTTGCCAACCCACGGGACAGTTGGGCTTGCTCTTGGTCGCCTGCCACCAACGCCCCGCAGCCCATACAATCCTGAGAATGGGCCGTTTGGGGAGGAGAGCACTGCCGTTCAACAAACACTACGGAAGGATGCCAAATACATGGTCGGGACCCATAGCATCCCACGGACCGGGGTGGTGAACGGAGCGTGGATGACCAGTCTAGTGTTTGCTGGGGAATATCTTCCAGCTATGTACCTGGTTATTTCCAGCCACTTGCGAACAGTTGTCTCTTCGTTCCCACCGTCGATTGAGTGTTGATCCTTCCACGAGCGGCGATTAATTGCACGATGTACTCTAGCGGAGTGTAACATCCATCTGGGCAGTAGCACGATCAATGTGCAAAACAAAAGAACGAGATTGGTTGGGCGAGGCAGGAGAGTGTAACATCCATCTAGCACGATAAACATGCATAAAAAAAAATAATGATTCCGTTACGGGGAATTGAACCCCGGTCTGGCCGGTTTGATGCTCTACATGAGAGCGGCCGATGCTAGCCACTACACCATAACGGATATCCATGCTGAGATTCACTCCAAGTACAAGGCATTGCAATATAATCATCATCATAAATTTCCTTACAAAAGAGAATCCCATCCACCCTATCAATCATTGAAAAGCGCGCCCAGATCCCACCCATTCCACACCGCCGCCAGAACTTTCACACGCTCTTGCAAGTGCTCCACCCCACCCCACAGATCACTCACACTCCCACTCACAATCCCACTCCCACTGACAAGCAATGTCAAGTAATACGCCCCGCAGCCCAGCAGCAAAACTCCCGCACCCCACCAGCCACTCCTCCTCCTCAACTCCTTCGTCCTTCTCCTCCTGTTGGCGGCGGAAGTCTGCATTACCTCTTGGACCGGGGACTCGTCCCGTCACGTGCTTGTGGGCGACGGTAGGGGGCCATCGAACTGGACTCTCATGGCTGTGTGCACACGTCGGCGATCAGCCACCACTCACACTTTCACACACCACACAAAACATGGGAAGGGGACGGTACTAGTAGGATAAGCCCCGAAATCGCTCCAGTCGGGCGTGAGATACAGCTTTATCCCGCCGGTCTTAGGAATGAACTTCAGCACGCCCTCGTCGCCAGGCGTGCGGCGGAAGTTCTTGAGCTTGCCCAGGACCTTGAGGAGGCACATGTCCTGGATCATGTTCACGGTGCGGCCCAGGCACTGGTGCGGGCCGTCGCCCCACTGGATGTAGCTGTCGAGGGGACGGTTGAGTTTGACGGTCATGCTGCTGGGTGTTAGTGGTGGGGTTGCGAAGCGGGGGGAGGGGCTTACGGATCGGGGAAAACGGCGGGATCGCAGCCGGCGGCTACGAAGCTGCAGAAGACCTCGTCGCCGGGATTGACGTTGTGCGTGCGGGTGCCGTCGGTCACGGTCGTCTTGCCGACGACGTTGCGGAACAGCCCCGTGGTGTTGGTGAGACGGTTGGCTTCGAGCGCGTACCGCATCAGCTTGTCTTCGGACTGGGCATCGCCCTTCGCCGCGAGCTTTTGGATCTCGATTAGGTGCTCGGCGTTTTTGTCGTCGAGGTAGAAGTCGACGATTTGAGCGAACTGGTGGTATGGGGCGGTTAGCCACCGACTGGATGGATGGACGCAGGGGAGCAAGGGCTTACAGCCTGAGCGGAATTGGCCACAAAGGCCAAGGAGAGACAGATCAAGATCCAGGTCACCTCCTTCGGCGAATTCCCCTGCTTGAACAACGACTTGACAAACGTCTTACCGTACTCCGCTAGGGAGCTCTTGGCCGGGTGGAGGGCCGCCTCGAGGGTGTTCTTGACGCCGTGGATTAGTCCCAATCCCGGGACGTTGTGCAGCTGCTCGATGGTAGGCAACATCTTCTTCGCGAGTGCGTCGATTCCGGCTTTGGCGCGGCGCCGGCGAGCCCACGTCTTGGTCGGATCGTGATCGAAGAAGATGTAGATATTGGCGTCGGACATAGTCTTGAATAGCTCGCGCTCGTTGAAGCAGCCGTGCGGGTTGTCGTCGGACTTGAGCGGGAGGCAGAAGAGCGATGACGCAAAGTACATCGCTGTCAAATTTCCGATACTATTCGGCAAATCAGCATCAATGACATCGCTATAGAGAAGGATGGGGTGCATACTCGCGCACGACGTCGACCTGGTAATACTCAGGGTCCCGTCCTAGCGTGTAGCTCTCGCGATTGAGCAACTTGATGATCAGATTCTCGGTGTGCGACTTGAACTTGGTCTGGTAATCCGGGAGAGAAAACAGAGCCTTCGCCACGTCACGGTGCTGCTGCACACTCTTCTCGCCATCGTACCCCAGCATGAAGCTGCCCTCCATCAGGTAGCCCATCGCCGTACCCCACGGCACTTGGAAGTTGATGGAATCCTTCAGCACCGCTTTGACGGCGGCGTGAGAGAGCATTGGGATAGGATTCTTGTGCAGCGTTGGCGGATCAAAGCAATACTTGTCCATCTCCTTGTACTTGGTGAAGATGATCTTGTTCTCCGCTGGCGTGAAGAACGGCTGCACCACATACACCGAGTTGTACTTGAACCACTTGGGGAAGGCGTTCAGGATCAGCATCGACATCTTCGCACCGCTCATGCACTCAAAGTCCGGTGCCACTTCGGATATGCCCCAGCTGGTCAAGTTCTGCGCGGTGTAGTCCTGTACAAGGTCAGTGATGGACTGTGATCGCAGTTGTAAGAGGTACATACCAGTGTATAAAAACGGTCGCCACGAACGAGCGAGACGGCGTCGCTGAAGACAGCCCGAGTGACCGTGTAGGGGCCACCTGTGGGGTCATGGTTAATCTCCAGAGACTCTCAAAACGCCCCAGACAGGGTACCAACATAGTCCCATCCCCGGATCCATTCGAGGTTTGCATTCCTCGAGGAACATTCCGGGGTACATCTCCACCAGGTCAGGATGATCGTAGAGTTTCCTCCTACACCTCCGTCAGAATCATCTATGAGTATTCCACTTGCGAAAAAGACTCACAGTGTATCAGCAACATAAGGATCCGGGTTGATGTCCTCAAAAGTCTTGTGCTCCTTCAAGCCAAAGAACTTCCTGAACTCGTTCAACGAAGCAACCTGCCACTTTCTGGCTTGCTTGATTCCGAGAATCTCCACGTGCCTCAAGATGTCGGGTACGTTATTTGCACCGAACGCACCCGCCGGATCCTCTACGGCCGTGTCAGCCCACCCTCAGCCAAATATTGATGGGCGTATGTACTAACCAATGCTCTCCTTCAGAATCTTGACTAGGTCCGCATCATTGAACGAGCCATCCTCCTGCCTCTTGAGCCCTCCAAAACACCGCTCGTGGACAGGCGTATCCGAAGTGGACTTTTCGAATATCGCTAGGCCCTCTAGCAGCTGCGGGAGCGAGACGTGCTTGGGATCCGTGACGGGGAACAGCTGGCGGTAGAACTCTTCGGTCCATTTCTCATCTCGCTTCGAGACGCCGGAGTGGAAGCGGTACAGCAGGTTGAACTCTACCGAGACTTGGCTGCCGATGCCGCGAGGAGTGCCATCCTTGTCGAAGACCGAGGGGCCAACCTCCATGCGCGGGTCGAGCGTCCAGTCGCTCGATGAGTGCGGAAGATTGCCGATAGCCCGGATGTAGCTGCAGTGGGTTAGGGCGTGATCATGATTCGATCAACTGGGATACTCACTCGTGAAGACTGATGCTGATGTAGAGTCCGCAAGTCACAAGGCGACCGGTCTGGAACAAGTCTTCATCCCTATTTGCTGCCGCTGCCTCGGGGGACATTCGGCGGTCAAGGGAGAATCGACCACCTTCGTTGATGGCCGCCAGTTTCTCCACCACCTGCAAAGCCCGTCAGATATCGATCCCCCATGAAACGTTTTCTACGAGTGAACCCACATGATTGTGGAACCGACTGTACATAACCAGCATCACACAGTTTCCCGGAGGAAGGCCGAGAAGTCTCTTCTCCGCGAACGTGTCCGGCTTGATCCGGCCATCACTCATCGTCCTGATCGCCAACTGCTCTTCACGGTTCTTGCCGTAGAGTGGCGATAGGTCCAGATATGAACTGGTGTCACTGATGTTTGGATCCTGTCTGTTGGTTCGGAAGATGTCGTGGATGATGATACTGGCGTGGTAGAACAGCATGCTGGAGAGGCCGGCCGGGTTCTCTTTGGTGTTATTACCGCGCGCCATCAGGACTTCTGCGTTTCAGCGAAGGCCAAACTAAACTGGAGGGATACTGACGATCAAATAGAAGCCCGGGATCTGGCTTCGCGCCAGTCATCATCTTCTCTCCACGGATAGTGCGTGCGTACGGAGCTCCGGCCATGCCGAGATCGGGAGACATTATGTTCTGAGTAATATCACTCAGCTATCAGTTGCATTACAATCCGGTGGTAGAGAACTTACATTGTACCTCCCATCGGGATCACGGTATTGGAATTTCTCGCCCACGTAAGTCAATGGCGGATGCTGGAGCGAGTCGAACAGCTGTCCGACCAACCCCCCAGTGATGAGGGTTCGATTCTCCGATGACCGGGGCATGTGTGAAACCAGTCCGATGAGTTTCTCCATCTGCACTAGGTATCAGCACCTAGAATCTACACCAATGATCCGGAGGCAATTCTACTGACCATAAGCTCCCTATCATCAATCGGCTCCTTCTTGATGGCGGCCGCCAAAGCTTCAATGATGACCAGCGCATCCTTGGGAATATCCTTCCCCATCCCGGCGAAGTCGGCGAGGATCCCGGACTTGACCGCCTCTTTCGTCGCAAGAGAGTCGTCGCCGTACTGCGAGAGGCTGGGGCCGCCCTTGCCGAGAAGGTTTGCGATAGGATTCTTAGCTAAGGGACTCATGATCGTGATGGAACGTATGGGGCTGGAAGGAAGGAAGAGAGGTAAAGAGGAAAGGTAGAGAGGCTGGCCGTCGTTCCTGGGGAAGACTGAGGTTTATATGCTGTCCGTGAGCTTTTTCCATGATCTCCTGTACGAGAAATCTTTGGCTGAAGGAGCACAGAAGTCAAGGGGCGATGTTGAGAGGCTATTTTCCGGCAGTTTCGTACTCTGTCTCGGTATCTTCTGTAACCTGTCGGCGAAACTTCTCATTGAAGTTCTGTATGGACTGCAATGGGAGGTTCTAGGCCAGCGTGCAGTGCAACTGGCCATATCCATCTGCTGAAGACGTCCTATTACTGCGTCTGGTAGGATCCGTTTCCAAGACATGTCTCCCGAGTAGCCACCGGTCTCGCAACCTATCACGAAAACCCCGCCATTCATTGTTATGGTTCTCCTCGATTTCAAAGTTACTATCATTGTACTATGCTGACCTCCATTCTCAAGACAACCCCCAAGACGAATCGAATATATGCCACCCAGGATTTGCGGTCCATCGATCTCTACAACCGTCCCAATCGAGTCTGTCCTCCGTCCATTTCCTCCGCAAATTCAGGGATTTAAGCGTTTTTCTCGGTTGATCGAATCCCATGATTCTCCGCATCCTCTAATTCAAACCCTCTCAGCTCTTACGCTCCGTAATGTCTTCCGAGTCCGCTGTTTGCTAAAGCACAGGATATAGTCCATTAGTACAACGGCAGGCTGTGTTGGCCAAGATCGATTCAGCTCGCACACGGAATCCGTGATCTGTCGTTGCTCGGAGCTGGAAAGTGTAAATATGGAATTGCCGACACCACTTGATTTCGCAGTCGAAATACCTCGGCTCTCTCATCGAGGAGCTCCGCGGTTGCCATCGTCATTCATTCAACTGTTGCGAATGACAATTAATGCGTGCACCCGCATCATAGCCCGCACATAATCGTCTGTGTCTTCTGAATGTCCGGAAGTCCGCAGGATTTCGAGGGAAGGGGGGGGGATAAGCTCTGATTGGGAAGGGAGATGAGTTGCTGCGGGATGCCGATGATGGCGGTCATCCGTCAAGCCGGCTGGGCGGAGAAACTCTGCTGAGAATCGAGGTTACGCATGGCCAGGGCCGGTGGAGGACCGTTACATCTTACGCGGCCGGTGGATGGAAGCGGAGACTGGAGTAGACATGTGCTTTGGTGTTATCCGTATGCTGTGCTTGTGTAGCTGTTGTGCGAAGGATTAGTTCTGCAATCGATTATCGTGACCTTGCAGTTACCTGTACTAATCAGCAGAAAATGACCTACCAGAGTAAACCCACAGGCTGGAGTAGGACTGACGGGCCGCGGAGATCTCCTCTCTTTCGGATATTCGTAGCCAGTGTCACCGTCACTGTTGCATTGTCCCCAAAGATCCAGCTCCGCCGAACTAGGCAGTCCACGCAGCGGGCCAGAGTCGGACGAACTTCTCGAGACAACAGCGCTGAGCCAACACTCAATGCGCTCTACCCACCATCACCATCGGTCCCACGCCCGTCATACACTGTACACGTCCTTTCCGATAACTACATCTACTTTATGGCTTCGTTCTCGTCCTTCTCCTTGACGGATATCTCCTTCCTGGCCCCGACTCCCCTCGGGCTGTTTTCCGCTTCTCAAATTCCCCCTCCATTGTCCCCATACGAGTGAACTACGTAGTCCCGCTCTCCAGCATCCATCTGCCCCAGCAGCATCATGTCCACCTCCGACCCCGCCTACCCCGAGCCCGGCAAGAACGACAAGAATGGCAAAAAGAAGAAAGACAAAGACAAGGCACCCAACCGTCTAGTGCTCTGCTTCGACGGGACGGGCAACAAGTTCTCCGGCACCAGTAGCGACACGAACATCGTGAAGCTGTACCAAATGTGTGATCGCACCGCAAAGGGGCAGTTTCATTATTACCAGCGTGCGCTTCTCCCCCTCCCCTCCCGCTCGCGGTTGATGTGGGAATGGTGAGGCTAACGTGGGATGCGTCCAGCGGGCATTGGGACCTACTCGGCTAGTGAGGGCTCGCTCAATCAGGGGTTTTTGGGAAGTATCATGAGATGGGTTAGCCAGGTGGTTGACCAGGGCGTTGGGTATGATACATACGTGCCATCGACTCCGTGAAGGGATGTTTTCGTGATTTCTGGCTAACGAATGATAGAACGACATTCGATCACCATGTCATTGCCGGCTACAAGTTCGTGATGCGATACTACAAGCCGGGAGGTTGTTCCCTCATGCACCACCATTGGTAGCTCCTCAGATCTAATCTCGCGTCCAGACAAGATCTACATCTTCGGCTTCTCCCGAGGCGCCTTTACCGCGCGCTTCCTGGCGCGGTTGATAACCGAGATCGGCCTGCTGAGCAAGGGTAACGAGGAGATGGTCCCGTTTGCGTACCGCACGTACCAGGACTACGAGACTGGCGGCGGAAACTTCAAGTCCCTGGACGACTGCAGGCGATTCATGAATAACTTCAAGGATACCTTCTGTCGGTTGAACGTGGAGATTCACTTCTTGGGGCTGTTTGACACGGTCAATTCTGTCGGGTGGGTTGCAATACTTTCGGGTGGCTTACGGTCGAACTGATGATGATGTTGCGTAGGTTTTTGGAACTGCCGTTCAGCCGGAAGACGTATCTTCCCGTCTATGCGCCGCCGGCTACACACATCCGCCACGCAGTCAGCATCGACGAACGACGTCTCAAGTTCCGGCCCGCTTTGTTCTGTCACGACGACGAACTGACTATCGCGGAGAGCACCAAGCCCCAAGACATCAAGGTCACCCACCCACCTCTCTTTTTTTGTGTACATATACTCACTCGTCGCAGGAAGTCTGGTTCTGTGGCAACCACGGCAACGTCGGCGGTGGTTGGGAGGCACAGCACGAGAAAGACGTGCAGCTGAGTGATATCGCACTAGAGTGGATGGTCCACGAGATCCAGAGCCTTCCGGATCCGCCAGAGGAAAAGATCATGTTCAACTCCCGCGTCGACGAGTTCCTGGAGAATGTCGAGGACAAAAGAGAGATTGCTATTAGAGAGAGTATGTGTCACGATGCGTTGTCGTTCAGGAAGGGGTGGAACTGGTTGCAGGTTGTTTTTTGGTGGATCTTTGGTATGTTTCCCTCGTATTCTCCTACCCTATAGTATCATAGGACTGATGGAGCTAGAAACACTCCCGGTCTTCAAGCGCCTCGAACTCGAGGGCGGAGAATGGGTGTCGAGGTACTGGCTTCCGAACCTTGGCTCGACGAGGGACCTCCCATCCACGGCGACGCTTCACCCCAGCGTCCTTCATCGCGTCAAAACCAATGCCACCTACAACCCGAAGAATCTGGGCTTCGCGGAGGCACTCAATCAGGCGTCGGTGGAGAATGGTGGCTCGTGAGGGAGAGGAGAAGGATTCAAGAGGAGATGGTCTGTCTGGGAGTTTGTCGGATGTGGTTGTTATTTATGCCTTCCATCTACCTAATTTTGCTTGTGTTTCTGCGATATCAATCCGTACTTTTACCCATGCTACTGTATGAGTCTGACCGCAACTTTTATTCCAATTCGATACTCTAATGTCTCTGGTTGGAGTCCCGCATTTCCCTTCGTTTTCCTTGACCGTGGGAGTAACCTTGGATTTCTGTGTACCCTTCTGCTCGCCCTTCTGCTCGCCCTTCCCGCGCCCTTCCCGCCCCCATCTCGGCACCCCTTTGTACTCTCACTGCCACCACCGATAACAGAATCGGATGGGGGTGGCTGACGTTATGGCTAACCGAGTGTGCAATGTGCATCAGGAGGTATGCAAGTAAGTATTACCTAACCACGTCCTCACTCAAATAGAAAGGACGTCGCGTACAAGAATGTGGCAGGTATGGAATGCCCAGGTGGAATGGCCAGGTGCTGGTAAAGTGGATGTTTTCTTTTCCGGTGAATTCCTTTTTCTTTTCCTTTCAGGGAGGACTTTAGAGTTTGGCCGAGGAGCGGCTTCGGGGTGCAGGGAAGAACCCGTCCTGGCGAGAGCTGTAGTTAGCCTTGGAAGTTGGTTCATAATACAGCACCGGCACCCTCACCAGCACAGCCAACGGTACATAGATTCACGACCGCTCGGCCGAGCGAGAAACGTCCACGTCCACGGCTGCATTCTCGACAGCAGAGCGAAACTGAGAAAGTTGTAACAATTCCTAGCAATCCCTATTCTAGAGTACCTTCTTGGTATCATACGCCACCGAAAATAAATCAGGCCGGGTTCTCCATGCCGCTCGTCGGGCTCGGCCGGCCTGCCCCGTCCCATCCATCTTGGTTGGCTCCTACATGCATATTCCTATTCACCTCCCGAGTCCTTATCCGTCTGGCCAGTGGCCGCGTGTCTCCCCGCGCACGGCCGCTCACTGAGTGCGTGCGTGCCATTAGCAGCTGAGATGGGGATGTGGGGGTTAGACGGGATGGGGATGAGCACTAGATGGCGAGAGATTGAGCTGTCACTACACCTGCATTTTACTACAGGTAGGAGATACATGATGCCCGTGACCGCGAGGAGCCGTGGATATATATCTCTTATGCAGAGTATAGAGTACTCTACCTACCTACTAGTAGGTACTCTAGTAGACAGGTGAGACCCCAAGAATCTGTGCCAGATCCAGATCCAGCAAGCTCCCAACCACTGTGTTAAAAGTCTTACGCCTTCAGCCTTCAGCTGCCAGCTCGCAGCTCGGATGGCAAAAGCCTCCGCTACTACTGGAGGCGCTTACGATAGGTAGGCAGAGGGCACGACAGTAATTCTGCTTGGTAACACGTGCAAATTAGGCACCTCCTCTACCCCAACCGAGTGACGGGCATGATCTGCAGGTTCGAGCCGTGTCCTCTACATAGAGTAAATATTATGCCAGGTGTCGAAGCCTAGAGGCCGACCGCAGAAGCTACATAGAACCCCCTTCACAAGCCCACGATTGGCAGTGTGCATCCAAGAATTCACAACCGACACGGCCCGGCCGGAAGCGAGACCTACATACCTCATTTGCAGCGACGGCAGCCTCAGGAAGAGCAGCGTGAGGTGACTACCTATTCCAGTCTCCACACGAATGCCTACATGGTGACACGGACTTGCCTACAAGCCCTTATCGATATCCATAATCCATTGGTGGGTTTTCGCGAGGAAAACTCAGCTGGAGGTTTTTTGGTCGCTCTCGGCACGGGGGCTGGCGCCGTGGCGGCGCCACATATCTTGACTTGACTCTTGCCCATGGCCGGGATGAAAGGCGGCCTGCCGGCCGGCTCGCTGGTAAAAAAAACCACTTTACCTACGTGCCACCGTCGGATGCCAGCTCCGGTGTGTTGCCACTCCAACACCGGCCTCTGCCGCCCGGGGACGTGGAGAGGAGCACAGGCTGGTTACCACCGTGCCTTCCGAAGCTCAAGGTCTTCAGCAGATGATATGTAAAATCATCAGAACTCAGCTGAAAGCTATCCCCGGCGATGAGTACCCTGCATAACTGTAGGGATTGTCGTTCTCCGCATGTGCCCTCGCTAAAGTTCCAGCTGAAGCAGGGTGGACTCTGCCGTACTAATCAACTAGCAGTTACTCTGCAGTAAGATCTAACCTCAATGGAACCGAGAAGCGAGTGTTGACTCTTGAACATCAATACCGTATCTACCGTGTGTAGATTGTAATTTGTATCTGCGGCTGAGTCCCGACGGCAGCGAAATCCTAGATATTTTCACTGCCACGTTCTGTCTTCTAGTCTTCTACATACATAGAGCCCAGAGTATGATACTCGTACATCATCGCTACTACAGTGTACAATACTAGTAAACCCATAAAGGAGTCGGCACACTGGAGACGGATTGACGGGCACTCGGATATGGCTGCTCGGTAGTAGGAAGAACCAGGGTGTACTGAGGCAGTGGGGCAAACCCTTTCTTGGGGATGCAGATGGAAACTGTGGAGATTAGAACCAGCACCCTCACGTGTTCGTTTCCAACTCGAATGGTAGGTAGTCTACATGATGGGTGTTTCCCCAAAGACAGAATCCCGGGCTGAGGATTCCCGGTTAGCATGGCCACTTCCGAGCACGAGGTCTTTCTGCTGATACATATGGCCATCCACACGTGTGTCCCTGGACATCTGCTATATCCATCCACACGTGTGTCCCTGGACATCTGCCATATCCATCCTTCCGTTTGGCAAGTATGTACGACGCAGGGGTCATCACTCACAGGGCTTGACAGGATCAACTCCTATCTCACCGCCTGGAGTCCGTCGCCCCTCAGGGCTGCAGATTTGACGGGAGATCGTCAGTCCAGTCGTACGAGCTAACCGCCTTCCTGGAGCAGCCCTGTGAGTGGATACTTTTGAGGGCAAGAGACCATGGAGGCGGAAGCCGTACCGAGACGACATTACTGAAGTCGGCGGTCTGCATACTTGGCCGATTGACCAATGCAGCGGGCCAGAATTGGACAGACTCAGGGAGACACCTGAGCTGAGCCATCTCTCAATTCCTCCTATCCACCATCACCACCACTGCCACACCGGTATCCACCGTATTGCATCGCATATACACGTTCCTTTTGCTCATTGACAGCTATATATAATCATGCCTTCGTCCTCAGTGCTCACCCTTCTGCCTGATCGATATCTCCATCCTGCCCTCCTCTCCTCAGGCTACCGCCATCCATTCCGAAAATTCTCTCCCGGTACATCATCTCCCGTTCGGTTGGACGATACCTTCTTTCTCCAGCATCGATCTACCCCCGAAGCGCCATGTCCCCCTCTACCCCCACGCCCTGCACGAACGGCACCGGGGCCGGAATGCTGAGGGAACCAAAGCCCCCCCGCCGCATTGTCCTCTGCTTCGACGGGACGGGCAACAAGTTCAGCGGTGACAGCAGCGACACCAACATCGTCGATCTGTACCAGATGTTTGACCGCTCCGAGAAGAGCCAGTATCACTACTACCAGCGTGCGTCTCTCTCCCTCTCTACCGGTCGGGATGGAAATGGGCCGGACTGATGTGTGTGTGTGATTCTAGCGGGCATCGGAACCTATTCCGCCGGCGAGGGCTCGCTCAACGTGAGGCTTTTCGGGAGCATCAAGAGATGGGTTAGCCAGAAGGTCGACCAGGGCGTTGGGTACGTACCATCGACACGATGGGTTTCCTATATTCTAGCTGACGAATGACTCTAGAACGACGTTCGATCACCACGTCATCGCCGGCTACAAGTTCGTGATGCAGTACTACAAGCCGGGAGGTTCGTTCCCTCCGTCCCCGGATGACATACGGAGAACTAATCTCGCATCCAGCCAAAATCTACATCTTCGGCTTCTCGCGGGGCGCTTTCACCGCACGCTTCCTGGCGCGGATGATCACCGCGATCGGCCTGCTGAGCAAGGGCAACCAGGAGATGGTCTCGTTTGCGTACCGCACGTACCAGGACTACGAGACCGGCAATAAGACCTCGCCCGAAAGCCTGGAATACATGAACAGTTTCAACAGAACCTTCTGTCAGCCACTGGTGGATGTTCACTTTTTGGGGCTGTTTGATACGGTCAATTCCGTCGGGTAGGTGCCAGAATGCGTGCTTTCTGGGTGGCTTGGATTTGGGAGCTGATTCCGAGTAGTGTTTTCCGAGGGAAGCAGTATCCTCCTGCGCTTACGCCAGCTATGGGTACTCCTGGCGAACCGGTGGTGGAGGATGACAAATTTGGGGCGGTAAGACATATTCGCCACGCAGTGAGCATCGACGAACGACGTATCAAGTTCCGGCCCGCCTTATTCAACCCCGACGATAGCAAAGATCTCAAGGTTCGTCATCCCCATCCCTCCTTCCTTCATCACTTCATACTCACTCGTCTTAGGAAGTCTGGTTCTCTGGCGGCCATGGCGATGTCGGCGGTGGCTGGCCGAACACGGCCGAAAGCATAGCGATGAACGACAAGAAAAAAGAAGCCCGCAGATCCTTTATTCCCTCGTTCGTTACGAATCTCGTGGCCAAGAAGTCCGAGTGTCCCGAAGCCGCAAATCTCCTGGCCAACAAATCTGTGTGCCCCGAAGACACGAAGGATCATGACGTGCAGCTGAGTGATCTCTCACTGGAATGGATGATCCACGAGCTCCAGAGCCTCCCGGACGCGGATAAGGAAAAACTCAAGTTCAATTCCCGCGTCGGCACGTTCCTCGAGAGGATCGAGAACAAAAGAGATACTGCTATCAAGGCAAGTATATGTCACGATGCGTTGACGTTTAACCAGGGATGGAACTGGATGGATGTTGTTTTGTGGAGGTGTTTCGGTACAGACCCCCCCCCCCCCCCTCCCCCCCCCCCCTCCTACCTCCCGCTTTGGCAAGACTAACAAAAACAAACAGAATTGCTATCAATCTTCAAGATATCCTTCTGGAAGAACCCGAGGTACGGTACTCCTCGGGTCCTCCCGGCCACGGCGGTGATCCACCACAGCGTGCATCGCCGCGTGATACACTACGAGGAGCAGGCGAAGGAAGCGGACCCGGCAGCGAACGGAAGAGGCTGGCTCTCGTACTTCCGCCTCAGGAGGAACCCCTCAATGCCTCCCCACCCCAGCGGCCTGGGCTGTGCGCACTACAAGCCCGATAACCGGAACTTTGCGTCGGCACATGAGCGCGAGCAGGCGCGCGCTGAGAGAGTCGTCCAGACTAGGAGCGAAAATTGGCAGTGTGAGCTGGCGCAGGGGTGCACGATGAAATTGCCGTGTAAGCTGCCGCAGGCGAAGGATGCTCGGCCTTGATTCAGGAAAGGGGAGGGGGAGGAGATCAAGGAGGGAGGGGATTCGGAGGTGATAATTGGTGTTTGGGTGTGGTTGTTGTAGCGTCTTTAATCTTGCTTGTGTTTTGATGATATAAATTTGTACTTGTACCCTAGGCGAAGAGTCCAGCTGTAGTTAGAGATAGTGGCTGAAAAGAAAACTGTCCGCTTGTGCTCCCTTGGCTGTCTGGAAGCGGCCGTGATACCAGTACCACTAACAAGTAACTCCAAGGCCGTTTACATAAATCGCCTCCAGATTCCGACATTGATTCATATGACTGTGTCGCTACTCTCAGTCCCGACAACCTTGAATCAACCATCACCTTTCTACCAGTACCCTCGCGCACCACAGCTTATCACTCGCTCCTCTCTCCCGCTCAGAGGTTCTTTGGAGAAATCTGAACCATTCCCGCGGCCACTGTCACTGCCGCTATTGGTCTCGTGGTCACGGGGCTCTGGGTATGGCATGGTATCCAGTTGCAGTCTTGCAGGCGGACTTCCTCCTCGTACCTATGGTATGTAGGTAGATATCTACGTAGCCCGGCAAAGGGAAGTTCGAACGGTGAATGGAAGGATGATGGAGAAGTTGAGGTTCTATTCAACTTCGGAGTGACATAGCCCGGGAAGGGAAACGGCGAAAATGAAGGATGATGGGGAAGTTGAGGTTTTATTCAACTTGGAAGAGCTTGGTGCCACCCGATCTGGCTAGTTTGGCTATCACCACCATTCGGGCTGCCGATCGGATTAGCCACTTCTCGTATCTTATCTGATCCCCTATCTATCCTACACATGTGACATCGCTCCCCTTGTGGTGGTGGCAGACGGGTTCCTTGACGGCTTCCCTGAACCTCCAGCTTACATAATCATTCAATGCGCTGGCAGGCTTTTGAAAATAGAGTTGCTGCATCAGGCACGCTATGGGATTCGAGGCGGACGCCGGAACTTACTTCCATGAGCCACAAACAGTCGAACCCAAACCCAAACCCCCTACGCCCCCATTGGACAGTGGCATTTACTATATGGACACTGGAACTCCGCTCTACCATATGACAGCGGCCCGGACAGATTCAATGCTCCGTTCCTGTTGCTGTGAACTCGACTCATTCCCGCATGTCTATCGCATTCAACAGTCAACAGTCAACAGTCCCAACCTGTTTCCTGCGCTGGTTCTCATCCACGTGACCCTTCATTGTCCAGTTTCCAATGTCCAGTGGTGTCCACCCCTTTCAACTTGAACGTTGTGGAGCCGATCGGCTGCACGGGGCATCCCATGTTCCATGTCTATCCCCGATCCACCAAGTTGTTCCAACCCAGCGACCAAAGCCTCGGCACAGGAACTCCGGTATCATATCGTTCTCTGCAGGCTGCTAGAGCATTGTTAAGGTAGCTTAAAAATCAAGGGCGTAATCGTGCCGCGATGAAAAATCAACGACGATAGGGCGCGCGCACGCGCGAAACTTGTTGTGTATTTATCTATCTAACTTGCAATTCGCTCGTACGCTCGCTCGCTCGGGGTTTGCGATCGGATTTACAATCAGTTGGTAAAAGAACTCCGTTGAAACCACACCCCGGACGACAGACGCGCCTTATTGTACCAATGCTCTAGGTAGGTAAGCTTCCTCTCTCCCCTCCACACTTCGGAGTCTCGGTCAGACACTACACACATACATACCGTACATACATACCGTACATTACATATCATATCCGCTTTCCCATCCCCCCCTCCCCCTACGCGCCGAGAAACCCGACGCTCCACTCTCCGCACGAAAGATGGAAACTGAAGCGAATGCTACCGATCGAGCGCGAGATGTGGTTGTCGACGAGACGGCGCCGCTGCTTGGTGTCGTCGAAGATGACAGTGGGGGCGCAAGTGGAAGTGGAAGTGGGAGTGATTATCTGAAGGACTGGGAGCACCATCCGTGGTACCGGACGCCATCCGTATGAAACAAACCTCCTCCTCCTGCTCCTCCTCCTCCTCCTCCTCTTCGTTTTTCCGAGCGGGATGTTGAGAAATTGCGTGCGCATCTAGATCTTCTGGCTCCTGCCGGTATTTAGTGTGTTCTCGATTGCGTTCGGCGGGTATGTACTGTGAACCCTCACCTCTCACACTCACAGCCATGAGTCATGACATCAGCGGCTTGTTAGAGCAACTATTGTATGTACCTAGACTGACTCGTGTGTGTGTGGCGCGTGCGAACAGTGTGGCGGTGCCCCGCCTCAACATCATCCTCGACTTGATATGTCGCCAGTACTTTTCCGAACAGAACTCGGCGCCCGGCGCGCCGCAGGCTGTGCTGCCAACTATCGGCGGGTTTGATAATGAGATGTGCCAGATTCCCGAGGTAAGCTACTTTCCGGGGGGACAAATGAGTGATGCTGATACGGAGGGAATAGGTCCATGCGAGAACATCAACTTTCATTCTGGTGTTGGGTTTGATTACGGGTCTGCTCGGTATATATCTCTTGCCTCTATGATGAGAAGAAGAAGGACTGATCGATGGTACTGCCAGGCGCCTTCACCTCTCCGCGGCTCGGCCAACTGTCTGACCGCTACGGTCGGTGCGGAGTGATGGCGCTCGCCTCACTCGGCCTTGTTGCCGGCGAGATAACCACGATCCTCGCCGTCAAGTACCCGCAGTACTTTGACGTCAACATCCTGCTCGTCGGCGCCGCGATCGATGGGCTGTGCGGCAGCTTCTTGCTGGTGCTGGCTCTGGCAAACACCTATGGCACCGATTGCACGACTCCGCGGCAACGCGCAATGGCGTTCGGTCTGTTCCAGGGATGTCTGTTCCTTGGTATTGCGGTCGGCCCGGCGCTGGGTGGTCTGTTGGTCGAGTGGACGGGGAATATTCTGAGTATCTTTTACGTTGCCGTGGTAAGCACCCCACCTCCGACTTATGACCCGATGGTTTATTAAAACAAAGAATAGGTAGCGCACACAGCGTCTATCCTGTTCACCCTATTCATCCTTCCGGAATCGCTCTCGCAGCGGCGCATCCTCGAAGCGCGAGCGAAGCACACCGCCACGTCCGCGGGCTCTGGCACGGGCATCGGCAAGCACTGGTTCAATCCTCGGCACCTCTTCGAGCCGCTGTCGATCCTGTTCCCCACTGCACCGGGGACCAGCACCCGCCTGCGCCTGAACATCCTCTTCCTCGCCGCAATCGAGTGCACCCTCTTCGGCGTCGGCATGGGCTCCATGACCGTCATCATCATGTACGCCGAGCGGCAGTTCGGCTGGCGCAACTTCGAGGTGTGTCCCGTCCCCCGCCCCCCCTCCATATCATCCGCAGCATCTAACCACTTAACCACCGCAGTCATCAATGTACCTCTCCATCGTCAACTCCGTGCGCGTAACGATGCTCGTCGTCGTCCTCCCGCTCCTAATAACCTGGTACCGGCGCTCGCGCAACACACAACACCACCGAGGCTCGGACTCCCTCGAAATCTTCCTGATCCGCTTCGCCATCCTCTTCGAAGCCGTAGGCTATTTCAGCTACGCAGTAGCTCCAACCGGCGCGCTGTTCACTCTAGCAGGCGTATCCGTCGCCCTCGGCGGCGTCGGCTCGCCGACTATACAGTCGTCGCTCACCAAACACGTGCCGGACGATAAGACCGGACAGCTGCTGGGCGCGCTGGCACTATTGCATTCGCTCGCGAGGGTGGTTACCCCAACCGTGTTTAACCTCGTCTATGCGAAAACGGTGGCTACCGTGCCGCAGACGGTGTTTATATGCCTTGGGGCGGCGTTTGCGGGCGCGGCGGTTTGTAGTCTGTTTGTGAGGACGGGGGTGTATTGGGAGGAGGTCGGGGAGGAGGAAGGGGAGGGGAGGGAGGGGGAGAGGGAAAGGGAGAGGCAGGGGGAGAGAGTGGGTGGGCCGGCGGCGGTGGTGGTGGGATGATGCGTGGGGTGATGCGTGATAGGGGTGATGGGTGGTGACTCGGTTGGTTGTCCGAGGTGAAACCGTGAGAGCGGGACTGTGGCACGATTGGTAGATTGGTAGATGAGAGAGAGTAGTGCAACGAATACTTGAGATAGATAATACATTTCATTCTAACTTTTCAATGACGGCCAGAGAGAAGAGGGACGGTGATGCGTGATGCGTGGTGATGCGTGGTGATGCGCAGTGATTCGGTTGTCCGAGGTGAAACAGTGAAATCGTAAATGCGGGAAAGCGGAACTGTGGCAAGATTGGTAGATTGGTAGATGAGAGGCGCAACGAATACAGGAAATAGATGACGGCTCAAGAGGAGAGGGTGATGGGTGACTTGGTTATCCGATGTGAACCGTGAATAGTAGATGAGAGAGGTGCAACGAATACTGGATATAGATAATACACTGTCATACTGTACTTTTTTCAACTTTCAATGATGGCCAAAGAGGAGAATGATGGGTGATGGCTGGTGATTCGGCCGTCCGAGGTGAAACCGTGAATAGTAGATGAGAGAGTTGCAACGAATACTGGAAATACACTTCATACTATACTTCTCAAAGACGGCCCAAGAGGAAAATACACATCCCTCCATTCCACAGCCATAGAATCCGTGTACTCATATACTCATACAACCAAGCACTTTTAGGTATCTACAGTCTACAGTCTAAGCGCGCCAGACAATGATCAAGGAAAGCATCCCAAGCACAGAAAGTCACCCACCCACAGGAAAAAAAACACAGAAAGTCACCCCATAGTTAGGAAACACAGAAAGTCATCCGCAGGAAAACACCAGACCCATCTACCTAGCCCATATCTCAACGCAAAAGAACGCAAAAAACGAGAAAAAACGAGAAAAAGAGAAGAAGTAGAAGAGGAAACAGTAGGTATTAGGTGTGGTACTCCCGACAGACATCAAGCATCAAGCATCAAGCCAGCAGTAACAACCATCCAAGAGAGTACGACGGTAGTTAAGGGAACGCCGCTTCAAAAAGATGCAAACCTCCCAAGTAGCCGCAAATCCTCCCTCGTTCCCCTTCCTAATACCACTCCTCCTCCTCACTCACATCTCCCGTAGCAGCCTCACAGCCATCGCCCTCACTCCAGTCGTCGTCAAAGTCCTCCCAGATGCTCGAGGCATTATCATTCTGATCGTCCTCGCGCTGATCCTCATAGTCCTCTCCGAGCCTGACACCTCCCTGTCCCTGACTCGAGTTCGAGTCCGAGTCATCGTCGAGATCGTCCCTGACCTCGCCGACGACCATTGCCTTCTTGCGACCAGGCGGAAACGGTCCAGCACCCCAGACGCTTCCGTCCCGCTCGCGGGCTGGCACAGAGTATCCCAGCTTCCAGCGGGCGACAACGCCAATAAGCCGGTGGATCGACCCGCCGAGCCGTCCGATAAGGTCTACGCACGTGCGGCACAGCACCAGCGGGCAGTTCGCGCAGCGGTAGTGCGCCGACAGCGCGTCGCAGGCGATGCATGCGGATGGCGGCGCGGGAACGTAGGTGAACGTGTAGTGCGGCAGCTTGTGCATGAATGCGCGATAGGCGTGGGTGAGCGGGGAGATGGAAGTGACCGAGTGGGAGAGGGATGGGGTGGACTCGCCGGAGGCGGAGGAGCGCGCGGAAGTGATCGACGGGGTCCCGTGGCGCGTGCGGAAGTGCCGGAGCGGGAGGACGTCGGGGGCCTGCGGATGGTGCGGGGTCGTGCTACGCGCGAGGGGTGCGCCGAATGAGGGGGCGAGTGGGCTGCCGAAACAGACGGCGAGCTCGGCATCCCATTCTTCGTCCGTCATGTCGGCGGGGGAAGGGCGCGGTGAGACCTGCTCTAATCCGGGGGGGTGTAGGAGAGTGGAGTGGAGACCGTTGGTGGGATGAAGCGGCGGCGAGGCGTGCAGAGGCCGGGGTCCGGTCGGATAGGGAGGGAGGTCGACGTCGTGGAAGTACGACATGTTGATTCTGTACTCGTCGTCGTCGCCTATCATCGTGGTGCCAGAGTCGTCGCCGTTGACCTCTCTCTCGGTCATCCTGACCATTCCCTTGCCGGTGAACTTGACAACGTTTCCTTCCTTGTTGATCCCCGAGCGGTAGATCGCAACAGGGATGGCCTTCTCTTCGTCGATGTTGCTCATGGTATCGTCTCGAGGGTTGTGTGAGGTAGTTGTGATAGTTGAGCGAATGCAGTAGAAAAGGATGTTGAAGAAGTGGTGGGCGCAAGGAAATGAGAGGAGCCCACAAAAGGAGCGTAGGATGTCAAGGAGGCTGTGGAGATATCGAAGGAAGGACGATAGAGACATGCGAAACTCCAATTGTTTACCCTACTCACAGGTGGGATTGTAGAGCTAGGGAGTCGCTGTCTTAGAAGATGAGGATGTGAGTGGGGAAAGGGTAGGTGGTGGGGAAAGGGTAAGTGGTGGGGAAGGGACGGTGGTGCGGGAGAACCGAGTGAGAGGTAGTGGATTGCTGAAAGCTGAGGGTAGAGTGCTAGTGTGAGATGATGCGTCTTCGTCTTCGGTTGTCGTCCGGTAGCGGCAGATGCAACAAGGAACGAGGGTGGAGGCAAACGCACTCAACCTCTAAATCACGCTTAGCCCCCGTGCCCACAGGTGTCCTCCCCAACATTCTAACATCTATTCCCATTGTATCTAAAGCACGACCATCCCCCTTCACTGAATCTCTACAACCATTGATAGACTGCCGTGTTCATTTCGAGAAACCCTTCACAATTGTGACGGACGATTTCACTGGCTGGGGACATGCAGTACATGCATATACACCGATTTCGCCACAGACACTTGTGTAAGTATCTCGCCGAAAGTCCGTGTTAAGCCGGAACCCAATGAGTTCGAGCATTGGCAATGAGTTCGCCGCTCCTCACTCCCGCCAGACACTCCCGCCAGTCACTCCCTCCCATCGACCACGAATTACCAAATTTCCCGCCCTTGAGCGAGCGCTGATCGATGCATGGACAATCACCCGGCGGAGCTAGCCGTCACGTGTAGCTTCTTTTGTTTTTGTTTGTCCGACCACTCACTGATTGCATGCGACCTAGGTAGCTGGATCATAGAATATACACAGCATCCACTTCTATGTTCTACGTCCACCGACATATGTCTCGCTCTTACCAAGTCGTTGATTCACTGTCTTCGTTGTGGTCTAAGCGGCCATCCAATTTCACGATTCACAAATCCTTTCAACAGGTAGGTACCCACCTAGATCTGCCAGCATTACTCGCGTGCCTTCGTCCAGACCTGGGGGGAATGCCGAGATATGATACGAGTACCGTAGCACGTCCTCCAGATGGCACCGGGTATTTCTGTCATCTCAGGTGGTCCTCCCCTGCGTAGAGTACCGACAGAGCGCGCGCGGACGGAGGGTAAGACTTCAACTACAAAAACAAACCCCCTGAAATCATTGGTTGTCACTCATCCACACCCTCACATCCCCTGGGCCGCTTGGTTTCATCGGTATTGCACCTGCTCTCGTCGCCTAGACCGTGCGAGCGGTGGTTGTAACAATTGTATCCGTTTATGAGGTAGTTCGGATGTTGCTCGACAGTATCTTGATGTGCTAGGTAGTAGGCAGGGCATGCAATAGCCCGAAAAGCCCATGGGCTGGGCTAGGGATGGTGGGCTGATCTGATATATCAGCCCGGGCGGGAGCCGTTGAGCTGGCAGCCCAGCCCGCCGTTGTTGGGCGGGCTGGATCCTAGAGTTTGGTAGAGTAAGATTATCACGGCGAGACGGAGGACGGAAGAAAGAGTAGAGAATGTAGATAGGAAACAGGCAGCGCTGTCAAGAAAGACAGAAGAGAAGAGAAGAAAACAGGTGGAAAAAAAACAGTACATAAAATGTAAAGCTACTAAGAAAACAAGTCCACAGTCACTAGTGGCGGAAGCACGCCAATGCCACAAACATTCACAGGCCTCAACGATCTCCGGCTTCAACCCATATCGGCGGTCAGTCACCATGCGTTTAGCGCTACTAAACACTCGTTCTATCATACCTCTGCCGACATAGCATCAATGCTTAGGATTTCTAATGCCATTACAGACAGAAATAGGAAGCGCAACCTGTTGTGTGGCAGTATATGTAGTAGATTTGAGAGTGCGACGATCATCGCGAGGAATTACACCATCCATGGCGATATAGTGGCCCGTGGGCCTTCAAAAGGTGTCTCGCAGAGTCGCAGCTATATCTGTTGATGACCCGATGGCTTTGTAGCGTTTCCGGAGTCCTTGTTTTGCACCTTTATTTAAGTCGGGAAATAATAGCGTTCGTTGGCGTAGATCACACTTACATGTAGTACATTCCCAGTGGTCACAGCTTCCATCCACTTCATTCAGGCCCTCGGCCCATGCTTGTAAATGAAAGAAGTTAACTTTCGCTTACTACCCGGGCTGCTACTTGGTGTACGATTGGCGCTCTCAGTTGCGTCGTCTGATATCGGATTGAGGGTGATTAGGAGGTGGTTTTGTTGCGGGAGATGATTTTGTTGTGGGAGGTGATTTGTTGCGGGGAGGTGATTTGTTGCGGGGAGGTGATTTTGTTGCGAGAGATGATTCTATTGCAGGAGGTGATTTTGTTGCGAGAGGTGATTTTGTTGCGGGAGATGATTCTGTCGCGGAAGGCGATTCTGTTGCGGTTGTTGCACCCTCAACGATACTAGCAGTGAAACGAATCATTGGAACTCACTCGCTAGGGCTCCTCAACGCTAGGCTGCCAAGATTAGGCCAGCCCGGGCTGGGCTACCCGCGCCGGGCTGCGGGCTGGCGTTGACTGGGCTGGACTATGTACCTATTACCTGCACTGCGGCTGGGAGTATGCTTTGAGGCTTGAGCGTCTGCTATGCTTCATTAATGTGCCTTCAACACCCCCCTCCTTCTGGAGTATCGTATCGTATGTATTATATAGCCAGTCCGTCTCTACACCCTCACCGCTCACCGCTCACACACCGAAAGGAAGAACAACATATGATACAACCAGTTCCAAAAAACAAGCATATATATACATATAACAAAATCAAAAACACTCCTAGCCGCCTGCAAAGAAGAAGAAAGATGATGTGGCACGAGGTAATAGCACCAGGAAACAAACAACGCCGTCCATGCCCACGCCCACCCACCCACCAAGTCTATCATTCCACCTTGTCCGTCGTCGTCGTCGTTGTCGTCGTCGTCTCCGGCGCCGCCGCGGGAGGAATATCCCCGCTTGCGCCATCATCCGCCCAATCGTCTAGGTCACCCCAATCGTAATCATCGATTTGTTGGGATGGGGAAGAGGATTGTTGCAGCAGCTGCTGATCGATCCGCTGCTGTAGATTTTGTGGCGGATGTCTGGGATCCATTACACCGACGATGGTCGAAGCCCGCCGCTTCAGTGTACCCCACAACTTGCTCCTATGCCTACGGCATATCATCAGCAGCTCGGCAGTACCCTCACGGAACTCGCGCGAATTCGAGTTTTTGGCCGCAGCGTTGAGGTAGATGTGGAAGCGTTCGTCGGATACTTCCCGGCCTTCGACTAGGCGGTTTACGACCCAGCGCATCCCGCGAAGATCGTACATGAGGCAGTATGCGTGGAGTAGGGCTGTCAGCCCGGCAAGGTCCCAGCCTGTACGTCGGCCCCATCGGGTTTTAGAGACTTCGTTCATGATATGGAGCGCGCCAACCATATCCTGGCGGCTGGTCAAGACTGCCGCCGCTTGATTCGCGATGTTGTGAGAAATCGAGAGATCGTTGCCTTCCATGAACTTGTATAGTCCGTAGATGAGCTGAAGGATGGAGCTGTACACCACTGGTGTTTTTTCCGCTTCGTCCTTAACGAGGAAGATTAATTGTCCGACGACACCCTCCTTGATCTGGGATGCGCGATCGCGGTCCCGGGGAAGCACCGATGGTAGATCGATCAAATCATCGGGGAGGAGCACATATGCGCGGGCGAGCAGCGTAATGACCTCCTTGGACAAAGCGACGTGAGCGGAAGCCTCTCGAAAGATATTGAGAGTCTCGCGGACGCGCCCGTACTGCAAAGCTGTGCGCATCTCCTTCATCACGTCGGCGCTTTGCATTGCTACTTCGGGAGCGATGACGCTTAGAGAAGGCGGTGGTTCTATCGTCTTTTCCACTGGATGTACGCTTCGGTGAAGGATATCACGTGATATCTCATCAACTCTGTTCCGGTCCATGTGAAATACTGTATGATAGACTCGGTACATCAGTTCGCGAGGCACGTTGGAGCATCGTAGATCGTGGAAAAAGGTGTTGAAAGTAGCTGCCGTGGGTTCCAACCCGGCTTCCCGCATCTTTTCAACCCAATACATCACTCCGTCCTCATTCACCGCCTGCAGATGGGCCCTGATCATGATGTTGAAGGATGCCGGTGATGGAAACCGAGACTCCTTGGAGAGCACATCGAAGAAATCCTCCAACCCATTAATCCCATCGATATCGACGTAAGTATCCAGTAACGAATTCAGCGTCCTTCGGGACAACTGCATCCCCTTCTTCGTCACCTCTGTCATCGCCTTGCGGACCCCCTCCCAATCCCCGCCACCCGCCTGCATCAGCAGGAATGTAGCGAACGTCCTGTCATCAGGCTTAACGCCGTCCTGAATCATCATATCGACGTACTGCCTCGCGAGCCGGGGCTTTCCATATGAGAGCGCCTCCTCGATCATGATGTTGTATAGCGCCGGTGCAGCGATCTTTTTCCGCGATCTGATCCACTCAAAGTCCTGCTCCAGTTCGGTAAACGAAGCGGTCTTGTCTCGGACACCCGCTAGGAATGCGGCAAAGGCACTCTCCGTCACTGGCTTCCGTTGGTCTTCCAGCACCTTCATGACGTCTCGTGCCTCCGAAATACCACCAACCTTGACCAGACACTTTATAAAAAGCTCGTAAGTCTTGTGGTCAGGCTTCACAACCTGCATCCGGGAGTAGTGCTTAAACGTAGTGATAAACTTAACGTAGTCCTTCCGAATCAAATACGACTCGAGACACAAGTTAAGGCTGCGGGCGCCGACGAACGGTGGGTATAATGACAAATGTTGAAATATTGCGGGTGCCTCGGCGTGCTTCAAAACTCGGTTGTAGGTGTCCATGAGGTATATGCCAGCCTTCTGCACAATAGACTCGTGAACTCCCTCGGCCCTGGCTTCGAAAAACAGCGCCTTCGCCTCCTCCAAGTTCCCAGCCTGTATGAGCAGGACATACTGCCGGAACCATTCCTGCCCCTCCTGTGTAGTCTGCCGGTCCAGGAAAGAGTCTTCCCATCGTGTCTGCCGAGGCCGCCCCGCATCTTCCGGATGTGACTTCTTCGCCTTTTTGTCTTTGGGAGTGCCGGTTGGCTTTGTAGTTCTGTCGGAATCGGTGGAGGTGGTGGCGGCGGCGGCAGGGGTGGTTCTCGGGGGTGTCGTTCTCGGGGGTGCCGGGGCTTTGCCGTGCCCGATGTTGTGACCGTAGCGTCCGCTCCCACGAATGCCCGTAACCGCTGCGGCGTGTAGGTTTCTCTGTCCGTGTTGGATTCCGTGCTGCCCTGCGGCTCGAAGGCAATGGTTCGAGATACCATTGTGGTGGTGGGATTGGTGGCGGTGGTCGTGGCGTGGGAACACAATTTGGCGCAGGTAACGAAGAGTGCTCTGCGATGGTGCAGCGAGCCCTGTACGAGGCCTTATCATAATAATCCGTTCTTCGGCCGAGGAGGCATAGGTGGGCAGACAATGGGGGTGTTGAGTTGGTGCGGACGGGGCTGCAAGAAGTTGTTGGTTGGATGGGGTAAGAAAACTTTTGGTGTGGCATCCGATCTGCAAACTTTCTGCCGAGATTTGAGCCGCATAAGAAGCTGCCCATGCACCGGAGCGACAAGAGAGGAACCGTTCGGTTGGGAGTCACGTGATTTTGCACAACTCCAGTTTCAATTTGCCATCCTCTATTTACAATCATCCGCCACAGCAAGAAATATTATTAGTCGACAGAGCCCGGTTGACGGTGAATGCCGCTTACTTCCAGTGCTGCACCTGGGCCATTGAGTGGCGGTCTTGCCCCGAAATGTTCAATTGGAAGAATAGACTCTGCACTGCCGTGAGACAGCCCCATTATTTACTGTTGTAAGGCACAGGGTTTGGACCACGAACCCATCTTAATTGACGGGGCACACTCAATTCTAGTCGACGGGTATCTTTACATCCTAAAAACGCCAAACTTCGTCTCCTTCGTCTCAACACTCCCACCCAACGCCGCCCTCAATCCGAGCCCTAAATAACTCCTCGTCTCCTCCGGTGGGATAACACCATCGTCCCAGATCCTCGCAGACGAGAAGACGGCCTCGCTCTCACTCTCGATGCGCCCTTGCAGTTGAGGATCCACATTCTTCCCCACTGTCTTCATGACCGAGCTGAGCTGCTCCGAGCCCATGACGGCAATCTTCGCATTCGGCCACATCCACAAGAACCGTGGAGAGAAGGCACGGCCACACATACCGTAGTTACCCGCACCATAGCTAGCGCCAATCACGACGGTGAACTTTGGCACATCGGCGCAGGAAACGGCGTTGACGAGCTTCGCGCCATTTTTAGCGATGCCGCCGGCTTCCGCGTCTTTGCCGACCATGAACCCGCTAATGTTTTGGAGGAAGACGAGGGGAATATTGCGTTGGGCGCAGAGCTGGATGAAGTGTGCGCCTTTGAGACTGGCTTCGCTGAAGAGGATGCCATTGTTGCCGATAATTCCGACACGGTAGCCGTGAATGCGGGCGAAGCCTGAGCTTGTTAGTCTTTTTTGCCCACATATAAAGTTATGGGAGCCGTACCAGTGACCAAAGTAGTCCCGTAGTTCTCTTTGAACTCGCTGAACTCGCTCCCATCCACAATCCTCGCAATGACCTCCTTGATCTCAATGGGCTTCCTCAGATTCGTGCCAACGATACCAACCAACTCCTTCGGATCATAAAGCGGCTCCTTAACCTCCACTTCCGGTACCGATGTCGTTGGCCAGTTCAAATTCGCAACACATCTCCTGGCCAATACCAGAGCATGTGCGTCATCAACTGCAAGATAATCCGTCACACCACTGACTTTCGAATGCAGAGCTCCACCTCCGAGCTCCTCCGCTGTCACCACTTCTCCCGTAGCCGCCTTCACGAGCGGTGGGCCAGCGAGGAAAATGGTGCCGGAGTTCTCGACGATGATGGACTCGTCCGACATGCTGGGGACGTAGGCTCCGCCGGCTGTACACGGTCCCATTACCACCGATAGCTGTGGAATTCCATCGGCCGACACTGCAACTAATTAGATCTCACTCTATGTGTCCGAGCCTCTGGAACTGAGTACTAACTTCTTGCTTGATTGAAGAATATCCTCCCGAAATTCTCGCGGTCAGGGAACACATCCGCCTGGTGCGGAAGATTCGCGCCACCGGAATCGACCAAGTAAATGCACGGCAGTCCTATCCTCATCATTAGCCCCACTCTCACAATCCCAAGAGAAAAATAAACCTACTATTCTCCTTCGCCACCTCCTGCGCCCGAAGATGTTTCTTCACCGTGATCGGATAATACGTTCCGCCCTTAACTCTATCCCGCGATCAGCCTACACCCTCGCAGCCCCATAGCAGAAGAAGACAGCCGTACGTGCTATCATTGGCAATAATCATACACTCCGTTCCCGACACCCTTCCAATTCCTGTTATGATCCCGCCGGCAGGGATATCGATATCGTCTCCGTAGAGCTTATGTCCCGCCAGGGATGAGAGCTCCAGGAATGCCGTTCCGAGGTCTAGGAGTGCCGTTATGCGACTATCCCCACTTGCTTAGCACACCTCCCCCACAACAATCCGGGGGTGTAGCATTACTCTCTCGGCAGCATCTTTTTCCTCTCAATATGTTTCACCCTCGCCTTCTCCGGGCCCCCCAAAGCAATCCGCTGATGCAAACTCCTCAGAGAGGCAGTGAGCTCCGATAATTGTGCAGCATTGTCTTTGAAGTCCGAGGACGACGTATCGACATTCGACTTGATCTGCGAAAAAGCTGTTTCTGCAGTGCGCGCTGTGTGTGTCGATATCGCTGCTGCGTGGGTGTAGGGTAGCCGAAGCTTTGGAATTGGACCTCGGAGGGCGCGGTGGAGGAGTGACATTGTGCCGTGGTGGTGATGGTGGTGGTGGGACTGAGATCTAGAGGGGGGTTGATGATATAGCTTGAGACTCGACGGGCAGCAGCCATAGTCATGCGTACGGCCAATGCCGCATGTAGCCGACACGGGGGACACAGCTCCACGCACACAGCTCCCCGGCCTAGCCTGCAAGCAGTAGATAGATAACCTGCGTAATCGCCTTTGTGATCGCAATTGACTACTACAGATACCTTCTCAGGAAATTACAGTCTTCCTTCTCCCATATCCCTATTCGCCATGAGTTGCTTATCCTCCCTCCGCCCGCACATCTTCCGCGCTGCGCGACAGCTACGACCACGAGCTCCCATATCCCACCCAAGCTACCTTCTAGCCGCCCACCGCCTCGCCTCCACTAAGCAAACCACGACATTCAAAGCTCCTACCAGCGAAGACCTTACCGAGCTTCGGGAGCGCGTACAAGAATTTACCCGTACGCCTCCGTATCCCCTCTCCTTCAGAGCCCAGTTAATCCCCGCCCACAGGCCGCGAGATCCCCGAAGAATTCGCCGCCCAGGTCGACAAGAGCAATGAATTCCCGTCCGAAATGTGGGAAAAGATGGGGTCCGCGGGCTTCCTGGGTATCACGGCCGAGGAAGACTATGGCGGTTTGGACATGGGGTACCAGGCGCACTGCGTGGTGATGGAGGAGCTCAGTCGTGCGAGTGCGAGCATTGGCCTGTCGTATGCTGCGCACTCGCAACTGTGTATCAACCAGCTCACGCTGCATGGAACGAAGGAGCAGAAGGAGCGGTGGCTGCCGGGACTAATCTCTGGGGAGCTGGTAGGAGCCCTGGCGATGAGTGAGCACTCCGCCGGCAGTGATGTGGTTAGTATGAGGAGTGGGCTCAAGAAAAGCGATGGGGGTGGGTGGGTGCTCAACGGGACTAAGATGTGGATCACCAATGTACGTTGATGTTTCCTAGCTTTTACCCTCGGTATAACCGTGTTTACAGGTGGCTAACTTTTCATTTCTCCACAGGGGCCGGATGCAGACGTTGTCGTGGTGTACGCCAAATCCGCACCGGACGCCGGCTCGAAGGGGATAACCGCAACAATAGTGGAGAAGGGCATGAAAGGCTTCAGCATCGCGCAGAAGCTAGACAAATTAGGAATGCGGGGCTCGAACACGGGAGAGTTAGTGTTCGAAGACGTGGAGATCCCCGCTGAAAACCAGCTGGGCGAAGAGAATAAGGGCGCTCGCGTCTTGATGTCCGGGCTTGATCTCGAGCGGCTGGTGCTGAGCGCTGGGCCTATTGGGTATATTCTCTTTCCCCACCATGATCGTTCACCGAGATGATGCTGAGACGAGTGACAGCATAATGCAGAAATGCCTCGACGTAACCCTCCCCTACGTCCATGCACGCAAGCAATTCGGCATCCCAATCGCACACAACCAATTGATCCAGGCGAAGCTAGCAGACATGCACGTGAAGCTTGCGGCCGCACGGGCATATACCTATGCGGCTGCGAGGTCCGTCGACGAGGGGACAATCGATACTCGCGATTGTGCCGGAGCTATCATGTTCGCCTCTGATAGAGCCGTCGAGTGTGCCCTCGACACCATCCAGTGTATGGGGGGGAATGGCTACATCAATGAGATCCCTGCCGGAAGACTGCTGAGAGACTCGAAGGTGAGATACCCTCACTTTGGACTCCTGCAATTCAAACTGATGATATCCATAGCTGTATACCATTGGCGCCGGCTCAACGGAGGTTCGCCAGATCGTCATTGGACGCTCGTTCAACAAAGAGTTTGCATAGGGCCCTTGTAGTCTAGCTCATAGTAGACAGGAATAGAAAGATACCTCGTCCCGACTCCCACGTGAATCCAGATTCCACTCGTCTCCCCAAATGGCTTGTGATCATGTCACGGAGCTCCCCACTAGACCGTCACTCCCAATCGCGGCGTCCCCCGCACTCAACGCCAATTAGCCTTCGTAGAGTGTCCCCTCTCGCCTACCATATCAGGAAGGTGTTACCCCAGATTCCAGCCCGTGATCATCTGCAACGCCGCGAATAGCCGTGCCCAGCTCGCAGGGAGCTCTCGAGTCTCGAGCCGTATGCTAGATATCATTCCCACCAGCAACGGACCACAACAAAGAAACCTTACAGAAAGCAAGCACACGATGTCTGCCAGACCCCTCTTCACCGCGCTCCGCCGGCGCCTCTACTCAACCAGCACCGAAGCCCCCCGGCCAATCCGAAACATCTTGATCGCCAACCGCGGCGAGATTGCACTGTCCGCCCACCAGCTCCTCCCTCCTCCTCCTCGTTAAAGCTAACATCTCCCAGCCGGGTCTCCCGCACGGCCGCACTCCACGGAATCCGCACGACAACCGTGTACACCGCCCCCGATGCCGCCTCGGAGCACGCACATGCTTCGCCGTACTCCGTGAACCTCGGCGAGGCGAGTGCATACCTCGATGCGGAGAAGATCCTGCGTGTAGCAAAGGGTTGGGGCTGTGATGCGGTGCATCCGGGGTATGGATTTGTGAGTACTCCTAGGAAAACCGGGGAGGAGAGGGCTGATTGTGGACGATGGGTAGTTGAGTGAGAACTCCGCGTTCGCGAAGAGGTGTGCTGAGGAGGGGATTGTGTTCATTGGCCCGCCGCCGAATGCAATCGAGAGTATGGGGAATAAGAGGTTTGTTCATCTACAGCTTGGAAAGGGGAATGGCTGATTGACAGGCGACAGTGCATCAAAGGATATTATGTTATCCGCGGGAGTTCCCTGCGTTCCCGGCTACCACGGTTCCAACCAGGACCCAGCTTTCTTAGCGCAGCAGGCGGAGGAGATGGGGTATCCGGTGTTGATTAAGGCAGTGAAAGGTGGTGGTGGCAAGGGAATGAGGATTGCTACCTCTGCTGCCGAGTTCCATGCCATGCTGGATTCGGCAAAGTCGGAGAGCAAGTCGTCGTTTGGTGATGACACGGTGCTTGTTGAGCGGTATATTACCACCCCGAGGCATATAGAGGTCCAGGTTTTCGCAGATAACTTCGGGAACTGCGTTGCCCTGGGAGAGAGAGATTGCTCGGTGCAGAGGCGGCATCAGAAGATCATCGAAGAGTCCCCCGCACCGCTACTGGATCCGGAGATCAGAAAGGATATCTGGAAAAAGGCACGGGATGCGGCGCTGGCGGTGGGGTATCAAGGAGCAGGCACAGTGGAGTTCATCTTCGACAACGACACGGGGGAGTTCTTCTTCATGGAGATGAACACGCGATTGCAAGTCGAGCATCCGGTGACGGAGATGGTGACGGGCGTGGATCTAGTGTATTGGCAGGTCCTTGTGGCGTCGGGACAGCCACTGCCGATGACGCAAGAGCAGGTCGAGGCAGGGTTGAATGGACATGCGTTTGAGGCGAGGATTTACGCGGAGAACCCAGAGAAGGGTTTTATTCCCGACTCCGGGATGCTACTGCATCTGCAGACCCCCAAGGTGACGGAGAGTGTGCGCATCGATAGTGGTTTTCGGCAGGGGGATGAGATCACGACTTTCTACGATCCCATGATTGCAAAACTCATCGTTAAAGGAGACACCCGTGAAGCGGCACTGGCGAAACTACGCGTTGCTCTCGAGGACTATCAAGTCGCCGGTCCATCGACGAATATCGAGTTCCTCAAGACGCTCGCAGCACATCCCGACTTCATCGCCGGCAATGTCGAGACAGGGTTCATCCCGAAGCATCACGATGAGCTCTTCGCTGCTTCGCAAACCCCACCGGAAGTCTTCTCGCAAGCTGCCCTCTCCATCATCCTCTCGGAGAGCCAACCCCTGCTCCCGGCCGACCCCTTCACCACCCTCGGCGGCGGCATTGGCTACTCGGGTGGCTTCCAAACTCGCGTCCTTCACTTCTCCGACGGCCACAGCGAGACTCCCATTGCCGTAGAAGTATCCCAAGCCACAGCCGACAGCTACAATATCACCATCGGCACCACTTTGCTCCCCGCCGTCATGATCCGCCAGGACAGCTCTACCCTCTACGGCTACTACCCCCACACCAGAATCGAATCCACCATCGTCCGCGACGACGACAAGCTCTTCGTCTTCCAGCACGGCAAACAACACCAACTGACTCTATCAACGCCAGCATGGCTTGAGAAGCTCCGCGGCCCGAAGGAGGCGTCGAACAGTGTGGTGGCACCAATGCCGTGCAAAGTTCTCCGCGTCGATGTAAAAGAGGGCCAGGAGGTGAAGAAGGACCAGCCGCTCGTCGTCATCGAGAGTATGAAGATGGAGACGGTCATCAGGAGTCCGGTAGATGGAGTGGTCCGGAAGATTGTCCATCCGGAGGGGGTATGTTTATGTTTCACCCTCCCCGCTTGTCCGTGGAGAAATGCTAACGATGAGGATAGGATGTCGTCAAGGCGGGTGTTACGCTTGTGCTATTTGAGGAAGAGGCGGGAGAGGGGGGTGGCGCGTAGTGGGGTGTGTAGAGTATTGTGTGGCGCCGGAAATATATAGATGCAATATGATACCACGAGGTGATGAAATTTGAATTGAATTGAATTGAGGTTTATTTATGGAAGCCGTTTTGTTTCGCCTTTTTTCATTTCTGCAGGACATGTGAAACACCAATGGCGTACCGCTCGACCTGGCGAGTGATGTGTCGTGAGGATAATCCCTGGCGTACGTCATTTAAACGCCGACGCTTATACCGGTAACCTTGAATGGCCGGTTCTTGATAACCACCTGAACGATTCAAGGTCGAGAACATAAAACCACCCGTTTGCTGTTCTTGACTCTTCTTACTCTGATCCGATAATTTTGCTCTCACTCCTACACCTCTCAACAGCTCCTCCCTCACTCTCGACCATTCACCTAAATACCTACACCTCCTACACACTCACAAACACCTTCCCACCTCTCACCACCACCGCCACCACCACCGCCACCACTATCACTACCACCTTCCACGCCTCCCCACACAAACACAAACCCACCCCACAACCGTCAAAATGGTCGAAAAAATCACCGCGCACCGCACGACGACGCCCGCGATCCGGATCCTGCGCATCCTCCTACGCAGCGTGCAAATCCTGGTCGCACTCATAATAATCGGCATCTACTCTCACGAGCTGCGAGTGTACCACTCGTCTCACCCGTCGTCAAAGTCATCAATAATCTACGCTATCATCGTCGGCGTGCTCAGCATCGTGACCGCCGCCGTGTACCTCCTGCCGAACCTGGCAAGCCACAAGTTTTGTCCTTGGGATGCGGTCCTGTTTATTCTTTGGGCTGCACTGTTTGGTGTTACTGGCAAGGTCTGGGTCGATAAGGGGGGGTATGGCGGTATGGGAAGGAATATGCGCGCCGGCACGTGGATCAATATGGTCGGCATGTTGCTGTGGTTTGCGTCTGCTGTTGGTATGTCTCCCCCCCCCGAACGGAGCGATCGTGGTGAGAGAGAGAGAGGGAGTGGCTAACACGGAGATAGGTGGCGCTTTCTTGGTCTACAGGGAGAAGCACTCGAGGAGCATGCTCACCGGACGGGCGGTCGTCTAAGTTTCGGGCGTAGTACCTAGATGTCTATGCTATGGATGATGCGTGATGCAATACGGTACCTACCAATGCTTCCATGGGCGGTTTCTTGTCTTTTTTACTCCGTCTTTTTCTTTTTCTTTTCTTTTAAGCGGGTTTGGTCGGGGGAGTTATTGCTTTCGTTTCGTGGGAGATACTGTGTGGTTGTATAATAGGTAGCTGGGTAGAACAGAACCCTTCATGATCGGTGTGATTGGTGGAATGATGCGATGATGACTGTCATTATTACTGTACAAAAACTATCAAGACATGCGGACAAATTAATGGAACAGAAACCCATTAACTGAAAGCTCGAACTAAGAGATATGAACTACAAGTGCCATGCAAACAATCGGTGGAATACATCCTTTCCACCGGTTTCGATGACGTCTCCGTGGCATCTGGAAGTGTCATGTCAGTGAGGGAAAAGAGTGAAGCGAGCGGAGATGGGGAAGACTCACGGAATGATCCTGTCGAAATCCCACGCGGCGACTTTCCGTGCCGAGGCGGCGAAGGAGGCCTTGTCCTTTGCGAGGGCATACCTATGGCACCATCAGTATTTGTAAGGAGAGGAGAACGCGGACAAGGCAACTCACCAAATAAACCTCTGCTGTCCCTTATGTCCAGGGGTGGTATTCATGAAGTGCTGGGCAATCCTGGTGGGCCAGCCCTTGCTCGCATCCTCTCCGCTGCGGCTATACTGTTCCCTCGCGGGCAGATTGAAGAATAGATCCGCCTGGACGAGTGTTCGGGAGGGTTTATGCAGCAGCACGATCTCTTTACTCGCATGCCCATCCCAATACTCGACATCGACCTCTCTCGCCAGCTCCTCGGGCAGTTTCAGCTCTTTATTCCCGCGAGCATACTCAAAGTCGATGGGAACGTCCTGATCTCCCTGGCGCGCGCGCTTCTCGCGCAGCCCGTGCGGGCCGATCACCAGAGCCGACGGGAACGCACTCTTGTAAGCCCCCAACTGCATGTGGTGCTCCATGTCTGGCGCGATTATGTACCCCACACGACCGCCGAGACTGTTGATGTGCGCGCGCACGTCCGCTGTCAACGGGATTGGCGAGAATACGGCGAGGCTCCCGCTGGAGAGCTGTAGGAGTGTCGCTCGCCCCCCGAATTTGATACGGTTGAAGCGCAGGAAGGGGACGCTGAGAGTCGAGATCTGCGGCGTGATGCTGCGGATCACGAGGTGTGGGTTGGGAGAGGTCATGGTGTGCGTTTGAGGGTGTTGGTGATGCGTGGTTGGAGGTGTTTCTGAAGGTTTCGGACACGGGTGGTTGGTGGTGTGTTGGAACTGTTGTGGTTGTGGTTGTGGTGGTTGTGGTGATGATGGTGGTGGTGGTGGTGGTGACGGTAGTGATGGTGACGGTGGTGGTGGTGATGATGGTAGTGGTGGTGAGATGAGCTCTTTCGATGACGTCAGTCGCTTGTGTGCTTGGTTGGCTGGTTGGTAGGTTGAGCTAACTATTGTTCACCCTGAACCGCTCCGCCTCCCAGCCACGACCGTTTATATACCTGCTCGCCGCGGAGTCGTACGATCCTTTTTTCCGTCTTCTTTCTTTCCTTTTCTTTCTTCCACGGAACCGTCGGTGCTCTATGCGTGCGACGCATTTGGAATTCTAGAGCGTGGGGATTTCTAAAAGACATGTGGATGTGGGATTGTCTAAGGATTCTGCATATGCGACGTGCGTACTCTAGGCAGGGTGGATACGGTTCGACGGAGTGGAGTGAAGACAGGGTACTGGTAGAGTGGTAGAGTGCACAGTGGTAACTATGGCGATTTGGAATTCGTGATTACTATGCAATACGAGTACTCCACGGACCGGTCCACTTACGCAGGGCTGCGGGATTCGGTGGGGATTGGGATTGGGATTGGGTCCGGGAGGGTGGGTGGGGGTGGTTAGAGTAGACCGGTACTTTTGCTGATTACATCTCACCTGCGTCCAGTCCAGCAGCAGAAGCGAGGAAGGTGGAATTCCAAATTTCACGACAGATGAGAGGGGCAGCCAACCATTAGGCGAAGTCGCAATTAATCTACATATCCACGGCATCATCGGCGTTGCTGGTCACGGGGAAGGGCAGCCCGACTCCCTCCGAAATCCTGCCCAGCTCTCGGAGTATGCTCTGTTTTCGTTTTCGATCATGACGAGTTTTGCCACGAGCGTCGAGCGTCGAGCGATGTTGCTGCGAGCGGAATATGTGGGATGTTCATATGCATAGCTTCGTTCGCGCGGTTCGAAGCGACAAGCCAAGCCACGACTCGCAAGTTGCAACGGGATCTATCGTCTGACAGGTGCATGGCATGGCAGCCGTCCGCCTGTGCTGTGTGGGAGTGGCGTAACTGGCTCTTGGCCCGCCGACCGACGTCGTTGTCGTCGGGGATCGTCGGTCGGCCTTTTTCTTTTCTTTTCTTCAAGGAATGCCGTAGATGTGTAACACATGATGCTTGCTGTCGCCTGGTTGGCTGCCAGGGCGCGGAGAAGCAGGTTTGCCCCCCCCCGCTGGCGTGCACGATGATGTGCCGTATGACTTCACGCGGTAAATGGTAGGTAGCTGCTAGGTAGCAGCCTTGTTGTCGACTACTATCGTCTGAGAATCTGCGATCTGGAGACGAGGGAGGGAAGACTGTAAAACAGGGAACCACAGAGGACCGTCTCGTGTTTATAAAACTCTTCAGAGCAGCACAGCAGTAGAGTAGAGTACAGCATCACAGCACGCAGTATCACAGCACGCAGTATCACAGCAACACAGCAACACAACCCACGAGCACACCACGCCCAGTCCAGCTCCTCCCACCCCAAACAACACCCACAATGGTCGTGATCTCCCGCGCCGTTTCCCTAGCCCTGCGCAGCGGCCAACTCATTAGCGCGGTCATAGTCGCCGGCATAGTCGGGCACTACCTCGCGGTGCTGGACGATGCGGGCCTGCACCCCGGTGATCGCTTCATCTACACCGAGGTAGTGGCGGGCCTTGCCATCTTCACGAGCTTGCTCCTGCTGATCCCGATGACTTGGGCTATGACGCCGCTACCGTGGGATTTTGTCATGTTCCTTCTCTGGGTATGTGTCTAACGCAAGAGGAGAGGATCCACAAGAGCGATGCGCAGCGCGCTAACACGGAGGATTGGCTACGGTAGATCATCTCCTTCGGTCTCCTGGCGGACTACCTCGCGCCCGCCTCGTGCACGTGGTACGCGGCGTGGTCGCCGGTTTACAGGCTCGGCGGAACTGTTGAAGAAGGTAACTTTTCCCCATTCCCCCGTTTCCCTGATCCTTCCCCCCCCTCCATTCTCAATCCGTGGCCACTGACACATGTACCAACAGAGTGCTCAACCTGGAAAACCTCGCTGGCATTCATCTTCATCTCTGCGATGCTGTGGCTCGCCTCGTTCTTCCTAGGCCTCTGGGTCATCCACCGCCTGAAGAAGGGAGGCATTGCCACCAAGAGGAGGCCGTGGTACAGGAGTAACTACTAGGCGGGTGGTCACTGGTACCTAGGAGTGCAAGGGGTTGATCGAGAAATGAGTGATGATTGATGATTCGTGTTGGCACTCTTTGCGAGCGAGCGTTTGTGTTTTTCTTGGAGCGTTTCTAGCGGATTTGATTTTAAGCGATGTGAGTAATAGGGTGGGTTATGTGTTGGCGATGGGCGTAACAATGGATTTTCTTCATACTGCAGTATAGTACCTGACCAGTTTGTCTGCTCGAGTGAAAGCTGGGAATTCGATCCAAATCTAACCCTCAAAGTCGTATTGAAACAAAGTCGGAGTATGTGGTGAAACTATGCACCCGCCTCGGCACATACGTACGCATTCAAAAAAGAGATATCCCTCTCATATAACAACTCGGGGTTTACGTTTCCATCCGCCGGTGGGACTCTGCTTGCTAAGAAGACGGGGCCGAGAAGTTCCATACCAGGTAGTTAAGCACAGACCATTGTGGGCGCCGGAGAGAGAAGGTTCCGGAGTATCTAGAGTACCTAGAGTATGTATTTGCATAGTAGGTAGAGTACCTGCACCTCGCGACTGGCGAGGTCTCCACAAGAGCATTACCCATCCCCGCGGGTCAGGACTCGGCATCCCTGGGACGGATCGGAGCCCTATGTAAGTACTCTAGGCCGCGTTCATTTGTACATTTATAAGTATGCTCCGTCCGCCTGTTTTTTGGTTCATCATTCTGTATTCGTGACAGCCCGCTCCGTTAGCTACACTAGTGAATACGGTAGACGGTGGTGGAGGGTGGCGGAGGGCAGGCGAAGCCACATCGATGATCGGGCCGTTGGGCGGATGGTGAGTTGGACAGTGGACGGTCAAGGCCAGAAGCAATGGGAGGAGAGAAGGGGAACTGGGAAGGGAAGAGTTGGCTTGGAAGTTGGGAGTTCTAGTTAGGTGCAAGCGGTTTTAAGGGATCCATGAACTACGGTAACGTCTAGCGCGTAGGCGTTTAGCACCGCACACCCAGACGTCTACGCCTCAATGCATGTGCTATTCAAGACTTCAAGTTATGGTTACCAATTGGGTTTCCAGGCTTTGTGTACTGTGGATGGATGGCAAAGTAATATTAAATCACCACGCCCAATTCTCTCTTCAAATTCTACACCGACTGCAAACAGATCGAGCGTGCATAGGAAAGTCGAACCCAGGAAACAATCAGGGAAAAAAAACAGGTGAACAGGGAAAAAAAAGACCACAAGCCAGCATCCCCGTCTCTAGAATCCACCGGGTCTCTTATCGAACATTCTGAGCCGGGACAAATCGGCCGGAGTGGTTATAGTCGGCTTGACCGTCAGCATCGCTTTGTCGAAATGTTCTCTTTTGATGATGCGCCGTTTCGGGGTTGGGGCTTTGCGGGCGGCAGCGTTTGCATATTCCTCGCTGACACAGGTGAGCGCAGCTGCGACGCAAAGATTCTTGAGGTCGGAGCCTGTGTATGATGTTGTCATTCCGGCGAGAGTCTCGATGTCGGCCTTGCGCCCCAGCTTCTCTTCCTTAAGGAGGATTTGTAAGATGGCCTTTCTAGCCTCAGACGTCGGAATGTCCATGAGAAATCTTGCGGGCACACGACGAAGCACGGCGGTTTCGAGATCGTAGGGACGATTTGTGGCCAGCAAAATAAAGGCAGCGTCACCGTTACCGGCCGCCATCCCGTCCCATTCTCGCAGGAACTGGTTGATCATAGAACGTTCGTGGTGTTTGTCATCGTCTTTGCGTTTGGCGAGGAAGGAATCCGCTTCATCGATGAAAACGATACAAGGTGACAGCTTGCGGGCGAGTGAAAAGATTGCTCGAGCTATTTTCTCGCCCTCACCGACGCACTTTTGTAAAACATCTGCACCGGAGATTTCGAGCATAGTGACGCCTGCCTGTTTGGACAACGCTCGAGCTAGGAGTGTCTTCCCCGTTCCCGAAGGCCCATAGAGGAGCGCACCAGAGACCCGATTGGAACGAAGCACACCGTATGTGAAAGCTTCAGGGTGGATCAGCGAAAGAGTCGTTAAATTTTCTAGGCTGTCGAGAATGGAACGATCAACGTGGATATCGGAATACGTAATGCTAATTTTCTCTTCAGAGATGTCAGTAAGCTGTTGATGAAGGAAGCTCTGGTACGTATTCATATGCCAAACCACTTACCATTATCGACAATCCCACCCAGCAGCTGAGTTTCGTACTCGTCGCAATCTTCTTTTATCCGCTCTATCCTCTTCAAATAATCATCACCTGTAGATGTGGTTGGGGGCTTCCTCTGGTGCGATGTAAACGCACTTGTTCGTGCCATCGCCGCTTCCATCGTGTCGGTGGGTTCATCTACTTCAGAAAGGAACCTATTAAACCTTCTGAATGCGCCAATTTCCGCGAGGTCCTCTGACCCGAAGAGTTCCTCTAGCTGAGTAGGTTCCTTCGTCTCCGTGTGTTCTTCAGTCCCAGTGGGTTCCTCCGGCCCAGTGGGCTCCTCCGACGAAATGGGTTCCTCCGAGCAAGTTGCTTGAACCTCATCTTCATCTTCGGAAAGGCTACCATTTTCTGAAGGCTCCGGATCAAGAGCAGATCGGCGCAAGATAGTAGCGTATTCGTCGAGGGTAACCATTGGTGATCGCGGGAGTGTGTAATATTAGTGCGGAACAGTGAGTAGAGAGTAGCTGGCGGACTAGAGACAAGCCGGGGAGCGTGGGACCATTTAACGTTAGATAGCGAAACCGAAAGCCTTTAATATTCATCTGATGACGGCTGGCTTATCATCCTTCGTAGCCGGCACAGTGGCAAATGTCCGCCTGGGCTGAGGGGCCACCCCGAGATGATGGTAATTTTGCGGGGCAGTGTTCTGCTGCTCCGTCGCGATTCGCGCGATCGATTTGGTACCAACACGTCTGGCCGGAGACATGATAATAGTCAACTCTGGCAATAGCCCGCCTGGCCCTCAAGTTTCTCCATGCCCCCCCCCCCCCCACTACCTAGCCCCACAGAATTCCTTGCGGCCTTCAGCCACAGAAAATTCCACACGTAAGCCAGAGCATCCTGTGTTTTGTGGGCGTTTGCGTGCATTCACGCGCACAAAGCAAGAATTGTGCTTTGAGGATTTTGTCGTCGAAATGCAGTGAAACCGCACCGACTTAGGACTGCTGATTCGCCGGCTTGTGTGCGGTGGGGCTGGCGACGATATGGGTGGTGTTGGTGTTGATGGTGTTGTCGATGGCCTATGAGGCGCTGTTCCGCAGCCGCATGGTTCCCATAGGTAAATGCTTGTGCATATACTACCGAAAGAGGCGACTGGCATATCCAAAATGCACAGCTGTGTTTCGATCTCCCTTCGCCCCAACAGACACTGCCAGATACTCTAAACAGGCTGCGGCTGGACACGCAGACGAATCGAGGCTCTGCTTGGTTCACTCGAATAGCCATGGCCAACACCACAGCCACTGTCACCAGTGCTCGTCAGCTCGTTACCAAAGAATGTACGTACTCGGCGACAAGAGTATAAAGCCTACGCTGACGATAGTTCGCCGGACTACTACTCACACACCGCTACCAGTTCCGACAGTCGTCCAAGCTCCGAAGTCTACCCCCCATTATCTCGAATCTATTTTTCCGATCACCTTCTCTACGAAGTTATCCGCATCTATAGCACCTTCAGCGTCATCGGCTCATCCCTTACGTTGCCCGAGATCATATGGCTTTAGGCCTCGCTGTTTCGCCGGCTGCTAACACCCTTGACGAGAAACCAAACATCTCCAAGAAGAAATCCTCTGTTAGATTCAAAGACTCGCCACGATGGAAGCGATTGCGGTCAAGCGATCCACCGAGGCTTTTTCAGCCACCGCCAGACATCGCCAATCCTTGCCCCCCACTACCACCCATTGCGTCTTCGGGACGTCTTAGCACAGTCACTACGAAGATCGGAGACGCCATCGGTCGGTTCCGGAAGGAGCCCATCCAGCCGCAGAGCCCCAAGCAGTATGGCGAAAGCATTCTGCACGACGAGCTCGAAGACACTAAACCCCGAGATACCAGACTCGCAATTAAAGAGAACGACGTCCTCAGGGTTGTTTTGGGGCACAAATCGTTCTCGATGCGGGGCGTGGACATCGCGTTGACGGATTTCCCTTCCCTTGACAGTCTAGAGGTTTACGGTGTGGACGAGGAACAGTCTCGCACATTGTGGACGAAGGAGATACATCGCTTGGTTACGTATGTCAATGATCCGGACCAGAAACTTAGGTTCTCAAGCCCAACTTTCCTCAGGGAAGGCTCTCCCGATGCCTATTGCCGTCTTTCGTCTCTCGCCAAACGTATCCTGGATTGCAATCACATAAGAGCCTACGACAATGAAGCACTATATGCTGCGCATCATGAGGACCTTCGAGATACAGAGGACCATGATAAATACCAGATACATCTCACTCGGTTGGAGCGCGCTACCATGGATGACAATCTGACGGACGGAGAAAGCCGGATTGATATATTTGCTCTTGTGGACTACCTCACTGCAAGCTTTGCCCGCTTTCTCTGCCAATCCGCGCACGGCTCCGAATGGCACAACCATGTCCTTGCATTGCTCTCTACTTGGTCGACGGCGGTGAAGGTCATCTCGGAGCGGCCATCTACATTCGCACGCCTTGCTCTGGACACGGCGGCAGATCGGATTCAAAAGGCCGAGAACAACGATCGAAAACAGATGCTCTCGGAAGCAACCGGCGTGGAAAAAGGCCAGGAGCTCCTCAGGGAAATACTGAAGTTCAGATATTTCAAACAGAGGCGGAGACTCCGGAAGCTTGAGAGTTCACTCACCCAGATGCTGCTGAATTTGATGGATTATAAGGACGACGTCGAAGACTGTTTGACCAAGTACGAGCTCTGTTCCGTTGTTTAGTAAGTTACCTTCCTCGTTGACTACCCACGCCGCTGTACTAACATCGGCAGCGAAACCGGATTCGAAGGCTTCCAAACGCTGCTCTCCCAAGTGGCAAATGGTGAATTGATGGGAACGTCAGCCCCGGCATGCCTGAATATTGCACACTCCGCCTGTGCGATTCTGAATGAAATCGTGGAGACTGTCCGGAAAGATCCCCATCGTCCTCCTCCGCCCAGGAAACCTGTCGAATCGCCGCTCGAGACCAAGTTTCGTTGGGTGTACAACGACAACGAAGAGCAGGAAAGTACAGACATCCAGGCTCGTTCGCTCAATGGAAAGACAGTCACACCGAACGAAATGTCTCTGGAAAGCATGGAAGACATCATCACCATCACCATACCGATCCTGTTGACGACACCGTGGATCGTTTCGGAGATCTTTGATGCCATCAACGTGTTTGCTCACACTTGCGAGGGGGAGGAGCCAACACGATATTATGCATCGACAAAGTTCAAGGCATTCTTTCGAATGTACACCAACCTCTTCGAGAGTTCGAGGAACAGTCAAGGCATGTACGTTTCCTCGCTCTCCAGGGGATTAATGACTCGAGACAAGCTCCTTGCCGGACCAACGATCGCCCTCGGACCTGAATCGACGAAAAATATGTGTGAAACGACTCCCCCCAATAATTCTCGCCTCATCGATGCTACCAGTATGGCAAAGGCGGGCCGCACGATGGATGAGTGGATTTTCGATGAGAAGGCGGTGATAGTTCAATGCCCACTCTACGTGTGGAGCGTCATCACCGCGGCCTCGATCCTGGTTATTGGTGGCATGGTCATAGGCTTCACGGTCAAAGGTCGAATCGCAGCGGTCGACCCGTTCAATATCACTACCGTACACCTCCCTTTCTCGCCCGTGCCTCATCTACTGTTTCCGGTTAACAATAACCAATAGTACTGCTGGGTTCTTGCCGCCTTTCTTGTGCTGATCTGCAAAAGCGTTCGAGTCGATAACTGGTCATGGCGAGACTTCCTCCACTTCAGAGTACAGTGCCGAAGCGTCAGTGAACTTCACGATGTCAGCGGAGTGCCCGAGCAGCTCATAATCGCCAAGCTCCTCCACGAGGAGCACACGACAATTCTGCGCACACGTGGACCATACAATTCGGCGTTCAAACGGAAAGCCGACGATGGCTTCTCCATTGACGTTCCGCTCACCATGTGGACGATGCTGCTCAGTGGACTGATCATGGTGCAGGTGATGAGGCCCAGCGGCCGCGCACTCGCTTGCTTGGATGTTCGCCGCGGAAAAAAGTATACGTGCGTCATCCATGACAGCAATCCAAGCAGCGCATCGGAGTTGTTGGTCTGCATTGATCCGGTGACTTCGCACCAGGGCCGCGGTAGGGGGAAGAAACAGCTCTTTTCGCTTCATGTCGAGAAGTTGGAGTGGAGAAAGGTCCAGGGACTGTTCAACATGCAGAATGCGGAGTTTATGTGAAGATGCGAGTGGGCTTGGATTATTGACTGCTTCCTATGGCGTTTCAAATGTGGGCTTTATACTGGGGGGTTTGAACTCTGGAGTTTGGAATTTGGGTTTTGGGTTACTACCATGTGCATAATGGCGTTACATACCGGTACTCTGCTGTGAGCCCGTGAAGGCCAGACGGATACTCGGACTCCAGGCAGTGAATGCGATGTTACCTAGTGGTTTTACCACCAGCACAAGATCATCCCCAGTCTGTGAACCGTTTGCCGCGCGTGGGTAGCACACGGACGACCTGAGCGGAGTGAATAACGCTGCTGCGAGTGCGAGTGCGAGGACTCTGGATGTCGGCGCTGCCTGGCTGGGCTGTCGGCGCTGTACATACCTAGGCGCCGTGGTAATTACATAAAGTACCGGTAGAGTATCGAGGGCTTTGGCGAGCGAGCGGTGGCTGCTGCTTCAAGGTTGGATCGGTCCGTCCACCACGGCAACAGTGTCTACAGCACTACTGCTGCTCAGTGCGCTACCGCATGTGCGCCCATGGAATTGGAATTGCTATGTACTACTGTCACCCCCGGTTATTCGGGCCGATGAACAAGCCGGCCGGCTGGACTTGCTACCGTATGTAACTACCGGATATATCCTCAATGATGACGGGATCTGCAAGGTAAGGAAAGGTAAGGTCATGTTATCTATCATTGCGGTGGATCATCGCGGCGGGAATACGAAATACCAACTAACCACACTCACCCTCACCATCTGTCGTTCACAAGATCACAAAATATCAACCTCGCCTGTCACCAGCTAGGTTTGGACTGTTCAGCTGTTGGTGTTTGTAGATTTTGCTGCACGCTGAGGTGTGGTGAGTGTATGCTGGCAGTTGTCACCACGTGGTCGGCTCGAGGTCCGATGGCTACGTGGGTGTCGCTGATATCTAAGTTCGGGAGGGATTGTTATGCTGCTTATGCCTGGTGATTATAGCGTTCGCTTTTTACTGCTGTGGAATTGCTCTAAGAAATGTATGTACGGTGACTATGCTATGGCTTTCTAGTATTATACGGACATGGCTTTCCGCTGAAAACAAAGTCCACAGGCAAGTGGATGGACTGTCGGTGATAATTGGTGACTACGCTGATACTAAAGAGGCCTAGCGCCATTAATGGGCTGAGCGCTTGGCAGTTCGTAAGCACGTCATTCTTTACTAATCCATAGAAACAATTTGCAATTCGACCTGCGCACCAGCACTCGCCATTCAATAGTGTCGGCGCACCCCGCGTCATGAAACCCTCCTACAGCTCTCGTCCTGCTGCACTTGGGATGCAAACAACGGCACCATGAATCGCCTAATCACACTGTGTCGGACGGCGTCCCGGACCACCATCCGGTCTCGGTCAACACCAACCGCAACCCTCCGGGCCCAAGCAGCAATCTTTAGTAGGCAGCAGACGCGGTTCAACAGCAATGCATCGTCGAACCCGCCGATGGCGTTCCCGTGTCTCGACGCGATCGAGTCGCGGACCCGCCAGCTCGAGACTCGCTTCTCGACCGAGGGTCCCGAGCCCTCGTACACCACCGGCGCACACGAGAAGTGGACATCCCAGTCGCCGATTCTCCTCGACAACGGCGGGGTGCTGAGCGAGTTCACGATCGCCTACGAGACGTGGGGGACGATGAATGCGGACCGGTCGAATGTCATCCTGCTGCACACCGGACTGTCGGCGTCGTCGCATGCGCATTCCACACCGAGCAACGCGAGCCCCGGCTGGTGGGAGAAGTTCATCGGGCCTGGCTGCGCGCTCGATACCGATCGCTTCTTTGTCATCTGCACAAATGTGCTCGGCGGGTGCTATGGCTCCACGGGACCGTCCAGCATCGACCCTGCCGACGGAGAGATCTATGCCACTAGGTTTCCGATCATCACCATCACCGATATGGTCACGGCGCAGTTTCGATTGCTGGATGCCCTCGGCATCGAGAGGTTGTATGCCAGTGTCGGTGCGAGTATGGGCGGGATGCAGAGCCTGGCGGCCGGTGTGCTGTTCCCGGAACGTGTAGGAAGGCTCGTGAGCATCAGCGGGTGTGCGCGGAGTCATCCGTACAGCATTGCCATGCGGTACACTCAACGGCAAGGTGAGATGCCCTCCGCCACTACTCCGTAACTCCTGCTGACTTTGCTAGTTCTGATGGCGGATCCCAATTGGAACCGCGGGTTCTACTACGGAAGAGTCCCACCGCACTCGGGAATGAAGCTAGCACGTCAAATCGCCACCGTTACCTACCGATCAGGCCCCGAGTGGGAACAGCGCTTCGGCCGCGAACGAGCAGACCCCTCGCAGCCACCGGCTCTCTGTCCCGACTTCCTGATCGAAACTTACCTCGACCATGCCGGAGAGAAGTGGTGTCTACAGTACGACGCCAACTCGCTGCTCTATGTCTCGAAGGCCATGGACCTCTTCGACCTTGGCGCGAAGTCCCAATCTCGCACCAAAGCCCGTAGAACGGAGAACGAATCGAAGCTGTCATCGGATGTCCCCAAAGACGATCCACAATGCAGCCTCACCCTCCCGGCCAAACCATACGAGGAGAAGCCCAGGAGCCCCGCTGTTCCTACCACCAACCCGCCCCAGGATCTGATCGACGGCTTGGGGGCGCTTCGGTCTCACCCAACGTTGATTCTCGGTGTCACTAGCGATATCCTGTTCCCTGCCTGGCAGCAGCGGGAGATCGCGGATGCCTTAAGACTGGGCGGCAACAGGAGCGTCACCCATATGGAGCTGGGCGAGGATGTTAGTTTGTTTGGACACGACAGCTTCTTGTTGGATCTGGAACATATCGGAGGCAGTGTAGGAAGGTTTTTGGAGAAGTAGCTAGGGGAGTGAAGTGGCTGTTAGACCGTGTACTGGACTCGTGACCTGTAGGAGGCGGGGGGCGGAGGGGCGGAGGTACGGGACCGGGTGTGATTTGCGGCGTGATTGTGGCCATTGTACTCGGTGAACTGGACTGTACCTACCTACTATACCTACCATAGAGCAAGAGATACCTCCTTGGATTGCGATTGCGCGGCAGCTGTCTATCAGTCAGGGGCTGGAGCCGATCCGTTGTGTCTGGGCCGGGTCCGTAGTCGTATAACTATGTCCATCAGCGCGCACATGACGATGCCCTATGAATTGGCCGCGGCCATCTCGTGCTCACTTCACGAAGGACTAATTTCCTTGATCGCCGCACAACCGCCGCCCATTGGACGCGTCTATCACGCGACTGCGTTCAGGGTCGGTCACTCGCTAGAGTTACCCGTTCTCCAACAAGGGCAAACCCGGTCCGTGCAGCAGAATAACAACACTAGTTGGAGATGCTATCCAACTTAAGCAGAAGTGCATCCGCCAGCAGCCTCTTTTTTTACAACCTTGATCGTCGGTATTCAACAGGGGGTAACATCTTTAGTTGGTGGTTTTTCCTTCGTCCGCGAAGTACTACTCTCCATCTACCTCTACCTAACCTACCTATCCCACATACATCACTCTACTCCCCCCTCCCCCCTCCTCCCCCCCTCCCCCCCTCTTACATACGAACCAGCTTCGTTGAATCTTCTCTCGTTAATAATAAGTCTCGTCGACTCTTTCCCCCCATCCTTATCGCTCAGCCCAGCCACGAACGCTATTGGACCGTGACAGTCAGCCCGTCAGCCCTCCCTCCCTCGCTCACCATCTCCAGAACGCAACGCAACGGAATCCGACAGCTTTAGCTACTCCGCCACGTCCACGGGATCATCGACGAGACGGCGACCCGACGACGAAGAAAGGACCTGTTGCTTGTTGCTCGTTCGTTCGGGGGAGGGTGAGAGCGTGAAGAAAGAGAGAGAGAGAGTGTGTGAGTGAGGTCTGGCCTATCTATCCGTTAATTAGGTGATTACATGAGACTTAACCCGCGTCAATGAAGCCTCCGTCCCAAAATCTGCTTCCTCGTTCCCTAACCTAACCCCCCCCCCCTCCTAACCCCCTCCTATCCCCTCCCCCTCCTATCCCCTCCCCCGGGTCTATCCTTGCTTACGCTTGCTTATCCTCTAGTTTGATGCTGCCGTAGCTTCCAGCTTCCAGCTTCCAAACCTACATACCTCTACCTTGAAGGAACTCCCTTCCCCCCACTCACCCACCCATCGATAAATCCGCGCCGTCGTCAGGTCGACAGCAGCAGAAGCAGCCAGCAGCCACAGCAAGCAGCAGTTACTACAGCATCAGCACATCAAAAATGCAGCCCGGCAGGTATGGCCAACGTACCTCCCACTCCTCCTACCTCGATCATTCCTCCTCACCCCACACCACCACTGCTTCTTCTTCTACTGCCAAATCATCATGGACGGCACGGGCTCAGGCTAAACGCGACCATTTATTCAGGAGAGAATTTAATATAGTGGTTTTGGGTGCCGGTATGGGATGATATGTTTTACCGTCGTACACTTGCCTTTCGATATCTGCCATCTGCATCTTTTTTTTTACAATTCTTCAGAATTCTTTTTTTTTACTTGGAGAAATTGATCTTTTTCCACCTTCTTCTTCTTTGTTGTCGTTGGCGGGGGGCAGACTGCAGCAGACAGCTCAGAGAAAAGATGACTTCATGCAACATTTTTATATCTTTTTTTCTTCCAACATTTTTTTTTCTTTTTTTTTCTTTCTTTTTTGGCGAGAGAAAAAGAAAAATCAATATTCAGAGAAGTGCCCTGGCTAAAAGTTTGGTGTGTGCCGTATGGCGTCGTTTTTTCGATATACAGGTGGAGTTGGAAAAAGCTGTTTGACAGGTAAGTACACACTTAACTAGCATCCTGGGGAGGGAGGAGGGAGAGAGAGCTTTCATTAGTAGTAGTCGGTCGTGCTCATTCTTTTCTTTTCTTCTTCTTCAGCTCAATTCGTCCAAAATGTGTGGATCGAGTCGTACGACCCCACTATCGAGGATTCGTACCGCAAAGTGGTGGAGGTAGATGTATGTCAGCATTCCATTCCATTCAACTCCATAATCCTGCAGAATCTTACAGAATCCTACGGAGAAACCGAGAAACCGAGAAATATATGGTAGCTGACGTGGGTGTACATAGGGGAAATCTTGTGTTTTGGAGATGTAAGGCGTCTCGGTCCCGGTGGATGGTGGTGGGGAATGCTGATGGTTTTGTTTCGTCGATAGTTTGGATACCGCGGGGACGGAACAATTCAGTAAGTGATGCATTGCATTCCCCAGAATCTGGTCCGGCTATCGTACATAAGCTAATATATGGCTCGCCGTTAGCTTCTATGAGGTACTTCGTCATCCAGACTTCGCGTGGCCGAGGTTGTTAGCTGTGCACTTGACTAACCGTAGCAAAGAGAGATATATCTGAAAACCGGTACCTACATTTTTCCTCTTCCTATGTTTGGGTTTAGTACTAACAGATTCTCGCAGGCCAAGTACCATATATCACTTCCGCCATCACGGCCTCGCACCACTAACTCTAGCCTAGGGCTTCCTACTCGTCTACTCGATAACCAGCCTCACGTCCTTCCAAGAGCTCACCCCGATCCGTGACGCCATCCTGCGAATCAAAGAAGTGGAAGAGGTGCCGATCGTCATAGTCGGCAACAAGTCGGATCTCGAGGGCGACCGGCAAGTGTCGAAAAACCGCGCAAACCACCTCTCGCGCAAGTGGGGCGGCGTACCGCTCTACGAGTCCTCGGCCAGGAGACGGCTCAACGTCGACGAGGTCTTCTTGAACCTCACAAGGCAGCTGATGAAGATGTATGGAGGCGATGCGCCCGGTGCTGGTGGCGGAGGAGCGACAGGAGGCGGTGTCAGGAAAAAGAAGGGCAGGACTTGTACCATCTTGTGAGACTTGTTGGGATTTGTTGGGGATTTGCTGTGGATGGATGGATTGATGGACTTGGATGGGAGACAGACTTATACCATTTCGTTTTTTTTCGTTTCGTTTTTTTGTGTTTTTCTTCTTTTTCTTCTTTTTCTTTCTTCTTTTTCGTTTCTTCCTCCCCACCATTCATTTCGTAGCTGGACGAGCTAGACGAGCTGGACTGGACTGGACTGGACCGGACTGGACCGGACACACCCGATTTTCTTTGGCCTTTTTTATTTTTTAATCACGGAACCTTCTCTACATATTTCATTTCATTTCTGTAACTACTACCTTTATTACCCTACCCGACTGCGGGAACGAGAGAGCGAGAGAGCGAGAGAGACTTGTAATGGCACGGGATCGGATTCGGATCGGATATAGAGCGGGAGAGACATTGCGAAGCGAATGGCAATTCGGTGTTTTGTTTTGAGTTTTTGTTTTTACGGCCGATGCTTAGTTGCTTACATCTTACTTAACCTACTAGTAGTCTATACACCCTACTTAGTAGAGTACTCGTACATTCACTTGCGTTGAGAAGAAGTACTGTATAGATACCTAGGTAGTCCAAGGGGGGTAAAAAAAGTTCGGTGCGGTAAGTCTCGGCCCCGGTCTCGGTCTCGGGACGGGACGGTAATTGTTTCTCCACCCGTGTGAGTGTGTATGTGTGTGTGTGCGAGAGAGAGAGAGTGTGTGTGTGTGGCCCTGATCGCCAGATCTACGACATCATGCCTCCCTACATACATACATACACACCTATATTCATACGCCCGGTAACTACTAGAGTGATCGACGGAAGTGTTGGCGGTAAGTGTGGGAGTCGGGTGTGTGTGTGTGCTGCCAATAAGTGTACATAGTGGGTGGGAGTTTAGTGTGTGTGGGTGACCAGCCGCCCGTGGATGTGTGTGTGTGGTGAATGGGGTGGTGGATGGTGGATGGTGGGAGGGGCAGGAGGGGTAGGTGGGGTTATGTAGTTAGAGAATATACATAGAGTAGCGATTCCCATTCTACCGGCACCGGCGCCGGCGCCGAGGCTGATGATGATGATGATGTGATATCACGGGTGGGATATCACGGGTTGGGTTCGGCGAGGCGAGGCGTGACTGGACAGGCGTGACTAGACGGGACGTGACCGGACGTGACCGGACGAGACAGGTCGGGGACGGGACGGGACGGGGGAAGCGGGGGAAGAAAGGGTGTGATATCCGGTGATGCGGTGCGAAGAACGAACGAACGCGGGGAATCTTCGGGATACCGGTGCTCTACTCATGCTCGGTCGGCCGGGCAGTCGGTCGGACAGCACCGACAGCCAGCCGGCACCGACAGCCAGCCAGCACCGACAGCCAGAGTACTCGCACTCGTACTCGCAGCAGCGCTAGGTATTCACTCCCCCCAGGTCGTCCGTGTGCTAGGTACTCGTACACGCGCGGTAAACGGTTCACGGACTGGGGGTGATCTTGTACATACTGGCGGTAAAAACACTAGGTTTACCGTTTATGCAGGGTGGGGTGTTGAACACCGCATTCACCGTCTGGAGACTGGAGTACCTATCCGTCTGGCCTTCGCGGTGCGAGAGAGACCAGCGTGTAGATGTGTAGATCAATGTAAACAGAGTACCGGTATATTGTAACGCCAATATCCCGGAGTCTAAACTCCAGCAATAACAGTTTCTGGGGGCGCACTGAGCAGCGGCAGTACAACTCTACTGTATAGACATGCAGTTGCGGCCAGTGGCCACCGCTCGCTCGCCAGTGCCCTCGATATGCAATTACCACGGCGCCTAGGTACATACATCCTGTGCACGGTGTACCGTGGGTGTGGATCGCCGACTCGTACGCCAGAGAAGCTGCTCGAGCTGTTATTTAGCTTTGGGGGAGGATGCGAAATAGGAACGGGTAGACTGGCTGAACTGAAGTGAACCCGACGAGGGCGAAGCCGAGAGTGCGAATGCGAAGTGCCAGTGTGAATGGGGGGCTCCAGCTGTAATTCTTATTGCGTATGTACTCGCACATACATGCACAGTCCAACAGCTTTGCTCGCATTACCGATCGCGAGTGCTCTCGTAGTTACTCCGATCAGTCTTCCGACCTTCCGACCTTCCGACCTCCAACTTCCGAAGCCACGCGGAACAGTAGTCTACCAGAGCACTCGTACTCTACACAGTAGCTCAGCTCAGCTGAAATGTGCCATTCGATCCTTCTTGTGCTCCTTGTGCACCTATTCCCATCACGATCCGCTGGTGAACACTGGACGTACGGTACGCGAGCACAGTTACTACCTACTCTATGGGAATCGCGAACTCGGACTCTCTGAGATGTGGGACCTGGGGATATCTACCAAAGACCTCGGGCTTTCAATTGAGCTTCCGGTCATTCCGAAATCCGAACTCCAAACGCAGCCAGCCAGCCGGCGGAACTTTCAGCTCATACCCATCTCGCGAGCGAGTAAAAGCTGCTATTCACCACACTCCACGCAGTCTCACTATCTCAACTCACACGCAGCCAAGCCCACAGTAACCACAATCTCAAGTTTCAACCCACCCGCACCTTGTAAGTTATAAAAGCAAGAGCGAGTGATTACTGGATATTCGATTCTCTAACGTAACCAACGTATTTAACGTAACCAACTGCCTAACTATCTATCTGCCTATGCAAGTAAGAAAGTAAGAAAGTAAGTACAAACATAACTACATCCTAATGCCAATCATGCCAATCATGCTGATGTCAATGCCAAACTATCCACATCCCAATGCCATAACTATGGCCATATCTGAAATGCAATCTCCATCCCTCTCTCCATCCATCTCTCCCTCTTCATCTCCATCCCATTCATCTTCATCCATATCTCCACCCCCATCCATATCATGTCGTCGTATCATCGTATCTCTTGTCGTCGTAGCCCATCAATATCAAGTACAGCTCCCACTCCCCACCAACTAATGCTCAGTAAGTCCGTAAGTAAGCAAGCAAGAACATATCCACAGAACGCAAATCAAAGCAAAAGCAAAAGCAAAGCAAAGCCAAAAACGACAAACATCCGCCATATAGCGTTAACGATCCACGGGCCGAACATATAAAAACCGAGTAGGGTGTAGTAGGTAATCCATCCATCGCAAGAAAAGAGAAGGGAAGAGAAAACAGCAAAAACAAAAAAACAAAAACAGGCAAAAAAACAGCAAAAACAGGCAAAAAACAAGAAATCTACAGATAGCCGCTACCACACACACTGACCCTGTACATAAGTAGGTAGGTTGATTAACCAACTCGTCGCTCGCACGTTCACATCATCACATCATCACATCATCACATCATCACATCATCACATCATCACATCATCACATCTTAACCCCCGCCGCGAGCAACTGCGTCAACTATCCCCCGTTCAGTCAGCAATCATTCCCATCTCATCCCCCATCCCCCATCCTTCCCCTGTAGCAGAAGACAACATACCCAAGTATTCAACCTCCCCCCATCCCCTCCCGCCGCCCTGACCGCGGAATCCAGCGTCTCATCGTTACAATGTATGAGCCCGACCATTTCCGGATCCCTGGCGAGGCGGTCGAGGTAGCGCTTGCTGTCGGGCGAGTCGCCGATGCGATTGATCTGGAACGTCACCGCCGACTCGCCGTACGGGATGCCGCGCGCGTTCACGTTCTTGCGCAGCTCCTCCTTACACGCTAGGATCGTCCATTTCAACGTGTCGACGTTTTCCTCGGTCGGCTGTAATGTGTTAGTGGTGGGTGTGAGCGCGCGGGAAAAGGGGGGGAAAGTACCTCGCCGTCAGTGATCATAGAGATCAGCACGGGCTTCCGCAGCTCGCCGCGGCGCGCAGGCTCGATGACGAACGGCAGCACGACCTTTTCGAGCAGCTTCGTTCCGAGGCGGGTGGTGCCGTTAGGGAACACGTGGCTGACGGCGGAGTTGATATCGCCGTGGTTGAGACGGTTGTAGCCGTCGTCGTCGAGGAAGTTGATGAAGCGCAGGGAGATGCCGGCGCGGTTGTACGTCTGCGCGATACGCGAGATGCGCTTGACGACGTCCTTCTGGTCGTCGAAGCGGTTGTTCGCCAGCATCGACCCAGAGTCGTCGCAGAAGACGATGACATCGTACAGGCCGACCTTGGTGAGATCGGGCGTGGCGTACGCCGAGATTCCGAGGGCGGAGCAGATCCGGTCGGCTTCGGCTTCGGCACGCTTCGCGATCTCGAGAGGATCCGGCGAGTCGTCGGGGATCACTCCCTCGAGATTGTGCTCGGCGATATGGGCGGTCAGGGATTCCATGTGGTCCTCGAAGGTGATGGGAAGCGGGCCCTCCTCGACGTATGCGAAGCCGAGTTTGGGAAACTCTCGCCGCCGGTAGTCGACAAAGTTGGGCGCGGCACTTGGGGTATCTGGGGGTGTGTATTGCTGGAGGTGATCGGGCTGGGAGGCGGCGGGGGAGGAATTAGTAGAGTGGTGGCTGGGGTTGTTGACTCTGCGCCGGGTGGAGACGGTGCGAGTGATGGTGATGTTGATGGGGGCCCGTCTGGGGGGACCTGTGGGCGACTCTCCGGTTACTGTCTCCGCATCCTGCTGCTGCTGCTGCTGCTGATGTCTCATGGCGTTCTCACGCTCCTCTTGGTCTCGTCGCGCTCGAAGGGCGTGCTCGCGTTCTTCCTGTTCCCGCCTCTGGCGCATGGCTTCTTCCTGCTCCCTCCTCTGCCGCAGGGCGTGCTCTCGCTCCTCCTGCTCCCGTCTCGCTCTGATCGCATTCTCACGCTCCTCCAGCTCCCTCCTCGCTCTGACCGCCATCTCCCGCTCCTCACGCTCCTCACGCTCCTCACGCTCCTCTTGCTCCCGTCTCGCTCTCACCGCCATCTCCCGCTCTTCCAATTCCCTCCTCTGGTGCATAGCATCTTCCTCCTGCTCCCTCCTGGCTCTGAGCGCATTCTCGCGCTCCTCCAGCTCCCTCCTCGCCCTGAGCGCATTCTCGCGCTCTTCCAACTCCACCCTCTGCCGCAGCCCCTCGCGCTCATCCATCTCCCTCTTCTGGCGGCGGGAACACATTCTCCTCGGCGGCTCGCCGCCGCCCCCATTCCCGTTGCCGTCGTCGTATCCGTTTCCGAAATCCGCAGGCGCAGTCCCGCGCCTGACCAGTGCGCCTGGGCCGTAGTTCTCGACGGCCTGCCCACTCTGGCCGGGCATGACGCCAGGCACAAGCCTAGTCAGGGCATTCGGATCGCCGGTATGACTTCTCCTGGGCCTGCGACCTCCCATGTATCCCGGGCCCGCAGGCATCGGCGGTGGGGGTGCAGCGCTATTATCGGAGTCCTCGCCGCGGCGGGAGCCGTCGGAGTACAGCGAATGATAGGAGTCGCGGAACTCGCCGCCCCACGAGGAGCGGGGGCGGGAGTGGGAGCGCCGGCGCCGGTTGGTCTCGGAGCGCACGCGGGACACGCTGCGTTCGCGCCGCCGCTCGGATGGCGTCGCGAATATTTCTACGTCGATGGCCGTCGGGATGAAGTGCCGGACGCCGCTGGGTGGGTGGGCGCGCGGAGGCGAGGGCGTGCTCGAGACTGAGACCCGGCGGCGACCAGTGTAAGGCTCGGAGTCCGAGGGAGTGCTGGTCTGCTGCTCGTCGTCCGATGAGGGCTGGTGTTGGTGTGGGTGTGGGTGCGAAGGCTGCTCGTCGCTGCTGCTGTCCGCGGACGCCGGGTGCTCGTCCTGGTGCGTTATCACCGTGCGCGTGTATTCGTACGGTGCGGTGGGGGCGTGTCCCTCGACAATCGTTGTCGGCGGGGGGCTGAGCGGGATCTTTGCCGGGCGCGGGGGGGCGGGCGTAGGCGGCGGCGAGGGCGAAGCTGGCGGCGGCGGGGTGATCTGCCGTTCCTGCTCCAGCTCGGAATGCACGGGTGACGGCGGCGGCGACGGCTCCGGGAACGGGCTCGGTGTCTGCCGCGCCTCCTGCAGCGACGGGTCTCTATACAGCTCGACGTCGAGCGGCGGCGGCGGCGGAATCAACACCGCAGGGACAAAAGCATTACCGTCCTCCGACGACGACGAGGGGGTGACCGTCTTCCTCTGCTGCCTGCTGCTCCTGCTCCGGTCCTTCTCCTTCTCCCCCCTCTCCTTCTCCCTCCCCCCACCCCCGCCTCCGCCACCCCTCTCCTTCCCGGCCGCTCCGCGCGACGCACTCTGGCTCCGCCGCTTACTCCGGCGCTCCCGGTTTCCATGCGCATGCCTGTGCCCCTTCTCGCTCACGATCCGCGCATTGTCTGATGACTCGGTGCTCCCGCTCCCCCCGCTGCCGCTGTGTTGCTTCCCCCCCTTCGTGTTGCGTGTGCGGTAGTACTTTAGCAGCTTCCGCGGCTCGCAGCAGAAGGCGTAGCACCAGGGGATGCAGCACATCTTGACGAACGAGTGGTGGTTTGGCTCGTGTTTATGTCGTTTGTTTGTTGTTGTTAGATGGGGGTGGTAGTGGTGCTGGTGCTGGCGGTATGTATGTATCAATCAGTGCTCCGTGTGTATATATATGTGGTATATACGGTGTATATATGCCAATGAGATGGAAAGCTGGTTCGGTTCGTTCACACGTAGGACGGATGGTTGGTGGTAGTAGTAGTAGTAGTAGTAGTAGTAGTAGTAGTAGTAGTAGTAGTAGTAGTAGTAGTAGTAGTAGTAGTAGTAGTTGTTGTTGTAGTGGTGGTGGTGGTGGTTGGTGTGGGTGTGATATGTATATCTCGTCAGATCAGCTCAAGGCGTGAACAGTGAACACCACTATAAAAAAAAGGAATGGACCGGCCGAACGGCGGACAGTTTGGACTTGGAGACGAATTATATTTCAGCAGGCTTTTTAAGAAAGAAATATTAGAAGAACGGAAGAAAGGAAGAAAGGAAGAAAGAAAGAAAGAAAGGACAGAAAAAAATACCGCCCTCCCGATGGGGCATATAGTATATAATTCCTTTCCTGCCACACAATACCAGACCACCACCACCACCGACCAGGCTCCAAGCTGCGGTTTTCGAACCTTGCCTCAGATCATGCATCCATCGGAAAAGAAAAGAAGAAAAAGAATATCTAGCAGAAGGGAAAAGAAAAGAAAAAGTAAAACAGAAACCCCAATGCGGAATGATCACGGTTAACTACTGGCCGCGAAGGGGGAGGGAGGTACTCGAGTACTCTAGGGAAGGGGAAGGCGAAGAGGATAGGGAAGGGCCATCCATCCTGCCATCCATCCATCCATCCTTCCACCCACCTTCCATCCATGAATCCTTGGCCTTTGGCCGAAGCACAGCAGGTGGTGGTGCAGATGTAACAGTAACAGGTACTGGAAGAGGGGGGGCGGAGGGGGCAAAAGGTTCGGAGAGGGCAAAAGGTTCGGAGGGGAGGGGAGCCAACCAATGCGGTCTCTCCACGAGATTTCTCTATGTACTTGCCTGCTCGGCCATGTTGCGCGCGTGCTCGGGGTTTAGGTTGGGGGATGGAAGGATGGATGGGTTGGGGATGGATGGATGGGTTTACCAGAAACCAGGGCGAGCGGGCGACGGAGTGGAACTGTCGATACTCTACATATGCGGGTAGGGTAGGTGGGTGGGTAGGTAGGGTAGGGTACATACATTGAGCATGCAGGTGCAGGAAAGAGAGACGCAGCAAGAAAGCAAGCCAGAGGGCACTTGTCAGGTAGTTCCGAGCGTGCCAACAAATCGTTGTCCGCCCCTTGATGATTCCGTCAGATTCTTCAGCATCTCCGGATGCCTCTGGGCGGTGGGTGGGTGCGTCGAAGGAAGGCTCCGACCAACCATACGCGCAATGGATAGCTATCACAGGCGCAGGCGCAGCAGTAGCAGCAGTAGCAGCAGTAGCAGCCACGCGGGAGCAGAAGCGAAGTGACCTGATGGAACTGGTGGACGGACGAACGAACGAACGGAGGTCTAGAGTAACTATACCGGTAGTTACCGGTAGTTACTCGATAACCAGTAGTAGAGCCAAGTAGATATCATACTACTTGGGTAGTGGTCTCCGGCCGGGTGGGGCTCTGCGGGTCGGGCTTAGGCTCGCAAGGGCTCAGACGGTCAGACCTGAGGCAAGTTGTCGTTCCTAAGCAACTCGCGCCCCCCGAAAGAAAGCCAGTGGCTGGCCTGGATAGCCGGTACGATGGACACACACATCCGAGGAACTCCCTGTTACCCCATGTAGATCAATCAGATCACGGCAAAGACAGGAAACTCGAAAGCAAGCGGATTCGATTCGATATTCCTACTGTAGAATGTCCGCCCGCCGGGAAGCAGCAGCAGCACAGCAGTATGTACTCTACCGCACTCTAGAGTACCGCGCTCTACCCAAGGGGCGCGCAAGCAACATGTCATGCGAGGTAGGCAAATGCAAGCAGGCAAATGCAAGCCACATTTTATTTTTCTTCTTGTCGACCTTCTTTCGCTCGGGTCCGGATTCTCCGGAGAGTTCCCGCATTGAGATACCTCCACCGGCAAGAATACCTACCTTCAATGCGGTTGCATTATGCCTCCGCCCGAGATGGATGGCATAGAGTGCGGTGCGGTGTAGAGTCCATACAGACTTGATGTGGATATCCGATCGATGGTTCGCAGAGAGCGCGGTTGGAACGACATCATCGAAACAGCAGCTGTGTACTATAGATTAGTACCGGTAGTGTACTCACTCACCTGGCAAGTAAGAGTAGGAGTACGTACCTATAGTACTTCTTTCTTATGTACTTCTCACTTAGCCGACGGGCATCCATTCGCTGGCGGTGGCTGTGTTGTATAATATTTTTCTTTGGTTTTTCCATCCAGACCGACCAATACCTCTTCATCTCCGGGCGTTGATGCTTCATCCAGATTCCAGACCCATCATCTATGCAGATTGCAGCACCGCTCGGCTCGGACTTCATCCCAGCGGGGCGGGAGTTACATCATTCTTGTTTGGACAGCGCCTCGAATGCGGGGTCGATGATGCTGCCGATGATGCCGCTGATGATGATGATGATGATGATGATGATGAACAAAGCGGGCATCCCGGCTTCTAGAATACCATTGAATCATCGAAACCATGGGTGATGAACACAGGCCAATTGCAACGACGAGATGAGCTGCGGCGGGGTAGGCAAGACGGAGCTAGCGGAAACTCAACCAATTTCGATGCGCGATTGCGGTGTTGTTGGAGGAGGAGGGGGAGGGGGAGGAGGAGGGGGAGGGGGAGGAGGAGGGGGAGGGGGAGGAGGATGAAGCGGAGATAGGAGGAGCAGGCGGCGGGCGAGGGCGAGGGTGGGGGGGCCTTGTTTCGCAAGAAGCACAAGACCATGGCAGTGCAACCAACGTGGGTGCAACACAAACAACACAAACGACACAAACGACACAAACACCGCCCGCTCACCGCCGGCCGCCGTCGCCAGTCATACATAGAGTGAACACATGCCGCCACAACCCAGCGCCCTGTCCAGGCTGTGCTGTCTTGTCATGTCGTGTTGGCCATCAGACTCGGAAAAGTAAGCAAATCACTCGAGCACTCGCAGCTTGGAAAAAAAGTCACGGTCTCAAAGATCAATCGAGACTGCCGCCTCGACTCGACGACATCATTCGACGCATCCGGACTGATCACTCGGCTGTCTCGCCTCTGCCCGACTCGACGACGACAACCAACTTGCAAGTCCCCGTCCCTATGTGACGATATTCTATCTCTCTCTCTCCCTCCCTCGCCCACAAGCCCGCCCCAGGTCGCCACAGCCCAGATATGCCGTAATGCCTATGCGAAAACAGACGGATATCCGCTCCCACTCTCACAAGCAGTCCCCTCCCCTCCCCTCCCGTCCCCTCCCCTTCCCTCCCGTCCCGTCCTGTCCCATCCTGATCCGCTGCCGGCTCCCTTCCTTCCCCACGCAACGCTCGAGTCGCTAACCGAACAGCAACCTTCACCTTCTCCACAGTCCACACCCCGTGCGCCCCGTGCACCCGCAATATTCCCGCGCTCGCCCGCTTATGTACTCTACATAGCGACGTGGATTGACTACGGTACCTAGAGGAGTTCGTATCGTGGTCACGAGGCGGGGAGATACTTACTATGATGGTCCATATACCCAAGTATGCACTCCACTCAAGCAAGTACTTGTTGTGTAGCTAACTATCAGTTGCCTCGAGTCGACTTGATGTGATGGGACAGCTCGTCTCGTCTCGTCTCGACTCGTCTCGTGCGGAAGAGCCAGCGCCAGTGCAGTTGCCAGTTGCATACGGTAGCATATGTAGCGCCCATCACCGGACCGCGTTGAACTTCTACTTACGGCCGGCCTAAAGGCGAGCCTCACCGCAGTGTCCGCAGTGGCTTGCGTGTAACTGGCTTCAAAAAATAAATAAGAAAAAATAAAGAAAGAAAAGAAAAGAAAATGATGGGCCAATTGGCAGACAGGCAGGCAGGCAGGCAGGCAGGCAGGCAGGCAGGCAGGCAGGCAGGCAGGCAGGCAGGCAGGTGGAAGATGGAAGATGATCGTGGCCTTGGAAGTTGGAATTCGGCTCGCGCGAGGATATTGTAGTACTTGCCTGGCACTTACCTGCTACATACCAGGACATCCCTAGCCGGTGCAACAGCCAGACAGACATCTGACAGACAGACAGCCAATGTTCACGATTGGCAATAACTATCGGCATGCCCGCCCGGCCGGATGTCCGCATATCCTCAGTACTTTGACTGTTGACGTGACAGGCTTTCGTCTATTCCGTCCATCGACAGCATGCTACAAGCCGTCGCCGCGCTGGGCTACAACATATGGTGTTATGTTACATGTTACATGTTGCTAGGTATGGAGGTGGCTATCCGTTGGTCCTCCCGCTTTCCCTCCACCACACCGTCCACGAGGCCACGAGTACACGGGCACGAGTCCATGGGCACGAGTCCACGGGTGTGAGCCTACTGGTGCGAGTCCACGGGCACGAGTGCGGATAACTAATTGGAACGTGGGAGCTTGGACTGAGGGGGGAGGGTGTGGAGGGGAATGGGGGTATACCGGCGTTATCCCCAGCTCAGCTCAGCTGTATACCCACCTATGTTGTCGATATCGACCTCGTCGGTATCTCTATGCTTCGACCGAAAGCCCCCCCTCTCTCCATTCCTCCCGAGAGGCAACAGACCATCTCTAGGACTCGACCGACATCCAACTGGTAAGTACTCCACCTCGGTTCTCACCTCTCGAGGGCGCAATGTAGAGTGTGCAAACTGACGAACGTCCGGTAGACTTGCTGACGACGACGAAGCGCCACTCCTTCCCCTCCGAAATCCGGAGCCTTGTATTGATGGACATACATACATAGCACCTACGTCCTCCTCCGCCCTTGCCCGCAGCCCACGTCAGTAACTAATCTCCCAGCCAGCCAGCCGGGCAGTCAGCACGTCGCCGCCACTGCCACTCACTCATCCAGCCAGCCAGCGAGCCAGTCCTTGCCATTGCCACTGCCATTGCCACTGTGACGGGGCATCTCCTGGGACGAAAAATTCGAGCCTACATACATATGGACGCCCAATCGGACGCGGATCGACGTTTGCTCCCCAGCTACTACATATGTAGAGCACCTTCCAGCGAGCGATCCGGGTATTGCCAGAGCACTGCAGCTAATGCTACAGCTAACTAATGCTGGGTAGAGTGCTATAATGCGGACGCGGCTGTCAATTCATGTCTGGTCATGTCTGGTCTTGTCGTGTCAGGTCTTGTTGGCGCCGATCTGCGCCAGTGCAGTGCAGTGCAGTGTAAGTTCACGACTAGGTACTCATGTGTGTGTGTAGGTGGTAGATATGTAGGTTGTGTATACCTGTATACCAGATCTAGGTAATGCACAGTGCATCGCTGTTTTCGCATGGCTATCTATGGAGGCAGGTACTGGGGATGGAGAAAGGTATCCTATGTATCTAAGTATAAGTAAATACATAGCCGGCGTGGAGTGGAGGGAGTGGAGGGAGAGAGGACGATCTGTTTGCAGGCAGCTTCCATATCTCTCTTTCTCTTTCCATCTCTCGAGAATACCCACCCGCCTGGTACTCTACATGTTACATGTTACATGTATCTATACCTAGAGGTGGGGGACTCACCAAGCTGGACTCACCAAGCTGCTCTAGTTACTATATGTAGTGGCCATATGTACATACAGAATATCCACACCCGCCAGATCCCCGCTAGTTTTACATAACTAACTAGTGGGTATGTAGTGTGTATGTAGTGGGGCGGGCCGCCTACGCCTTCCGCAACCGCTGTAGCCACATATAGCCACATATATAGCCACATATCTACATGCTAGCCACATACTCTACATATCTACACAGCTACCTACACAGCTAGCCACAGCCGAGGAAGGTGGAGGTGGAAGTGGTGGCGGCTGATGTGTTCAATGTGTTCGATGTGTTCGATGCCAGTGCATATCGCTGTGTAGTGGTACCGGTGATCCCTGAAGGCTGAAGCGGAGGTCGACCGCGTGGACGGACGGGCCGCGGGTAACTACTAGTTACGGTACAATGTGGGATGTAGGTACGATGGGTATCGAAATAAGAAAGTGTACTCTCGGCTCGATGGATAGTAACTATCCTATGCGGAACTTACGCCACTTCACTCACTCCACACACGGACTAGCCTTGCTCGGATAGGCATAAACCATTCACGTGGAATCACTCGCGTGGATTCCTCCTCCGATGTTGAAACTGGGAGAACTTGACTTTACTTGGTTGATGTAATTGATGTAATTGGTACGAGAAAGACGAGAAAGATGAAGAAAATGAGAAAGACGAGAAAGATGAGGAAAGATGGGAAATGAAACTGCTTGTAAGGGAAACGAGCTCGTGTATCATACTGGTAGACATAGACTCGATGAAGCCGGGCCTCGGACAGAGGATGCGACGATAGTCGTCTCCGGACTGGGCTGGGGCTCGAAGGCTTGAAGGCTTTAGCTAACGAGGCTAATTCTGACGAGAAGCCATGAATAATGCTAAGCAGCCACGAAGGCACGAAGGCTGTATGCAACGATACAACGCTACAAATGGACAGAGGACAGAGGACAGAGGACAGAGGACAGAGGACAGAGGACAGAGGACAGAGGACAGAGGACAGAGGACAGAGGACAGAGGACAGAGAAAAATACCAGTGACACTCATGACACTGGAACAGGCAATAAGACGCATAATATCAACATTTGACATAAATATAAATACAGATGATCACAGATGATCACAGCTTCCCACTAAGTCTCATCTCCCGCCACCGTACTCCGGCGGGCTTTCCATCTTTCTTGCCGTGCTTATTCTCCTTTCTATCCTTCTTCTCCTCCACCTTCCCAGCGACCTCCTGCGCTCCCTGATCCTTTGTTGCCGCCGCGTCCTTGCCGTCGATGCGGCGGGTGATTTCTTGTGCGCCTTGGTCCCTATTCGCCCCAGCACCAGCTCCAACTCCAACGTGGTGGCTAAAGACCTGAGCGGTCACCTCTTGCGCGCCTTGGTCCCGGGTTGGCGCAGAGTCCGTGACGTCCTTGCCGTCGATGCGCCGCGTGATTTCTTGTGCGCCTTGGTCGTTGGATTTCGCGGGCATAGTGCTACGTCTTGGAGTGGGTGGGTGGAATGTTTCTCGTGGAGTCTCTTTGCCCTGTGTTTCGTTGTGTGTGGGTTCGGTTGGCTGGCTGGTTTGTGCAAGGACGGATGCGATGGCGAGGCGAGGACGAGGCGAGGGCGAGGACGAGGCAGTTGTAGGGGATATAACCGTATGAACTCCGGGAGTCGGGGGGTGGTGACGTGACTGACGTCACCAGTGCCGAGGTCTCGGCCTGTTCATGTTCATTTAATCAATGTGGATAAAATCGGGAGCGGTGAACCGTAGCCGTTGTCTGCGTACCGGTATCAGCAGTAGAGAGTACCAAAGAGTACAGTGCGATACCGCAAGTCCGTAGCATGAGAGATGCTGTGGGAAGAGATATGCTGGTGATGGTTCGTGATTCGAAAGCGTGGGTTCACGGGGTAGCACTCGGCCCTGGGGGGTTTTCGCCATTTCACAACTCCTACTTGGAAAGAGAAATGTTTCGCTATGGGCTGCTGAGGGATGTTTGCGAGAATGAATCGGTGTTCGAAAGAGAAAAAGGAGAGAAAGAGAAGACGTCACCCGCCATTTGGAGTCCGAACTCCGCACCGAGGACGGGCCAACTATGTACCTACTATGCAGTGCAGTACATCTCATGTCGCCGATATCCGTTACATACTCTCTGGGGACCCTGGGGCACCCTTTCACGTTTTCATCCTCCCCCTCACACCCGCTTTCCTTGCTGTCCATGGCGAACCCAAAGTACCGGTAAATATGCGGAGAGGCTGGCTCGTGTTTCCCTACCTACTGTAGTTTCCTCTGCCCCCGCTGTGCGTAGATCTGGGAGCATACTATACAGGCTTAATGGATCATCACCATTACCTCCGTAGGACTGTTTACTATACACTTCTCAAAGCCGTATATTTATGTGGCTTCAATACAGCATAATTAGCTTAATAAGCATCAATCCGTTATGGTGTAGTGGCTAGCATCGGCCGCTCTCAAGCAGAGCATTAATCCGGCCAGACCGGGGTTCAATTCCCCGTAACGGAAGATCATCTTTTTGCTATTTGTTTCTCGCTTTTGTTTTGCTTTTGGCAGGTCCATAGAGCTCGTATGTAGGGACCGGTAACTGGGTTAGGTTCAAGATCACCGACATAACATTGAGTTCGTAATTCCGGACGTGTGATGTTTTGTGAGGTAGATACATGGTGCCCCTGTGCGTAGAATAGAGCAGGTACCTACTCTACTCTAGGAGGTATGTAGGTTGGGCGACACCCTGTCAGCCCGAGCTTCACACGTACGTACCATACCATACCATAGACCACGACCCGTCGTTTCCATCTTCCACCACCACCCACCCAACTACAGTAACCACTCCCTCCATCCGCCGCATCGAGAGCACGACCACCACATTGCAATGTCGAAATCCTGGGAAATAGATCCAGACACGCGGCGCAAGGTTTCCCTCACCCCCCCCCTCCTCCCCGTTCCCCTTCACTAACGCCTACCCAGCTCCTCGCGCTGCAAAAGCTTCCGGGCAACAACACCTGCAGTGACTGCGGCGCTCCAGCGCCGCAATGGGCAAGTCCGAAGTTCGGAATCTTCATCTGCCTGACGTGCGCGGGGGTGCACCGGGGGCTCGGCGTCCACATCTCGTTCGTGCGCTCGGTCACCATGGACGCGTTCAAGAGCGAGGAGATGGCGCGCATGGAGAAGGGTGGGAATATGAGATGGAAGGAGTATTGTCGCGCGCAAGGCATGCTCGAGACCGGCGGCGGCGAGGGCGCGATAAAGGATCGGTATGAGTGTGAGGCTGCTGGGAATTATAAGGATATGGTAGGTGCCCGGGAGATGGGGGGGATGGGGGGAGAGGAGGAGAGGGGCTGATACATAGTGCGAGCAGTTGACCGCCGACGTTGAGGGCCGCGAATATGTCCCCCCACCTCCAAACACTAGCAACACCAACACCGCTAGACCATCACGCAGCTCCACGCCCTCCGCCTCCTCCAGCGTCCCCCTCTCCTCCGACGCGGCCTCGAAAAAAGCGCGCAACGAAGCCTACTTCGCGCGACTGCACTCCGCGAACGAGACGCGGCCGGACTCGCTCCCCCCTTCCCAAGGCGGCAAATACGCCGGCTTCGGCTCGACCCCACCCCCGTCCTCCTCGGCAGGGGGACCATCCGACGTACTCGGCGACCTAACGCGCGATCCAGTAGCGGCACTAACCAAGGGCTGGGGCTTCTTCACGACGCAAGCGACGCGGGCGGCGATGCTGGCGAACGAGCAGGTGATCAAGCCGACGGCGCAGAAGCTGGCGGAAGCGGACCTAGCCAGGACCGCCGCGCTGATGGGGCAGGGCGTGCAGCAGGGCGTGCAGGGCGTTGGCCGCCTCGGTTATGAGAACTTTAATAAGTTTGTGGAGGGCCCCGGAGCCGGAGGGGCTGCGAGGGGAAGGGTCGAGCCTGAGAGGAAGGACTTTTGGGAGAGCTTTGGTGAGCCCGCGCCGCCGGTGCAGGTCCAACAGAAGCCGGCCGCCCTGGGGACGAGTGCTATGAAGAGCTCCGGGCAGGCGACGCAGAAGAAGAAGGATGACGATTGGGAGAATGATGAGTGGGAGAAGTTTTAGATGGGGGTTGTAGAGCAGCTCTGTTTACTCGTTTATGTCTTCTATGCTATATTGATGCTTTGATGTTTTTTTTTTGCGAGCGAAAGCACATGTAAAGGTACAGCGAGGAGAGTGATTATCAATGCGGATAAGGATAAGCACCATATGATAGCGCCACTAGCAAAGTCAAGTCAAGTCTAAAAATTATCAACCGTACCTCACCTCCAGAGTCAAGAGTCAACCACAGACGACGCGCGCAGCCCGGACCCGCCCCACCACCGCACCCCACCACCACCACAATGCCCGACTTCGCCTCCCTCGGCGTCGACAAATGGCTCGTGGACTCACTCTCCGCGCTCTCGATCCGGCGGCCGACACCCATCCAAGCAGCGTGCATCGGGCCTCTCCTGTCAGGACAAGACTGCATCGGCGGCTCGCGCACCGGCTCCGGCAAGACGGCGGCCTTCGCCGTTCCGATCCTGCAAACATGGGCACGCGACCCAATCGGGATCTTCGCGGTGATCCTGACGCCGACGCGCGAGTTGGCTTTGCAAATCACCGAGCAGTTCCGGGCGCTCGGCGCATCCCAGGGTATCAAGGTGTGCCTCCTCATCGGCGGCGTGGACATGCGCACGCAGGCGCTGCAGCTCGCAACGCGCCCGCATATAGTCGTTGCAACGCCGGGGCGCCTCGCCGATCATGTGCGCTCCAGTGGCGAGGATACTGTCGGCGGGCTTAGGAGGGTGAAAATGCTCGTGCTGGATGAGGCCGATAGGCTGCTCGATGAGACTTTTGCGGAGGATCTGGGCGAGTGTCTTGAGATCCTACCCAAGGCAGGGAAGCAGGGGAGGCAGACGGCATTGTTTACGGCGACGATGACGGAGGAGGTTAGGCAGCTGAAGGAGCTGGAGAAGGCGGCGGAGGGACGGAGGGAGGTGTTTGTCTGCGAGGTCGATACGGATAAGTACGTTGTTGTGCCCCCCTCTCCCCCGGTTTCCCACGGTTAACCAGCTGAGCAGAGTCGCCATCCCCCCCACGCTCTCGCAGCGGTACCTGTTGCTCGCCAGCTACACACGGGAAGCATATCTGCACACCCTCCTATCCACGCCCCTGAACCTCGAAAAATCCACCATAATCTTCGTCAACCGCGGCACGACGGCGGTAACGCTGACGCACATCCTCCGCCTCCTCGACCACCGGGTGACAGCACTCCACAGCCACCTCCCGCAATCCGAGCGCACCGACAACCTGGGCCGTTTCCGGGCATCCGCCGCACGTATCCTGGTGGCTACCGACGTCGCCTCCAGAGGACTGGACATCCCGACCGTCGAGCTAGTCGTGAACTTCGACGTCCCGCGGGACCCCGACGACTATATCCACCGCGTGGGACGAACCGCGCGTGCGGGCAAGGGCGGCGAGGCGATAACGTTCGTGAGCGAGCGCGACGTGACGCTCGTCGAGTCGATAGAGGCGCGAACGGGCAGAAAGCTGGATAAGTACGAGGACGAGCCCGGGGTCAGTCTTGAGGGCAGGGTCGTCAGGGAGACGCTGCAGCTCGTGTCGGAGAAGAAGAGAATCGCGAAGATGGATATCGATGAGGGGAGGAATGAGAACGGGAAGCGTAAGAGGAAGCTGGTGGATAAGGCCGCGAGGAGGAAGTTGCAGAAGTCGTAGGGATATGCGGCAGGTAATGGCTGGTGGGGCGGGGCGTTTAAAATGGATTTTTTTTGGTTTATTTGGGTCGAGTGATGTGCTGTGCGAGTGAGTGAGTGGGAGATACCCGGAATGCACACTCCCGGGTAGTAACGACGTGCAACGACGGGCAACGACCGCCCATTGATTTTCTACGTGCGGGAGACAATGAGCACGGTGGGGGAGCAAGCAGTAGAGTAGAGTAGAAGCCTGAGCACCACAGCCTCGCTCATCACCGTCAATCCTCTCCGCCAGCAATTCCGCCCTCCGTACTACATAAAATCCCCATAAACCCCCACCAACGCGATCCCAAAGCCCACACCGACAATCCCGCCCCTAACCAACCCCCACTGCTTCCACGCCTCCATGCCGCCCTGCACGGCCTCACCATTAACCTCCGCCTCTCCCTTTACCCCATCCCTCTCCCCTTCTTTCACCTCCCCCTCACCAAGTGTCTGAACTCCATACTCCACCCCGACCAGCTTCAACCTCTCAACGCCCACCGCAGCGGCAACCGGCAGCGTCGCCAGTAGGAGGTACGGATGCTTCCCCCCGCGCGGCGAGAGCAGCCACGCGGTCAGTAGCGACGCTGCCGCGATGAGCTCCAGCGGCCGCACCGTCGACCGCAGGAGGCCCAGGGATATTGTGAATGCGCGGCGGGCTTGTGCTATTCTCTGTCAATACAGATCAAGGGGAAGGGCAATGGGGGAGGGGGACAAACAGGCAGAGTTGAGCGCGAGAAGCGTCCGCAGCGTTTGCAGCGAGAAATTAAAGTGCACGCCGGTTAGCACGCCGAGCGCGAAGGTGCCCGTTAGCTTTAGGGTCGTGAGGAGGCGGTTCATTGCTGCCGTTGTTTCGTCACTCGTAGTGGTGGTGGTTGTGGCGTGGGAAGCGGCGTGAAAGGCGGCGTGAAGGGCGGCGTGAGAGGCGTGAGTGCAGGTTGAGTTGTGAAGGGAAAAGTCGGTGGTGTGACGACACACCCCACCTTTGTAGAATACCACCGGTGCTATGTAGATTGAGGACAAGCCCGTCTTTCCCCGCCCCGCTCCGAGTCGCGCTCCGAATCCCAATCGCAATCCCAATCGCAATCCCAATCGCAATCCCAATCCGATTTGGCGCGAATGGAGACTTGAGAGAGATATTAATCCGCTCCGTCCCTCTCGCTCTCTCTCTCGCTTGCTTTGCACTTCTCTCTTCTCATTCACTTTGACGCACACACGACACGACACGACACCGACACCGACACCGACACCGACACCGACACCGACACCGACACCGACACCGACACCGACACCGACACCGACATCGGTACCGAGTTCGCTCGCTTCTCCACACAACCACAGATGAGTATGACAGTAATCAGCTGTCCCATGTCACCTCGGCCTCGACCTCGGCCCGCGTAACCACCGCTCGTCACGAGTCCACTCCCGAATATCAGCCCCAATACCAACCCCATATGTAACCTCACGTCCTCCCGCCCTCACCACCAGCACCACCACCGCCCCTTCACACCCCCTCCACAACAACGCAAAATGACGACCCCCTCACCCCCCTCGCCGCCCGCACCACCGATGAAGTACCTCTCCCCCGTCTGGACGCCCAACCAATTCTCAGGTCGCGTCGTCTTCTGCACGGGCGGCTCGGGTAGCATCTGCTCCGTCCAAGTCGGCGCACTCATCTCTCTCGGCGCAAACGCCTGCATCGTCGGCCGCGACGCCACCCGGCTCTCCGCCACTGCCACCCGCCTTCGCGCCCTGCGCCCTGGAGCTGTCGTCCTCCCCCTCACCACCGACGTCCGGGACGCCGCCTCCCTTTGCACAGCAGCAGACACCTGCGCGGCCCAGTTAGGCAGCATCGACATCTGCATCCTCGGCGCGGCCGGCAACTTTCTGGCACCCATCAGCGCGCTCAGCCCGAACGCGTTCAAGTCCGTAGTGGACATCGACCTTCTAGGCAGCTACAACGGTATGAAAGCGTGCGCTCCACACATCCTACGCGCAGGGGGAGGGCGTTTCATATTCGTCAGCGCCACGCTGCACTACACGGGCACGCCGTGGCAGGCGCACGTTTCTGCGGCAAAGGCGGGGGTGGACGCGTTGAGTGCCGCGCTCGCTGTGGAAATGGGACCACGCGGGGTGACGAGTAACGTCATCGCCCCTGGGCCCATAGCGGGTACCGAGGGGATGGGCAGGCTGCTGCCACAAAGGGAATTGGAGAAGGCAAGAAGGAGCGTGCCCCTGCAGAGGTATGGTGAGCCCCACGAGATCGCCGATGCAACGGTTTTCTTGTGTAGTGAGGCCGGCAGCTTTGTTAATGGCGCTGTGTTGGTCGTGGATGGTGGGGCGTGGCATAGGCAGGGGAGTACTGGGCAGTATCCGGAGATGGTGTTGGAGGGCGCCGTGGTGGAGGGGGTTAAAGGCATGAAGAAGGAGAACGAGAGCAAGTTGTAATGAAGGAGAACGAGAGGTTGTAATCACATCGAAGGCATGAAGAACAAGAGCAAGTTGTAATGACTGGGCAATAAAGGAGAACGGGAGTTGTAATCACATCGAAGGCATAAAGAACGAGAGCAAGTTGCAATAACTGGGGAATGAGTGAGAACGAGAGCAATTGCAATGACTGGTTCTTGTCATTCGTGTTCCTTCATTTCTATGCTATGCACAACCCCCAACACCCCCTGCTTGCAGACAATTAAATCTCATAGCTATACCCCCTAAGCAACCTCTGCACATGTTACAAGAATGAAGAAGAAAACAGAGACCTCCCAGAAAGCTCAAGAACAGGCAATCCCCCACCATGATGCACCAAAGACAAACGTAAGCAAAAGAAGCAAAGCACATTACATGACTTGATCAGTTGCTGGTCGTGTTTCCCTCCCCCCACATCAAGAACTGCCTCGTTCGGATATTCCCAGAAGAAAAAAAAAAGAAACGGAAAAAAAGAAAACACAATTACCAAGTCCCATCTATTTTCATCGTTACAATCGTATCGTTTGGATGACTGTAGTCAATCCAAGTCGTTCAAAGTCTCGTCGAACAACCGGTGTCGACGTCCTTAAACCACGACGGGCTCAGGAACAGCCGCAGCGACGGCAACGGCAGCAGGCTTAACTTCATTCTCCTCTTTCTTGTCCTCAGTCTTTTCCTCGGTGGTGTTCTCCTTGTCCTCGGAATCGCTAACCTGGGACTATGGACATGTCAGCTCAGCTTCCGAGATGGCAGTGGAGAGGTACTCACATCAATCGCCACCTTGACGGCGATCTCACGACCCTCGATGACCTTGCCGTTCATCTCCTCAACGGCCTTCTTCTGCATGTCCTCAGAAGCAAGGGTAACAAACCCGAAGCCGCGACCCTTGCGAGGCTCGCCGCGCTGCTGCAGCTTGCGAACCATGTAGCGGGGGATAGGACGAAGGGCAATCTTGGCGGACTCGGGCTGGTAGTCCTTGAAGAGTTCCTTGAGCTGTGCGGATGTCAGAACGTGCTCAAACCCGAAACAGACATCTCAATCTCACCTGATCCTCGCTCAGCTCGTAGGGAAGGTTGGCGACCATGATCTTGGTCGAGCTGGGAATGCCATTCTCGGGGGGGCCACGCTTCTTCTTGCCCTTGAAAGCCGACGCGGCATTGCCATCCTGGTGAGCCTCCTCGCCCGAGGCATCGACGGTCTTGACGTTGGTGGATTCGACCAACGGCTGGATTTTGTTGGAACCGTCGGCGGCGGTCTCGTCGCCGGATCCAGCCTCTCCACGGGTACCACGCTGGAATCATGAGTCAGCATCACCGATCATGACACGTTTCCGACAACCATGGTGGCGGGAATTCCATCGCATACCTTAGCACGTCCACCCCGTCCCCGGCCGCGTCCCCTAACGCCACCACGGCCCCTCTTGCCCTCGCCACCCTCCTCGTTGGCAACAGCACCCTCCTCGCGAGGCTCCTGCTGTTCCTGCTGCTTGTGCTGCTTCTTCGTCCCGGTGCTGGCAGCTCCGGGCTTGCGGGCAAGCTGAACGCTAACCTTCCTCTCCTGAACCTCGTTACCGCTGAGCTGCTCAATGGCACGGTCGGCCTCCTCCTTGGTGGTGAGGTCGACAAAGGCGTAACCGACGGCACGACCGGTACGGGGGTTGGTGGGGATCGAGGTCGACTCACTGCAGCACGGGAACATGTCAGATACACCGGTAACAGCAGGAGTAGCACCATGCCAACTTACATAGAGAATCCCTCGAAAAACTCCTTCAACTGCTCGTCGGTAGTCGAGTAGGCCAGATTTCCAATGTAGAGTCTCCTGCCCTCGGCAGCAGACGCAGCGTGGGCGGCATCGGCCTCGGAAGTATCGGGCTTAGGCTCGGTGGTCTTGGGAGCGATGGAAGTGTTCTTGACAGCTTCGGTGATGGTCTCCACGGTGGCAGAGGCGACCTCCTTGGCTTTCTCGGCCGTGTTCTCGACGGCAGCAACAACGGTATCGGCGGCGTTTGCGGACATAATGAACTTGATGTCTTTAATGGTCGAGGAGGTTAGCAATGATGTCTTTGTTGCCGAGTGCTGCTGCTTCGGGTTGGATGTCTGTGATTTATGGGATGATGGAGCTTCGAACAAACAAAGCGGGAGCGGTAGTGGTTGTTTGGAGGGATAGCTCTGAGAACAAAGAAAGGGAAGTAGAGCAAGAAGCTTTATGGATGGAGTTGTGGTTGGGTGTGCGTTGTTGGGAAGGGAAGTGGGAAGGGAAAGTAAGGGAGGAGGGAGGAGGAAGTGGAATGAGGTGGAGGAGGATGTAAGTGAGGAAGGGAGGAAGAATGAGGAAGGAAGGGAGCGAGCGAGGAAGGGGGGGTTCTTACTTGGTAGTTGAATGTCCTGGTAGTGGAGTTCTGCCTGTAAGAGAAAGAGATATTCTTTCTACGGTTCCTCTTCTTTTTTTTCTATTCGCTAAAGGCCGTCTCGCGTAGAACTAGACGGAGAGGGAAGACAATAGAAAGGTGCTGAACGAAGACGAGGGTTGGGGGAGTCAGAAAAGTGACGTTGATAGAACGGGAGGGATTTTAGTGTCAATGAGGCTGGGAACGGATGTTTCGTCAGGGACGAAGAAACGATGTATGGAGCTGGTGATGATAAAGCAGGAGGAGGAGGATGAGCAGTAGCAGGAGGAGGAGGAGGAGGAGGGGTGGAGTTGAAGTAGCGGATTTGTAGTAGTGGTAGCGGTAGTGGGGGGTGGGTGGTGGAGGGGAGGGAGAGGGAGAGTGCGAGGGATGGTTCGTTTGGAAAGAATAGCAGACTCGAGGTTGGCTTGTCTTGACGAGATTGTTCTTTATTGGGATTGACGAGGAGGTGAATGCGAGAGGGAGAGAGGAAGAGGGAGAGGGAGAAAGGGTCGAGAGGGAGAGGGACAGATGCGGGAACTTGATGGTTACTTCTTAGTTAGGGGCGAAGCAGTGGGCAGCAAAGCAAAGTTCACGGAACCACGCCAAGACCGCAGGCGAGCCGTTGCGCACGCAGTGCTGGGGGGAGTGAACGACGACACATATCGCATTCTTTATTTTATGTATTTGTCTATTTTATCGAGTTTATTGTTCCCGTCCACACCACGACGAGGACAATCACGGCAGAGCAGGGCAGAGCAGACAGGGCAGAGGCAAAGGCCGACGAAGCAGGCCCCGCTCAGATGACACAGAAGCACTTGCCAATGCTGCGAGCGCTCGATGCGGGGGGAAGGGGAGGTTGAGCTAAGTAAGTGGAGCAGGTTGAGCAGGTGGAGGCAGCGCAGGTAGGGACAGCGGACAGCTATGTCGAGTAGAGTACATAGCAGAGGAGAGAGGCGAGAAGCATACGTGTGAAGGGAGGGAGAGAGTTGGTCGTCTGCACCATGCTTGCCTGCCTTTGCCTGCCTGCCTGCCTGCCTGCCTGCCTGCCTGCCCGCCTGCCTTACCTGCCATCTCATCAGCAGCAGCAGCAGCATCAGCAGCAGCATCAGCAGCAGCAGCAGCAGCAGCAGCAGCGGCATGTCCAAGTATCCAAGCAACTGCCCAACAACATCGTCCCATACGAGCAGCCCGTCCGAGTCTCCCATTGGCTGTCCCAACGAACCCAGACCGGAACCCAGCCCATCCAGCCCATCCATCACAGCCATCAAGCCATCACCGCCATCACAGCCTCGAGTGCCTATTCCCTCGAGGGACATGCATACATAATCCATCGAAATACCCTTTTCGAATCCAACAACCACAACCATATCCATCCCCATGCCCAGTCCGTCCATCCATCAAAAACTCAAAAACTCAAAAAAAAAAAAAAAAAAAAAAAAAAAAGAAACCGAAAATCCCATCGACGCAGTACCACCACACCACCTCCCAGAGTCCAGGTCCAGAGTCCAGACGCAGGCACTGCGCAGGAACCCAACCCACCCAAACCCAGCTCAGCTCAACCAAGCTCGCCTATCACATTCGGTCAATCCGTCAATCCGTTCTGCACCCAGTGACAGCAAATCACATGTGCCAAGATCGATTGAGTGACTGATTGCTTGCTTCTTGCTTGTTTGCTTGTTTGTTTATCCACCCCACGGCCCCACGGTCCCACGTGCCTGGATGCTGTCGAAGCTGTTGCTCCAATGTAGTTATGGAACTCGGTCGTCGGTGGTTCGCCGCTGTAGCTACATCACGAGTGATAGGTACCTACACTTGGAACCCGTCGAGAAGAGTTGTAGATTCCCCCTCCCACTCCGCCCTCCCCCGCTCACTCCCCCCTCCCCCCTCCCCCACTCCCCCCTATGCCTTCTCCTCCCCGTGATCTGCACAGATAAGAATGGCCCTTCGAGCATACACAGTACATACAACCAGGAGAATTGCTGCTGCTGCTGCTGCTGCTGCTGCTGCTGCTGCTGTAGAGTATAGCTAGAGTTCGGACTTGATCCCCCCCCCGCCGGTTCGTGCGCTCTCCCGTGGTACTCTACCTCTACATATCCGTGGTGACGTCAACACCGATGCTGTCGATACTATCGATGCTGTCGATGCTGTCTCTCCGGAGTCCAGTGTATAGAACTCGGTCGTCGGTGGTTCGCCGCTACATCGCGAGTGATAGGTATCTGCACTTGGAGCCCGTCAAGTAGAGTTGTAAATTTCCCCTCCCTCTCCCTCCCACTCTCCCTACCCCTCCCCGAGATCTACACGGATGAGAATGGCCCTTTGAGCATACTTACGCAAGCACGAGTACATACAACCAGCAGAATCTTAGCTACAAGATGGGCGGGAACATTTGCCATTTGCATTTCATCCCCCCAGTGCTCGCAGCTTTCCATCTCTCTACACTATGTACTTGCACTTCCCTACGCCTCCTCCTCCTCACTATAAAGCACCCCCAACCCCCTCCTCAGCACCGTCCACCTACCCGCCTCCCCCATGCGTATCCTCGAACAATCAAACGCCGTCACCGTGATTCCTCCGCCCTTGCCTTCACTCCCCCCAAGCAACTTGGGATACCTCTGACTAAAATGCGACAACACGGCCACCTTCGCCCCCATCTCCGCTGCAACCCCGAGCGCCTCCCCAACAGTAGAATGTTTCTTTGCGCGCGCCTGCGCCGCCATGTCGTCGCCGAACGTGGCCTCGTGCACCAGTACCGTCGAGCCCTGTCCCATTGCCGCGAATGCGGCGGTCGGCCGCGTGTCGCCCGAGTAGGAGAGTATAAACGGTGGTGAGGGGGGGAGCGGGATGGTGAATGTCGCCGTGAAGGAGGAGAGGCAATGGTGCGCGGGGGAGGTGGTGATGGTGACGTGCGGGAGTGTTGGTGCGGAGCCTTCGGAGCCGGCGAGGAGCGATTCACACGAGGTGAAGGATACACGGCTGAGGATGGTGGCCATGCCCGGCTCGGCGAGGGAGTACTCCTCCAGCCAGGTCTGGAAGATCGCCGGTGCGACGATCGAGAAGGTCTCGCCCGGCTCCATCAGCAGGTGCTTTGCGCGGAGGAGCGTGGTGGCGCCCAGGTGGTGGTCTGCGTGCAGGTGGGATATGTACAGCAGGTTGATGGACTTGAGGACAGTGGTGAAGGAAGCGCCGAAGAGCCGGCGCAGCTGCCCGAGCGTTCCTTCGCCGCAGTCGAGGAGCATGTACCCGTGAGGTGGCGTGTGGACGAGCGTGGCCGAGACATTGCGGTGCCGCGACGGAGTCGACGAGCCGGTTCCCAGTGGGAAGATCTCGAACGAGCTGCCGGGAATGTCTAGTGGTGCGATCGAGGGGAGAAGTCGTCGGTACTCTTGCGCGACCATCGAGAGTGCCCTGTAGCTTTCCGAGTCGACGATCTCTTGCCGACTGAACAGTGGTTCCACTGTGTCTTCCCGGAGCTGCCATTTCGGCTCGATCTGCCATTGCATGCCGGGAGCGGCGATGGTGAAGCGGGTGGTGTCTATGCTCCGTCTCGGCGTGGAATCGAGCTTCGGCTCGGGGAAGATCTCAGGATCGAGGGAATTGAGCAGCACCGCCGACTTCGCCGCGGCCTTGAAGTAGATCTGGTCCGCACACACATCCCTCGACGAAACGATATGTCTCGCCTTCGGGAATCTCTCGACGAAGTGCAGAAACCTTGGATCGTCGACGACACCGCCCTCGACCAACCAGAAGAAGCACCCAACCCACTGCGCATCCTCCCACGCCTTATCCGCCACAAAGCCCTCCAGATACTCGGCGCCTGGAACATCACACACCGCGATCCCCGTCCCTTCTCTTGACGGCTCCATCACATCCTCGGGATTTACCACTTTCCCCTCCGCGGTCGTAACACTCTTCCCACTGGTGAGCTTGCTGAAATCCGGACCCGGCTTCACTCCCAGCTTCCTGGCAAGCGCAGGCAGGAACTTCCCCCGCTGTTCATGCAATCGCACGAGATAGCTCAGCGCGACTGTATTCGGTGTCGTCTCGGGCAGCGTCTTGACCGTCGAGGCGGGCCATGGCGCTCGCGTCTTGCCCTTCGGCGGGAGCTTCGTGGATAGCTGCGGGTTCCTTCCCGCCTGCGCCTCTGCCTCTCCCACCGCCCCAACGTCCCCCGAGTCGATCATGGTGTCCATACTCCAATCGGAGCAAAACATATCATCCACCACCTTCTTGAGGAACATCCTCTTCCCCTCCCCGTCCTCCTCCAGCTCCTCCACCCCCGCCGTGTCAGGCGCGATATGCAGCGTCCTAACCGTAACATTCTCATCCGCCCATACCTCCTCCTCCTCGCCCCTTCGCGCCTCCCTAACCTGCAGCCTCATACCGGTGCGAAAGACAAACCTTCTCATTGTCGCGAGTGTGTACCTCAAATTCCGTCCACCACTAACCCTCACACCCTTCGCCCTTTCCGCCGCGCCGTCCTCTCCCCCACCCTCACCCATCGCCATCACGACCCCCGCCAGCCCCGCGTTACTGTCCCACGTACCCCTCCCGGAGACAAATACGTGCCCTATCTTGTTCACCCGCACCCGGCGCTCCATCAATGCCCGCTGCGCGCCCTCGCCGAATTGTCCGATCAGGTAGCGCATGCTGTCGAAGTGTAGCAACACTGAGGTGCCCGCAACGTCCGCGGTGAGTGTGTGGAGGAGCTCGGCGTGGACTTTCATCGTGGTGACGGGGTTAGAGCTGGGTTGCTGGTGGTGGTGGTGGGGTGCGTGGGGTGCGTGGAGAGGTGGGGTGGGTTGGAGGAGATACGCGAGACGGGTTTAGTGCACGAGTGACCTCGCGAATCGTAGATTGTGTATATACTCACAGCCTACGGGCTACGGGGTACAGAGGAGTTGTTTTTGCCAGTGAGCTCGCGCTCGCAGCGCTTCTACATACATTATCGCACAGTCGTGGTAAACAATATCACCTCCTCAACAGCTCCTCGACCTGCTCCAGCTCCCACACGCCGCCCAACTCCCTCCACCGCTCCCTCTGCTCTTTCACAAACCCCTCCACGCCGCCCATCCCGGCGACCAAAAACCCCAAATCCTCTCTCTCGACATCAAACACCTCCCACCAGCACTCCGGCAACTTCACTGCCTCATCCCTAGCCGCCAGATACAGCGCAGCCGCCGCAAGCGCATTCGGCTGATGCGTGAGATACACACAGCTCGGGCTGAACATGACATCGGACAGGTAGGCGAATGCCCTTTGCAGCAGGCTTTTTTGCAGACAATCCAGGGCCTGCGCGTAGTTGACCGCGAGGGCGTACGGCAGGGCCGCGTGCGTATCGTAGCCGACGGCTTTTAGCAACTCCGTCTCGGCTGCAAGAAGCCGCGTGCGCTGCAGGTGGTAGGCGTGCTCGGATACGTAGGAGGAGGTCGTGGTGGCCAGCGGGGATATCGGCGACGGTGAGGTGGTGGAAAGAAGGTACGTCGTCACGTTGATGATGCTGCGTGGAGCCACGGGGACTTCCGAGAGCTTGCTCGCGAGGAAGAGGGAGGCTTGTGAACCGCTGAGGACCGAGAAGGTCCGGAATGAGCGCAGCAGGAAGAAGCGCTGGTAGAGGAGCTGGGCGGTCGCGATGGCGGGCTGTGGGCTGCGCAAGTTAGAGGTGAATGCGTGGGCGCGGGGGAGGGGAGCGTACAGGCGCAGCAGCAGCCCGGCGCTCTGGAGGAGCGTGAGGCCTGCCCAGCGGAGGGTTACTTCGAGAGAGGCCGGCAGGCCATCGGCTTGGCTGGGGCTCGAGGAGAGCTGCTCGGCTGTCGCGAGAGGGTTGCTGAGGAGCGAGACCATACTGGCGCGCGGGATGGTGACGGCCTGAGGTGAGCGCGTTGATGCGACCTGCGGCCTGCGGGCGCTGGTGAGGTGGCGGAGGTTGCCGTGGCACCTCCACCCCGGATCAGCACGTGCGAGAGGGGAGTGAGAGTGCGTGATGTTGAAAGAACGGATGGGAAGTGGGAAGTATTGAATGGAAGCTGGTGCTTTCATTCAGTATCCGTCAATAGGTAGAGCTACCAGCTATAGAGCGTCGTCAACTTCCAACACGAACACTGCAGTGATCATCAAAACTCACTCTCAACTGAAACAATGGGCCTCATTGCTTGTTTTTATCTGCTCCCAACCACGTACCAGGTAACGTACCGATTGTGTTTCCGAAACGCCCACTCCCGCGGTACCGTCACATCAATCGGCAAAGCAGTATTGAATACCTCGGTATCAATATCAATTCCACGATCCACAGCGGTGGGTGGGTCACAGTTACGCCTCCCGAGTACCTTCCCATGTACCTACCCCTTCCACATTCCTACATACCGTATCAACCAATCGCGGCAGCCGGTATGGCTAACCCCCTCCCTCCCCCTTACTCGCTAAACAACAGTACAACCACAACAGCACGTGCCTGCCCTGGTGGCGGTGAAGAGATGCTGTTTAAGGGGCATTTCCGCCGCCCAGGCACCAGCCTTCTGGACTGGACGTGGCCGTGCGAGGGAAAAAGGGCCGCGGGGGAAAAGGGTCGCGGATAACCTTCTTTTGTGTGTGCCCTAGGTAGATAGGGCCCGTGAGAGGGATTCCGAGGCGAGGTCCATGCCCGCCGTCGCGAGGGTAGGGCGTGAGATGTCACGGTATGCAACCTGCCTGCGCTGAAGAATGGGGAATGGGGGAGGGGAGGGGACGTCTGTTTGGCCGAGCGATCGATTGCATTCTGGATCTGGTTCTCACCAGAGGCATGTGTCTACCGTGCCACTGCTGTGTACCAGGTACCGGCAATCGTAGAGAACTCAACTGAATTTTTCACTCCTACATCCCACGTCTCTAAACTCTGGAGCCAGTGACGGATCCGCCCTGAAGCTACAAAGTACCTAGCGCGGAGAGGAAATAAGCTATTTCGCAATTTAAGCATAACCGAAGGAGAAGGCATCTCCGCAGGTCCATCCGATGTGCCCATATTAGTTATGTAAGTGGTTATTGGCGCGCTGTGCGGAGGCCGTGGTGATGGGTGAGGCTCGCCAGCCAGTGGTTTCAGCCACTCGCATGATGCTCGGTAGGCAACCCGTGGCGAGGACGTGGCGAGGACGAGGACTCCCGGGGACTCGGGCGTACATGCGTCCGAGTGCCCGTGTGCCTGTGCCCGGGCCCGGGCGTGTACCCGTGCCCGTGCCCGTTTGCCCGTGTCCTCCATGTGGAGAGCACGTAGCGTATGCTGGTATCTACTCAATTTCAGGTACTGGTACACAATCCGCTGACCGCGTCTTTTCTGGCCCCGTCTCCGAGTAGCAACCCCAAAGGCCCCGTTCTGAACACTTCCTTGCGTCTCCTCTTTTTATGGCTCGTGTGCGGTTGAGTGGGGACAAGTGTGGCGAGTGGTCCCTGTCCGACCTTGGCGAAACTCCTCCCCCCCGGACGGGCCACACAGACAGACTGGCGGACTGGACCACTCAAGACTTTCCCGACACCGTCGCTTTCTCTCAGCCCTCCCAACACCCAACTACCCCCTCCCTTCCTCCCTCCCTTCCTCCCCCCCTCTCAAACAAATATACACTTCCCCCCCTCCTTCTCCCTCCCCATCAATCATCGATACCTCTTCACCTCTCCGACACGGAAGCTGCTGCTGCTTGCTATCCCTCCTTTCTCCAGCAAACCAGAACCTCTCCCGCGCCTTCCCTTCAAATTCACACCTTAGCAGCGACACGCGCGACAGTATCACGAACTAAATTATTACTGTGCGGTCAACAGCGAGTCGGCTCGAGTTAAAGGGGCCCGTGGCATTCGCGAGAAACAGAGGTGGCTCTACCGAAAGATCCGCAGAAGACAGACTACAACAACGTGCAGTGCAATTGCACCGTCAGCAAGCAGGGAACACAGCCCAAACATAAACGAAGCCCCGATATCTCTGTTGCCCGCGGGATTGTGAGACCACAAGGTGTGTTTTGTGTGTGTGCTTACCACCACCCCCCAAATTCATGTCTGTCTGAGGTTGGCTGATCTCTAACATTCCGTCGTCGTCAGGGAAAGGAATTACAGCGACATCGTGTTCGAGCGAAGGTGAAGAGCGAGAGAGGATCGATTAGATGCATACCCCTATCCCACAGAACAGCCGGTTATCGAACGGCGATGCCGCAGTCTCCGCTGCACTGGCATCCACCAACAATGGCGGCACAGCGGAAATCCGGAGGAAGTCGAGACGGAAACCCTCGGTGACCGATGCCACTCTGGCGCCGCGACAGAAACGAAAAGCTCCCCGGGAACGTGCTGCCCGCACCTGGGTCGATGACACGACAGCCCTGCTCGAGCGGAACCAAATACGTATGCTACACCATTCCCGCACGCTCCTACAGCAACTAACGCGCGTTTGTTTTTCCAGGCATGTCGGTGGTTTTGATGGCGATGCTCGGAGCAGCACACGCGTTATTCCCGCACCTACGACCGATGCTTCGAAAGTTTTACGCGATCTCGTACTACAAGCCGGAAACCGGAATGTATGGCAAAGGACTCGACGACCTGTACTTGGTATTCTTCTGGATTGTGCTGTTCACGTTCCTGCGATCGACCGTGCTGGACTACGTGTTTGTGCCGCTGGCGAGAATGGGCGGCATCACTACACGTAAGGGTGTGGTCCGGTTTTCGGAACAGGCATGGCTGGTGGTTTACTACGGCTCATTTTGGGGTGTGGGAATGGTAAGTCCCGAGCTCCCGGACACATGCGCCCTGCATATATCTGCTCGGCATGAAACTGATCGATTGTCGGCACGCTAGTACCTATTGTACAACAGTCCGTACTGGCTCAACATGCAGGAGCTGTGGACCGGCTGGCCGCTGAAAGAGCTCTCGGGCCTGTTCAAGTGGTACTATTTGGCACAGTTTGCTTTTTGGCTGCAGCAGATTTTTGTTCTCAACATCGAAGAGCGAAGAAAGGATCACTATCAGATGTTTGCCCATCACATCATTACGTGCTCGTTGATCGCTGCAAGTTACACACACCACTTGACCAGAGTCGGACATGTAATCCTGTGCATCATGGATGTGATTGACATCCTGCTCTCGGTACGCACTCCCACACATTAGGCATATTATATCCGTAGCTGACTCCTCTCGCAGGCCGCCAAACTGCTCAAATACCTTGGCTACAGCACGATCTGCGACTACGCATTCGGCATCTTCCTGGTCGCATGGATCGTCGGGCGGCACGGGCTGTACAACTGGATCACGCACTCAGTGTGGAAGGATTCGATCGCGATCATCGAGCCGGGGTGCTACTCGACGTCGGGCGAGCTGATCCCAGGGCGCGAAGCAGATCTCGAAACGATCTGGAAATCAATCACGTTCCAGTCGGAGGAGATCTGCTACACGCTGCCCGTGCAGCGCACGTTCCTTGCCCTCCTCGTCTTCCTCCAGGTCATCACCCTGCTCTGGCTCTACATGATCCTCCGTATCGCGTGGAGAGTCGTCCGTGGCATTGGCGCGGATGATACTCGCAGTGAGGATGAGGACGAGCTTGATGATGAGCTGGAGGAGCTGAAGAAACGGTGATGTGCACGTTGCTGCATGCGTGCGCTCGGGGGATCCGGGGTGGAGAGATGGGATGTGATGTGATGTGATGTGCAGGAGTGCCGATGCGATGAGATGATGGACGGTTTCGTTGAAGTTGATGGATGGATGGATGGTTTTTTCTATATCTTTGGTTTTTTCTACTTACTCTGGACGTGCCGTGGGAGGATGGAGGGGGGATGGGGATGCCGTGTGTGCCGTTGCTCTGCTCTACTCTCTTCTTCTTCTGATTCTGATTCTGATTCGATTCAAGATTTTGTGTTAATTACCTGGCTTGCTTTGCTTGCTTGCTTGCGATACGGTAGCTTTTTATACACTTACCTTTTTGCTTTTCGGTTGATGTCTTTTCTTTTCCGGTATGGTTAGTTGGATGTGGTAGACTTTTTCTCTTTTGCTATGAAGGCTTTTTGCTTCTCCAGGTTGGAGATATATCAATCACAATCACAATTCACAACTCACAACTCATCACTCGTCACTCGTCACTCGTCACTCGACGGCTTCGTCTTGCTTGAATCTTGTCTTGCTTCGCCAATGCCCCATTCCATTCCATTCGCTCCTGTTGGGTTGCCATTGCCATTCCCCCTCCGCTTCCGTTTTGATTTGTGACTTTGCCATTGCCACCTGCCATTCGCCATTTCTCGCCCTTAACATCCAAAACTCCGCTACATCCTGATCCTGTTCACCCATCAATCTACCACCTACATACTCCATCCCGAACCGAGCCGCAGACATACAGTGCCAAAGCCAAAAAAAAAGACACAATATAAACCAAAAAAAAACAGGTCAAGATCAAAGATAAATAATGGGCACAGCCCACGCCAAGAAGCGAAAAATAAGGGGGTGGGGGAATATTTGGGGGGGGGGGGATCGTCTTTCTCATCATAAGTGGATTGGGTATAGTAGAGATATAGAGTAGATAGAGCAATCAATCAACGAGGGTGAGAAGTCAGAAGTAAAGGCAAGAAAGGCAAGAAAAGAAAAGAAAAGAGAAGAAGAAATGGGAACGCCCGAAAAACGACAAGGACAACAGCAACAACATTTGACACTGCACAACAACAAGTGGTCATGCTATGCCTATAACAGGATGAGATAATTCGACGGCGCAATGCCCGTCTCACCATTCTGCTTCCTGGCCTGCCACCAGCGGCCGCTGACATCGCTCACGTCAAGGATTTCATTCTTAGCGAACGAGATCTCATTGACGTCCTCGGGGTTTGCATCGTACGCGTAGATGGCCTTTGCGCGGTGGTTGTACTCCGTTGGCGGCGAGGGCTCGGCATCGGCTGGTGCGGCGGAGGCGGCGGCGGCGGCCGAGGACGCCCGGTATTGCCCCGACACTGGCGACGACGTCTCGAAGCCGTTGAGCTGCGCCGACGTGTACATCTGCGGTGGGTGGCTGGAGGAGGTGCTGGTGTGCGGGCGGCTGGCGCCGGCGTGGTAGGGCGAGAGGTGCCCCGAGGTTTTGCTGTCTTTGTGCAGCGCGAAGCTGTCGTGGTAGCTGTGCGAGAGATCGGGGGTTACGGAGCCGAAGTAGAAGATCCAGATTATCTGCGAAGATTAGACGGAGCGGGAGAGCGGGGGAGGTGGAGAGAATCGAACGTGGATGATGGATAGCAGAATGTGACCAGCACCTGCGGCCTCCATGGTAGCCTTGTCGGAGTAGATGAAGTTATTGGCGGCGGAGCAAGTAAACACCAAACCGGCGGCGAGCGAACCCACAATCTACCGACGACCACCATATCAGAAACTACCCCCTCCAATTCCAATGCACAAGTGAGTACATACCGCAACATGGTATTTGTGTACCATGTCGAGACAGACCACGATGGTCACCGACATTATGCACACCAGCTCGTACGTGATTGTCCACCACGCGAACTTTGGGTAGTCCCGGATGTTGACGTCCATATCGGCAAGGACCTGGGATACGAACGCTATTAACCATGCTATCTGTTGATCCGTTAGCTGTGTTACTACTCGATATTATTTCCGACACCGATCCCCCGCCGCCTGTCCGCCTGCCGCAGGCGAAGGGGGCGCGCAGAGTGCCGTGCGCATCCACTCCCACACTCCCACACCACACACACGGAGCCATCGCTCGGTCGGTCTGTCGAAAAGAGGGAGGGGGGGGGGCCTCACGAATCCTATCGAGATAGTGGCCAGGGCGATGGGCTCTCCGATGATATTCCCAAAGTCGAAGCCGCCCGAGGAGCCGTAGGGCCTACTGCTGCCCCGCAGCATGGACGGATCTTGGCCGTGCATTTGTTTCTTTCGATCTCTTCGGCGGGCGTCGGGCGGGTGGGTGGATGGGCGATCGTACTACTCTGCACCCCCTGAGAGTAAAGGAGTGTTCGGCTTGCGGGTTTTGGCGGCGGTGATGGTGGTGCTGGTGTTGGGCGAGCGAAAGGAACGGAACGCGAAGGCGAAAGCGAAGGCGGAGGCGAGGGCGGAGGCGACGGAGGAGGTGGTGAAAAGCGAGAGGGACGAGGCGACGACGACGACCGAAGGGTGCGGAGAGAGACGAGAAGGCAGCGAGCGACTACTTGACTGACGGACGGGGGTGGTGGGTGGTGGGAGGTGGTGGTGCTGGGTGTGGACGAGCAGAGTAATTAGGTCGCAGGGATGACAGCCCGAGTGGAACCAGGCGCAGCTCGGTGCATAGGTCGAGTGTACGTATTATTCGTACTATTCGACTCGGCCGGTGCTTCGAAAATCGGGAGCTTCAAGAACGACGACAACGACAACGACGGTTAGAGTACTAACTATAGTTAACTCCGGTGGATATGTGTGGTCTCGGGAACTATGGGGCAGCAATGCAATGGGATGGGGGAGGGGAGGGGGAAGGGCCTCTTGGGGGGCAAGAGGGGGAGATCTGGCGGTTTTGTTCGAGAAGGCTTTCATCTATTTCGCCATGGAGCACTGCACTTTACTTTACTATGGACACTATACATACTAAATTATTCTGTGGGCATCCTTTCCACATCCTTTCCGCTTCCCTTCCCTTCGCTTTCTTTTCTTTCCGCCTGCGTTCTCCTCATTTTCCCCTTCCCGATGGGCAATTAGGAATATTCGCTAGGTTGTTGCTGGTGTGTGTGCACTGTGTGGTGCACAAATCAGCTTCGCGTTCAGGGATGGTTTCATTTGCTCTCCAGAACAGCAGGCAGGCAGGCGGGACCGTCGAATTCCCCGTTCCCAGGAGAAGAGAAGAGAAGAAGCGCCCCGAGAGTGTCCACCTGTCGGCCACGCAGACGAAGGGCGTAGTAGAATAGAGTATATACCGGTATCTCGAGTAAAGTAAAGCCAGAGCGAGTAGTTATGTAGATGCTTACTTCTGGGCAACTCGGTCACTGAGGAAGTTATGTAGATGCTTACTTCTGGGCAACTCGGTCACTGAGGAAGTTATGTAGATGCTTACTTCTGGGCAACTCGGTCACTGAGGAAGTTACTTGGGCATCTGGAGCCTATACATACCGGCACTTATGTAGGCAATCGCACCGCCATCCGCTGCCCACAGCCCGCAGCAAGGTGAAGCACACTACGGTAGGCACACTGCACTACCCAACCCACATACGGCCGTGGGGAGACAAGAAAGGCACGGTACCGACGCGCATCCGTCCATCGCGTCCATCGCATCTATCGCATCTATCGCATCCTATCGCGTCCTAGAGTAGATATCAGGAACGGAGGAAGTCGACGTGATGTGCAGAGCAGCGTCCTTCTTCCATCCTACCTATCATAGATACCGTAGCTCCTTTCCTTCAAAGAACCGTTAACGAGGAAGAAACCTGCCCTTTCCCTTTCCCTCCTTCCCTTTCCCTTCCTTCCCTCTCTTTCCCTCCCTCCCTTTCTCCCTGCCGAGTCCCTCCCTCCCTGCCGAGTCCCTTCCTCCCTGTCAGATCCCACCGGGGGGCCTACCGAACAGGCTGGAAGGGAAGGAAGGCACTTGGAAGGAAGGAAGCACTCTCGACAAGGCAACATTGATCCACTGTCCACTGTCCAGACCAGATCTGCTCGCGGCTATTATTAGAAGCTCACATTGGGGGTACATAGTTAGGCCCGTGGGGGTGCCTGGATGCTCACTGACTGACCGACGGGTGGTTAGGTCTGGGACTCTGGGGAGTGGGGAAGCGGCTGCTGCGACTGCTCGTGTCTGGCCTCTCGACTCTGGTCTACTCCAGGAGTCTATGTGGGAGTTTATTTGGGTGGTGGGAAACCGTTTTTGACGGCAAAGATGGCGAGGCGAACGCCCATTGGTATTCGCTGGGGGCCTGGGAGTAGCCGCGCGAGAGAGTCGTCACCTGCCGCGCGCCCCCCAGCCGCACCCCCTGTGGCGGCAACTCGGCGGGACGAGGGGCGGGACGAGGGGCGGCGGTCATGGTGCGTCACTCGTAGAGAGAGGAAGTAGTAGATGTGAAAACGACCTTTAAGGGGGAAACGGCGAGTCCTTTGGTGGGAGATACTACAGATCAGAAGGTGTTGGGTCTATGTCAGGAATATCTACCTAGCAGATGCCAGAGCCAGACTGTCGAAATCCTTCGTAGGTAGTATGCCCTTGGCTCCTGGCACTCGGATTCATAGTGGCCCTGATACTGCTGGTTCTGATAGATCTGATATACGTACCGACTGGTTCTGGTAGTTCTACAGATCCTAGCTCTAATTCGGCTGGTTCTGATACTGCGGGCTCTGATAATCCAGCTGATTCGGCCGGACCTGATAGCCCTGCGGGTTCTGATAATCCAGCTGATTCGGCCGGACCTGATAGCCCTGCTGGTTCTGGTAGTTCTGCTGCCTCTGCTGAAAGGCCGCTGCCACTTGGATACGTGATATGCTCCCTATCCACGAGCTATCCATGAGGGATGACATCCGAACCCGAGCAGGTAGCTTCCTATAGCTTCCTCTACTGATATCATTCCTTGGGTTCCGTCCAGAGTATCTGTAGCAAATCAAGCAAGCAAGTAGGTATATTGGTATAAAACTAAAAACATTGAAACGCAATTCACAGATCTCATCTCCCTTCTTCCCTGGGTATCATCTATCCATCTGCCCATCTATCCACGAATATCATCATTCAACCCACACCATCTCCACACCCCTTCCCTCCGCCCCCGCCTCCACCTCCACCGATCCGCCCTCCGGCAGCACAACGATCCCCCCATCAACACAAACCCTCCTAAACCTTTCGTCCTTTTCCTGTACCGTGATCCTCAGCGCCTTAATCTTCCTATACTGCACCTTCGGATCCTCGACATGTTTCCCTGCATTATACGCTTTCTCCATGATGCGCATCACCTCCTCGGGCGCATCCAGCGTCGCGAAATGTACCAGATGCATCGCGCGCTCCCCGGGTGTGCTGCGCGGGGAAACGGTAAACGCCGCTTCAAGGTTCGAGCACATCGTCGCGAGGGTGTAGAAGTGCGCCTTCCCCCCGTTATCCCCTTCCAGCTGCAGCGTCTCCCACTCCCCCTCCCCCCGCCCCAGCGCGGTTTTATACTCCACCACCCCCCGATACCCATGCATCTCCCTGACCCCCCTCCCCGCCGCGTCCCTGAACCGTTCGACACCCACGCCCTCTCCACGCAACTCCTCAGCGTCCGCGACAAGCGAGGCATGGAATCCCCAGGATACCACAACCGCACCCTTTACCGCCCGCACCTCGCCGCCGTGCACTCCGCCGTGCACCCACCGCGCCCCCACCGAGAACCGTGCGGAATATGTCGGTAGCGCCCGCGGCGCGCCATGGAGGAGCGCGTATAGTGGTGGGTAGCCGCGCGCGGCGTGGTACGAGGATGAGAGAGCGTTGCCGGTGCCGAAGGGGAGGAGCGCGAGGGTTAGCGCTTGCTCGCCGCCCGGGCTGCGCGGGGCGTTGAGTGCCTCGTACACGCCGCCGTCGCCGGATAGGAGGAGCAGCGTGTGCTTCTTCTTCTTCTTCTTGCCGTCCCCGTTTCCGTCCCCGTCCCCGTCCCCGTCCCGCGCGGAGAGCGCAGATACCACCTCGGCTATATTGCTAGCATCGGTCGTCTTCACGACGCGCGCTGGAATCTTAAGGTCCTCCGTCAAGAACTCTGCCAGCACGCTGTCCCAGTACGCCTCTGCTCGGCCGCCGCCGGAGCGCGTGGATACTACTACGGTTACGGCGGAGTCCGTTAGGTGCGCTGGGAGGGGGTGTAGGAATAGGTATGATAGTAGCGCAGCTGGTGGGTGGGTTATGGGTGTGCGCACGAGATCGAAGTCCGAGGCGTGGTGCACGAGCGTGTATGTGTCTGCGCACGAGGTGGGGAGAAGGCAGATCAGCTGCGATTGCGGGATGGTTGTTGCGGGGTCCCCGCCCGAAGGGGTCACGGTTAGGGTGTGCGAGGAGAAATCGAAGGTTACCGGATGCGAGGAGAATGCAGAAGCGGTAATGGCGGGCATGGCGACGGTGATGGTCTGTGCTGTTGGGAGAGGAGTGAGAGAGGTGAGGGGCTTCTACATACCGGTGAGATGCTGGATATTGATATGTCGTCATCGGCCGGCCTGCTTGTACCACTATTTGCCGGCGATCACTGATCACGTTCCAGGGTCCACAATCATGTCTCCAGTGACCAGTCATGGCAGAAATCCGATCAATTTGCCTCTATTGCGAGTGCCCCTTCACCCAACCCAGATTCTAGAGTAGTTCACCTAGTACCTATCATACACCCCGTCCGTCATCCATCTAGTCTACAAAACAAGAAATATATCAAGCATTGCACCTCTGACCGGCCTCTTCCAAACGCCCCCAGAAAAACACAGGAAAATCGAAAATCGAAAAACGCAAATAGAAAAAAAAAACCTCTAGTGTTTAGCACTGTAGAATATATTGAGACTCAGGCAGGTGATCATAACGAAGACACCGTAGCAGGTGAGGGCCAACGCGCCGCGTCGCAGCATCTTTTGGCCCCAGGTCTGCTCCTGCACGGCCGCTTCGGTGTCGTTCTCTTCGTCGTGCACTTTGAGCAGGTATCGGTTGTCGGAGTCGGGACTCGATATCTTCCAGTAGAATATGCCTGGGAGGATACTGCGAGACATCAGTACATGCTGCTAAGGAGGAAAGAAAAAGGTGGACGTACAAACTGATCGCGGTGGAACCGGTACTGCCAACATAAGCCAGAACAGTCTCCAAGTTATTAACACTCATCGCGGTAATGTAAGTGCCCACGATTAAGATCGTACTGATGACCGCAAACTTGATATCGCTCATCTCGACGGCGCGGCCGGGGATGGCAGGACTGTGCACTCGGCGGGGCCGCCATTTCAAGATGTTGTCAACACTTCCTCTGCAGGGATGGAGTTGCAAGGGGTACGAGAACATGACGAGGATCACGATGGCTGCGCAGCCGACGGTCGAGGCCAACGTGCTGGGATACTGCGCGATGATGTTGCCGCCAATGTGGTCTCCGAACGAGAGATAGCCCGTGATGGCGACGAGGACGTAGATGCTTGCTGCGGAACCGATGGAGCCCACGACGACGCTGAGCGTAGACTTGTGGCTGTTGTCTTCAATCTCGTTCACAATCGCAAACATCTAGTAACCATCAATGAATGAACCCACGAGGGATATATCGAGGACATACGTTTTGGTGACATGTGTAGGAAAACACAACGACCGGGAACGTGCTGAGAGCTTGAATGGGACCAGCCCACTGGATCGGGTGGACCTTGCCCCTTCCTGGTATCGTATCGCCGATAATGTAATGTCCCACCACAATTATGATGAGATATCCGATCGAGACCAGGGCAATGAACGACGTGTACTTCAGCGAGTCGAGCCGGCGAAGGAAAGACAGCGGGATCACCACGAGCCTAACAACAGTCAGTTACGGCCGGAAAACCTCGAGATGCGGGCAGTCTGACATGAACACGGTGATCCAGAGATGCCTATCCAGCATAAACTCGAATCTCTCCGGGTCTACGCCGAGCCCGCGCACGACCTGGGGCATCAGGTCACCGATGATGATGAGATACGACACCGCCACACCTAATCCGAGTCAGCCCCAATGTTCTGCTCTGCCACACCCTCGCGCAGAATCTCGCATACCGAAACACTTGATAGCAATGGCGGCATCAAACAAGATAGCGGCATTGGGGTAGGTGAGCTGGCTCAGCGCGAAGAAGCTTGACGTCCCGCGCTCGACATACTTCGAGCACCTTGCCTGCAGATACAGGCCGAATCCGGACATGCAGCCGGAGAATACAATGACAAAAACGCCGAGTGCCATTCCGAACTGGCTCATGGCATGCGGCATCGCTAGGACTCCCGCGCCGACAACTACACGTTCCGGTAATGTAAGCGCCGTTCGCCACCAAAACTACTCGGAGGCAGGGGGAGACCGACTCGTGTTGAGCAAATTCACCACGCTGCTCGTCCATGTTGCCTGCCCGTAGTGTACTTTACTATTCCGTCGGCGTCTGCGAAGCAACACATCAGTCAGCGCCGGCAGCAGTCCAACGGTAACTACACCGGGAGGTACGTACCTGGGTGTGCCCGAAACCGAGCCGGGTGCTGACACCACCGGCCCGCCATCGACATCGCTCTGGCTGATCGCAGAATAGCTCTGCGATACCATTTCTGCGGCGCGCGTGGTACTGGGGCTGGAGAGTGACTCCCTCGAGGAGCGGCGTTAGGCGGCGTATGCGGTAGCACAGGGACGTGGTGACTTGTAACTGTTGGAAATCGCGAGCGAGGCGTGGAGTGGCGGATGGGTCCAGGAAGCTGGCAGCGTTCTCGCAGGCGAGCTGGCGATGGGGGATTAGGTGCGTAAGTGTTGGTAACGAGCGTGTCTGTGTGTGGGGGAGGGTGACAGGTGATTATGTATTGGTGTCGTGTGCCAGGACTGTACTAGAGAGAATAGTACGTACACGACTCAGGAGAGAGAGGAAGGGAGGATCGTATTACGTTTTGAAGATGCGGGTACTGGAGGCGCCAACCCACTGTACTGCCACGCATGGGTTGCGTTAAGCATACCCTTCCATCTGCTGCTGTGTTACGGTCTGGATGCCACAGTACCACCCCCCACTCTCATATACATAGCACGGATTCTCCAATTCCTCCGCAATCCACAGCCGCAACAACAACAACAGCACACGCACGAGATGAATCCGAACCACCTAGACTGGTCGACGATTACGGGGCCGCTCTCGTCGCACCGTGCGCAGCTGGTGCTAACAGCGGTCGCATCGGGGGTAGCCGTGGGCACCACGCTGCTCGCCTTCCAATCGGCCCGGCAGAACCAGAAACTGCGGGACATCAAGAGCTCGATCCGGTCACGGGACGACTCCACCGCCGTGTGTAGCCGCCGAAACCCATTTGCACAGCGAACGACAGAACTCTGACTTTCCTTGTGGCCTCAAGCTTACCGAATACGGCGGCGCGCCGGCGTCCACCTCCAGGTTGCACACCGAGCCGGATGCGGAACTCGCGGCGAAAGCGAGGCGCGGCGATTGGGACGAAGGTATGCATCTACACACGCCTCCAGCCCCGTGTTCTAAGCCGTGCAGACTTGATCCTCGAGCAGCTCGCGCGCAACCGCGTATTCCTCGGCGACGACGGCCTGCAGAAGGTGCGGGACGCGTTCGTGATCGTTGTGGGGTGCGGGGGCGTAGGATCCTGGACGGCGACGATGCTCGTGCGCTCCGGGGTGGGGAAGGTGCGACTGGTAGACTTCGACCAAGTGACTTTGTCATCGCTGAACCGGCACGCGGTGGCGACGCTGGCGGACGTGGGCACGCCCAAGGTGCAAGCGCTGCGGAAGCACCTGGAGCAGGTTGCGCCGTGGGTCGAGATTGATGCGCGGAACGAGCTGTGGAATATGGAGAATGGCGAGGCGCTGTTGGCCGGCAACCCCACGTACGTCGTCGATGCTATCGACAATATCGATACCAAGGTCGACCTGCTGCATTTCTGCCACTCAAGAGGAATACCCGTGATTTCGTCCATGGGCGCCGGCTGCAAGAGCGATCCTACCAGGGTACGTCGCTCCACGAGATATCACTCACCATACCCCACGCTTACCGTGAAAAAACTACAGATCAACATCGGCGATATCTCGGAGTCAAACGAAGACCCACTGTCTCGGTCCACACGGCGTCGACTGCGGCAAAAAGGCATCGTCACCGGCATACCCGTCGTGTACTCACTCGAGCGGGCTGGTCCGGGCAAAGCCACTTTGCTCCCCCTTGCAGACGAAGAGTTCTCAAAGGGCAGCGTCTCGGAGCTCAGCGTACTGCCTACATTCCGTGCGCGTATCCTCCCCGTTCTCGGCACGATGCCGGGCTTCTTCGGGCTCTGCGTAGCGAACCACATCCTAACGCACGTCGCCTCGTACCCGGTGGAGTACTCGCTCGGCAAGAACCGCACAAAGCTGTACGAGGACATACAAGCGCGTTTGGCGGGGCTAGAGAGCCGGCTGCGCGGGAACGCGGTGGGTCTGAGGCTTCCGCTCACAGAGGCGGATATTGGATATGTCGTTGAGGAGGTCTATAAGGGCAAGAGTGTCGTCTCTGGGTACCCCACCAGACTCGCACTCACGAGATGGCTCCCTCTGCCGTTTTGTCAGAAGATGGAGGGCGTCTGGGGTGAGGATGATCATAGGCTGCAGGTTGATAATTTGGTGCTCATGACGAAGGATGAGGCTAAGAAGCATGAGCTGGAGGTTCTGATCGCCCGGAAGTCGCCGGAGGAGGTCTGGGGTGCTGAGGTGGTCGAGAAAGTCAAGCAAAGGCTCGAGGAGGAGGCGTTTTACGCTAAATACAGATAGCTATCATATGTAGATAGATAGATGGATGGATACATAGATGGGAGGCGATGCTTGAGTAAACTGTAGAGTAGATTCCGTAGTACCACTGCACTGCACAAATACCTCCTCACTCACTCGCCCACCCAGTCTCACTCACAAGGTCTCACTCACTCACTCCCGTATTTTTGTTTGTTTAATCAGTGATTGCTTGCGACCTAAGTAGATCATGGCAATATATGTACACACTCCGTTTCCTCGCAACTGTCCGACCCGACTTTCATCGAGTGGCCCGATGTGGCTTTCCCTGCCCCCGGCTCCTCAGCCTCAGCACCCTCCTCCTCCTCTCGTCTCAGTTCCGCCTCCCTTTCTTCCTGCTCCCTGTACTCACTCCCGTATTCCAAGCGCATCAGACAGCATATCACCATGCCCTCCCAGCATATCACCATGCCCTCTCAGCAGATGATTAGCAGCTGAACCGCACGCAACCCACGACCTCGGAGGCGGTCTGGGGCGCAGAGGTGGTCGAGAAAGTCAAGCAAAGGCTCGAGGAGGAGGCGTTCTATGCTAAGTATAGATAGACAGCTATCATAGATACGGTAGATGGATAGATAGATGGATAGATGGATGGATAGATGGATGGATAGATGGATGGATAGATGGATGGATAGATGGATGGATAGATGGATGGATAGATGGATGAATAGATAGATGGATAGATAGATGGATATATACGGTAGATGGGAGATGATGATTGAGTAAACTGTAGATACTGTAGATTCCGTAGTACCTGCCGTACTGCACTGCACTGCACAAATACCTCCTCGCTCGCTCACTTGAGTATTCCACGCCATGACGCGCATTAAACACCCATTGCCATTCCCCCGCCTATGAACCGCACAACCAACGACCTCGGAGGCAGTCTGAGGCACAGAGGTTGTACCGTCGTTGAGAAAGTCAACCGCCGGCTCGAGGAGGAGGCGTTTTACGCTAAATATAGATAGCTATCATAGATAGCTGTCATAGATATATGGATGGATGGATAGAGGGAGACGATGATGATGATTGAGTAAACTAGGGATTTAGAGGGAGACGGAGTTGATGATTGAGTAAACTGTATAGTAGATTCCGTAGTACTACTGCACAAACAAATACCACCTCCTCACTCACTGGCTCACAAGGTCTCATTCACAAAGTCTCACTCACTCCCGTATCTCTCCCGGCGGAAACAAGCCGTGACGCCCGCCCAACAGCACATTGCCAAAAGGCCGCACGCGACAATAAATTGATATTCTCTCTCTCAAACCCATTATTACCACCCCCCCAATCCTCAAACCCCCTCCGCCCCCCTCCTCACAACCCCCCTCTCCACCCTCCCCGTGCGCTCATCCCACTCAGCAAAACACTCATTAACCCCGACGACCCCCACCTGATACCACTGTTCCAGCACCCTAACCGACCTGGACCTAAGTTCCGCCACCTTCCGCGCCTGCCTCCTCTGCGTCTCCTCCAGCTCCTGCAGCCTAGGCAGCAACGCCACTAGCCGCGCGCTGGCCGCTGACGCGGGAATAGGCGTGTCGCCGATCGCGCTGAGGCGCGACGCGGTCGACGCGAGGTCGGGCGCAGAGGACAATACGGTGGCGGCTTTGGAGGAGGCCGGGGGCCCGTGCTCCGCTACGCGATGGGGGGTCGAGGTGAAGGCTTCGGGGTAGTTCGCGTCTGTTTGCGAGTCTTAGCGGAAAGTGGCGGGGGCGGGGGAACGGGGGACAAGGGGGGGGGACGCGGGGGGACGGGGAGGGGACAAGGACGGGGGGGGGGCACACGAATCTGCAATATCTCAGCGACCGTCCGCGATTTTACCTGCAGGCGCTGCAGGTCTGATTGCAGCGTTGCGATGCGGGTGCGGATTGGGATTTGGATCGGGGTCGCGGTTGGCGGGTCTGCCGATGTGCTCGACGTTGGAGGAGCTGGCGGGGCTGGGGCTGAGGGGGCTGCTGCTGCTGCTGGGGTTGTTGCTGGAGGAGATGGAGCGGGTGGCCGCGGGCTGCCCGTCAGTGTGAACTCTAGACGTGACAGCCGCGTGGATAGCGTGTGCAGTGTTGCGATCGCGGTAGTCGTGGTTGGGTCTGACATTGTTCGTTTGTTCGTTTGCGTGTGGTGGGGTGGTGGTGCGTGATGGATGCGGGAGCTGGGAGCTGGGAGCTTGGTGGTAGGAGCTTGGTGGTGCTCGGCTCGGTCGCGTTTGGATGGTGGTGGGGTTGCACAGGGTGCTGGTGCCGTGGTGGCGCCGTGGTGGTACAAGTCGGTTCGGATGGTCGGTGCGCACGTTTCACCCGACTCGTGAGCGTGGCTGGGGCGGTAGGTACTTGCCGTACTTGCCGTATGTCAACTCATTGATGTTGGACTTTCCCGCGGCTGGAGGCCGGAGCTCAGCCCCCTCATATCCTCGCGCCGAGGAGAAACACAGTGCGAAGCTGAGACTATACTTAAAGGAGCCCTGCAAGTTACAAGTTGCAAGTTTGCAACTTCATTTCATGCAGCGGTAGATACCAAAAATGCTAGGTATTATCCAAAACAAAACCCCCCATCCCGGAAAGAGAAAGAAACGGTATGATCTTCCCAATTGTAAATGATATAACCCAAAAAAGAACAAAACCAAAACCCCGTCCCGTCTATTTACACGCCAGTCACTTTTCTCGAATAAAATTTAAAAGATAAGAATCATGTCTGTGGGTTCTGCTGCTGCTGATTCGCATCATGCTGCGGCTTGGGTTCTATTATCCGCTCGGTAGCGGGTTTCCACGAGCCTGTAGGACAGAACGAGTCAGTACGACGGATCATGTGTCAAGAGGGTGGGTGAGACGGTACCTTCAAACTCGTGTTTGACGAACGCCATGGGATCCTCGACCGGCCCCGCACCGCTGTGCCCGATACCCGGGGAGAAGCTGGTGATGGGAAGGACCACTACATCGCCAATCTTCTTCGAGTCCCTCATGCCGGTGAAATTCTTGAAGGTGATGTTCCCGGCCGACGCAGTGGTTTCGAAGAAATTGGGATCGTTGAAGTAGGAGAAGATGGAGTCAGTCCAGACGGCCGGTCCGGTCCACTCTACGACGCCATCGTGGTTGGGCTTGAGGTTTCCCTCGCGCTTGCGCTTGAGTGTTTCCGCCGTGATCTTGGTGACGATATCGACCAGTACCGGATGTCCAGGTTTCGCCTTGATCGTCCACTGGCAGAATTGGATGCGGCGGGAGTACCACTTGGCCCAGTCCGCGCGGTCGGGATCCGCCTCGATTCCAATCACCAGACCGATAGATTTGGCGTTGAAGGATTGCGGGACCCATTCGGTGGTCGGCTTCAGCGCCTGGGTATCGATGTCCGCGTAGACTCCTCCGCGGGCGAGGAGGATCAGGTAGCGGAAGAAGTCGGCCTTCAGGATCGGGAGGGGCATGGAAAGGTATGCTTCCAGCACATCGGGAATGGCCGAGTAGAGATGCCGGATCAGATGTTCGGCCACATCGTCGGTGATGACCTAAAGTGCCGCAGTGATTAGCGTGATTCGTGACGGTACCTGGCTAGAGCAGCTGCCAAGTTGCACGGGGGTATGACGACGAACCTCGTGAACGAACGAGGGATGTTTTTCGGTCCAGCTTGCTTCGGGAACGCGGAACTTATCCGCGAATTGGCCGCTGGCCGGTGTGTATTTCCAGGTCTGCCAGATGTACGCGGGGAACTTTGACGAGACCGAGTATGGAAAGTGGTAGGCGAGCTGCTTGTCGATGGGGAGATTCTGGACGGCGGCCAGCGCGAGTTTCTGCTGCACCTTTGCCGCTCCGGAGTCGACCTTTGGGACGGTGGGTTTGGGTTGGGTCGTGATCGGTGGGGCGGAATTGGGTGTTGTATCCGTCTTCACGGACCCCGGAGATTGCGGTGGTGCTGCTGCTGCTGCTGTTGATGGTGGTGATGATGTTGGAGCTCGTTGTGTGTGCATCGATGAATGTCGAGGATATAACATAAAGATCATGAACAGCAGCACCGCTGCCATGATGACAGCTTTCCGAAAGGTAACCATCGTTGCTGTGCTAACTATAGCTCGTCCGAAAGATCGATCTCAGTGGGCGGCAGTCGATAACGAGGGGTTCGTTCGAGTCGTATATTCTCGTCGTGTTCGACCTTCAAAAGATATGATGCCTGAATTCGAGGGTGTGAATCTATCGGACGACAAAACGCAGATCCAATGATGTGCGTAGTACGGGCACGAGGGGGAAAGTTGAAAGCTTATAAGGAGGAACAAGTAGAAGAAAAAAGTCTCCTTCAGCTGCCGACAGAGCCACAAGGGTGACCTAAGAACGGATGTAACGTAGTGCGCAGTGCTCCTTCGTCCAGCCGCAGCTGCTCACAATGCTTTTTTTCCTTTTTTTACTCGAGAGCGGTCCTCCTGAGCCTTACTGGATCGAGTCGGGTGGCTTGTTCGGATACGACGAAACGACAAATCGAATGTGCCAAAGCGGATTGCTGCAATCTTTCCCTTCGAAAAGCGGATAGCAATGGGAGGCGAGGAGGAGGAGGATGAGGATGCGGAAGAGGCGGAAGAAGCGGAAGAGGAGGAGGAGGAAGAAGAAGAGCCGCAAGTTCGTGGGAATCGTAAGCGGAAAGGAGGAAGAAGACTAGAAGGAGACGAGAAGAAACAGAAAAAGAAAAAGAAGACGAAGCCGAGAGTAAAAGAAGAAGAAGAAGCCGGCCCCTCCAGCGGAACGATCGCGATAAACAGCGGTATGGGATGTATGATACCCAGGAGGGTGAGGCTCTCCAAAGAGGGCACTCACTGCTCCAATCCAAGCTACGCATTACGCGTCCGCGTTGCACTGCTAAGCAGCAGTAGGTAAGCCCCGCAGCCCGCAGCCACCACGGCTGGAATCCATCCAGTGGACCATGGCGCTCGCTCGCCGTTCGCAACCCGCATCCAAGGTCCCAACATCATACAGACATGGATGATGGATGGCACATGCCGTGCCGTTTAAAATAGATTGGGTGCCAATATGTACCGCCGCCTCCTCGACTCTTATGTAACTCCTCCTCTCCTTCTGGCGATCTCTTCTCTTCTCTTTTTTCTCTTTCTTCTTTCTCGAGACGTTACATATTTGGAGTTCATACCGGTACTCTACATACATCGGGCAGAACTGCGAAGGGGGAACCCAGGCATGCAAAAAAAAAAAGGTGTGTGGCATCTTATCGAGAGATCATCCCTGGGTAGAAGAAACGTGCGTGAGTGGACACTTGTAGGGGAGGTGCTTCCTACGGTACCGGTGGTGCCGGTGTGCCGGAGACAAGGGACGTCGATTCGCAGCTTGTACGAATTGATGGTGTCCGAATACATCCGCGGCGGACACCTTTCCTCAAGCGACACATGGCGCCCTACCGCAGTAGCTGAGTACCCAGATGTCTCCTCCTCCTCCTCAACCACCAAAAAGCCTCCAGAGTCCAGTGAATGCTGCAAGCCGGGACTCTCGCATGTGCCAGACATGTATGTACATATTATCATTTGCCGATGGGCCGTCATGTCAGAGCGCCTTACCTCGTGGCCTTACTCTAGAGTATACATCAGCCGCAAGCTGTGCAGGCTCACCTGCACAGTAACCACAGCTGCTCACGGATCATAATATCCACACAGTACACAATGCGGTACACAATACAATCCACAGTGCATACCCATCCGTCTCAAGCGCCCACCCGCCACATGGCATCGATTCGGCCGGAATGTGGCCATCCATCACCCTTGCGCTCCAGAGTCCATGTCCGGTTCCGAGTCCGCCCCTGCGCCTCGGACGACAGCAGTCGTCTCTGGAGTCTGCCACCCTCCCCCGGACCCGTCGCGAATCCCCCGACCCAAACGAACTCACTGGTCTCGGTGAAGCAGCTGAGTTGCAGCCTCGCCGAGTCATCGTCCGTCCATTGATATGTACCTATCAATTGGTAAAGTGGAGTACCTAGAGTAAGAACTGTAAACGTCGATCCGTGTCAGTCTGAAGCGCCTACCGACCTGCTACCTGCTACACACCGGTATTATCCCCTACCTACCATACCTACATTCCTACTTCCTACCTACCCCTTGCCAATCCGGTCAATTTACTCCACGAGTCCACTTACTGCATAGCACTCTACGTATGTAGACTATGTGCACACCCATCACATTCCCAGGCTTGCACTGTCCAGTCAAGTTCAAGTTCGACAGCAGGTTTCTCACCGTTACTCTAGGTAAGTAGACGCCGTTTCGAAACAAACATGTAGATATATTCCTGAAACGCTAAACTGGCCTCTAGATACTCTACTCTGCCATCCCCCGGCCCCTCTCCGGCCCCCAATGCGGAGAGAATAACGAGCAACTGGCAACTGGCAACTTGCGACGGGCAACGGGCAACGGGGGACGTACATATCTCGTACATATCTCCACCCATCTCCCACCTCTGTTCCTTGCATGCATGGCACACAAGCACGGCATACGCAACAGATTGATTGACCACGACTCCACGAGTTTGGGAGGATACCTACCGTACACAAGTGGTACGTACGTACGCATCATACCACACTCGGCTCGAGTTGTTGCGGGACCGTGGACTCGTGGTTGACAGGAATGCGCTCGCCGCTCTTTGCTTGCGGTTAGGTTGGTTGGCGGAGTTTTTCGGTTATATACGCACGAGCCCATCTCATACGCGCGTTGCGGATACCCGCCACATCCGCCCCCCGCCTCTCCCGCTCGCTGCCGGACGGGGGGATGGCGGAGAATTGTGGTGATGGTGGCGGGGGTCTGGGTTGTATGGTACCGGTATGTATGAGGCATGTATGGGCCGTCTGGGATTTGTGCCATGTGGGCAACCCCCCTCCCCCTCCCCCGTGCCTGGGATTGCGGTAGTTTTGTGGGCTGCGAACGGTTGGGATTGAGCTGAGGACAGTGGACGCGGATATCATAGGAGTTACTTACTTGGGTGCTTACTTGGACTTACTTGGGTACAGATACATCCATGTACGAATACCGGCCTTTGTCCGGTCGAATGCGTACTACTATGGTTACGACGCGGAAGCCGACGTTGACACCGGTTTCCACTTCGATTCAATACCTAGGGAAGTACCTACGCAGCTACGCTCGGACGGTTCCCCGTCATGCCAACCCTTTGTCCTTCGTACCTTCCTTCGTTCCTTCGTTCCTTCGTTCCTTTCCGTCTTCCCAACTATCAGGTCTGGGATATATACACATACGCCCGCCCGCCCCTTCCCTATCTACCTACCCCACTCTCCTCCACTTCACTACTATTTCCGGATCCTCCCCACTCCACACTCCACGTAGACTTCTCGCCTCGAGAGTCGAGCCGTCCCGGAAAGTCGAAACTGCCGTATCCGCTTTACACATCGTCTCCGACGATGATGCGTCCCCGTCCCCGTCGGGAGTCCCTGCAGTGTGCACTCACCCATCCGGACCGGACCCAGTCATCCAGCCGGACACCGTTTCTGGACCAGATTACCTGACGCCCTGGATCGGGTTCAGTCTCCGACGGAATGAAGGTGAACATGCAGGTGGGCACTGGGTGATGCAGGTGGGAGATGCAGGTACCCATCCGGGGAGCTGGGCTTGGGTAGGTGTGTTGTAACGTTTTCGGTGTGTGGGTGAGAGGTTCGTTCTGGCGGGATGGAAGCTGCAGGCGAGCAGGCAGACAGGCAGGTACCCGTCCTCCCGTCCTCCCGCCGTCCTCCCGCCGGACGAAAAGAAGCTCTCCCCCACCCCCGGCCCCGGAGGTTACGGCTTCTTTTTTCGGTACGACAATCCGGGGAACCGATATACGGAACCGGGAAGAGCCGGTGTACGGCATATAGGTGTTTGGGATATAGCGGATCCGGGCGGGAGCGCTGTCTCGTATGGCATGGGGCATTCATAAGTCGTCACTCGTCGGGCGGTTGTCCAATGGAAGAGATCTCGAGGTGGAAAGACCCATGACGCCAGGGACTGCACTGCACTGCTACGAGCTTGCAGTTTAAACATACCCCGAGGCCCACTGAGAACAAGGACCTGGATTTCCTCGCATGATTTCCCGGGGTGGAAGATAAAAGCTCGGTTTGCAGCTTGCGGATCACGCCGCAGCTGCTACCAACACGCTCAGGAGGCTTACAAGGCGAGCAACGTGGCAGTGCAAAGACGCAGAACGTATACCAGCAATATCAGCTCACGCACAATTCATTCGGGCCATTTCGTAGCAGCAACAGTGAGAATAATCTCAATCTGATAAGATTTCCCATCATGACTCCGTGGCGCAACGGTAGCGCGTCAGATTCCAGACCTGAAGGCTGCGTGTTCAAATCACGTCGGGGTCACAGTCCGTGTCTTCCCAGCATCGAAGAATCTTCCTTTGATGTTGGTGACGATCGTTTTTGCCTCGTGGGCTCTACTCTACGTCGGTGGAGGGTGCGGGAAGACCGAAACTAGCACTCCACGTTATCGAGAACGCGCGAGAGGGAGTATGTAAGCTTTTAATCCACTGGGTACGGACAACTCATAAATTTGGTAAAGAGAATCACCGTTGACGACAAAGATGCTAGCAATTATGGTGTACGGGTGGACTCCTGCAGAGTACTGGACCGGGGGGAGAGTCAGACTCTTCGTGCTTCCACTGTGCAACCCCGCCATCCCGCGACATCCCAACCCACCACGATCGTCGGCAGCACCCAAACTCCGAGGGCAGCAAGCTCTAGACCGCCGGATGCGAGTAAGCAACCGCGCACGAGTTGTTCAGCTCGCAGGGAGAGTAGGATCACAAATGCAAGAGCTGGCGCGATCCGAGTTCCTCGAGCTTCCATTTCGCCGCCCAGGGTATGTGATGCTCTCTCGAAGCGGTTCTGTGCTTTTTGGTGGGGCGCGCCGGCTGTAAGTTATACCTGGTACGTAGTAGTATTTCCGTCCCCCGCTCCGCTCCACCCCACCATACTACATCATATCCCCTCTCTTCCCACCTTCTCCACCGACTCCGCACTCGTAAATTCTCTCGAACAACCGCTTCTTTCACGAACCTGTCCATCACCTCCCACTACTACCACCACCACTACCAATAAACTACTTCGAAATGGCCAAGGCTGGTAAGTCAATTCGTTTCCTTTTTTCTGTCCTGTCTGTCGCTTCCCGTTCTGTCGGATTGGGCGCTTGAATCCGGATGTCGGCTGGCGATTGGGAGAACGGAGGAGGAAGAGAAGGAAGAGGAGGGTGAGGAGGAGGTACAACGAGATAGCAGGAGGGGGCAAAGGTGTGGGCGAGAATAGAGGACGCCAGGGTCTTTATAGTTGCCACTGGTTGGCTTGCGGATGTTCATCTATGCACGGGTCCAGCACCTTCCTGCAGTCAACAGACACCTTGCTGGCACTCACACCTCTCCTCGGCTGTCTCCTCGCCTCTCTTCCCCCCGCGTGTCGTTTGCTGCGCAAGAACGCAACTGACCTCGATGCGCCCATAGTTGCTGTCGTCCGCGGTGACTCCGGTGTCTCCGGCACCGTCAAGTTCTCGCAGGAGAACGAGAACGCCCCCACCATCATCGAGTACGAGATCAAGCACGTCGATGCCAACGCCGAGCGTGGCATGCACATCCACGAGTTCGGTGACAACACCAACGGCTGCACCTCCGCCGGTCCCCACTTCAACCCCTTCGGAAAGACCCACGGTGCTCCCACCGACGACAACCGCCACGTGGGTGACTTGGGTAACATCAAGACCGACGCCGACGGTGTTGCCAAGGGCCGCATCGAGGACCACCTCATCAAGCTGATTGGCCCCCAGAGCGTCTTGGGAGTGAGTACTGTCGGTGAGAAAGGCTGATGTGGATGCATGGCTGACTGTGAGGCTGCAGAGGACTGTCGTTGTCCACGCCGGCACTGATGACCTCGGCAAGGGAGGACACGAGCTGTCCGTCACCACCGGAAACGCTGGTCTCCGCCCCGCTTGCGGTAAGTGATATCTGTTTCTTCCGTTCCACGGTGCGGGAACAGGGCTGATATGTGACCTTAGGTGTCATCGGAATCACCAACAACTAAGTTGCTGGACTGTCGGTCGATTGCTCGTGTTGGATGATTTATTCTCAAGATGTGTAGTTCGCCGAGATGTGGCTGATAATGAAGACAAAAATTGTTGCCCCCAAGGCGTTTCCTACTTGATTGTCATCTTCGGGATCGTTGCCAATCGTCTGCCTCGGAAACTGTGAAGTACCTACGTAAAAGCCCCACCGACTCACCGGACTTGACGGTTTATGTACGGCTTTTGAGATAGCTGGCCCCAAACTGGTCCGGAACCAAGCCATTCTACGCTGGCCGAGACGCCGAATTGGCCAGCTTTCGAACAGCGTTGGTATAAGTATCCAGATTCCAGACGAACCCCTTCATTCCGTAGTTATATAGGACTGGCTATCAAACTCCGCATCTGAGTCCCTCGCTTGGCAGGCATGAGCTGCTGCGGATAGATCCTATATGTACCTATGTGGCGCCAGAATGACCCGTGGCAAAGTCACTTCGCCACCACCCCTTTATTCCACCTTAGTTACGTGTGACCGTACGATGACTTTCTACTTGTGGCCACTTCTCGTCCCAAGGATACGATGATCCAGGGGAAATCGTTCGTTGTCCAGATCGTTGGGCAGTCGAGGGTCTCCACATACGGTACTGGGCTCGTCGCGATTTCCATGCTCCGATTGGGCGTCTGTCAAGTGTACGCGTAAAATAATTGGTGGGAACTTTTTTTGTTGTCTCACAATGCAGGAACCCTGCTCGTTCACGTCAAACCCGACACCTATACCACAACCTCCATCTTAAACCTCATCTTTCGCTCCCGCTCTCCGCACTTCTCTTCTTTCCCGCAACTCAATTGCAAAGAACTTCATCTACACACACCCCGTCGAAACCACCTATACACGTTGTTAGAGGTATATAGTACTGCTGCTTCCATCCCCTCCGTCACTGCGCTCCTGTGGTTATACACTCGTGGTCTCTGTCTCTTTCTCTCTCGGTTGCTAACAAGCTACTCTCTCTCCAGCACCCCGCAACGCCACAGCTTGCTTGCTCAACCACCCCGTCAACTCTACCGCACCACACACTATCCGCCGGCACATCACTCTCAATCATGGCTCTTCTCGCAAAAGTGAAAGCTGTCACCAGCGGCGACACCTTGATCCTCAAGTCGAGCAAATCCAACGCCGAGAAGATCCTGACACTCGCCTACGTTTCCGCCCCGCGCCTCCGCCGCGAGGGTGACGAGGTACGCACATCCACCTGAGCTTGAGCATCTATTTAGGCCGGGCTTGCTTGCTGACGTCTCGGTGTATATAGCCCCATGCATTCCAATCCCGCGACTACCTGCGCAAGCTCGTCGTGGACAAGGAAGTGCAGTTCGTCATCACGCAGAATGTTCCCAACACCAACCGCGACTTGGGAATCGTCAATCTTGCCGACGGCCGTTCGCTCCTGGAAGTTCTCGTCTCCGAGGGCCAGGTCAAGCTCCGTGACGACACGCAGAGGATCGAGGACAACGTGCTGGTCGATAAGCTCCGCATCTACGAGGACCAGGCGAGGAGCGCGGGAAAGGGCGTGTGGAACTTGAGCGGCGATAATCATATCGATGCGAGATATGATCTGCCTGCTAGCCCGCATGATTTCCTCGAGGAGCATAAGGGGAAGCAGATTGCTGGTGAGTTTGTGTTTGATCACTATGTCGTGAGATGGAGGCTGATATTTTTTGCTTGTTGTCACAGCCATCATTGAGCGTGTCATCTCCGCCGACAGGTTCGCGGTTCGCATGATCATCTCCCCCAAGCTTCACCAGCAGCTTGTTCTTCTCCTCGCTGGTGTTCGTGCACCTCTCTCTACCCGAATGGACGCGAACCAGATGGTCACCCCCGGTGAAGAGTACGGTGACGAGGCAAAGGACTTCGTCGAGGCCCGTCTTCTTCAGCGTACTATCCACGTCGACCTTCTCGGGGTCAGCCCTCAAGGCCAGCTCGTCGGTTCGATTGTGCATCCTGCCGGAAACATTGCCGAACTCCTCCTTGCCCAGGGTTACGCCAGATGTGTGGACTACCACAGCGGCTTCCTCGGAGCTGCAATGGCCAGACTCAGAGATGCCGAGAAGCACGCAAGAGACAACCAGCTTCGAGTCTTCAAGGCGCACGTACCGAAGAAGAAGGAGTCTGGTAGCGAATTTGATGCTGTGGTCTCGCGTATCCTTAGTGCGGATACCATCTTTGTGAGAAACAAGGCCGGCGCGGAGCGGAAGCTCAACCTCTCCAGCATCAGACAGCCCAAGCCGTCGGACCCGGCGCAATCGCCCTTCCAGGCGGATGCTAAGGAGTTCCTGCGAAAGAAGCTCATCGGCAAGCACGTACGCGTCAGCATCGACGGAAAGCGGGCAGCACAGGAGGGCTACGAGGAGAGAGAAATGGCTACTGTCACTCTGGCCGACAAGAACATCGCTCTTCTCATGGTTGAGAACGGATATGCTTCCGTTGTTCGCCACCGAAAGGACGACACTGATCGGTCTCCTATCTGGGACAGTCTTGCCGCTGCTGAGGAGGCTGCCAGGAAGGAGTCGAAGGGAATGTACGCCTCGAAGGCACCTGCGTCGGCTAAGATGGTCGAGGCTTCTGAGACTCTACAGAAGGCCAAGAGTTATCTTTCTTTCCTCCAGCGCCAGAAGAGGGTCCCCGCTATCGTCGACTTTGTCGCATCTGGTTCCAGATTCAAGGTCATCATCCCCAAGGAGAATGCGCGTCTCACATTCATCCTGAGCGGTATCCGATGCCCGAGAACCGCAAGGAACCCCAACGAGCAGTCGGAGCCCTTCGGCCCGGAAGCACTAGAGTACGTCTCCAAGAAGTGCATGCAGCGCGATGTCGAAATCGATGTTGAGGACATCGATCGTGTCGGTGGTTTCATCGGTACCATGTACGTCAACCGCGAGAACGTTGCCAGAGGCCTCGTCGAGGAGGGACTGGCCAGTGTCCACGCCTATTCTGCCGAGAAGACCGGACACGCCAACGAACTGTTTGCGGCCGAGACCCGGGCGAAGACTGCACACAAGGGAATGTGGCACGACTGGAGTCCTGAGAAGGAGGCTGCCGAGCAAGAGGACACCACGAGCTACGTCACCAAGCAAGAAACCGTCGAGCGGAAGAAGGACTACCGCGATGTCGTCGTTTCTCACTCGGACACCCTCGGCAATCTGAAGCTTCAGCTTGTTGGCGCCGGCACCTCCGCCCTCGAGGAGCTGATGCAGTCTTTCCGCAAGTTCCATCTCCAGCCTGCCAACAACAAGCCGATCGAGGGACCCCCCAAGGTCGGCCAGCTCGTTGCCGCCAAGTTCACCGAGGACGACACTTTCTACCGCGCCAGAATTCGCCACGTCGACCGTACCGCAAAGGAAGCCGAGGTCCTCTACGTCGACTTCGGCAACTCTGAGAAGATTTCATGGACGCGCATGCGTCCCCTCGCGCCCCAGTTCTCGGCAGACCGTCTCAAGCCCCAGGCCGCCGACGCAACCTGGTCGTTCCTCCAGTTCCCCTCCGATAGCATGTACGCCGAAGACGCTTACGACATGGTGGTCAGCCTCACTGGCAACCGCCAGCTCGTCGCCAACGTCGACCACGTCAAGTCGGACGGCTCCCTCATGGTCACCCTCTTCGAGCCCGAAGCCGCGACCTCCGGCGCGAGCATCAACCGCGACTTGGTCGCCGCGGGCCTCGCTTACGTCCCCGCGAAGATGCTGCCTGGCATCCGTAACGCGTACGCGGACGTCATTGCGGACCTTGATGCGGCTATGCATCAGGCTATGGAGGCGCACTTGGGAATGTGGAAGTACGGCGATACTAGGCCCGATGAAGAGTAGTTCTTCGTTCGTGTTTCATGGTGCTTTCTCCTGGCAATATTTTCTTTTTGTGTGGTGGTGGGGTGTGTATAGGGTGTCTTTTCTTTGATTCCTTTTCCTTGATTTTCTTTGACTTTATGGGGATTTTCTGGGCGCATTGGTTCGGCGTATTTGATGGGGCTCTATTACTTTGTACGTACGGTGCCTACGAGCGGTAATGGTGTGGAGTGAAGGGTGGAGGGGGTGAAGAGGGGAGGGGGGAAAAGTAGTGGGGAATGAATGCATGAGATGTGATCAAGGCCGCGTACTTATCTTTGAAGGAGTGGGAAGTGATGTGTGTGAGGGTGAAATGACAGTGTAAACATGAACAGTGGAAACACTGCAAACACTGCAAACACGAATCCGGCGGGGTTGGGATGAGTATGGAGTTTATCGTTGCCATGCTAGGGGACATGATAAGGGACATGCTGAGGGACATCGGTGGCCTCCATGGACATATCACTATTATCGCTATGTACCGAGCATGCACCGGTCTTGCTGCTCGAAACTTCGGACTCAAAACTCAGACCTACTGTACTAGGTATGGTAGTTACATAGGACCCAATATTTGAAACTTGGATACCGTAGAGTACGGTCACGGCAGCCGTGAGCAGTGGGTAGTGGGCACTGAGAACGAAGTATTAGGCATTGAGCAGTGAGCATTGAGCAGTGAGCAGTGAGCAGTGAGCAGTGAGCAGTGAGCAGTGAGCATTGAGCAGTGAGCATTGAGCAGTGAGCATTGAGCAGTGAGCATTGAGCAGTGAGCAGTGAGCAGTGAGCATTGAGCAGTGAGCATTGAGCATTGAGCATTGAGCAGTGAGCATTGAGCAGTGAGCAGTGAGCATTGAGCAGTGAGCAGTGAGCATTGAGCAGTGAGCAGTGAGCAGTGAGCAGTGAGCAGTGAGCAGTGAGCAGTGAGCAGTGAGCATTGAGCAGTGAGCAGTGAGCATTGAGCAGTGAGCAGTGAGCATTGAGCAGTGAGCAGTGAGCATTGAGCAGTGAGCATTGAGCAGTGAGCATTGAGCATTGAGCATTGAGCAGAGAGAGAGATCTTCAGTTTATTTCGGATACAGCCTATCTAGACTATGTAGTTATGGCGAACCGTCACACTCCTTTCCTGCTTACTAGGGGCATTGAGCAGTGAGCAGTAGGATCTCATACATATCACTCGCTCACGGGTTATCACTCGACTACCACTCACCACTCGCTCATAACTATTGGTCCTCGACTCACCCATTCATATTGGTCCTCGACTCGGGGTGCCGCATCGAACTGGTCGGTACTGAGGCTTTCACCTCGACTGGCCAGGGCGGGCAGGAAAAGGAGTGCGTTGGTTCGCCATAGTTTAGACAGGCTGCATGCGAAATAAATAGATGTTCTCTCTCTCTCATATTGGTCCTCGACTCTCTCTCAAAGTGATCCTCGATGATATCCAGTCCTCGATGATATGCGGTTCTCGACTTATATAACAGTGGTTCTCGACGATATCCGGTCCTCGACGATATGCGGTCCTCGACTTATATCACAGTGGTTCTCGACGATATCCCGTCCCCGACGATATGCGGTGCCCGAAGATATCCAGTCCTTGGCGATACCCTGGCTTATTGCAAATGTCATGCCCTCGACGATATCTGGTCTTCGACGATAAACGGGTGTGCTACGTCTTGTCGGAAGTACCACCGTATATGGTGCCTAGGCTTGTCGATCTCGGTCTCCGTCTCGTTCTTCGTCCGATGTCTTTGCCTGCTGTGGGCTCTGTCTACTACAAATGCCTATAGATTAGCAAGGTGCCGATGGCATAAAGTGATCCTCCGGCGGTTCTCGGCGTATGTACATGCCTCCGTCTCAGAAGGGCTTTAAATGTCTTCCCAGCTTCGTCGTATAGGTATAGGTACTCCCGCTCGAGAGTCGAGACTGGCGGAAGACTGACGGCCCCCTCCTCCCTTCCTTCTTCCTTGGGCGAGGACCCGTACATATGTATGTACTGGTAGATGGTTAATCCCACGACACCTCGTACGCCGCACCCCGTAGAAGGCGTTGAATATGGACGATGGAAGGTGGACGGTGGACGATGGAAGATGGACGGTGGAAGGTGGACGGTGGAATATGGACGGTGGGCGGTGAACGGTGGAAGATGGGCGATGGACGATGGACGATGGCTAGACGGTGTGCGCTCCGTCGTGTCGGAAATACTACCGGTATATGATGTTTGGGCTCGTCGGTCTCCGTCTGGTGTGTCTTGACTTGCTGTGGGCTTGGTCAACTAGATATATGAGTTAGTGTGGTGTCGGTGGAATGAAGTGATCCTCCAGCCTGTTCTCTGCTGGCTAGAAATCTATCGCACTGGTTGATGGGCACCGCCGACGGTGGAAGAGCCATGTGCATATCCACGAGTCACGACGAAACGGCTGTATCATTCGCATCGTATTGCAGTCAATCATTTCGTTCATTCAATCATCTCGTTCGTCATCGCTTCCCCATTTTTCATCCAGCTGCTCATGAACCTGAACCCGAACCTGCTATCGTCGTGTCCAGGTAGTAAAAGAAAGAAAAAACATCTCATCATGATCATCTCTAACAATCCCCCTTTTCCCCCTCGTTGTTCTCGTAAAAGCAGAAGCAAATCGTAGAAGAAGAAAAAAATAAGGCAAAATGCAAATCGTCAAAGCAAATTATTCCCGCATCGCTCTCAAATCAGTAAGAAGCAAGCAAGCCAATCCCGCATCCATCTCAAATCAATAAGATCAAGCAACGCCAATCCCGCATCCCTCGCAAACCAGTAAAAAGCAAGCCAATCCCGTATCCCCGAACTCCGTTGTAATCCCCAAGTAAAAGTAAATAGTAGTAGAAAGAATAGTCATCGAATCAAGTAAAGTTCTGACTCAGAATGAGCGAACTGTGCGTATCATGTCGACTCGGAAAAAAATAGAAAACCGAAAGTTTCGTGATGCTCAATCGGAGGCATCGGTGGTCGTGCCAATCTCGGGGATCAACGACATGTCGAGGTCCTCTTCGGACGCGGAAGGTTCAGCCTTAATGGTTGGCTTGGGGCGCGGCTTCTTAGAATTCTCCTCCGAAATGTATCTCGCGGTGGCCGCAATCCTGAAACGCCCGGTAGGAATGGCCGCGTGCTCCCATATGGTCTGTATCCTCGCGCCGTGCATGATCACGATGTCTCCGTGATTGAGTTTCAAAGACAGGCGCGCCCGCTTCTTTTCGCACCTCTCTTCAGCGGCCTTGGCCACAGCTTCGTCGTCGTCTTCCTTTTCGCTGGGAGACCTATGCTCCCTCCGCCCTCGCTTCGAGTTTTTCGCCTTGATGCGAAACTCCATGATGGCCGGACACCCTAGCGAAATGGATGCGACTGTCGGCCCGAGGCCCTTCTCACCGTCCTGATGAAAGTTCATCTTCTGGTTCTCAATGTACCCCACATTGAGAACCTCGTTAAACTCCACATCAGGGTAGAGCATCTGAACCCTCAGAGTGAGGAGTTCGCGAGCTCTCCGTACAACGGGGTGGGCCTCCTCGAAAGTGACGGTCGGTTGGTTCGCCACGTAGTTGTACTGGGCGCCGACGTTGTACGTGAAATGGGCAGTCCTCGTCAACCCGGACACAGTCTGCATGGTGTACCTACGGAAAGGGAGGTTCGCTTGCTGGTACTCGGACAGCAGCCAGTCCGCGTCCTGAAATCTCCCGTTCGTTGCCTTATTGGCAAGCATGTGAGTAACGGTCCCGCAACCCGGGAGCTCGTACTGCATGATGGTGAAGCCTTCCTTCACCACACGGGAATATGCGATACCGTCTCCAGCGCTGTTCTGTGGAACGGCGGGGCCGGTGTAGATGACGCGGTGGGGGTCCGCGAGTTGTGTCGGTGTGAAGATGGGTCTCCGCTGCGGGTAGACCCGGTCGCCGCAGTTCGCACATTTCCAGCAGTCCCAGAACTCCCTGCAGCTCAGACGGCCGCATTTCGTACAGCAAAGGCCCTTCCAGCACTTACGAGAGACGTCATCAAGCGCCAAAGCCCCGTCGTCGTCCACGTCCATGACAGGCTTGAGGGGTGAAGGAGGAACCTCGGACCCTTCATCCCAAGGGGTCCGGGCATTGAGGAAATCATAGTCATAGACTAGATTGACTGGTGGAGGACTCACACCATCCATCTGCCAGATATTAGTAACGAAACGAGTCTTTAGGAGACTGGTACTTGCCTTCCACCACAGTGGACATAGGGAATTCATGCACATCCACCCTTGTGCATAGACTTGTGGGGACTCTTGTTTACAGACAAGGCAGACCGCCCCCTTGACCTGGGCCTCTCGATCGATCTCCGAGACCTCCGTGGCCCACCAGCCATCGGTCGAGAAATCAAGTTTCTCGAAGCGGAACCTCCACCTCGTGAACTTGCTGAGAGTGCACTGCTCCTCCCAGGCGTGGGTTATTTTGAACCAGTCCATCACCGCATAGCGGTGATGGAGCTGGCTCGGGCTGGCTCCGCACTGGTTCCCTGTCCGTACGAGTCAGCAATCAATGACGCAAAGTAGTATAGATATAGTTACTTACCAATCAACAAGACGAGAGGGATCTGGTTCTGCATGTTTGTCAGAAGAGATTTGACCCTGATGTCGTCCACGGTTTGGTTCTGTCGCAGCTTTCGCATCCCATTTCCGGCGTCCTCTGATTTTCCTCCGCAGTGCGACATGACCACCTTGCCGCTCATGAACTCCCGCTCGGACGGACAGCCATCCAGAAGGTACCCATGGACCACGCCATCATGGCCGTATGCACCGCTCTGGTAAGCTCGGTAGTAAGGAAGCCCTTCACAAAGCTCTTGGCGCGTCTAGAGGTATAAGTTAGGAAAAGTAGAGCAACTATTGAGTCTGGAATAACATACTTCGCACCAGATGTCTGGTAGACGCAATCCGGGCGGTTTTGTAGCCGGTTTCGGAACATCCTTGCTGATATCGGTATTGTCTTTCTTCAAGAGCTTGTGGGGGTTTCCTGCGAGGGGTACCGCACTGGCCTTGTGCTTGATACCTCGATTTGCTTTTACCTGCGGTACACGAGTCGACGTCGTCGGAGCCCTCTCACAACGGTGTGGCGTCTTTTTCGCGATGCAAGACCCACAAGGAATCTGTCTATCGCAATATTTCTTGTGGGTTTGACATCTGTTGTAGGGATTAGATTGGTGTCTTATAGAGAAGTGGTTGGTGAACTTACTGGGTGCACGGTCGAGGTTTATTTGGGCCGTGGTTGTCATCCGCAAGCGTCTCCGGATTAGCTTGGTTGATGGCTAGTGATATCAGTCAGTTCTTGCGGATAAATAAGAATTAAGGGTAGCGAAAGGCATACATGAACCAGTGACGGGTGTGTCCACCTCCATTGCAGTGGTATTTCCCAGCACATTATTGCCGAACTCAGCGGTGGGGGCGACATCTTCGTGATCAGATGTGGCGGGAGCGAAATCTTCGAGATTAGATGTGGTGGGAGTGACATCTTCTTCGAGTATAGATGCAGTGGGAGCGACATCTTCTTCGAGATTAGATGTAGTGGGAGTGACATCTTCGTGATCAGACACAGAGAAATCCCCCATGTCCATCATATCCTCCATGACTTCATTGATCGGCCCAAATACAGGCGTCAGAATGGTGGATGGGGGGCTGGAGAGCGGGCTAGAAACCAGTTCCAGAGAACCAGTCTCGCCGTCTGTAGCGGGAGCAGGATGTCAGCATTGATGGATACATGATAAATTCTCGCAACATGAGGAAAGAAAAACAAAGGTTAACAAAGATAGAATCGTTCCAAGGCGATAAGACAGGTGAGAGAGGATGTGAAAGAGATGAAACAGGCCAGCGAGGGTACTTACTGAGGCTCTTTGGAATAGATGATGATTCCATTGTGTTCCTATCAACTGAGGGTCAGCTCCCATTCATTATCAACCGGTGGGCGAGACAGCTAAAGGGAAAGTCGAAAATAAGGAACAGAAATGCACGACAAAGTTCGGCGAGCCACTACTGATGATACATTGTGCACCGCCACAATGGTTCGCCGAATAATTGCAAGTGCACCGATGGAACCAGAGATGAAACTATCGGACGATGAAGGAGATTGAACTTACTTTATTTGGGTGCAAGGAAACTGTGGAAGGAATGTGTGGAAGGAAATTGTGGAAGGAAATTGTCGGAGGTTGTGAAGGATCTATGGAGGATTGAAGGATTGAGGAGGATGGGATGAAAAAAACCAGAAGATGGGACGACCGGGGGGTCTTTATAGATGGCGGCGAGCACACTACTTGCTCAAAAGACCGTGTGGTGCAATTGAATGGTTGCTAGGAGACCGTTGCTGGCCGTGCCTTTTGAAGGTTCCAAGAGGGAAAAGTTCTATGGAGCTGCAGGACAACGACAGATCTAGAGGGAGGTTACCCGATATGGACGGATTGAATGTAGAGCTGCAGCGCAGGGTACCTTAGATGTGCGGGATACCTCAGATGTACGATACGTACAGCAGGGAAGCTGCGCTCGGGTCTTGCTAGATCTGTGAAGTCATTCGAGGACAGCCTGAGCGAGGACAGCCTGAGTGAGGAGGACAGCTTGAGCGAGGACAGCTTGAGCGAGGAGGACAGCTTGAGCGAGGAGGACAGCCCGAGCGAGGACAGCCTGAGCGAGGACAGCCTGAGCGAGAAGGACAGCTTGAGCGAGGACAGCCTGGGCGAGAAGGACAGCTTGAGCGAGGACAGCCTGGGCGAGGAGGACAGCTTGAGCGGGGACAGCCTGAGCGAGAAGGACAGCTTGAGCGAGGAGGACAGCTTGAGCGAGGACAGTCTGAGCGAGGACACTGATTATGTTGGCCCAGATTGAATGTGTCTGGATTCTCTGGTTGGACAGCCCCGGATGCTTTGGTTGTTTTGATCGTGAAGCTCCGGTTGTTTTGATCGTGAAGCTCCGGATCTATTGCTGCTGTCCTCCCAACGGACTGAGAATTTACGCTGGCTTAAGTGCTTTCCTCCAGACACGAAATCTGCTGGTATGTACTACTGGCATGTACTGCTGGTGCTTCCTCCTTCTGCTTCACTCTATTTTTACCAGGACAACCAAGTCAATTCAGCTCAATTCGCTTCCACCCAGAGCCTGCTTCGATTGAAACTGCTCACGGACACGTACAGCTCAGTCGGGATGGCAGTCTGGCTGGTCTGCTGGTGGATCTTTATGTGGTGGCTGGTATCTTTAGCCGCCACAGCACGAGACGGGTGGTAGATCGCGTTGGACGGACGTCGATAACTATCGATGAGCTGGCTCCGATCCCCTCTGGCTTCTCTCTTGGAGTGTGACTTGCTGTGGTCGCGTAGGGTGTTGGACTGAGGTTATATGTATGGCTATGCGACACGTGCTCCCGACCCGCTCAAGTGGTTCTTTCCCCGATGACGGATGTGTGCATGCTTGCCTGCTTAATTCTTCCAGTGGGTTTAGGGAGTGGGCAAAAGCTAGGCCATCGACGTCCGAATGGAACAGCCGAGTCGAATGAACCCCTGCAATTCTGGAATTCTGCAGACGAGCAACGGTCTGTTCCGTATACTATACATAGCACGCACAAGTTACATCTCACGCTCTGGGAACAGGCAGCACACTCGAAGCTCCCGAGTCCCAACGTCCATGGTTTCGCAGTGGCCTGGGTGTCGCGTGGATGTATAGTCCTTGATTCCTATGGATGGACGGGCTTCAAGCTCCTCTTCCTCGGAGGAACGGGTGCTTCAAGAGAAGATGACCCCGCCCCGAAGTTACCGGCACTATTCAAGTACATAGCTCTCGTGAATTCATCATACAACTCCGCCGAGAACACCCAGCACATGTCCCAATCCACAGCGCCAGACCGCATCCTCGATGATACGCATCATGCCCATGAGTATGGCCGCCTGCCCGCATACCTCCTCTTATTTTTCCTCGGTCTCCGACGATTTGGGATCCGAATATGCCGGCTTGCCCGCGTACAATTGTCCACCGCTTTTCGACTGTTCCTTCCCCTCGAGAATGGCAACCGGTTGGTTCCCTCGGAACCGCTTGCGCATGTCCACCATTCCTCGCCTATGCAGCGTTAGCATCGCCATCTTGCCCTCGTCGGGGAGCAGGTTGGTCGTCGTACTTGCACTCGCCGTAGCCCTTCTTAAGCTGCTGACATCTTGTTGGTAACGTCTGCAGCAGCGGCTCTCTCAGGCAATCGGCCGGTTTGTTCCGATCGATCAGGACGCAATCGGAGTACTGAAGGCACGAGGCCAGTGCCGCACCTGGAAGGAAGAAAGCTCTTGTTAGGACCGTGACTGGCTAGTAGGAGAGGGCCGACGCACGTACGTATATCTTTGCATGAGGACGGCATGATCGTGGAGATGGCGGGTGGCAATGGCGGTGGTGTGAGGAAGAATCTGGGGTTCTCGCGTTCCTGACGCACGGACCAGCTTTGGCGAGCTTGGCATTGAGCTTGTTGGTGTTGCAGGCTTGCAGCTGTTGCTACGCTGCCTGCCGACACCCGAAATAGCGGCTGTTTACATATCACCGAGTGCAGTTTGACGTATCGACATTCCTGGCGGAGAAGTCAAGAGCGGCGATTCGATTCAGTAAACATAGCTACCGAGTTAGTTACTACGGGAACGCGCTGCGACGAGCACCCTACCAACTTGTCGCTGTCAGTCCCACTATCAAGTACCTACCCGGCGTTATAAGCAAAACACTGACAATTTATCGGGTGAATCAAACAGACGACAGCTCCTACCGACGGCGACAATTTCGCTATGTGTAGTTTGGTAGGCCGAGAACAATTGAGAAGTTTGAAAAGATGCTAAGACTCGGCAGGCTGTGGAATGCTATCAAGGTATCGCCGGGTTTGGGCTACCAGAGACCACCACCAACCATTGGGCTAAACGACTCGGCGACAAGTCGTTATCGCTGCGAACGACACACTTGGCCTTGAATCCGTTCATGGAGGTATTCCGGTGGTCGATTCGGATGCAGATTCCCTACTACTGCTTCGCACGCAGAGACAGACTGAGCTTCGCAAGCGAAAAGTGAGCGGACGGACAAGGAGAAGGACCTGGACACACCATGAGTTGGAGAGAATGGTCTCAAACTGGGCTGGGGGTGGCATTACTATACGGACGCATGCTTCCGTACCTACCAGCAAACGGGTAGTTGAGTGCGACTTTGCGAAATGGATCCCGAGAGGGTGCTGAATGTCCATCGCCGGCATTGCCCTCCGCCCAGACACTGTCTGAGGCTTCGGCACTTGGTGCGTAGGAGGTGCACTGATTCCGGATTCGAGACGCCGTACGACCACATGAGACAGGAGCGCCATACTTGGACTCGGGGTCATCGGTGGCTTAATCATCGCTGGGTGCAAACAGATATTGCTGATTGCAAATTGGCAATCATTGGGGCATTCGGAAGAACATTTCCCCGACCTAGTGTTTTCCATCCGAGAAGCTTCCGCGTTGGGAATCCCACCGCAGGGCCGTGGTCATTCGAAAGAGTAAGTTCTAAGGTGCTCCATTGCCTTTGCATATGCTGATGTTTCCTAGCACGCGAATCGAAAGAGTGGAGCATGTCCTTTCAATATCCCGCACTTATACCTATCTCCTGGGATCCAAGATGGTGAAGAGCAGATATCGAATAGGTTAGCGAAGCAAGTCACAACACGTCGAACTATAGCTAGAATTTGACGATAGCGAGGCGGACAATGAGCGATATGAAATGTTGACATAGCGCGATAGAGATGGCTGCCTCTGAGGGGGCTGGTGGCGAATCGGCTGGAATACAGGTTGCTCCCGGATAAGGAGTTTCAACTTTCAGGTACGGTAGGACTTGCCCCCCGGGGACTTACATTGACTGTTGAGAAAAAGGATACGACTTGTCAGCCTGTTCTATGTTCTTTACTTTTATATACCGAAACCATGAATGTTGATTCTGCATCTGGTTTGTGCGGAACTACTCGGCGTGTGGAGAACAGTTACGGCAAGGAGGGGAGATGACCAGACGTATGGGATGAGATAGGTATTCGATTTGTGCCTTTATTGAGTTACGACACACTGCTGACGTAGCTAGTATGTGTGGCGATTTGAGTGATAGCCTTCTACGATACTTGATCATTGGAAGTCACTCGCCAAAGCAGACTTTGGGGTGGAATGATAGAGGTGGACAGGAAAAGAGCTCGGGCACGAGCAGTGTCGGGTTTCCTCTGCTTCCTACCGGACACCGGTAAGAAAAGGAGTGGGCTCGAGCTTAGTGGTAGATAGGTATGCAATCATAAGCTGCTTTGTCTAATCATCAATTGCTTACGGCCTGTCTAGATTATGGCAATGAATACTCTACTGTCCATGCAATCGTGACCTTCACGTTTATCTGGAGTGAAGTCATACTTCTTCCGAGTGACAATCCGTGCGGTTGGATCGTCATCCTTCGCGAAAGTGGTGGTCTCGGCCGCAATTAGTTTTACAACGACTGCAGAGAGTATGCGCACGATTACACTCCTATAGCTACATACTATATCAGACAGGAGGGAATGATGTCGACCAATATTCTGGAACGGGTGGGGTGGGGTGGCTTCGACGGTCGAGAGTGGTGATAATCGCAAGCTCATCCACGCATTGCTCGGCGGCCGTCGCCTTGCCCTCGCCCTCGACTACAACGGTCCACCTGCACTGTCCGCGACGGGCTTTTCGCCCACGACGGTCCGCCCACACTGTCCGCGACGTGCTTTTTCCGCCCACACACACACACGAATCTTATATCTAAGCTGCTGCCACCACCACCACCTGTCTTCCTTCTTTCTCTACCATCATTCACCTTCTTCTCTCAACATCAGGTCCTTGCGACTATACCATCGCTATCTCAGACCCTTGTGGTCACGATCCTCTCCTCCTCCTCGTCCTCGTCATCCTCTCCCTACTCCTCCTTTTTTCTCTCGGTCGCATTAATATTAGCAATGCACGAACTGCGGTGACCGGGTCTACCCGCAGCGGAGACCCATCTTCACACAAACACAACCCGCCAACTCCGACCGCGTCATCTACACCGGCCACACTGTTCCGCAGAACAGCGTTGGAGACGGTATCACGTATACACGTGTGGTGAAGGATGGTTTGACCATCATGCAGTACGAGTTCCCGGATTGCGGGACCGTCACGCACATGCTTGCCAATAAGGCAACCAATGCTTCCACTATGGTGGAAGGCAAGTACCACTCTCCTAATGACTTGTTTCGCTACTAATATCTAGCAGATTGGTGGTGCTGGCTGCTGCCTTGTTGGGGACCAAGAGTCCCCACAGGTTTATGCACAAGGGTGGATGAGCATGAACTCACTGTGTCCACTGTGGTGGAAGGCAAGTACCAGTCTCCTAAAGATACATTTCGTTACTAATATCTGGCAGATTGATGGTGTAGTGTGCCTTGTTTGGGACCAAGAGTCCCTACAAGTTTATGCACAAGGATGGATGTGGGTGAACTCCCTATGTCCACTGTGGTGGACGGTAAGTACCAGTCTCCTAAAGTCTCATTTCGTTACTAATATCTGGCAGATGGATGGTGTGAATCTTCCTCCACCGAATCTAGTCTACGACTATGATTTCCTCAATGCGGACGCCTTGAGATGCAGGGTCTGAGGTTCCTTCTTCACACCTCAAGCCTGTCATGGATGTGGACGACGACGGGACTTTGGCACTTGATGACGTCTCTCGTAAGTGCTGGAAGGGCCTTTGCTGTGCGAAATGCGGCCGTCTGAGCTGCAGGGAGTTCTGGGACTGCTGGAAATGTGCGAACTGCGGTGACAGGCCTTAATGCGCGGACGCCTTGGGATGCAGGATCCGAGGCTCCTCCTTCCCCGCTGAAACCAGTGGTAGTTGATGATGACGGCGCTTCGGCGCCCGGGGTTGTCCCTCGCAAGGGCCCTTCTGGGCCCTTGCGGCTCAGTTTGCAGCCCTTGTGCTGCCGAGAGTTATGGGACGGTTGGCAATTCGCCAACTACGGTGACCGGCCATCATGGAGTTTCGCATCAGGGCGAAAAACTCGAAGCGAGGACGGAGGGAGCATTGGTCTCCCAGCGAAAAGGAAGACGACAAGGCCGCTGAAGAGAGAGGCGAAAAGAAGCGGGCGCGCCTGTCTCTGAAACTCAATCACGGAGACATCGTGATCATGCACGGCGAAAAGATACAGACCATCTGGGAGCACGCGGCCATTCCTACCGGGCGTTTCAGGATTGCAGCCACTGCGAGATACATTTCGGAGGAGAACTCCAAGAAGCCGCGCCCCAAGCCAACCATCAAAACCGAATCTTCCGCGGCCGAAGAGGACCTCGAAATGTCGCTGATTCCCGAGATTGGCACGACCGCTGATGCCTTCGATTGAGCATCACATTTACTGAAACTCTCGAGCGTCCAGATAGCGGAACCGCCACGCACATGTTGGCCAACAAGGCGACCAATGCCCTCCCCGCTGAAACCAGTGATGGTTGATGATGGCGTTTCGGCGCCCGGGGACGTCCCTCGCAAGGGCCCTTCGGGGCCTTTGCGGCTCAGTTTGCAGCCCTTGTGCTGCTGAGAGTTATGGGACTGTTGGTCATGCGCCAACTGCGGTGTCCGGGTTGACGAGGACTGCGCATTTCACCTACAATGTAGGCGCCCAGTACAACTACCTACGTGGCGAATCAACCGACCGTCACTTTTGAGGACGCCCACCCGGTTGTACGGAGAGCTCGCGAACTCCTCACTTTGAGGGTTCAGTTGCTCTACCCTGATGTGGAGTTCAACGAGGTTCTCAATGTGGGATACATTGAGAACCAGAAGATGAACTTCCATCAGGACGGCGAGAAGGGCCTCGGCCCTACAGTCACAACTATTTTCCTAGGGTGTCCGGCCATCATGGAGTTTCGCATCAAGGCGAAAATCTCGAAGCGATAGCGGAGGGAGCATAGGTCTCCCAGCGAAAAGGAAGACGACGATCTGGATGTGGATGACGACGGCGCTTCGGCGCCCATGGACGTCCGTCGCAAGGGCCCTTCGGGGCCTTTGCGGCTCAGTATGCAGCCCTTGTGCTGCCGAGAATTTTGGAACTGTTCCCCGGGTTGCGGGACCGTCACACACATGCTTGCCAATAAGGCAACCAATGGGATATTTCAGGACGCGGACTGGCTGCTGTCCGAATACCAGTAAGCGAACCTACCTTTCCGTAGGTAAACTATGCAGACTGTGTCCGGGTTGACAAGGACTGCCCATTTCACGTACAATGTCGGCGCCCAGTACAACTACGTGGCGAACCAACCGACCGTCATTTTCGAGGAGGTCCACCCCGTTGTACGGAGAGCTCGCGAACTCCTCACTCTGAGGGTTCAGATGCTCTACCCTGATGTGGAGTTTAACGAGGTTCTCAATGTGGGGTACCTTGAGAACCAGAAGATTAACTTTCATCAGGACGGTGAGAAGGGCCTCGGCCCTACATTCACATCCATTTCCCTAGGGTGTCCGGCCATCATGGAGTTTCGAATCAAGGCGACAAACGATCGCCGCCAGCACGCGGACTGGCTACTGCTGGAATACCAGCAGGCGAACCTCCCATTTTGCTGTGTCTGGGTTGACGAGGACTGCCAACTTCAGATTCAATGTCGGCGCGCAGTATAACTGCGTGGCCAATCACCCCTCCTTTTCACTCGAAGAAGCCCACCCGGTTGTACGGAGAGCTCGGGAAGTCTTCACTTCCCGAGTTCAAATGCGCTATCCTGATGTTGAAACCAAGATCGGAGGATCCGCTATGGCGGATACGATGATGGAAGAGCTGTTCGGGTCGGGAAGTGTCGGGATATGGGATGTTTGGAGATGCAGAGATTGTCTGGTCTATGGAATTTGTATGTAGAGAGAGCTCGCTGCTTATGATGTTTTTGCTGTACCGGATACTATTATAATCTTCTATCCACCTCATTTATAAACCACCCCTTTCGCCTTGGAGCTGCCTGTTGGGCCCCGGAGAGGCCAGTTTGACACCAGCCGTAGATTTTGCAGATAGTGAGCCGACACGCCGCGCTGGATCATCTGCGGACATTCGGAACTTGTTCAACTGGAGCACTTCCCTCGGTATTGACCCTCTCTGTTACAGTTGATAATGAATAGCCAACACCGGAGGAGACAAGGCACGGCTGTTTCTCTCCAGAATCAACTGCCGCATGGAGGGTTACTATATCGTTGGCCCGGGCATGGGGACTCAAAGATCCAGCTTCAGAGTTCCCCGGAAGTGTGCACTCGTGACTCGCCCGAGATGTGGTTTCTCGTGTGACGGCGAAGAGCTTTGGTCTCGTCAAGGTCACTCAGAACTAGGTAGCAGGCCGAGACGTCGACTTCACCGCTGTTGGGGCCGCTCCTTCGCCTTTCACACCAGCGAATCACCTATCAGATCGAAAGAATATGGTCACACCATTCCGGCCGTAACAGCAGACCAGAACGGCTCGCTGCGATACAGCTCGTTTGGTGTCAAGCTCTCTGTTCTACGGCCGTATACGGTGGGAACGAGCGTTTTCGCCTCGCAGCCCTTCACGACTCGTCACTCACGTCCACGCTATCGCCGGTGTGCTGCAGTCGCCCAGAACGTGTTTAGCGACAAGTGCCGAGCTCTACATGATGGGCAGTGACCAAGACGGCGAATGAACTCGCCTCGCACATATCGAGGGTAGGCGCGCCGCCGTGTAACGCGAGCAACGGAACAAACAGTGAGGAAAAAGCACTCATAGAATTTAACGATTTCCCATGCATATATGACGGACGCCTATCTATTGCCGGCGATGTGTTTGTTGAGGAGGAGACTCCTGACAACAGGCTATTTCATTCGTACGGAGAAGCTGACATGCATCCATCCTCGGAGCGGGGTGGGTTGGCGGGGTGTAGAAGCCGAGATTGCAGCGGCTTAGTGATGGAGTGTCTTCGGCCGGGACTGGGATAAATCCGAGGAGAAACCGGAGAAGAGAACGCCGAACGGACATGGCGGTCTGTGTCCTCGCTGCAAGAGACAGGTTCGGCGTTCATTGTGGGCTACTGCGCATCTGCGATACTGCTGCAGGGCGCCGTCTGTCTAGAGTGCCGCGTGCACTCTGCCGGTGGTGGAGTGGACGGCACTCTGAGTCTGCATACGTGCACTTTGGCTCGCTGCGGACACCTAACAGACGGATCGTGGGCACCGGATAAATGCGTCGCGGAAAACGACAACGTGCGGTCATGGGCTGTCGCAATTGACCCACAGCTGGTTGGGGGCGTCGATTTGTCGTCGAGAAGTGAGCGGAAGATTCGGGAAGCGGGGTTCTCCCCTGGTTGGCTAGAGGGGTGTGCCCCGGAAACCCCTCACTGCTCAATGCTATCCCGCGCCGAGCCAGGAAAACGACGCTTGCCCATCAACCGGTGTCTATCCTGATTTGACATCTTCACAACCCTTTATAGCTGAAAGGTTTCTCATCCTTCAAGCACGCTCTCTCTCCTTGCCATCCAAACAACCCGCACGAACGCACGACTCCCGCACCAATTCGCCACCTCCCAATATTCCTTCTACATCATTCACAATGGTTTCCGCTCTTGACCAGTTGAAGGCCGCCGGTACTGTATGTGTCCCACCTCCCTCCCCCGCCACCAGAGTCGATTGAGAGAGAGAGAAAACTGACGTTTGATGTGAATAGACCGTTGTCTGCGACTCCGGAGACTTCGCGACCATCGCCAAGTACCAGCCCCAGGATGTGCGTATACCTGCGTCTTGCGAATGCCCCCGCCACCCTCATCTGGGTGCATCTTCCCTAGGGGAAATGTTCTGACCATGTTCCTACGTCATACAGGCTACCACGAACCCTTCCTTAATCCTCGCCGCCTCCAAGAAGCCCGAGTACGCGAAGCTCGTCGACGCCGCCGTTGAGTACGGTAAGACCAATGGCAAGGACGTTGAGTCGCAGGTCGAGGCTGCTATGGACCGTCTCCTCGTCGAGTTCGGCAAGGAGATCCTGAAGATCATTCCCGGCAAGGTGTCCACCGAGGTCGACGCCCGTCTCTCTTTCGACAAGAAGGCCTCCGTCGAGAAGGCTCTGCACATCATCGACCTCTACAAGTCCGTCGGCATTGACAAGTCGCGCGTGCTCATCAAGGTCGCTTCTACATGGGAGGGTATTCAGGCCGCTCGCGAGCTTCAGAGCAAGCACGGCATCAACTGCAACCTTACCCTTATGTTCTCCCAGGTGCAGGCTATTGCCGCCGCCGAGGCCGGTGCCTTCCTGATCTCTCCTTTCGTTGGTCGTATTCTTGATTGGTACAAGGCCTCGACCGGAAAGGCGTACGCTTCGAACGAGGACCCCGGTGTCAAGAGCGTCCAGAACATCTTCAACTACTACAAGAAGTTCGGCTACAAGACTATCGTCATGGGAGCTTCGTTCCGCAATGTCGGCGAGATCACCGAGCTTTCTGGCTGCGACTACCTTACCATCTCGCCCAACCTTCTCGAGGAGCTGTTCAACAGCGAGGACTCGGTCCCCAAGAAGCTGTCGTCTGAGGATGCAACCAACTTGGACCTTGAGAAGCTAAGCTACGTTGATAACGAGGCCGAGTTCCGCTTCGCGCTTAACGAGGATCAGATGGCTACTGAGAAGCTCAGTCAGGGTATCCGTGGTTTCGCTGGTGAGTGACCTGTCTGTCCCCTTCTCACAAGTACACTACTAACACTTACCCAGCCGATGCGATTACCCTCCGGAAAATCATCAAGGACAAGATCACCGCCTAAGCCCGTCAGCCAGCCAGTCCTTTCCTTTGTTAATAATAGTTGCGTCAGGGTAGTGGGGGGTAGTGGTTGATGCGATTGATGACCCGTGTACGAAGCGTTCGTTTCTTCTTTTGTGTTCTTCTTTCTGTCGTGGTGAGAAAAAATATCAAAACTGAATGCGCTCGGAAAGGGGGGTGTGGTGGTAGTGGGCACGGGGGGTTCTAGAGCGTATTCCCTGGGATGGAGCGGTGTTTTGTGTTTCCTTCCTTTTACTTTTACTTTGATTTGAGTCGATTGAGTCGGGAAATCGATGGATGTGTTTGCAATATCAGTGGGTTTTAGTTCTGGTATTTTCTTACTTAACTTGTATTATGAGGGGTGAAGGGGTTCGCAATCAACTTGTATGGACCATTGAGTGTTCACTGCTTGTTACACCGGGTAGGGAAGGGTGCATCCATTCCATCTATTGAAGCCAAAGTGAACCGCCCATATATACCATAAGATCATCAAACCGTCCCAGACATTTACACCGCCTTCTCCTCTTTCCCCTCAACCTCCCCCTCCCCAACCCCCTCCAAATCCACATCACCCTTCCTCCCACGATGCCTTACCCACCACACGACCCCACACGCAAAAATCCCACTCTCCAGACAAAGACACGCGATATACATAACCCCGGCAAGGACATCAAACTCCTCCTGCGCAACAAGACTCATAAGACTAAAAAACGCGCCGGCCCAATCCACCATCAGAAAGACCCAATCAATACCCACCACCCTCCCCCTCCTTTTGACAATCTCTCTATACGGCGGCAGCAGTCCCGCGGCGAGCAATACCGCCGCCACAACGCCCACGGTGGTGAGGGCAGCGGTGCTGCGAGGGAGGAAAAGGACTAAGACGGCTTCGAGGCCGCCGAGCACAGCGAGGAGGCCGCTAGAGAGGAGGATGGCGTGAAGGGAGGAAAAGGAGTGGGAGTAGTGCAGGCACTGTCCCCATGCCGTCAGAGACAGAACCATGAAGATCTGGGGCTGCACTTGTAAAGGGATGTTGAGGTTTTGGAGGAGCGCGTAGACGCCGAAGGGGACGCCCGCTGTGATTCTGTGTTAGCTACATACTCGAGCAACCTAGCTGGAAAGCAAACGGAAGGGAAGGGCGAGACGTACACACCCCCCACAGGAACATCATGCTCCCTGGAAGTCCCTCCGTCGACTTGCTACGGTAGTTGCGCACGATCTGGGGGATCAGCTGGATGCACCAGCAGATTGTGCCGATCAGACCGAGCACCGTCGCCGCGATCGGGTGGTGGGCTTGTGCCATTGCGGCGGCGGGGGCGTGGGCGGCGTTGTCGTCGGCGTAGGTGGGGAGGTCGTCGTTGTCGTCGTCGGCATAGGTGGGTAACAGGGTATCAACCGTATCTCTCGAGAGTCGAGGCCGTGAGCTCGCCGTGTATGTATAGGTAGAGGTAGGTAGTTCCGTCGCTAACTTCTAAGTAGTGGTTAAAGGTATGTAGCTATCTTAGTTCCAGTTCAATCCCCACCACCTAGCATATCTACGAAACATCAAGCTTCTGAAATCTTGCATCTGGAGCTTATATAGGCAGACTTCCAGTAGGTACATGCACACCCAGTCCCATGGGCCATGAGACATCACATCATGTATGTAAAATAAAATAAGCCTTCGCCATCTCGCCCCGTTCTCTCGCCCCCAGGAAAAAAAATGTATGTAGCATAGGTACTCTAAATCCTCGCCTGCGTCACTCCCCCTCCCATTCGAAGTTCGGACCACCACGCTACGCCGGATAGGGCTTGGATTCGGATCTCTCGGCAGCGCAGAGCGCGGTGGGTGCGTGAGTGAGTGAGTGAGTGAGTGGTCGTGAAGGGGCCGTCGGGTGGGCCGTCGGGTGGGCCGTCGGGTGGGATGGGATGGGATGGGTGCTTGGTCAGCGACTCAGTGGGGGAGGGGAGGGTGGTGGTGGCGAGGAGAAGATGGAGAGGATGGAGGCGGGGAATGGGGTATCTACATGCGAAGGGAATGTTGACACCCTACTGTAGAGTACTTAGGTAGAGTGTGGCTGACTGGTGGGTGGCTGGCTGGCTGGTTGCGATTGGGGATTGCGGATGGCGGACTGGGAGTGGGAGTGGGAGTGGGAGTGGGAGTGGGAGTGGGACTGGGACTGTGGATGCCTCTGGATCTAGAGCAGGTAGTGATGGATAGAGGAGGAATTCGCCACGATCACGGAGGAGGCAATCCTTAACCAGTGGATGTGGCAGTACGTTGGGGATGCAAACTTGCGAAGCCATGGCCTCGATGAGTCAATTGACATGCGCTGTTTCGAAAGTCGTGTCCATACTGCATAGCTCTGCAAACATCACCATCACCATCACTTCGAACTGCTCGAAAGCCGCTACTCTAACTCTGTTCAACTGGCTACCGTCCAACAGCCAGGCACACCAATCCCACGATGTACCAATATCCCAAATGTTACTCGACATCCAACAGCGACGTCTTAATGTCTCACCTGCCCGGGGCACATGCCTGGGCCACTCTACTTAACCAATGACTCTTCATCATCTATTAGTTCACAGCAGCAACCACCAGGATCACTCATGCAGGTAGATCATATGGTTCACACGATGCACAAAGGCTCAAAAGATTGAGGTAGGTATTCGATAACACCAGCCAAAGCCATAAATACAGCATAGAAAAGCGTCAAGCGCAACGGCAACGCAAAACAATACCATTCACCCGAACCAATCCAAGACCGAATCCCATCCCCATGTTACCCAGGCAATCAAACAAACCAGCAAACAAACAAACGTACACACATACACATCACGTCAAAAAAGCGTACAGGCACAATCTAGGAAGAAATAACAAGCAACCGGAAAACAAACAAACGCCACCCTCATTATGCGCCATTAGCCTATGCGTTGTGTCCAATGATCTTCTTGGCCTTCTCGAAGGCAGCCTTGACCTCGCCGAGAGCCTCGGACTCCAGCTTCTCGAGCATCTTCTCGGTCTCACTGACGGCCTTCTCGGCGAGAGTGACGACCTCGTCCTCGACGGCCTCAGGCGTGGCGACGTAGGGCTTGCCGTGGAAGATCTCGGACAGGTTGTCGCTTCCACCACCGTTGTAGATGAGGATGTTGGGGGTGCCCGAGGGAATTTCAGACAGAACACCCTGGGATCCGATGGCGATCATGTTCTTCTTGAGCTGGGCGGGCTTGAGCTGGGTGAAGAAGCCCGAGTCGGCCTTCGGCTGGAGGGACAGGAAGTAGGCCAAAAGACCGGCGACGTGAGGAGAGGCCATCGAGGTACCGGAGATGGTGTTGATGGCGTACTTGCTGCCGATCCAGGTGGACAAGATGTTCAAACCGGGCGCGAAGATGTCGGTGCACTTTCCGTAGTTGGAGAAGTACGCACGCTGATCGTCGAGGGTGGAGGCACCGACGGTGACGGCCTTCTCGGCGGCAGCGGGGGAGTAGTTGCAAGCATCGGCGTTGTCGTTACCGGCAGCGACGGCGAAGTTGATACCGACCTCGACGGCAGCGTTGACGGCCATGTCGAGCGACGGCGACTTGCCACCACCGAGCGACATGTTCGCAGCGGAACCCTTGAAGTTGGCGTCCTTCTCGGCCTCCCTCTTCATGTGCGCCTCGGCAGCCCACTCGACACCCTTGACGACGTCGGACATGGTACCCGATCCGTTGGAGCGAAGCACCTTGACGGCGAAGATGTTGGCCTTCTTGGCGACACCGTACTTCTTGCCACCGACGGTACCAGAGCAGTGAGTTCCGTGTCCGTTTCCATCGATATCGGCATCGCCAGCAGGAATGGTTTTGCCCCACTTGGCGCGACCCTCAAAGTCGACGTGCTCGACGTTCGTGCCGGTGTCGATGACGTAAACGTCGACACCCTCACCACCGTTGGCCTGGTGGACGTACTTGTTGAAGTTTCCAAAGTTCAGACGCTTCTGGTGCGAGATACGGGCGAGACCCCAAGGGGCGGACTTCTCGGTAACCGGGTTCTCGAGCGCGTAGACAATGGAGTCCTTCTCGACGTAGGCAACCTGTGGAAAACAAACCAGTCAGCCAAACTGTCACGTGGAGAATTCGTGTCCTCTTCCATGCGCGTTCATGCAAGTCATACGCGGCCCATAGGGGGCACGCCAAGTACGAGACTAGCTGACTCCGGGGTGTGTGGAGGAGAAGTGATTACTTACGTCAGGGTGTTTTCGGATCTCGCTCAAAACCTCGTCCGAGAAGGCACCGGAGTAACCCTTCATGCCGCCGGGGATGTTGTACGTGTGCTTGAGACCGACCAGGGCCTCAATCTCGTCCATCCAGCTGGGCGCATTGGCGTTGCGGATGGGCTCCTGGCTACGCTTCTTCAGCCCTCGTAGCGAGGAGCTGTGAATGTTGGCGACCCAGTCGTGGTGCTCAGTGGCCTTGGAATGGTCCACACCGTTCTTGAAGACAACGATGTAATTATTGGGGATCTGGTGCTCGGCAGAGCTTGTGGTGGAGATCAGAGGCGCGGCGCCCTTATCGACAACAGTGGTGTCGTAGATGGGGGAAGCGATAGTGACAGAGATGGTAGCGAGGAGCGCGAGGAACGGGGCAGTCAAAGTGATCTTCATGCTGGGCGATGGAGAGAGAGTGTATGTATGTGTATTGGGTGAAGGGAAGTGTACGTGTGTGAGTGAGTTGTATGAACGAAGTGTGTATTATTGTGGGGGAGGGAGGATGAAGTGGAGGAGATGGAGGAAGAGGGAGAACTTGATGGCGCAACCCGCAGTTAAGAAGGGGAGCTCTCTTTGGGGGGGTGTTGCTCAGCTGGATAGATGGCTGGGGTAATTGTATGCCAAGGCAGATAAGGGAGCTTCCGCAACCGGAGAAGGGGGAGCCGCAAATAGAAAGAGCATTGCCACACTGGGTTAGCGAGGGTGTAATGCGGCTAGGGCGCTGGGCGGGGAGGGGGAGGCGGTGTGTATCACGAGGAGTCACCGGTTTAATCCACCATTTAACTATCTCGGTATGCGAGTGGCGAGCGGCGCTACGTATCATAGGTCACTTGGGCGTATGCAGATTACAGAGCTTCCTCTGGGGGAGCTCGGAGCTTTGACCTCTGAGCTTGCGGCCTGATGGTCGCGTCCTGCCAGATATCGGGCTACGACAGGGCGACGAACGGCGGCGCTTTCTCACGGATGTGGATCAGGATGATGTGGAGAAAGGGAAAGGCCGGAGAGCCACTAGCACACAGAACACAATCTAATCTCTGTTGAGTTACCAGCCACCCTCAGCATCATCAGGTGGCCCCCTTTGGTGCCTGCCGCCGTCTGGGGCTGGCCTGCCTTGCTGGAGATGTTGGGGCCGCCTCTTTCCTTCGTTCGGATCGATCACCCCGGTACTCTTGACACAGCGTTCGGAGCAACCATCGCGGCTGTGCGTGGCCATGCGAAGGAAGGAAGGAAGGATGTAGCTGAGCGTATCATAACTACACCGAGCACTACTATGTACCAGGTAGCCGTGTAGTTGCCGTACCGGGTAGTAACTCTGAGCACGACGCGATACGAGCTCTCTGTGGCGGGGGGTTCTCCATAGCGTAGAGTGATCACGAAGGTGGATGAACACGGAAAGGAAGAATGGCAATGATAGATAAGAGCGCGCGCGTTTCCCTCAGAGAATATAGATACTTATCCCGATATCGCACTGGGCACCGCCGCTGCCGGCTATTAGGTGTCGGTTACCGTACTCTATTCGACATTCCCCCATTCTAAGCTCCAATCGATGATGCCATCGACGTGGCCACCTTCCGCTTACCGAGGGAAGAGAGTTCGCGCGAGCAACCCAGAGCACACACACAGCTCCGAGCTATCTACATGCTAGATGCGTAGCGTGCGCAACGCGAGACCAACGCGCCGTCACGGCCGCGATGCGATTCTCTGGAAGGAAGATGCTTCCGTGCCTTCTTCCCTTCTAGGTACCCAGATACTCGAGCATGGCCAAGACGGGGACAACAAACGCGGATGACACTCTGCATGCGGGTCTCCTAGTCATGTACCATATCGGCAACTACTTCCTTTCTCTACTCAGTGGTGACGGCGCGTCGTGAACCGGTGTCAGCTCGAGCTCGAGCTCAGGCTCTGGGTATTTGCTCTACATAACCCGAGGACGCACCCCGTTCGTGTTTGGCGCTTTTTCCGTGAGGGTTGGCATGTGCTTGAGCTTCGCCGTCGATCGCTCGTTGATCCCATCCACGCTCTTCTTCTTCTTCCTCTTCTTCCTCTTCTTCCTCTTCTTCCTCTTCTTCCTCTTCTTCCTCTTCTTCCTCTTCTTCCTCTTCTTCCTCTTCTTCCTCTTCTTCCCTTGGTGTTCTTCCTCTCCAGTCTCTCCGCACTCAACATGACGTTGACCGCGTCTGCCACCTCGGTATGGAGTCTCAGATCTCGAGGTTCGGTTTTACAGGACGGGCCAGGGACAGGGACAGGCGTCTCAGGTGAACGGACGAAACGGAAGCCACATCATCTCGTCGACCGGAAATAACAGTCCTTTACAGAACCCCCTTGGAGACGAGAGGTTCGATTCGGGGGTGATTGTTCGGCCGACGCGACTCTTCTACACCGTTGTGGCAGCTCGGGCTTGGATTCCCCTCATGTGTACGGTCCTCCTCCTCCTCCTCTTCCTCCTCCCCGTCGATTCCGAGCTGACGGATAACTAGGTGCCAAGGGTCGCTCCCAGTCGTGACGGAACCGGCCCGGCCGTTGAAACTGCCCAGTCCCTAGGCATCCGCCTTATCCGTCGCACCCGGCTTGGTGGTCGGTCCGCCCCGCCGATCGTCCGAAGACTCTCTCTGCCCTTTCCACTACACAAGTACCCAAGTATTTCCCACTGCCGACTCGCATCGCGTCGTTCGAGCTCGAGTTCCGCTTCAAAAGCGGCTACTATCGTGTCTACTATACTATGTTCCGCCTCTGATTTCTACGTTTCGCATTGCAAACACGGTCGTGTTCTCGCGCTCACGCGCCCGAGAGTCGCAGCTGCGGCCGTGTGGGAAACATCATCGGCTCAGCCGAGAGCTGGAGGAATTCTTGAGTGACCATCTCGCATCAGAATTTAGATGATTGGCGTTACGATCGCGTGAAATAAATAATATAATGCCATCGTCTCTTTTGAATGCACAGCCCCGTCCCCACGTTCTGCGCTGTAGTTGGAGCGCTGCGGAGCACTGAAGCTACTATAAAATAGATACCTGCCAGTACTTACTGAAGTACCTACTCCGTCTAAGGCCCTTTTTCCTCTCGTGGGGGGTCACCGCGGGCGTGTACATCGAGATCGAGGGAAGCTCTTGAGCTCTCGATATGTACTACCTATGATAGTCCGACGAGCTCCAAGCCATGGAGGCATCGAACAGCTCTCTGTAGTACTATTCTATCTACCACTAGTACTCTACTCTACCCTATCAGCTCAAGCTCATAGAAGTGGAAGAAGCTTCGTGTTGGCCTCCCGACTGTCCTTCCGGAGCCGCAATCTGTTCGCCCCACAGCTTGGCCAACACGCTAGCGGGGTGCACGGACCAGTCCACCTCCCGTTCGGGCATAGAGCTTCTGCCGCCACCATCTGGGCTTAGTCTGTGAAGCAACAGAGGAGGAGGGGCTAACGAACGAACTGCTCAACTCGACTTTGATCTGCTATACTCTACTATACTCTTCTCCGGTGTACTCGTGTACCCGCTGCCGCCGCCGTTGCTGCTCTCCCATAGTTATCGCATACGTACATCCCGCTCACTGGCACGTCGTCATATCGAAAAGAAGTAACAACCGAACGAACGAATACGACGGCCCGAGTTCGAGGCGCACCCCCGCTGAGCTGATACCCTGCGCACAAATCTCACGCACCTGTGTACTTGGGTACTCTACCACAGTAGTAGTAACTACATCCCGAATCCCGCAGACTTAACTAAAACAGGGCTTGCACCACCGTACGGGCGTTGCGTTGCGGTTGAAACCTCGAGACTCGAGCCAGCCAGTTACCTACCCCATCTACGAGTAAATCCAGCAGCCAAACCACGATATATCTACTCTAACTACCTCGCGCGGCACCGCACCCAACACATGCGCTAAGCCCCCACCTCCTCCGACCATTGACATCCAATCCAGCACACAGACCTACGCACGAATGTCGACGACCGCCGTCCGCCGCCGGGTCTCCTCGGCCGCAGCGTCACGCGGCTCTCCCCACATCGCGGAGATCAAACCGCTACTCGACTCGCTGGAGGCCGCCGCCGACGACCCCGATATCCTGGTGCGCCTGCAATGGCTCTCGCTGCTGAAGCGCACGCTGGTGGATTCGCCGAATGCGAAAGGTACGCTTGGGCTAGTGAGAAGTGGTGGTGCGGTGGGGTGCGGCGGCTGGTGTGATGGTGGTGTGCTGACGATGGTGCTGCGGCAGATACGTTTCGGGTCTTGAAGGGCTTCGAGAGACTGCTGTCGACGCTTCAATCCCTCTCTGGCTTCTACAGCTCCGCGAACCGCACCGATGAGGAGAAACACCATTTCATAGAGCTGGCAAAATGCATTTTCGGCGTCATATCGGAAGCCTTGTCCGCACATCCAGGCAACAGGCGGTTCTTCACCCGGCGCATCGGTTGGGATAGTCTACAGCAGAGTCTTGCGGCTACGGGACTGCCTACGGAAGCTCCGGATCAGCTGTTCGGCTTACTGTTGGCCTTCGGAATGGATGACGCTACCCTATCGAGCCTCATCGTGTCCACGAAGCGCGGAATCGCACAGGAAATTGCGAACGGACGGCTGGCGAAGGAGGCGGATAAGTTGAAATATGTGAAGGACAGGATCCGGGTGCATTTTGGGCCCAAGGATGTCTTGTTGAATGCCGAGATCGTGCCGTTGGTCGTCAGCTTCCAGGCCGCGATGCCGCGTACGCAGGTCTCGGAGGTTACCGCGGTGATCATCTTGCAGTCGTTACTGGCGATTGTCTCGGCGAGTAAATTCAACCTGGTGGCTATGCATTCGACCGGCGTGCTGAGTGCGATACTTCGACGACTGTGGGATCCGTCGGTGCCCGCATCCGAGAGGACGGTTTTGAGGGATCTTGCCGGGAATCTTGCGAGGCTGGGTGTCAATAATATGAATGATGCGAAGGAGATGTACAAGAGGGCCATGACGGACGAGAACGTCGCCTCGTTTTTACTAGAGGCCATCAAGGCGTCAAGAGAGCCCGCACACATCCAGTTCGATATGTCGCTACACGGATTCGCCTCTATGGAACTATCATCCCTGGGCCGAGTCTTTCCTCCTGCGAATACGCCGGGCTTTAGCTTTGCCGCGTGGATCTATATACAGTCCTTTGATCCTACAATGCATACCACGCTTTTCGGTGTGTTTGATGCGTCGCAGCGATGCTTCGTCCTGGCATATATCGAGATGGACACTCGAAAGTTTATCCTCCAGACCTCCGTGTCGTCCCCGCGAGCGTCGGTGCGGTTTAAGTCAGCCGTGTTCGAACCGGGGCGCTGGTACCATGTCGCTATCGTTCATCGGAGGAGCCGGACCACGTCGGCGGCGAAGGCGGCACTCTACGTGGACGGCGAGTTTGTCGAACAGCAGAAGGCTAGTTACCCCCAATCCCCGCCAACCGGTCATAATGTCCAGGTATTCTTCGGCACACCGTCGGATCTCTCTCCTAGACTAGGCAGGGGAGTTGTGTCCTCACTGTGGAGCTTGGGAACCACTCACCTCTTCGAGGATGCCCTCTCGGACGATCTGATAGCGGTACTGTACCGGCTTGGGCCTCGGTATCATGGAAACTTTCAAGACTGCCTGGGCTCTTTCCAGACATATGAGGCGTCAGCGGCGCTGAACATGAGGAACGAACTGATGCATCCTGGTCGAGAGGAGAAGAGCGATATCGTCGCCGCCATACGGCACAAGGCGTCAACCATAATCCCCGAGTCCAAAGTTATGTTGAGTCTTTCGGCCACGCAAGTCCTGGACGACCGAGACGACAACAACATCGACGAGTCGATGCTCGTTCAATCGCTCTCGAAACATGCAGCAAAGAGCCTCCAGCAGTTCACTCGGAGCGGCGCAATAGCCATCAATGGTGCCGTTCCCTCGATCAACGAAGCACTGATATCACCGCAGGGAGTGGCAGTCATGACCGGTGAGCCCATAGTGGTTGTCCCGCAGTCTCTTGACGACGCGGCATGGAAGATCGGGGGAGCTGCAGCTGTCGGGCTGAAAATGGTTGAGGCTGCGAAGACACCACAGCAGGTATGCAAAGCGGTCGAGATATTGTTCGAAATGACCAAGGGCTCCTGGAGAAATAGCGAGGCCATGGAGAAGGAGAATGGGTTTGCCATCCTGAGCCATCTCCTCCGGCAAAAGGACGCCCAGGGCGTCGTCGGGAAACAGCTATTGCGGTTGGTCTTGGATTTCGTCGGGTACCGTCACGATGCTCCGGAAGAAAGCTTCATCATCAACCCGCTGGCGTATAGGATACTCCTGGTCGACTTTGATGTCTGGAGGACGGCCGATATCGAGACGCAGAAGGAGTACTTCTCTCAGTTCCTGATGTTCACCAGCGGCAGCAAGTATCATCACTTCAACTCGAAGAGACTGGTGCGCATGCGTAAGTACCTCCGTACTACTGGTGGTGGTGACGAAGCCACGTTGTTCAGAAATCCTGTACTGAACAAATCAGGCATCGTGAAGAAGCTCCTTTACGCCCTGAAGGCGGAGGTCTTCAGTCGTGAGATCCTCCCCGATTTCCTAACCGCATTCAAGGTCCTCGTCAAGACGAACATGTCGGCGGATGTACTCCGGTCCCTCTCGCTATTCATCACGTACTCCCTCCATAAGCATAATACGAGCCGACCGCTCCGTAACAAGAGGAGTAATGCCCAGCTTAGAAGGCAGGGTGCTGGGCTATCTCCTGGGGGCGCGGGACCGAAGACGGGATATCTAACGCCAGCAGGTGTGGCTGGTGAGTTGGTCGATGATGGCGGGTTTACGAGACAGCAGATCGGCGTTATGGTGCTCGAGATGTATCATGATCTCTTGTGTGAGGATGGCAATGGCACGGCCAATTTAAAGAAGTTTGCGAAGACTGTTACGAACAAGGTAGGTACACCTGCAATGGATGGGCTGAGCGTTCTGCTAACTGCAAGTGGGATTTCCAGTGGCTTCTATATCTCCTCGCCGAGAGCGAGCCGAAGGTGGTACTTCTGGGCGCAAAGATCGTGGCCAGATTGCTCGTTGTCCACGGCGGCACGTACGTATCCAAATTCGCCAGCAAGACCGGAGGATTCGTCATCATGAAACACAGACTCAAGAGATGGTGGAATGTTGCTCCGCTCTGGCCGATATGCTTCTGTATACTGTTTGGCAAGGACGTGGCCAAGATCGATGTTGATAGACCGCTGGATCTCTTTGCATTGCTCGACGCTTTTGCCGATGGCGGCAAGGCGAAGGTGGTTTATCCTGATGTTCTACCGGTCATCGCCGCCATGCTTAAGGCTGGTGTTGGAACCATCGTTGCAGATATTTCGGGTGATGAGAATGAGAATGGCAGTAAGGGCAAAGCTGCCTTAGATGTCCCCCAGGCTTCGAGAAGTAGGGCGCAATCCGTCAATGATCAATCGCAAGGTGCGTCGTCTTCTGTGACCACATTACATCCGTTGTATACGCTCTTAACGTCTTTTGTCCGCTCATGTAGGGAACCAAACCTCGAGTGAACGCATGGTGGGATTGACCCGGATGCTGCAGACATTGATACAGTTCCTGTCGCAACTCCACTCGACATGTCCCGCCTTCCGTGATTTCTGCGTCAATTCGGGCTTCGTCCAGGAGCTATTCGGAATACTGTTTCCGGTGGTCTGTAGCTCCGATCACGTCAGCGCAGAGACGGAGTTGAACTCGAGAGATTCAGCCCTCACCTTCGACGGTGGAGATGTGGTCATCCGACCATTGGTTTCCTCGGCAGCGCCGCCAATCGTACGGACCGTTACTGTGGAGGATCGGTCACCGACGCCAACAGGAGGACGCTCGGAGAGACTGAGAAGAAGGTCCTCGTTTATCCTCGTCACCCAGGAGCCGACGGAATACGGACCGTCTCCGGCTCGGCTCACTCCCGGTATCGGATCGGGCCTGAATCTCAAAGTGACCAGCTTGAGCGGTTCGAATTCCCTCGTCGAGAGTCTGATGGAACTGGCTATGGCGGTGTTCTTGGATATGGTCTTTGAGCGACGGGAATTTACGGGGTTCGGTCTCAACACTAAGATTCCGCCGGGCTTCCAGGAGCACCAGATCTACTTCGAGACGTATCTCCTGCGGAACACGATCGCGCATATCAAGAACCTCATCGCCTTCGAGATGATGAAGCTGTGCGAGCCCCGGATCTTGACGAACATCGCCCGCTTTGCAATCCATGTTACGGATTATATATTCGAGGGCTGGTTCTTGAACGGCGCCGAGGTCCTGCTCGACTTTGTCGGATTCATCCTGGAGTATCTGCAGCGGCCCGATGTGTCGAAGCTGAAGAGTGTGAGACTGTGTTCCCAGAGCGTTACGAATCTGCGGTCCGTGGTCTCTCGCGTGGTTCTGTTCAGACTCTCGGAGCTCGACGACTCGAAGGCGGACCCGAAGCAGATCGTCGATTTCCTCAACAAGATGATGTACTGGCAAACTGTCATTCTGTCCCCGGATAATACGGATGGCGAGTTTACGAGGTTGATATGTTATCTGCTGTATACGAGGCTGATCGATCAGAGGCACGACCTCAAGATCGCGGCGGCTAATGTATGTATTCCTCCTTCGTTTCCAGGGACGCCTTTGCTGATGGATCGCTTCCGCAGATGCTACGGATAGTGTTGGTGCAGAAGCCAACAGAGACGGCTATACTGCTCAACCATGCGAAGAGCATCGATCACAAGCAGCTGTCTTCGGGATTTCAGAAGCTTATGGAACTGGTAAGGGATCTGTGTTGACCGCAATTCAAGACTGACGGAAGCAGGATAACGACACCTGGCTGTACTGGATCGATGACCACCGGAAAGAGCTCGACGCGTTCTTCTATGGCGCGCTCTCGAAGTCTTGGGAAGCGTTCGTCACCGACGAGAATCGCAAGACCGAGGAGACAGCGAAGGCTCGCATCGTTGCGAGAAAGGAGAAGCTGAGGCAGTGGATCACGGAGGATATGAACAACGAGGATGTCTACGGCCGACACGAGTCGATCTCGAATAACTGGTCGGCGAATATCTTTGCCTCCGAGCACCTCAAGTTCCAACGCGCGTCCCAGGACCAGCAGGATAGCCTCAACTTCACCATTTCGCAGTTTGCTACGCTGGATGCCGAGTTGACGAGGCCGTGCGGGCTGCTCGATGACGGCCAGGATGTCAAGTGGCGGCTCGATCTCACCGAGGGTAGAAATCGCATGAGGAAGCGGATGCTCCCAGATCGCAGCGGACATCTGCATAATTACCAGCCGAAGAGAAGGCTCACCGGCCTTGGTGACGGCGGGCAAAACCTGACGCCTACAAGAGCGCATGCCCTCTCGGTCGATTGCGATGAGATCAGCATCATGACGGCCAAAGACGTGGACCCTGGCAGCCCGGAACAGGATCGGCAGCACACTGGTCGAGACGGCGGAGACGATGATATGGATGATGACTACGAGTTGGTCGACGACCCCAAGGAAGACGATGACGGCTGGGAAGATAAGAACCGGAAGGTTTTGAGAAGCATCCAGCACGGTGATGTGGTGGAATCGGTTAGCAACGTTTCCAGACTCATTGGACTCGACGCCGTCGAAGGACTCTTGATTATAGGTAAGAACTGTCTGTACCTCATCGACAACTTTTTTCAGCGGTCCGACGGCGAGATTATGAATGTATGGCAAGCACCGAAGGACGAGAGAGATCAATATCTGCAGATGATTTCGGGCCGGGAAGCGGAAGACCGCAAGCCAGTGTCGAGCGAACACGAGACAAGGCACTGGTCCTTCGAGGAGCTGATCAGTATCAGCAAGCGTCGGTTCCTGTTCCGCGATGTGGCGCTGGAGCTGTTCTTTTCGGATGGAAGGAGCTATCTTCTCACCACCATGTCGGTAAAGGAGAGGGACTACGTGCATACTCGGCTCCTGTCGAAGGCGGCAAATGTTAGTAGCAATGCTGCCACGCCATGGACCGGCGATGTCTGGAGGACCGAGTCCTTGAAGACCCAAGAGGCGCCGTCGAATTTCGGATCGAAGCTGGCGAACGTCTTTGGATCTCCCACACAGAATCCGGCGACAAAGAAGTGGATCAAGGGCGAAATCTCGAATTTCCACTATCTGATGCTGGTCAATACCATGGCTGGCAGGACGTTCAACGATCTCACTCAGTATCCGGTTTTCCCGTGGGTATTGGCGGATTATACCAGTGAAGAACTCGATCTTAAGAACCCGAGGACTTTCAGGGACTTTTCGAAGCCTATGGGAGCCCAGACGCCCGAGAGGCAGAATGAGTTCCGCGAGAGGTATCGCTCGTTCGGCGATATCAATGACCAGGCGTCGCCGCCGTTTCACTACGGAACGCACTTCTCGTCGGCCATGATCGTGTGCTCCTTCTTGATCCGCATCCAGCCATTCGTTCAGTCGTACCTTCTGCTGCAGGGTGGACAGTTCGACCATGCGGATCGACTGTTCTATTCGATAGAGAAGGCGTGGGCTTCGGCCTCGAGGGATAACATGACGGATGTGCGCGAACTGATTCCAGAGTTCTTCTTCATGCCCGAATTCCTGGTCAATTCCAACGACTACAACTTTGGCATGAAGCAGGGCACCGACGAGCCAATCAACGACGTCGTTCTCCCACCCTGGGCAAAGGGTGATCCCAAGATCTTCATCGCCAAGCACCGCGAGGCCCTCGAGAGTCCGTATGTCAGCCAGCATCTGCACGAGTGGATCGATTTGGTGTTTGGATTTAAGCAGCGAGGTGAGGCTGCCGTCGAGGCTACGAATGTCTTCCATTACCTCAGCTACTCCGGTGCGATTGATCTCGATAATATTCAAGACCCGGTGGAACGCCTGGCAACGATTGGGATCATCCATAATTTCGGACAGACGCCGCATCAGGTTTTTGCCAGGAGCCATGCGCAGAAGGATTCGGGGGCTACGCAGGGTGCAAGGCTCGATGTGGGCGCGGAGAGCTTGATTAGACTGCCGTTTCCCTTGCTAGGTATGGACCCGTAATCGCTTTGACTGGGAGGATGGATGGCTAACCGGTCTACAGATAGTCATGAACGGGTCGCATCGCTGGTATACTCACCTAAATTCGAGAAGGTGTTCTGTTCGGGTGCGTTCAGACTCAACATCCCGCCGACGTACGACAAATACATGGAATGGGGCTTCACCGACGCCAGTGTCCGCTTCTACCACACGGAGAGCAAGAAACTCATCGGTCACCACGAACACATCCACCAGGGCCAGCTCTCGTGCGCCAAGTTTGCCGACTCCAAAACCCTCATCACTGCAGGCACCGACGGCACGGTCTCGGTCTGGGCGCTCAAGTCCACCGCCAAATCCGTGGAACTGATCCACCGCTCCACGCTCTTCAACCACGTCGCCCCCGTGATGACCATGGCCCTCTCGCGGAGCTTCTCCACCCTCGTCACCGCTAGTAACGACCTGACCGTCTCCCTCTGGGACCTCAACCGCCTGCGGTTCATCCGCCACCTCCCCACGCCGTCACCCGTAACCTGCCTCGCGGTCAACGACGTATCCGGCGAGATCCTCCTCTGCGCGGGCCAGACCGCAACAATCTTCACGATCAACGGCGCTCTCATGCTGCGACAGAACGTGTGCGAATCTAGCGACGACGCTATCGTCTCGTGCGCGTTCTACGAAGGGTTCGGCAACGAGTGGCTCGAGCGCGAGCTCGTCTTTACGGGACACAAGCGCGGCATCGTCAACATATGGCAGAAGCGCGTCGGCAAGCTCGGCGGCTTCGAGCTGCTCCATGTAAAGCGCCTCCAGCACGTGAATCAGTTCCAGAGCGAGATCGTGGTCCAGGCTGCGATCACGGAGGTCCTCCCCATGCCCGCCGCTGTCTACACTGGTGATGAGATGGGGCGTGTGGTATGCCCCCCCCCCCTTTTGTTTTGGTGCACTGGTAGATGGAGAGAGAGGCTAACGACGGGATATAGTACGAATGGGACTGCCAGACCGTCCAGCGGGGTAAGAGCCCGCTTCCCTCCGTCGGCTCCTCCTCAGCGGGAGCGGGCTCACAGCAGGCCGGAAACTCAAGGTAGTACCGGAGGTTCCGAAAATGGAGGAAGCGCGTTGGTCAGGGTAGAGCCAGTAGAGACAACAGAGACAGCAGAGATGGCAGGGATGGCAGAGAGGGGAGGGTGGAGAACGTACGGAAGTAGTGTGTGTAGTGAAGGGTGAGGGAGTGAGTGATGGGCGGGGCGTTTTGCTTGCTTTTACCTGCTTGCTTTTGCTGCTTAGATACGGTACTTGTGCTGCGATTGATTGATTGATTGATGATGCGATTGATTGATTAATGATGCTTGCTTGATCTTGATGTTACCCATGATTTCACTTTTTATCCGTTGCTATGGCGGGGGGCATGGGGGATGGCTGTGGATGGCTGTGGATTATCTACATACCTAGGAGGCGGGGGAATAGATGGGATTCGAGCTTTTCTATCGTGGTATCTCGTGGCTATCACTCGTACTTATCACTCGTACCTTCCACCGACCATGACTACTAACTCCACTACATTTTACTTCCGCGAGTGTGCAGCAGTGACGGAGTGATGGAGTCTGTGGACTATTGGCCCATGGGCCATGGCTAACACATGAAGTAATACCGGGCTATACATATAGTAGGTAGTATTCTCCACTCCCGTATGTAGCCTACCAGAGCGAGCCATTCTAACTTCCGCACGCTTAGAGCGAACAAGCTCATTGTACTTATGTGCCGCCTACCCCTATGTCCACCCCACCTCATTACGACGATATCCCGGAGAACTGGAAAACTGCCGAGTGATCCCGTGTGCTTACCTCATACCTCGGCCTCTACGTCGCCCTCCGCAGTCCGGTCCGGCCAGCGTCTCTTTTACTCACCATCACATCACATCACATCACATCACATCACATCAAGTCACTCAAGAACCAAGAAGTATACAAGATATCGAGATATATAATATAATATACTGCGCCAACCCAACCCAACCCATCCTTCCATCCCCTCCCCTCCCCTCCCCTCCCCTCCCACCTCCCACCTCCCACCTCCCACCTCCCACCTCTCAACATCCACCCACCCATCTCCATCCATCTCCCCCCCCCCTTTCCCCCGCGGTGTATAGGTAGTCCACATCCACATCCTCAACTTCATCAGCCCTCCCCCGGACGATAGCACAGTACAGCACAGCACAAAACAAAACAAAAAAAAAACAAAAAAAACCCCCCCCCCAAACAAACCAACCAAGTTCCCCAAACGCATTAACAGTTGAACCCTCGAAGAAAGAAAAAACCATCGATAAAATAAAAGCCAGCAAAAGAACAAAAAAAAAAAGTCCCATAAAACAGAAACCGAAACAGAAAACGAAGAAAAAAAAAGAGAAAAAAAAAAAACTGCGCCTTTTTTGTCCTGGTCGTGTAGCAAAAAAAAACAATAATCGTAAAGGTGGAATGTTAGAAGAAAAACAAAGAGCAAAAGAACATCGAAAAGCAAGCAGTTGTCCTCATCTTACAAAAAACTGAACAGAAACTCGGAAAACGAACATTCACCTCCCCATACCATTCCCCCACCCCCCCCCCCCATCCGACCCATTCCCAAGTCATGTCCAAACCGAACAAACCAAACCCCGAATGCCGGCCCCGTACCAACGATGCTGATGAACGATGATGATGGCTCTGCTAATAGGCCCCGAGAACCGAAGAAATACGAAAACGAAAAAGAAAGGGTCAAACATAAAACAAGAAAAGCAAACGCGAATCTATCCCACTCAGCAAGTCAACGTCCAATCGTGATATCTCTCGGTCTCATGTTCATCCGCCCTTCCTCTCGGCATCCTTTGCTGCCACCTCCCGAATGTTGGGTATTGTACGTCTCTTCGGCTTGCACTTCTTGAATGTGGCCTTAGGGGTACCACTAGTAGCCGTGCTCGCCCCATTGGCCTCTCCAGCCTTTGCCTCCACCTTGGTCTCAGTAGGTTCTTTCTTGCCTTTGGTGGGTGTAGACTTGTTGCTTCCGTTACCCTTAGACCTAGCATTGCCGTTCCTCTGCTGCTGCTGACCAGACTTCTCTGGTGCAGGCGTAGGAGGGACCGGATCGTCCTTGGTGTTGGAGGAGGAAACATTCTTCTTCTTCGACCCGCCATTGCCACTGCCGACCGGCTTCGTTTCCCGCTTGGCCGTATCCGTCGGAGATTTCGGTTCCTGTCCTTTCCGTGCCGAAGTCTGAGGAGGTGGCGTCGGAACCTCAACGACAGGTGAGAGCGTCAAGTCTTCCTGGATCATGGCCTGTTGAGCAGCAGTGCGCTGCCGCACGCTCGGCGACATCTTCAGCGAATCCGAACTCTCCGCTTGACCACCCTCCGAATTTGAACCGTCGAATGTCGACATGGTGGTAGCTGGTGAAACCGGAACACCCGAGTAAGAAGTCGAAGGCTGGTCGTGCTGTGCAGCAGACCCACGGAGTGTCGCGTCCAATCTCTGATTGTGCACCTCGAGTAGCTTCTGCGCGTACCCTTGGCTGCCGACGTCTATTTTCGCGGATGTACCGTTGACGCCGTTGACTGCAGCACTAGCAACAAACGGAAACACAAGCTCGCCGGGATTCGGACCCACGAATGGATGGGATAAGTTCCCATTCACGGCGACCCCTTTCCGATTCGCAGGACCAGGAGAAGTCCCTCGCACCAGTCCCAACATCGAAGCAGGTAGCCGCTCGTTTGAAACTCGTTTGTGTCGATCCACAACAGTCTTCTGCTCCAGAAACGTCTCCTCCGTCCCCTGTTCGTCCTCCCCAACCACTACGTCAAGATCCGACTGAAGTGCCTGGCCTATCGTGTAGTAACCAACATACTCATCGGCTTCCTCTTCCGGTGGCGTCTCGGGCTGGTTGCTGTTCGACGAATGGTCAGCAAAGTCATCGTCCTCCGAGTTCGCAACACCAACGACTGGCACGCTTCGACCGTATCCATTGGTGGGATACAGCGACGGTGGCTGTGACTGCGATCGCGAACCATTGGTATAGCCCCCGTTCCGGCGACCGCCACGACCCGACCCGAGCCTGTTGCCGTTCACCCCCTCAACCATTGCTGCCGGCGTACGTGGAGGTGACCCCCCTACCGTCGGTACATCACCGCCTGTAGCACCCTGACCCATGGGGAATCCATTGTAAAACTGGTTGAGTCCGTAGAGATGGGCTAGGTATGGCCACGTAAAGAACGGATTGGCAACTTCCCGGGAAGGTGTCGTGCCGTTTGATTGCGATTGAGACCCGTTCTGATGCTGCGAGTGCATTTGCGCGTGAACTTGGGCGGCGTGAATCAGTTGCGCCTGAGCATGGGCGTGCGCCTGAATCTGAGCCTGAATGAGAGCCAGCTGCTCTTGGGTGGTTGGGACGTAACCAAACATCTCAGCAGGGTAGTAAGGATGTTGTTGCTGTTGCGCCTGTTGCTGCTGCTGTTGTTGCTGCTGCTGTTGCTGCTGCTGTTGTTGCTGTTGTTGCTGCATCATGTTCTGATTAAACGCAGCACCATTGGAGCCCCGGCGGTTCTGGTTGTGATTCCGATTATGGTTGTTATACTGAAACCGTCCTCCCTGTCCTCCCCCGCGCTGACCTCCCGCGGAGAACCCATTGTTTCGATTCTTATGATTGGAATTGCTCCTAGACAAGGTAACAGGCCGTGATGGTGGTGGCGGTGGCGGTAACGGATGGATTTCTTCTGGCGGATATTCGAACTGCTCACAACACTCGGCCAGATCCCCCTTTTCGGCCAGTAGCCTATGTGCCCTCCTAAACTCCAGATGTATTCCGCGCATCGAGCAATCATCCGCAGTGTTGCCCAAATTCCGGGTGGTGTTGAAAGGCTCCTCGACGCATAACCGATTGTTCTGCTGATATACCCAGCCCTTGTCCGCTTTGGCCAGCAGCCTCCCCGTCCTCACGGATATCACGCTCTTCTCGTAATCCAGATCGTGGCCGTATTTCTTGAAAAAGGCGAACAGCAACTCTCCCAGCGTCTCCTTGTTGTCCTTCCCCCAGCCTCGTAACGTCTCGATGTCGTCGGCGAAGGAAACATCCACGCCGTGATTTGGTGGCTTCTTCTTGTGAGGGAGCATATGTAACGATGGTAGCACCGGGGGTTCGCGCGTCTGCAAGAAATTGAGAATCATGCAGATCCATGTGTAAGAACTCAGCGTTCCTCCGATGGCTGCCACATATAATCAGTATCGATCCCCCACTGACTCACAGGCTTATGCCTTCACTCACCGGCATTATTCAACACTCGTTGCTTCGTCCAGTGCTTCAATATCAGTGCCAGCGGCCGAACTCGCTCGTCGATCTCCACATAGGTCTTGATCATTCTCGTATTATCGAGTGCCAGGGTGCTGTTGACATTCATGTCGCACGCCACCATGTACTCCGGATCCCAAATCTTTACGATCGGCACCTTGGCTCCTGGCACACATACGATCCTGTCCATACCGCCTAGATGAAACATCGAGTTAGAACTGCTGTTTATTCACCCTTTCGCATATATTTGCAAAAAAAAGCTGCCTGGATGACCCACGTTTTGCTAGTGCCTTCGCCAGTTTGCATGTCGACTCGATTTCCCTGCATTTGGTGGTGATACAGACATCCACTAAGAAAGAAAAAGATAAGCCTGAATTCATTAAAGGAAAGAGGAGGGGGTATCGCGGCTATTATCGTTCCCTTACCATCTGAATCTTCCATGCAAAGGTGATTCTCAGTTGAACCAAACGCATGCACCTTTGTATCGTGACCGGGCCACTCCTCGTTCAATATCCGTGAGAGTTTGTCCAAGAACTTTCGTCTCCGATCTTCGCTCTCCTTGCTGGGCTTCAACTTCTCGAATTCCAACTCCATATCTCTCGTCAATGCCTCCTCGCGGGAGAGCGGCAGCTTTTCCAGCAGCGGCTTCTCCGGCTTGAGCCTATCGCTCCCCAGCGAATATGGTATCCGCCTCTTGGCGTCGATCAACAACGTCTCGTACCTGCATCCACTCATCGGTGGCGGTGGTGCCTTGGAAAACGTCATGACGGTGGATAGGGGTTCGGAAGCGGCCGAGCGTGGGGAGTCGAGCATACAGGTAGGTGGCGAAGGGCTCCGGGAGACGCCGTTGGTCATGTGACGTTGTTGATAGTTTGGGGTCGAGGGCATCGACATTGAATGTGGCGAATGCCGAAACGACGGCCGCTGGACTGCTATCGATGGTGGAACAACATCGTTTCGTTTCCCCTGCATGTTGAATGGGCCACTTTTGGGGTTGAGGTGGTTTTGCCTGTTGTCGTTCTTGCGTCCATTACCCAACCAACCCCCGCAATCGGTAGCAGTACTCGATCCTCCTTGCAGTTTCTGCTCGATTCCCCTCTCCGGCGACCTCGACTGCTGATGCCTGCTGTGAGGCGACACTGCTTTGCCGCCGCTGTTGTTGCGGAGATTGTTTGACGGAGATTTACTCCTGTACCGCGTGCCGTTTACCCCCGTAGCCGGACCCCCGGGTTGCAACGGAGAGTTCAGTGGATGCGATGGCGGAGATGGTGATTGTAGCTGCCCTGGCGAGAGCGTGGGCAGGAAAGGGTGCTGAGTCGCCGGCGGTGCCTGTTGGAGCGCAATGGCGGCGGCGGGCTTGAAGGCAGCGGACGTTGGCAAGCCAACCGTGTTCCTCCGCCGTGTAGAAGCAGCGTCGACGTCGTTGCTGTTGTGTGGGGTAATATGCAACTGGGAGGAAGGGGAAAATCCGCTGGCGGGATTCAGCGTCATAAACCGCGTCCTGTTGGGCCTCGATAACTGATGGATTGGCCTCGGGGGGTGGGAGGTGACGGCGCGGTGAGTTGGGGCAGAAAGCGGATCGATCGATTGGAGCGCTGCCGAGTTACTTTTGGGTTATCCAAAATATGATTCGTGCGTGTACGGATGAAGTGGGTGGCTACGAGAATGGGGGCTCGTTCCTGGCTGGAGATGGACTGTCGCCAAATATAACCGACGGGGGGTGGGCAACAGGGATTGCTTCGACCGGCGAATGAGGGTTAAATCAACAACGGGGGATCCCGAGAGTTTTCTGTGGCTACTAGTGGAACAGCAGCAGAGAATAGAAGCGAAAGCGAAGGTGCGTACGAGGAGAGGAGGTATAGATGGGATGAGGAGGTGGTGATGGTGGTGGTGGTGGTGGTGGTGGCGGGTTCGACTCTCTTACGACCGGCTACTCCTTGCTGACAAGAGTTATGGTATCCGTGCGAGCAGCTCGAGATGGAGAATCTCGTTCGGCGGTGGTGGTGGGGTAGGGGAAACGTGTGATCAGAAGATGGACGAGCGGATCGAAGAATAGAAGAACGGTATCGGACAGAAACGGAGATTCCGAGAAGAGGTGGTGGTGATGGTGAGCGCTGAGCGGGTACAACGTTCAAGGAGAGGGGGGGGTTTGACTGCGAAGTTGATATTCGGGGGGGGGGGGGGCGGATGTGCTCAGCTGGGACAGACACTGGGGTGGCGGGACAGCTGAAGATTGAGGGGTGGGAAGAGTTGGCAGTGGATGGCTGCAGTAGAGGTTGGTGGTGGATGTTGTGGTTGTGGTAGCTGTGGTAGGTAGAGGTGGTGGTAGTGGTGGTGGTAGTGGTGGTGGAAGCTGTAAGACGGGGGGTTGAGTGTGGTTTTGGCGGCAGGTATGCGGAGAGTGATGTCGAATGGGTTTGGACGGTGGTGGTGGTAGCGGTAATAGTGGTAGCGCAGTGCAACTTGATCGATGGACTCCGAACCGACTTGACTCGATCTGACCGACTGGTGGAGACAGGGGGTGGTTGGGTTGGGGAAAGTTAGATGGACTGTTGCAATGGAGGTTACGGCGCGTCTTCTGTCGTTCTGTCGTTCTCTCGTTCTCTCGCTCAGTTTTTCGACTGGTTCTCTTCGCGTCAAGGAGAAAGGAACTGCAGGCAAAATAACGAATGTGGTATCGACGATGGAGATGCTGATGCTGTTCTACTTTGGTATGTAGAGTGGGAATTGTTACGGAAGGTACTTGCCCTTTTGGGGGGATGGAGGGATTGTTGTTGCGGAAAAGGAGTAACTAGCAGGAGAAGGGGTACGGTAGTTACAACAATGACGATCTGAGGGTTGGGATTGTGAGTGGGAATGAGTGAGTACGGCGCGGAAAAGGAGCGAGCGAGGGAGATGATGGGGGAATCGGTGTGTGTGGTGGCTGTATATAACTAGAGACCGAGAGGGAATATAGTATATACCCAAGTACTTGGGAAGTAGAAAGGGTGGAACGGAGCGGAGGGAATTGAACGGACAGCACGGCGACGAACAGAGACTGAGAGGGGTGTGAAGAGAACGAGTTACGAGACGGACAGACAGCCAGTCAGTGCTCGAGCGAATGGATGGAAGGATGAGGATGGGAAGTCGTGGGGGAGAACAGGAACGGCTGTAAGGATGCAGATGTTGCTGTTGCCGTGCGGCTGCTGTGCATCGATGTCGCTGTCGATGCTGGTGGTCTCCCTCGTTGAGCTTTGATCGCTGCTGCAACTGCGAGCTGCTCAGTCACTTTGGGGGGCGGATTACTCTGCCGTACCGTGCGGTATGCTCGACGCAGGACACCTGGACGGTATTCGTGGTACGGATGCACAGCTGAAGGGAGAATGGGGATCTCAGCAGGTACAGTGTGCAAAGTAGTGTACATACGTGAGTGATGAGTGGTATACTGGAATGCGGAGTGGAAAAGTTCACCGTCTCTCTGTCTCAATCTCCATCTCTCTTTCTCTGTCTCTCTATGTCTCGGTCCCTCTTCCTCTTCCTCTCTCTGCGTTCGTAGCAAACGACAAGGCGAGCGGTGGACGTGAGAACGAAACGCGAACAAGATGGTGACGAGAGGTGCCCCGTGCGTGTTGCTGTCCTTCCTCTCAGCGTCTGTCTCTGTCTGTTTCTGTCTGTCTCTGTCTGTTTCTGTCTGTCTCTGTCTGTTTCTGTCTGTCTCTCTCTGTCTTCCACTGTCTCCCTCTGTTTCCCTCCCCTTTCTCCCTCCCCCTCTCTCTCCCCCTCCACTCCCCCTTCTGTTTCTCTCACCCTCTTACTCCCTCTGCTCTGCTCTACACTCTCCGCTCCCCAACTCTCGACTAACTTTATCCACCTCAATCTTGCTTACCCTCTTACCCTTGCCTTCCTGCGTGCCTGCCTTGGCCCCCAGCTCCCTGTCCTCGCCGCACGACAACTCCACTCTACCTGCACACAAAGTTGGCACCAGCGATGACGATGCTGCAACCACCTTGCTGGAAGAGCACCAAGTGCTAAGTTAACCATGGCGAAACCGAACACGGACAAGTCCAAACCATGATGCTTGATGTTCACTCGGTTGATAGTCTCCGGGGGGTGGGGCAGAACGTGAGACCGAGAGAGAGGCACGAGTCGGAGCGGGAGTGAGGCGAGCCACCGGACAATCGCAAGCAGCCACGACGAGTCGCCGACGACGGAAGGGGAGGATAATACGAAGACGAAGCCCCGGCCCTCAACAAAGCCAAAACGATGCCATCGAAATAATGCCAATCGACGGATCTCGCCTTGCTCCCTCGTCCATTGTCGCCGCCGCCATTCGCCCCACTTGGTCTCGCTCACAATGGCATCGAAACTCTCACTCCACTCACAATCGCACAACCATCCGTCCTTCGCATCCATCTCTGCCGACAGCAGTCGAGAAAGAAAGTAAAAAAACCCCGCCCACTCCTCACATCCCATCCCATCCCATCCTACCCCTCGTTCGCCCTCATGCCAGGGGCAGCACACCCACCTTGCACCCACGCACCCACCTAGATACGCACCCATCCAGATTTTCTGGGGTAGGTACGGTATCTGCCCACTCGCGCGCTCTCGATATATTAACCAGCCAGCCAGCCAGCCAGGTAGGTGCCCGTGTCTATGTATGTAGGTAGACCATCACCTGCGCCTAACTAACCATGATGCTCCCCGCACCCCACCGCACCGCACCTGCGGTCCTTCCGGCGCGGCTGGGATTTCTGACAGTCGGTCAGTCGGCCGTGGCAACGCGATGCCGGGAAGTACGGTAAGTGGGAAGTGGGAGTCGGGCCTGCATCGCCGCTGTGGGGTGGGAGGGGTGACTTTTAGATTCAACCGGCACTCCACCACCACCATTCCACCACGACTCGATTACTTGTGCGATCGTGGGATTTCCGGTTTTTACATACGAGTGTGGTGCGTGCGGGAATGCGGAATGCGGATGGACATGCGGATGGACATGCGGATGGACATGCGGATGGACGGGAGAAAAGTGCAGTTCGCGATTACATACATACGAGCGGAAAGTTGCAAGTTGAAACTGGGTGGTGTTACTATTGTTACTACTCTAGTGAGAAGTAGGCACTCTGCTCGGTAGGAATAGTGATCTATCATCTCACTCATCCCCTCCTTCTCCTCCACTACCACAAGGCATCCAGCGAAAGTAAAGAAGGAAAAAAAGCTACACGTTTCCGACACACACCGAGGTGACCGAACCCCCAATCCAAACCAAACCTAATCCAAGCCTAACCTAATCCAAGCCCAAACCAAGCCCAAGCCTTTCCGCGGGAACGGAAGGGAAGGGAACTGTAACTGCATACATATACTACTCGGCATAATCGACATACATAAGCCCAAGGTACGAAGAGGAGGGGTATGTAGAGTATGTGGGTACCTGTCCCGCACCGTACCGCGGTTAGTTGGCTGGTTGGTCGGTCGGATCGTTACGGGAGCACATGTAGAGTCGACCACGAAAATGAGATCTACACAACTACAGCGAGACTTCTGCAGTGAATTGAATTGAATTAGACACGGCCAGCCAGCCAGCCAGTGGACGAGCTGGCACAGCGATACCATACCGGTAGTACTGGACTCGACCGCCGAGTTGGAACTTCGAACTGAGCTCCAACTGAGACGCTCCAGCCGGTGGGCGGTACATACAGGCGGCAGTGTATGTATACAGTGTATGTTGTGTAGATAGGTAGGTACAGTATGTGGATGTATGTGGATGTAGTTACCCATAACCCACAACCCGCCCTACATACTACATACATACATGCGTCGCCGGCCCGACTGCAGGAATCACAGACACTGGGTGTCTTCCGGTCTGGCGGTCCATCGTCGACGGTCGTTGGGGACTCGGAGTCGGTCGATACTCTACCAGTATTGCTGTGGAGTGGAAGTCAGGAATTGTTTCCCGGAAATGCAATAGCGTATAGGCAATTGAACAGAGTAGAGTGGAGTAGAGTAGAGTGCATACGGGGAGTGCATACATACGGGGAGAACGCGGGGAAAGATGAGGAAGGTTGAGGATATTAACTACCCTATAACTACCCCGTACCTATCCAAATGATACCGTTTGTATGCAGAGTACCTCCACCGCATCGAGGTGCTCTACTGGTAGGTGCTCTACGGTAGAGTGGTTGTCTATACGAAGAGTCAACACGGCACTTTCGGATGTTGAAACGGACAGCTGGAGCCTGGAGGAACACAGAGCACAGAGCAAGAGCAACTCACTCGCAGACTGCCAGACACTCGCAAACACTCGCTCAGTTACTGGGCCTCATACCGGCTTACTAACCGTCCAGCCTACCAGTACTCCACTCTAACAGTACTGCCAGACATCACTCGCCCCGCCTCGCCTCGCCTCTCCTCGCCTAGCCTCGTCTCGTCTCGTCTCGCCTATGTAGCCTCGCCTCGCCAAACAGCCTCAAGGCTCAACGCGACGGAAAAGTGCACGAGCCATACGCTTCGTTCCTTCCAAGTTCCATGTAACGAGCGATAGAGTACCTACCGCTCGTACATAGAGTACCGTAGCTATCTAACGTTGACACTCGCGATAGCGAGCGCGCACAGCACGGCACAGGGCTGAAGATTCATGCATTCTCAATGCTCTCCGTTCTGCGCTCTGCGCACTTGCACGCTTGGGAAATGCCACTCGCCGGTCGCGTGGAGCGTGGAGCGTGGAGCGTGGAAGGGGCGACAGCCGTTATTTACTTTACGCCACCGAGCCCGAGCCCGAGTCAGCAACCAACCAGGCAAGGAAGGAAAATTAATTGAGAAGGCGGGTGTGTGTGTGCAGTGTGCAGTGTGTGTGCTGCCTGTGAGTGTTGCCTGTGAGTGGCTGGGGAGGGAGCGAAGATCCGGAACCGCCAGACCACCGCCAGACCACCAGTGTCCACCACCAGTGACCAGTGCGATCTTGACACACACACATCGACCGTTTTTTTCGTTCTTCACCCTACTTCCTTCTTTGCGCGGTCTCACGAAAAAAACGCACTCACTCACTCACGAAACACGAAACGAAACGAAACACCCTCCCCGCAACATCCGTGCGCCTCGACTCCACTCCCCTCGACACCTCCCCTCCTCCCGCACAATGACTAAACCGCAAATCGCTGTCTTCCTCCCGATCTTCTTCTCGGCTTTAGTGATCTGCGCGGTAGTCCTCTGCACATGCATGTACTGCCACCGACCGAACTTCCTCGGGTTCGGGGGACGGGGCCGTGGGTCTGGTAGCGGCGGGGGCGGTGGCGGCGGTGCTGGCGGGCGCGGCGACGGCAGCGATTACACCAGTAGCAGCGATTCCTCGACCGATCTTGAAAAGGGCCCCGACGGGCGGCGGAGGGTGACAGAGCGCGTTGTGGTATGCCTTTCCCCCCTCCCATTCCCCGAAGATATTCGTAGATGTGAGTGCTGATGGAATGAATGCAGGAGCGGGTTTCGGGCCCGTCGTATCCCGGCGGCTACGGAAGGGGTTCGGGCAGCCCCGACGCAGACCATATCCGCGTCGTTGACGCGGAGGAGCCGAGTCCGTCTGAGGCTGAGGTCATCGAGGTCGTCGAGGCACATCCGGATCAGGACGATAAGGGGAGGTTTTTGGGGATTTTCTAAGCAGCCGGTGATGCGGCAATGGGATGGCATGTCAAAAGGAGGAGGAGGAGATGGGGGAGGAGGAGGGGGGAATTGGGTGAGTATCTAATGAGTCATGACGTGATGATGGATGATCTGATGATGTGGTGGGCCGTGTTATGTTAATGTTGATATTGTGGCGGATGGTTGGATGGATGTATGTATGTTTGCACTTTCAGCACGCGCGCGCTGGATTGTCGGGTTGTGCTGTCTTGTACGTGTACGGGTACGATTGTATGATATGATATCGCTGATTTGATCTACTTGACCATTGACGGGGAGGACTCGATTCTCGATGATACTGTTTGTACCTACCACCACGAGCACGAGCACATGCTTCCCGCAACCCGCAGCCACGCGCCGTCTCGTGGTGTCGTGGCATGAGAATTCTGGAAGCGTGTGTGTAGTTTGCATTGTGCACCCGGGGGCCTGGGGAGATCGCAGGTGGATTCTGGAAGTGTATACCTGCCTCTCCCTTACATTACTAGCCACGGCCGACCGGTCCAAGCAAGGCCAGGCTGGGCCCGGAGTGCAATGGGATATGTACAGCAGAGGCGTGTATTTTGCAATAGCAGATGCGTACAATAGCAGATGCGTACAATAGCAGATGCGTACAATAGCAGATGCGTACAATAGCAGATGCGTGCAACAGCAGATGCGTGCAACAGCAGAGGTATGTAGGAGTAAGAGGGAAGAGGACGGAAGAGTCTTGCAGGATAATCACTCGGTCACTCGATCAACCCGCCCCCGCACTCCGCGGATTGGCAAGCAGTCTGTGTCGCTAGCACTAGTACAGGTACAAGTACAGGTACTCTACAGGTATATGTATGGAGCAGATTCGAGTACCGTGGGGAAGTCCGGGCTGCGGATTGGCGAGGAGGTGAACGGGCGGGTTGCTACATACCTACTTGCGTATGTAGGTAGGTATGCATATGTACCGGTACCGGTACCTAAGCATGATCCCGAGGCTGTGGCGCGGGTGAAGACTCTTGGATGGATAGATAGATGGATGTCCACTACCACCCAATACTACCGTATATCCTGCAGGCGTCGTGCGTCAGCGTCAATCGGGACTGTGAGGTCTACGTATACCTAGTAGTAGAGTGGAGTACATAGAGTAGAGTATATAGAGCAGAATAGAGCAGAGTGACGGCGGGGTGCATTGGCGAGAATCTGGGGGGATTTTCATGAATAAAATCTTATTGATTGCGAACTGCATTGGGACTCGGGAGAGAGAACTGAGTCTGGAGTCTCTCGCTCGCTCGGCGGATCGAGGGTGGATGGAGTAGTTCATATGGGGAACATAACAAAACCCACTGGACGGATGTTGATATTGATATCTACATTGATATTGACATCGCATCCGCCGTCCGGACACAAGTCACTGCCATTTTCTTCACGATGATGTAGGTAGCACTACCACAATGTACAGTGTTTACCCACCCTTGAGCTACTACCTAGTATACAGTATATGGCTATGATCGTCCCAAACACCGAATACGACACAATCGCCAAAGATCTACATACGCTCGGTCTATGATCGCAACGGCGCACATCGATCCGCACTGTCCCTCGGAGCCGACTCTGCTACCTAGAATACCCAGCACCTCCCCATGCACTCCGGTGCATACATACATACGAAAGCCAGTGCCTGTGGTGTTGACCCAGCCACACCCAGTCCCGCCCAACTATCCATATCCTCGGGAAACAGATCCTCGGGAAACAGATCCTCGGGAAACAGGTCGTACTAGTCCAAACGGCTGCCTCGGCTCGGTTTCGAGCGAGTGATACTTCATGAACTAGAACCAGATCCTGAACCAGGTGCTGTGGAAGGTGCTGTGGAAAAGAGGATATTATGTACATACAGACAGTAAACAGCGTACATGCTGAAGGCTCACGATGGCTGGAAAAGCTCTGTAGACGCTCAGGTAGGGAAGCTGTGCCAGTACGAAACACAAATATACGAGTTTTTTTGGTTTTTTTGGTTTGATCGTTGGTTGCGTGCGACACAGATATGAGTGATAAACCGGCACATTCACCAGACGAGTGATGAACCGCGGCCACAGACTCGTATCCACCAGACTCGGATTCACCCAACGAGTGATACCCTGTATATATACAGTCCATTTCTTCCATGCAGGCTATGTACTCACCTGTAACTTGCCTATAGTACCTACGTAGGTAATCCACGCTCTACAGTCTGTTGGAGAAGCAAATCTCGCATCTCTCTAGTAGGTACTCTGTACTAACCATAGCGTTTTCGATAGATACATGCATACAAAACGCTCACGCCCACGATTCCAGGAACTAGGTACGGTATGTACGGTATGTATGTGCCTACGGGAGATGACAGGGCTGCACCTGCCAACTGTATCTATCGCAAATCCGCAAAATTGCAGTAGGTACTGTATGTACCGTACATGATCTGCCGGCCGCCAGATAGAGGGGGGGGGGGCCTGTGCACCACAACACGGAGCACAAAACCACGGAGCACGAAACCACGTACGCAGATAAGTACGCGGACACTGCGGACCCGAAGCCAGACGGGCGGCGAGGCGGGCGGGCGGGAATCGTGGTTGAGATGTGGGGCTGTCTTGACCCTTGTTGATGGTGAACATGGGAGGTACTTACCGTACTTACGTAGATACCGTACGGTATCGGTGTCGGTGGTGCTTGCGGGTCCGGGGGAAATTCATCATGATATAGTGGGCAACGGTGCTGGAGTCTGGCATCATCAAATCCACGAAATATCACCACTACTCTGCAGTATATACACCAGCCCATGCCGCTCAATCCCCGCCACACGTGGCCGCGCGCCGTCCCCGCCCGCCAAAAAAAGCAAAACCGACCCTCGGTGGTGCGCACAAGGACCGGATGAACCACCGGATGAACCGTTCTGGTGGTTCGCCTTCTCGCCGTTTGCTCGGACTGGAATACTACTAGAGTACTCTACCGGTACATGGTAGGCAGGTCCTCCATGCTCCCCCGAAGCGCGCTCGACGCCGGCTTCGATGGGGGCGGGGAGACGTGGCAAGTTTCCGAGATAGGTAGATACGGTACGATACGGTACGATATGGACGTCAGCAGACGTCCCTGGGCGCCTTCCCCATCCCCATCCCTTCCCATTCCTGAGGCTTCCCCATCCCCATCCCCTTCCCTTCATTTCAATTCCTGGGGAATACCCATAGTGATAAACGTCCACCCCAGCCCACCCCGTTCGATCTCAAGAAACACCCACCCATATATCTCATGGCGTCATGGCTGGAAGGCTCCCCTGCAATACTCTCCTCCGGGCTCTCCCATGGTCCGTCCGTGATTCTTTCGAGGTTTCTCAACTTCTCATCCAGCACTCGGCACTCTGCACTCGTCCTTGGCCGGCCGGCTGGTGCCGAGAACACCGGTACTGCATTCTACCGGCACCGGTACATATCTCTCCGAATCTCGATCCTGCGGGATGAAGGGGCGGCTGTGATTGACGCCGCAGACACGCAGCTACATAGCATATGTACTCTACTAACACGGGTAATCATTTCCCGCGCCTTCCCTCCACATCCATATGCACCTGCCACCGACGACCGCGCCCTGCATCAGACGGACGAGGACGTGGGCACCAAAAAAAAGTGGGCCTTCGTCGTCGTTGGAGTCAGCGTCCGAAGACGGCTGGGATTCGGATAGAAGGCCCCGTGAAAATAGCTATCATACGGTCACTCTTTCTCTCCACTTCTACGTGACTACTGGTATCGGCAGGACAACGAACAGCAGTCTTCGGACTTCTGTATGGACCATGGCAGGTATGGGACCGTGCACCACTGCTGTCGACCACCGCTGTCGACCAGCCAAGACTCTAAGTTAACCACTCTAGCGGGGATTCCGGACGGGATTCGGAAAACCTTGAAAAAATCGGACGGTTGCGTTGTTCAATATTCACGCTTTCAGAAGTGATGGCCACGCTGTTCGTGCTCTTGGTGGTGGTGGTGGTGGCGGTGGAGAAGATTGTGGGCGGTGAGAGAAGAGAAGTAACAAGAACAAGAGATGAAAGCCACTGCGATATTTATGGACGTGAACAGATATATTTCATCTCCTCCTAGGGAGCGGAAGCGGATATGCACATCGTCATCGTCGTTGGTAGTGGTGGATGCAGCTTCCCGAACGGAAGTCGAGTCGAGTCGTGAGGACACATGCTCGTTGAAAGTTAGTTGCTCTAGCGATCTGCCCATCCCGACTCCGTGTTAGCCAGCCCGGCGGACTGAGGTCCCCTAGGTATATTCACGCGCGTATCGACACACGACACACGTAGGCAGAGTACATATCTACGGTACCCCGTGCGGACGGACGAGGTATTTATGTGCAATACGAATATGTATTAGTTTCGTCGTTCCTTTGCTCTGCGGTCAATACGAACATCGGTTTCATCGGTTTCCTTCCTCTGCGTTTAAACGTAACGGACGGAGGCCGGCTCTCGAGGGACCACGGCATTCACTTCGGCGATGCCGTCTCGAGAATCCGTCTCCAGACTCCGCTACGCTAACCGCTGACTTATCTATAGCTGGCCCCCATCCAGAGTTCGGTACGTGGTATATGGTGTGTATAGCACCTCCACTATGATACTACATATACAGTACTGCTGTACCATCTCATCTGTATTCACGCATGTGACTGCAGATGTTTGATTCATCTCGTTCGTCGTCGCCGTCTCGTTGTCGAATCCCTTCCGGTTCTTCGAGATGTTCGGTATGCTCGGCGAGACTGCTGCTGCTGTGTGCTGCTTCTTCGAGATGCTCGGCGAGACTGCTGTTCCCACTATCGGGAGTACCAATGATACTAGTAGCTGGTTGGATCATACCGTGTCATGCCCGTAGCCACTTCCCGTCCCTGTCGTGTCCGCGTCGCCGTCGTCGTGCAAGAAAACGGCTGCCATGTATGTCTGTACGGTATGTAGATCCGGTCCGAGGACTCTCGCGTCCGGTAAACGTGTTTCTCCGCCCTCGAGCCCTCGAAGATTATGATGTATCCCGACCGACAGCCCGATAACCCGACCGACGGATTCGATAATTCACGCTCGATACATGCGTAAATATGTAACCATGTTGCTGGGGCGTGGGATGCGGTGGTGTCTTGCCCGTTTCCGCACGCTGTCTTCCCAAGGTGGAAGGGAAGCGCGCATTAGCTCACCGCCATCCAGTGGGCCGAGGATTCTGGTTGCCTTTCCCAGCGCCGGGTCAGTACCAGCACACCAACGACTTGCCATGCCATGCCACTGGTTCCCTGCTCTCTCCCTTCCTCCCCCGTGCTGTCCGCGGTTTGCAGTGCTGTACATAACTACTTCGCTGTGTGGAGTACCGTGGTCGGTGGAGGAGTTGAGTAGAGTTGAGTTGAGTGTGCAGAACGGAAGACCTGAGGTCCAGGTAGCTGTTACCTACTAGAACTACTCTAGGTAGTCGAGCCCGTCGTGAGCAGCCCAGAGTGGATAGCTACCGTCCCGAACTGAATGCTGCGTGCTGTTGCCGTTGCTGTTCTGTTAATTTTCTGTTACTGTGGCTGCTCCTGTAAACCCGTTTTCTTCTTCTTTCTTTTCCTCCATCCTCGTGGGCGTGGTCAGTCCCTGAAGCTTTTCATCCATTCACCGTCCATCCAACATCTCCACCTCTCGACTACCGTACCACAGCTAACCCAACGGCCACCTCCACCTCTCCACTTCTCCCCCCCCCCCCCCCCCCCCCCCCCCCCCCCCCCCCCCCCCCCCCCCCCCCCCCACACACACACACCCACCCCTTCCTCTTCTAGCCTGCCCAATCCCGGCCATCATATCATCCATCTATCGGACGCTGTGGTAACTACTCGATAGTACTACCGCTGCTTGCTTGCCTGCTCGCCTGCTTGCTTGCGCGACTGCTTACTTACTCGTCCTTACTCGTGCTTGCTCTCGCCTTTTGACTGATCTTTGAATTCTCTTCCTTCTTTCTCCCCCTCCCCTCCCCACTCAAGTACATACCTTCGCAGAGTACTTGCGCGCTGCCAATTCGCATTCATCACACCCATACATAGGTCGTCCTCGGTTCTACTAGTCGACGTTGCGTGCCGATATTTCCCGCCCTCCCCTTGTTACGCCATAGTTACTGTTCTCTTCTCAAACTCTCCTCCTCCTCTCCCCTATTCACCACCCTCGACGCCCGTTGGAATCGTCAAAGCGAACGACCATCTTCTTCCCTTTCACCCCCGTTTTCTGCCCGTCCGCCAGTGGACTGTGTCTCTGCGTCCCGGTAAGTCAATCAGTTTCGAATTCTTCTGGTTTTGCGTCGCATCGGCCCACACACCCTCCATTGCATTTCCCTCCACCCCCCATTCGAGATCACACCGCCCCCCCTCAACGGACCGAATTCAAGATTGTCGTTGTCATATATTGTATTGTCTACCATATACCACATACCACCACATACCACCACATACCACCACATACCACCACATACCCACATACCCACATACCCACATACCCACCTGCCTGCCTGTCCGGCCTGCGCCTCCCGCCGATACAACCCACCTTTGATCAGCCTCTCTGCAGAGAAAGGAGCATCGGCGGCAACAACCTCAAACGTCTCCCTGCCATTGGCTGCTCTGTCCTGCCCTGCTTGCCCTTGACTACGTCTACCCATCTTACAATACCCCCCTCTCTGAAATATTTCTCGTGGAAGCCATCCCCTCCCCACTCTCTCGATCCCCTTCAGCCTCTTTCTTTGAGCGAATAACCACCGCTCACCGGTTGTTGGCCCCATCCTTCCCCCCTTGAGGCTATCCTCGGCTCTGTCCGCTTCTTCTCCGTCCTGTACGCTTCCTTCCCGCCCCCGTCGTGGCTGGTGAAAAAAAAACCCCACATCGACCTACCCCCCGGATCGATTACCTCACGCCTACCTACCTACCTCCCTTGCTCTCGCCGCGAAAAACAAGTAAAAGTAGGGTTACCGCTTGCTGACGCTGTTCCTGTTCCCGCCACTCTGCAGCACCACCACCTCCACCTCCACCACCACCACCTCCGTCAGATCCCTCTCCATCTTCTCTACCGCTGCTCTGCACTTCCTTTCAACGCTACGGGCCAGGGCTCTTTTCGACCCTTAATAATATCAACCACCCTTTCCGCCGCACCACGACCCCACAAAGACTCCACTTCTCCACGTCGCCGCATCTGCCAATCCGTTGACAATGTCTTACTACGAGCCTCAATCACCTGCCTCCTGGCAGCAGAACCCTCGTCCCGGCTGGGACCCCCGCTCGGGCCCGTCCACTCCTTCGCATGCTACAGCATACTCGAAGGACATCCAAGGGCCGTCGGCCGACCTCACTACTCGGTTCACCGCTCAGATGAAGCCCGAGGATCCATCCGCTTTCGGATCTCAGCTTGATGGTACGACTTTTCTCTACTCAGATTCCGATGGATGGAAGGAAGGAAACAAGAAAAGATGAAAAAAAAGATGAAGGAGAAAGAAAAAAGAAAAAAAAGAAAGAAGAAAAAAGAAAAGAACACAGTCTCGGAGCTGAAACACGAGTCGTACTCGATGTGTGTGTGTACATGGTCGTCGAAGGCTAACTCGGTTCGATTTTTTTTTGCAGAGGTTGACCGTGCTGTTGACAACCTCGTCAAGAGTGGTAAGATGTTCAATCCTCCGCGTCGGGACTCGATGCCGATGATGCCCGGGGCTGTCCCTCGATTCCCCGTCGAGCAGCATGGTGTGTTACAACCCCCTCCTTCCGGCGGAAAGAAAGAAATCCGTCGTCCTTTCTTTGTCTTGCTGACGAAGTAGCTGCAGACCAGCGAGTCCTTGGGCAGATGCCGGTCCGTCACTATTCTGTTCCGGACTTTGAAGCAATCAGATCGCCCTCTGCTGCTAATCTGCAGAACTTCTATGCGACCCAGCGGTTCCAACCCCGTCCGGCGGTGCCCCAGCAGCCTCAAGCGGCGGAGCCCGAGCCCATCGTGCAGGCTAAGAGGAGGGCCGCGGCTCAGCGCGAGCGCGAACTGCGCAACTACCATCAGGAGCAGCAGTATAACAGGAGTGCGTCTTCCAATCCTGTGCTCGTTAAACGGGACCCCGCTCATACCGGTCCTCTAGCTGTCTTGGCCGAGATCAATTCTTTCGGTAAGGACCGCGTCATGAGCCCTGGGGCCATGAGCGAGGAAGATCGTCGTGATCTTATCGCTCGTCAACATCGTGCTCTTTACAGTGCTCATTCTGAGGGCGCCCATTCAGAGGACGGCAACAACCACCTAGACGACGGTTCTCGCAACCTGAACCTCAACTCGAACGGGGCCTCGGCACCCGCCTCCAATGCTGGTGGAACTCGTGGTCCGTCTCCTCTGCTCACCTTTTACCCCTTCGGTCCCCAGAATGGTCGGGATGGCAACGTTGATGCTACTGCAGTTCACACGCCTGCCTCGGAGCATCCTCCCAACGGGAGTCAGAGTGCTGGTGCCGTTTCTCCCAACCACGCTCGCGCGAACAGTGGTTCGCCATCCATGCAGGGCAGTTTCAGCTTATCCGCCAATGCATACGCAGGTGTCCAGGGCTTCTCGAACCGTACGAGCGCGTCCTCCCCAGGTGGCTCGCCACCACGATCTCAGCGGGGATCCGTGGCTCCGGGTTCGTCCTCGGTAGCCCCGATCGGCACCCGTCCGTCGTCCCAGGCGCAGAACCAGGCCCTCAACAACGCCAAGCGTTCGACCACCCCTCTCGCGTCTCCTCTCAGCTACGGCTTTGGCGCCTCTGAGTCGGACCCGTTCAACAACCTCCCGAAAGAGAGGTCTTCCTCGGCCGCGTCCAGCGAGCAGCACACCAACAACAACACCAACGCTCAGGGCAACGACGGCCTGGGCTGGAGTAAAGTGTGGGGACCTGGTAGCAAGGGTCTCAACAACGTCGCCAGCGTTTGGGGTTAAGCGATTCGCAACTAATTTTCATGTGATTATAGTTTAGGGATTTCCTTTTTTTGATGCTTTGGGGTTCATTCTGTTCTATGGGGCGCAGTGTACTGGGAGGGGCCTGTTTTAAATTTGGTTTTTTTCTTTTCCTCTTTTTTTTTCCTCACGACTTGTAATTGTTGGGTGTTATTCTCCTTATTTCTTATGGGTCGGGGTGGGGTTTACGGATATCCTAAAGGCGGCAAGAGACTTTTATTCTGTTTCTTCATACGGCGAAGGCATCTATTTAAAACTGGTTGTGGGTGGGGTTGGGGGTCGTTAACGGTGTTTTTCTTTTCCTGCTTTTTTCATCTCCATCCTTTGTGTTCCGTCATGATTTGCAAAGTGTGGTTGTGTTTTTCGTTGACTGGCTTTTTTTATTTTTCTCTTTGTTTGGTCTGGTGTACGGGCAAGGCGAACAGTCGAAAGATGGGGTGGGGTTGGGCGGGTTGGGGGGCGGGTTGGGGGCGGGGCGGGCTGGGGGGAAACAGGTGTCTGCGTTTTCTAACTTAGGTATGCAACAGCTTTGGTGTGGAGTTTGTGCTTTGGACATTTTTTTCGTGTCTGCACTATATTCGGTTCTTTCCTTTCCTTTCCTTTTCCTAGTCTTTTGCTTGTGGAGCCGGGCGGGGGCCGGAAGGGGTGCGGGCCGCGAGGGGCGAGGTGGCGGATATAAAATGGAATTGGAATGGACAGGACGGCGGCGGGGGATGGATACGGACGGGGCGGGTTTATTTGTCGTGTTGGGCGGTGCTGGGCGGGGGGTGTTGCTTGCTTTGCTTGGGTTTTTTTTTTGTTCTGTGCTTGTCCACTGTCTTTCTCTTCTCTTCCTGCTTTATGATTGCTTGTTACTGTTTTGTTTTGCTGTGTTTTTGTTGTCTTGTTCTTTTGGTGACTTCCGTCGCTCTGTCCGAAAAGCTAACATCGTCCTTCACGTTCATGTTCTCGTCCACCCTTGGTCTTGGGCTTCCTTCGTCTTCGACGATGGACGTGCTTGGAGTTGGGTGGTTCGGTGGACGGTGATGGTGGTGGTGGACGACGGTGGCGGCGGTAGATTCGTGGGTTCGGTCATTTCTGTGTATAGGGAGTTGCGGTTGAGGGTTGAGGGTGGATGGGGAGGGAAGGGTGTTGTGGAGAGGTGTGTAGGGGCGTGAGAGTGGATGAGTGGGTGAGAGTGGTGGTGTTGCTGGAGGTGGTGGTAGTGGTGCTGGTGAAGGAGGAGGTCTGGGTGCGATAAAATACACTCTGTCTCTTCGAAGTTTGACGTTTGAAGTCTATGGACGTGACATGAAGTGAAGTGATGTGGTGTGAAGTCTACGATGTGATTGGATATCGTCTATGAATTGATGGCAAAGTGTAAATAGGCATGGCGAGTGTGGAGCGTGGAGTGTGGAGTATGGAGTGTGGAGTGTGGAGTTGATAGTACCGTAATACTGCCTCGCAGCTCCCATTGTGACGGAGGAGGGGTCATACGGTATCACCCATCACCCATCATCCATCACCCATCACCCATCATCCATCACCCATCACCCATCATCCATCATCCATCCGCTCCTGCTCCCACTGTTTCCCCTCCGGCCGCCAGCCTTCGGTGGAATCAATGACAGCTGGAACTAACTACAGCCGGAAGCAACAACAGCGGGGCGGGGAGGTAGGTCCAGATGGACGACGACGGAACCGGAACCAAAAACCAAAAACCAAAGCTGGAACTTTAACCAAGTAGGTAACGGCTAGGTACTACTGATGGGGACGGTGACGAGAGCGGGGATAGGGACGGGGGTACGAGAGATAGGCACGGGGACTGGACGGGATGGGGATGGGGACGGAGTTGAAGCATGAAGCATGTATTTCATCCTCCGTAGTCCCCGTAGTCCTGTAATCCCCGTAGTCTGTAGTCACGTACCGGGGCTCGTAGAAACCGGAGGTATAGTAGTCATCGTAGTCACCGCGGTCCTGTAGTCACAGTAGATGGTGGTGTGTATTATCCACAGCAGCACCCGGTCATCTGAGCGTCCGTCCTATGTATGTAGAGTATAATAGAGTATATCACATCACATCCCATCACCGTCCGCCTCCATCCTGCCTCGCTGGAGCCTGGAGGGTGTTGACACTCGTTTACCCGTCCACCAACCCGTCCACCAACCCGTCCACCAACCGGCCCACCAACCCGTCAACCCACCCGTCCACCCATCCACCCGTCCACCCGTCCACCCATCCTCCGGCTCATCCACTGTCAACCAACCCGTCCACCCACAGCACCGAAAGCCGCGTATCCATCCGCCCACAGCACCTCGCCATCACTCGCTCCGCACTCGTGCAGGGGGCTTTGGGCGGTGGCGTTCGTTCCTTCCTTCCTTCGTCCTCGAGGTATGATATCTGTGCTTGGTTGGGGGAGTGAATAGCTGCTGGACAGTGGAGTGAACGGCTGCTGTAGAGTACGGTGGACGGGCGGCTGGATGGAGGCCTAGGCTCTGTCTGTGATTGGGGGATGAGAGACCGACGGTACAGTACGTACTCGCAGTCCAGACCACCCACCGAGTGACACCACATGCCCGCCTCGATATACCCCATCACCACCTTCCTCACCACCTTAACCTCACCACCCTCGCCGCCCTCACCACTTCACCTTCTCCCCATCACCCTCACCCTCACCACCCGATTCCGCATTGCAGAACGAGACGAACCATCCCGGATTTCCGCACACGCACACGCACACGCACACGCACACGCACACGCAGCTCGAACCGACTCGAACCGACTCGGAACCGACTCGGAAAACCAACTTGGAAAACCGCAAATTCGGTCAACACCTGATACCTACGTAACTGTAGTATAGGTAGCACACCTATCAAGCACACAAGAGCAGACGAGAGCTTAGAAGCACACTGCCACTGCCACTGCCACACCGACCGCACAAAGCTGCAAAAGTAGAGAGTATGAGCAAGCAGTGTAGAGTAAAGTAACCATGTATAAAAACCAATCGACACAATCGACGCAAAGGGGAAGAAAAGGAAGGAAAGAGTGAAAAGTGATTACACAATGAAGGTACCTAGAGTAAAGTGTAGAGTGTAGACACACCAGGACAACCAGACCAGAACGGACACACAGACAGACATCAAGGAAAGACACAAAACGAACGACAATTAACATGACAATGGCAGTAACCACACCCAAACAGAAACAGTAAACCCGGCAGATCATCACCCAGCCTCCCCAACCCAGCCCCCCAAGCCCAAGCCCGAGCCCAAACGAAAACAAAAACAGCAGAACAAGAACAAGAACAGACAAACGGCACCGATGACGACGACGACGCGAGCAAGATGGTTGTCGCCCGACCACCCCCTGAGCTATAAGGGTTTGGCTGACGTCCCATTATCCGTAGTGCTGGCCTTGCCCGCCGCGCCGCGGCCGTTACTGACGTGGAGACTTGACTCGAGACACGCCTCCGTCTGCACTTGCTGGCTATTCCTTGTCGGTTTTAGCGCCGGAGTCTGCGAAGCACTCGCAAGTGGTGTGTTATCGCTCTGCGTTCCCTGGGAGTCCGTAGTGCTCGGAGGTGGCGGGGGCGGAGGCGCGGCGCTGGCGTGGTTGTTCGCCCCCTTCTTCCCCGCATTCTTGCTCGCGTTCTTCTTCCCCTTCTGCTTTGCCTTTTCGAGGAGCCGCCGTTTCTCCGCCAATCGCCGTCGCTCTTTCCGATCCTTGATCTCGTACTGTCGCATCAACGCCTCCGGAGGCTCGCCAAAGATCGACTCGTACTCGCAGAACTCGCAGATCCATATCTCGCCGTTGTTATTGTTGTGTGAGAGCGCCTCTTGGCGGCGGCGACGCTGCGCCTGCTGGAAGAGTTCGCGGCGAGAGGGCTTGGGCGTCTTCTTCTTTGCGGGTGCGGGCGGCTGCGGCTGATAGCTGCTGTTCGACATCCCGGGTGATGTCTGCGTGCCAACGGTATGCATCGAGCGTGCGGGTGCGGAAGCTCCTCCGGCGGTGGTACCGGCTGATGGTGGTGATGTTGTCGACGATGAAGCAAAAGGCATCGATACCGGCGAGTCGTAGGTGAAGGTAAACTGAGTTTGTTTCGGAAAGCCCGAATCGGCCGTGCCACCGTCCCTCCTGCGTTTTCCCTTGGTGGGTGTAACGGGTTCTTCCTTCTGCTTCCCTGCGACCAAACCGGCAAACTTATCCGTCGACGGGTGCCGTCTCGCTGGTCTCCTCAATGCGGTGACAGTTGTGGCACCCCCAGTAGCGGCGAGCGGCGAGCGTTGCAACGAAGACCCATTCGACTTCCACCTACTCTTAGGGGTCGACGTCGGCGAGAACCCCGGCGAAGCGTGAGTTCCGCCACACCCAGCCCCACCGCCACCAGCCCCCGTGCTCCCTCCGGGATTAGTGTGCGTGGGAATCTTCCGCTTCTTCTTGTTGTTTGTGTTTTCGGTCCACTCGTAGGGATCCGCCGTTCCCCCTCCGCCTACACCTACGCCCGCACCGTTGGCTCCCGTATAGCTTGCGACGACGCCGCGATCCACCCCACGTGACACTGAAGCACACGAGTCGGCGTCCTCATCCGATGACTCCTGCAGTACATCGCCCGCACCGTGACCGGAGGAGCCAAAACCGCCCGACGACGCGGATCCCGTTCGTCCACCGCGGTCACCAGCACCTCCACCACCTCCTCCACTACCAGCGTCACCGGGATAGGTATTGTACGGAAAGTAGAACAGGGGGGCGGCGGGAGCGGGCGGAGCGGCAAAGAGCGAGCTATCGGCATCTTCGGATAGTCTCGATCGAAGGCGTCGTTTCGGAAGTGGACGGATAGGCCGAGCGGTGATCGAGTGGTAATTATCTGTAGGCCGATGCAAAACGCTGGTTGAGCAACAAATCTTTGATTCTCGGGACAGTCATGACTGCGGGGTTTGGGGGCTGGATAGGGACTGGATGGAGGAGCTAGTTCGTGGAGAGTTGGATATCATGGCAGGAGAAACAGAAGGAGGGGTGATTGAACCGCAATACGGAGGAGCAGAAGTGAAGGGAAAGGAGAGGGAGGGGGGTTGCAGATGCGTACCCACGGCGGCAGACATATCGAAGCACGACAGCTTTGGACGGTGGCAAAGGGCAAAGGGCGGGCCTAAGGACGAGACGAGATGGGCCGTTGACGGAGGGGTAAATTGAAATTCCGAATTGACGGGAATGCGGGCAGCGAAGGTCGACTACGGTTCAAAGTGGGGGGTTGGTTTGGTATGGTATGGTATGGTTTGGTGTGGAGTATGTAGTAGTAAGTTAGTTAGATAGTGGTTTGGTGTGGAGGGGGTGCAGAGGTATGGGACATGGCAGTCGAGGGTGTGTGTACGAGTTGCGTTAGCACGGAGGAGGTTACTAAGGAGAGTAGAGTAAGGATTTCTATGTAGAGTTCTGTGGGCGACGAGACCCCTCCCAGGGTGGATTTGAGTTCAGGTTAGATAATTGTGGAGTCGAGAAGCGACTCTAGCGATTGACGAAGCGGCTCAAGTATCGGAAGGGACAGTGACAGCGCCTGGGACAGTGGTCCAGGTTTGCCGTAACTACAGTCTGATTTATGGCCACATTCCGGAGTGTCCCATCCAACTATGAACCTATGATACGACAGAAGTCAGGAACGGCCAACCGAGCGATCGGGTGCGGGGCAGCGGACAAACATCCCCTCTTGTTGTGGGCTCCGAACGGAAGTCGCTGCCTGTAACTATCCGCAGACTACGCTTCACACACCGTCCTCGATAAGCTGAGAAGGTAGGTAGGGCAAATCAGCCACGGGACCCCGCTGTGTGGTTGTGTGGTTGTATGGTTGTGTGCGAGTGAAAAGGTGTTTGGTACGGTACGGTACAGCCGAGGCGGCGGGGGATGAGCGTGCATATTGCTATACATACTGCTATACATAGATAGGTACCGGGAATCGGGCTGGGGTTCGAATGTGATTACAGCAAGCAGGCAAACAGGCAATCAGGCAAGCAATTGGGAAAGTCTTCACGCCGTGGATACGATCGGAGGGAGATGGATGTTCCGAGAACGCAGTGGGAGCCATTAGACGCAAGATCACGAAATGCCAGACCACCGTGGCGGACCAGAGAATAGGTACGGTAGATATGCGAAAGAACGCCTCAGCAACTCACCAAGGCATCTGCAGGATCATGGGGACGACAGGAACAGCAAAAAAGAAATGCATATCCTAAATTCACAGGCCAGTCTCGGAGCGATACCGGTATGTGGTTGGTAGCCAGTCCTCAAGATGCTCATCGTAGGGCCGTATCTACCATCACAGCATCGGCTATCCGGTCTTCCTGGCAAATCCCTTCGAGAGCATGTACTGTAGTAACAGCCGGATTCACCATCGCCTCATCGTACAACCTCAAAGATCACTGCAAGCCCGATTCACCATCGCCTTAGCATCCATCAGTGCTCGTCTCGAGGCAAGTCATCACTTCTCTCAGTACACAGTACATATACCTACCATTGCCATGACTGCCGTGAGATTGTTTGCCCGGATCACCTCTACCTGGGGATTGCCGCGCACCTACTTTTTCCAACTGGCATGTACGTACGAACCGTGCTCCGATGATCCCTCCTCCGCATGGCGATCGTCAAGCACTTTGGCGGTCACGATTCGCCCCAGGCCAGGAGATCAGTCGTTCAGTCCAGCTCGACGGAACCGGTTTCATGATTGTCTCGTAGAGGGAAGCTTGTTCGACGTCACCTGTAGACTCCAGAGCACTCGTGCCGGTTGGTGGATTCATTCGTGCGTAGGTAGGTAGGCGGCTGTTGGGATTCCGGTCTACGGTGGTTAGTAGTTAGAGTAGTTAGTTGAGGCCATATGCGACGTGCGACGATATATAGATTCTCTCTCTCTCTCTATGTATATATATATCTCTCTATGTATATATATATATCTCTCTAGTTAGGTTCCCGCGCGTATAAATGGCACGGTTGGCAGAGCGGGTGGAACGAGCCTTCGGTTTCGTCACTATCACCGACAGCAGTCACCGGCGGTTGCGGATGCAGGCGGGATCGTCGTGGTGGGACAACTGCTCTATCTACTCTAGGTACTAGTTAATACTGGAGGGGGAAGAGGGACTCACTGCACGGTGACAGACAGGCTCACCGCATATACGCTCATTCATAAACGACTCCGTCTCCGAGTGCGGAATGCATTGCGGCGAGCAGACTCAATGCGGTCATTGAATGTGAACGTTGAAATGTTGTCGGTCGGTCTCTTGTTTAATATACCAAACATTATCAAGCACCACAGATATTCCCAAAAGTTCATAGACCTCTTTTATTTTCTTCAATTGAATCTCGGCCGCGAAGAGCCGGATTCCGTTCCGTGGCTGCGTCTGCAGCTACATACGGTATGGACGACATGCAGTTCTTGTGAGCTCCACGAACCACCGGCAACTCCAGGGAAGCCATGGTGGAAGAGGCCGGCGTCCAGCTCCAACTCACATAGGTCGCTTCATCCCGCTCATGCCGCTCGTGCCGCTCGTGCCGCAACACAGAGGCACCTCGACATCCCGACACTCCGACACCTCAACTCCGACACCTCAACACTCCGACACCTCAACACTCCGACACCTCAACACTCCGACACCTCAACACTCCGACACCTCAACACCCCGACACCTCAACACCCCGACACCTCAACACCCCGACACCTCGGCATCCCGACACCCCGATACCTCGGCATCCCGACACCCCGATACCTCGACACCCCCACATCCCGACACCCGCACTCCCTCAGTACTCACTTACTCTAGTATCGTCCGGAAGGCAGAAAGAAAGCAGTCTGCACAGCACACCCACTTACCCTCATTCGAAACAGGCCCCCCAATACTCTACACAGGCACTCTACTCTCCACTCGACCAATCTCTACTGGCTATGTGACACTCCGAGAATATGCTAAAGTATAGTACCTACTATGATCATCTTGGGAATATACAGCTTGCAATTAGCTCAGCATCCGGCTGCAGCATTCAATATCACCCGGCATCAGTTCTACGTAGGTACTCCATTCCTCATGCTGCAGGTGTATTCTCCCCAAGCTATCACCATCCCGGTAGACACACGACATGTTTGCGAGAGTGGCGAGCTTCCTTTCTTTTTCGTTTTGTGAGTTGTGAGGCGATTCGGGCTCGTCCGCTGTTGGTGAATTATTGTCATCACTGATCTCTCCTACGATGTACTACTGACTAGTGCCTAGGGCTGCAGCTAGACCTCTTCCTCCTTCAACAACATAACTTCAACCTTCTCCAGCTGCAACCACAACAACCGAACCACGAGCTGTGACGATCTAAGCCGCCCTCCTGGGAATCGTCGGAATGGTCTGGTCAATATGGATATCGTGCGACTGGTCTACCACAGGTATATAACTAGCGGAAGGAAGAATGGATCCATCCAGCAGAGCCAGCCCCCCGTCCTCCCGAACGTTGTTTCTTCTTCGCAATCGACGGAAACGAAACAGTTGGAATGCTTCCATGTGCTGGATTCTGCGGTATAAAACACTTTCTCTGTGCGTACCAGGCTCTCGCTGGCGGACTGTCCCCCCTCACCCACCCTCACCTGACTGCTCTCCCTTCGCCGGCTATCCTTGTGTTTCTTCGCTTCCCCAACGTGTCCGTCGTACACACACGGCTGAGTGTCGCCGCAAGGAATGAGGATCCGTCTAGCCCGGTCGTCAGCCGCGCCTTCTGAGGTAAATACGGAGCCCCAACATCGAGTGCCCCCCAATCCGATGTCTCCTAACCCTCCGGAAACCATCAGCCTTACTGACTCGATCCACCCGCGGCTATCTAGTTACAGGACGTCGGAATCGTCATCGCGTCAGATAGATGCACAGACACATTCCTCGCATATTATAGCTTGCGGTCCGGGGAGAGCGGGGGGTCCAACGGCTATGCCAAGACACAGCCGCATTCCCCATCGTCGCCAGCCAGACAAGCGAACCCCCATGGTGGCCTCGCAGAGAGCAAACGGTAACTAACCTTCGACACCCCCCCTTCTCCCTCACCCCCCGCCCCCTCCTCTCCCCCTCCCCATGGAAAGCGCTCCCCGCCTGGTCTCTTCTCTTGGTTACATCGCGCTCTCTCCTCTCTGCTCTCCCTCCTGAGCAACACTCTCTTTCACTTACTAGTACATCTCTTCCCATGGCTCCTCCGCCCTCCGCCGTCCGCCGTCGTCGCCGCCGACCTCGCGTGGCTGCCCGAGCCTGATCGGAGTTCTCCAGCCACACCTTCACCACCGCACAACCAGAACCACAAGCAACAGCCACAGAATCAAACCGTGACGCAAACCACACACAGCGATCCCGCCTCGTCCTCAACCACCACCACCAAATGATCGAAAGCTGTCCGCAAACCCTCCGCAAGCTGTATTGCCTCGACTCCAAGCCAATCCCGGCTTGTTGCCTCAACCTTTTTCAAACCTTTCGTTTATTGTTTTCCCGCCGGTTCCAGGCTATACCTAACCCGGTTAGTGCAGGCGCATTCGCTCTGTGGTATGCACCGTTAAGAAGCATTTCGCCAGTGACAAGTGGGTGGTGGTGGTGTTTCCGTCCTGGACTCTATTGCTGGCCGGTCTTCTCGCCCACCCACCCTCCTCCCTCCTCGTTTCTCCGTCGTTGCCCGTTAAGACCCCAACTACTCAACTCGCCCACACACCTACCACTACCCCCCCCCGCTGTACCCTCATGCATCTCCTCTTCGTCTACCTGTCACTATTCTCCTCTGCCCTTGTCCTCTGAACGCAACTTCCTTCAATCCCTCTTCTCCCCCTCCCCCCAACCCGCTCCTGCACGTCGCAACTCGCCCGCTTCTCGTTCCTCACCCGCTTCTGCTTACACCAACCAACTCGCCAAACCAAACATCCCCTCCTACCAAAAACCTACTTCCGCTTGATCTCTATCCTACCTACCTACCTCACCCGTTACAACTACCCTCTTCTTCGGAATGGTCTCCCCGCGCCGCCGATCATCTCGGGCGCGGTCTACTACCCACCAGATTGCAGCATCCTCCTCATCATCGTCCTCCTCCTCTCGGAACCGCATCAGCAGACACCGTCCCGACGAAGACACGCTCGTAGACCTGGACTCCACCTTCCAGCGAGTCCCCGATGCCGACATCGACGAAGCCAACGACGATTCACACACGGCCGAGAGTGTCGTCGACGAAGCGATGGAGGATGCTGGCGACGCCGAGGACGAGATTACGCGCTGCATCTGCGGTTTTCAAGAGTACCAAGGCGGTGACGACGAGACGGACACCGACGGACTCTTCATCCAGTGCGATCAGTGTAAGGTATGGCAGCACGGCTTCTGCGTCGGCATCACGGACAACGAATCCACTCCGGAAAACTACTACTGTGAAAAATGCAAGCCCGAATTGCACAGGGAGGGCTTCAACAAAGCTGGGTGAGTTCATATTTTTGCTTTTCTTCCCTGCTTCCCTTTCTCGTCATTGTTCCCGACCCCCTCCCCCTTGTCTCTTACTCTCGACCCTCATGCAATCGAACCCATCGCAATGCACTGATTTCGAATTTGATCTGACGTTCTCGATGCAGCCACAAGACTTCAGTTTACCTACCCGCCCAAGAAGAACCCCCGAAGCCGACAGCGAAGGAAGTTAGTCACAAGCGAAGGACCACCATGAACTCTCGAGATGCTGAGTACGACGACGAGGTTCTGAAGAGAATGCTAGAAGTAAGCAAGCACGAGACAAAAACGAATGGGGATTCGGGTTCCCGTAGGGGACGGAAACGTGGTTCAAGTGAGGGGTCTGACGAGTATGTTACCTTCTTGCTGAGCTCCTTTTGTTGTTGTGTGAGCTAACCATTTCACCTCAATAGGATGAAAGATCCGAAACGGTCCCGTCATTCCGATACTCCGGAATCCCAATCGAACGCGATCGTCGATTCGAGCGATGAGAAGCCGGCGAAGGGCCCCGTGAATCCACCTCCCTCAGCTCGTAAGGCTCGGGCTGCTGCCAACCGAAATGCGAGCTCCAACAATGTTACGTCGGCCAAGAGGACCTCTACTAGAAACCGAGGAGGCATCGAGAAGTTTGAGCCTCGGAAAGATGGTATGCGATTCTCTTTCCGTCTTTGGTTTTGTTATCGCTTTCTAGGATTGTTCGACTGACAGTGCGTAGATTCGGAACATTCGGATGATTACGCGCCTCGCAAGAACAGTCGATCCACTCACCGAAGCGTTGTCGAAGAGCCGGTAGAACCCACACCCGTCGTTCAGGCCGAGCCTGTAGTACCGGACACACCGCAACAGACCACGAAACGAGCTGCCCGCAACAGCAACATCAACGGCGGACGTCGAAGAAACGGACGGCACACGCGCCAATCGGAAGATCCGCACGAGACGGGCGTGCCAATGGCTCGTGCCGAGTCGTCGACGAGCCACGTCAAGCACGACAACACTGCCAGCGTGCTCGAAAAGCCCACAAAACCGAGACTACCTGCCGCCCGCATCACCATGAACGAGATGAAGAAGCGTGTCAACAGCATCTCGGAGTACATCACGCGCACACAGGTCGAGATGGCCAACACGCGTCAATCCGACATCTACGCGTACCTTGCATGGATGGAGGAGCAGGGTACACCCGTCAGCAAGAGCAAGAGCTCGACTGCCACTCCCAAGAGCGCGAGTCCGAGATCTGCCACCGCGTCGTCGAATACTGTCAGCGATCCGAGCATCCCCAAGATCCAGATCAATGGTGGTGGTGGGACCAGTAAGGTCCTCGACAAGGCGGCAGAAGCGCTCTCGGCGAACGCCAATGCTCTCGAGATCATGGAGTTGCTGTCGACAAAGATAAATCGATGGCAGCAGAATCACGGCGAAGTATTGTAGTGTGCATTCATTCCGCGTTTTCCTTACTTTGTATAGTTGGTTGGCGGGTTGGGTTTCTCTGGCGCTACAGGCTTCTCGTTCTATCTCTTGGATCCAGGTTTGGGTTGTGTGCAAAATCGTTGTTTGTTTTCTTTGCTCTAGCTGGCTGTTTTTTCTTTCTCGAATAGCTCTACTGGTCTTCAGGGGAGTCTTGGTTTGGATTCTTCTGTTCCGATTGTTCTTTCCGCTTGTTCAGCTACGTCTCTTGTGCTTACGGAGTCTGCGTTCTGTTTTTTCCGTTCTTCAATTGGGCGGCATGTTGTAGCTACGATACTACTCTTTGAAGCGATGCGTTTTTTTCTTTCGATTTTACTTTCGCTTTCGCTTTCGGTTCGTGTGTTGTGTGCGCGCGTGAGAGAGAGAGCGTGTATAGCGAAAGTCTGGAAACAATTGGCATTGTGATGACGACGATTTGGGTTGATACGAACTGATGATTTTTCCGACGATTTGCATTTTCTGGTGTTTTTTTTTCTTCTTTCCATGTGCTCTTGTTGTGTGTGCTGCTGATGCTGCTGTTGGTGTGATTTGGAGGAGAGAAATGAAACGGAACGTACGGGTCATTGGGTCATGGCTGTGTGCACTGCACTGTGGGATGGGATTGTATGTAGGGATGATGTCACTTTTGCCAGTCTGTCTGACAGCGTTTCCATTTCCTTTTGCCGGCGCAGCGTATGTATGTACGGTAGAGTGGCGCCGCAAGCGCTATGCGGATAAAGTTAGGCTTGTGACACCCCATTCCTTCTGCTCGCCCCGCACTCTTATGTAGTTGGGCAGCATAGGTACATAGAGGATTGAACAAAATTCGGTCTGGTCAGATGTCTTCTCGGCCATACCTAGCTGACACCTGACACTGGGCTCGACGAGTGATTGAAATGCTACATTCTACATACCAAGTAGGTAGGTACCGTGCTATGGACATCGTGCGATCAACGCAGTCACGAGTAAACATCCACTCCGACTTGCGAGTATGTACTGGCGTATTCCGCTCCAGCTCGTTCGTACTAGCTAGTAGGGACTACCATCGGTATTTGGTGGTGGATGGGATTGCGGATTTACGAGAAAGCAACGATGATCTGGCGGGGTAGCAGCACCTACTGTAGGTCCTCGCCAGGTCCATTGTCGGTGTCGGTGTCAAGCTCACGATGGATTTCCTGTTCTTTCGTCGCCCCGTGATTCACTGATCCGTTTCTATGTACTCTTCACATGCATTCGAGACTTCGAGTCATAGGACGTGATCAACAGCGCTCATTCACCGCTCATTCACCATCCATACATCGTCGGAACTTAACTTGTCATATCAAGAACACAGCGTTTCTATTCCCACCCAAGCCTCAAGGTATCAAATTTCGTCTCTCAAGTACAGTAGTTCAAGTGTAGTCTACAGATAGGTAGCATCACACCGCACCGCAATATCCTGATCGCAAGAAACAAACAAATCACTAACCAAACAAACGCACCGGTTTACGCCCTGTCAGTAGAAAGTAGGTATGCAACAGAAGAAAGAAAGGTGTTAGTAGAGTCCGTCCGTCACTGCCCCACGATATCCTCACGCTCCACCTAACCCATATTCCACGGATCATTCTCGGCACCCAGCTGCTGATCCTGCATCTTCGGGGCCATCTCGATCCTGCGGACCTTCGGGTTCGCGGATCGGTCGCATTCCGCGCACTCGCACTCCTCGATGTAGCAGAGTTTCGCGCACTGGTGGCCGCATTTGGGGCTGAGGCGCTGGCAGGGTGCGAGACAGCGGTACTGCTCGTGCGAGAACGGGTGGCAGCGGAGCGGACACTCGTGGTCGCAGGCCATCAGCTCCTTGCACAGCTGGCGGCAGCCGCCAGAAATGTCGTCCCAGCTGTTGGGGCCCTCGATGAGCGTGCGCTCCTTGTGGCGGTGGCAGGTCAAAGGTAGCGTGTAGCCGATCTTGGCGGGCGGCTGGTTGAGCACCGAGCCGATGTCCCACCAGAGCTTGTCGGCGCGGGTTACCATGGCTGCGTTGCCAAAGATGTAGAAGCCGCGCTGGGCGCGGGAGAGCGCGACGCATACACGGTTCTCGTTGGCCAGGAAACCGATGTTGCCGTGGGAGTTGGACCGGACGAGGGAGAGAATAATGATATCGTTCTCCTCACCCTGATACGAGTCGACTGTGGCGATCTTGAAATTCGTGAACCTGAAATTGACAGTTTTCTTAAGCGTTTTGTAGAGCAACGACTTCTGCCCCGTGTAGAAAGTGAGGATCGTGATCTTCTCCGGTTCGACGCCATTTAGCACTAGATACTCGACAAACTTGGCGATGGATTCGGCTTCGAATGGATTGCACTTGGACGGCGTGTCGGCCATATTCTCCTCGTCGGCGCTGTGACAATGCCAATACATGTTGATTCCGCCCATGCCCTGGACATGGTCTCTACCGAGCACAGACTCGTGGTCCTTGAGTTGGTTAGGGTAGATCGGTTCGAGAATCTCGCGGATTTCGGGCCGCATACCTATACAGATCGTCAGTTAATTATTTCAAGAGCAGAATCAAAACTGGATACTTACGACGCTGGGTTCTCAAGGCTACATACGGCATCTCGTTCTGCACCCAACGCTCAAACATCGACGTGTCCAAGTTGTAAGGGTCACCCATCAGTCCCATCTCGTTGACCTTTCCCTTCAGCTGCTTGTGATCACCGACGAGGATCAAATGCTGAACACTCGGCAGGCAACCGACCAACACGGGCGCCTCCAGACACTCGGCGGCTTCTTCGATCAAAATCACCTTTGGCTTGACCGAGGCGACCAAGGTGCGATACTTGCTCAGACCAGTGGTTGTCATTCCGACGAGTTTGGATTGCGACAGCAGAAACGAATCCCTCTCCATCCGGGATACCTTGAGCTCGCGGGAGAGTCTCTGGTATTCCTTGTTCATGGGCAGCAGCTTGGCCTGGATCAATCTGACCGCCTCGGCCTCCCAGTGACGATAGACCGCAGCACGCATGTACTCGGGAAGATTCCAGACGTCCTGTTTTCGAAGCGCGCGTTTGAGCTCCTTAGGCTCAATTCCATCTGGAATTTTCACTTCGTAGGCACGCTTCAGGGTGTACTCATAGCCGTTGAGTTCATCCTTGAAATCTTCGTCGTCATGTGGGGCGTATTCCGCTTCCATGTCCAGAAGTGCCTCATAATCGATCTCGGGGTCCTCGACGCCGTAACCAAGATCTGGGCAATCTGGCAACGCCTCAAGGGAGCCGTGGAGCCATGTGGCGATCGGTGACGTCGGCTTGTTATCCCCCTCCGCGTGAACCCAGCCGCTTGCCCCGTTGATAAAGCTCCGCCTCTGATTCTCGTTGATCAATTTGAAGTCGAAGAGAGCATCCGGTGATATCAGGTCAGCCGCGAGCGGCGCGAGTAGCTTAGTCATTTTGTTGCGAACTGCGTCCATATCCTTCAAGATAGACTGCATACCGCGGCCCATGACTTTGACCTTTGAGCCTTTGCGCACGTTGAACAGCGTCCGTTTCTTGATATCTTCGCGGTCTTGGGTTCGGCCACCAAGACGGATGATCTCATGCTCAAATTTGTATACATGACGGAGAAGCTGGTCCAGGGCGTGGTTGGTCTGGCACGCAACGATCACCGGCGGGTCGTCGGCTGTCATGTTGGCTAACATCGCATGCAGCGCCGCCACAGAGGTATGCGTCTTTCCGGTTCCCGGCGGACCTTGCACGACGGCGATTCGCTTGGTGAGGATCGTCCTAAGGGCATCGGTTTGAGATTTGTCCAAGCTACTCTCGACCTTCTTGGGCCAGCCCTCAAGGATGTCGACTTCTTCAACCGACTCCTGGTCGCGGGCATCGGGAAAGATGGCAGTCAGATTGTACACCGGATTTTCTACCAGGTACTTTGGAGGGCCGACATCCTTATCGAGGTAGACTATGTGCTCCTTCAGGGGCATGTTCTCCTCAGTCATTCTCTGTATAGACCTGAGAACCCACTTGGAGGCCTCGAAGTAGCCCTTCCTAGACTCCACCATCAACCACGGAACCTTGGCGTCGACTTCCAAGCCCTCGCCTTCAAAGAGGAGGTCAACTTCAGGCGGGTTCTTCTCGACACCGGACATCGGCCTCGCAGCCACAGTAGCGATTCTGAATGTTTTGAAATCGTCCTTCGACAAACAGACCAACGTGCCCGGAATGAGGCGTTTACTCTGCTGCCATCGGATCTGCTTTCCAGCGCGGTTCAGCCAGAACGAGACTTTCGCACAAACACCATGGTTGGAGGCGAACGTCAATCCTTGAATCTCGACCTGATTTCCCTATTGTCAGCATTCGCCATCCGGCTTGCTCAGGTGTGAGGGGCTCACATGATCGTAGATGGCGATTTCACGGGTGTCATCGGAGAGTGGGTTTTTCCGGACGTGCTGGACAGCAGCCCGCAACCCAGCGAGGGTGTCCTCCCGCACAAGTTCGTAGTGTGTTCCAAGGTAATCGTCGACAGAATCGTAGGCCGCATCAGTGATATTGGTCGGCACTTCCACGTCCTCCAGCAACAATTCCTCCACTGTAGGGACCTCAGGTATGAATCGCCAGGGAGCGCCCGGGAAGGACGGAACCTCATATTCAAACCTGATCAAGCGAACCGAGGAAGTCAACAATCAATCCAGAAAGAGGAACCATCTAGGGTGGGGGGCGATGGGTGATGGTAGAATAGGGTTACTGCTCACTTGGAAACAGATGGATTCTTGGGTACGAATTCGATGCCTTCTGTGCCTCCCCTAGTTCCCAGGACTGGCAATCTCATCCGGCCCAGATGGTCAGTCTCCGACACCCATGGAACGTTCTTCTCGCCACCATTGCGCCGGGTCGAAAACTTCTCGGACACATGAGGGTTATGGGAAAAGTCGAGGGCAGGACGCTGTGGGGCCGGTTTCTTTGCACCGCGACGCATCTCACGAGCATCCTTCACCTTCAGACGCTGCTGTTTGTTGTTGGCAGGCCGAGTAGCTGTCTCCCATTCCTTGCCGGCATCATCCCAACCAACGGGGTTGTTGTTTTCCGCCACCGGCGAATCCCAACTGTCCCGTCGGGATTGCTTTACTTGGTTGCCGTTCATCGTCGTGGTCGTGCTCAACAGCTTACTAACCCAACTAAATCGTCAGCTTCACCAAAACGGAAAGGCGGATTCTTTTTTTTTTGTGTGCATGTGGGGTCCGGGGTAACTAGCACTTACAGATGGAGTAGATCAATCGGTTAGTCAAGTCGCGTAAGACGAGGAACAATGGAAACTGACGTAGAACGCGCGGATGAAGAGGTTGGGTGAGAAATGGGCGGGAAGGGAAGAACAGCAGCCGGTACTAGAGGAGGACTAGTTGGTACTGAAACGAGTTGCTGCTGTTCTAGAGGAGACGAAGGAGGTGGGTGGTGGCAGCGATGGTGGTTGTGGCGGTGATGGTAGTGGTGATGGTAGTGATGATGGTAGTGGTGGCAGTGGTAGTGGGGTAGTGGTGGCGGTGGGCTGAAGTGATTTCGCGGCTGGCCGTATGTTGTGCAATCATAGGTGGGGCGGTTGGCCTTTTGCGTATCTTCGCATGAAACGTTTAAGGAACTAGACACAGAAGCCCATCATGCACTCCGTCACTTCACGATCTCAATATTACGCCGAATTTGGACAAGGTGAAGAAGCTCGTACGCTAATTAATAGTTCCACCATTGTCAATCGCGATTCGCGGCTGTTTTCACGTGCAGAGCGTTCTGCAGCGGAGGCGAGTGCGGGGTTAGTGGAGTCTCTGTGTATATAAGAGTCGCACACCATCAGCCATCAATTACTGCATTGGGATGAACCGAGCGAGTGATCCCCGACGGGACTTGAAATAACTTCGAAAGATCTTCTTCTCTAGATCTGTGACGCCACACTTCGTATGACATCGTTCTTTCTTGTTTCCGTTGAGCTTGCCAATCCTCAACAATTTCCAGTTTGTCGTTGCTTTTGGTTTTCGTTGATTTCTCTATTTGAGTGAACGGCATGGAGATCTTCTGTTAATCTGAGTAACTTAAATGAAGTGCTTTCTGTGGGAATCAATCATGGGACCCTCGTGGTCGAGGGTGGAAGGTGGATTTGATCAATCTGAATGTCCTGATGGCCCTTCCCGCGAGAGTCACCTTGTCTACGTAACTGGTTTACTGCAATCTTGGTGCTACGGTAGGACTCAAGATTCCTTCCCTCAAGATGGATATCAAAGCTACCGGTCCTCTGAGTTTCCGCACCAGGCTTCCACGTGAGCCCAAATTCCCTTGAAGAGCACCAAGAATTTTCCCTCGCACCGGCATATAAGTCAATATACTCGAACCCGCACGCGAGGCTCGAATACCATGCAAGAGATACACGAACATAAAAGTGGCGAGTCCCAAGATCAACGAAAGTGGACGGTCCCAGTTCCTTCGTGGTATATTGATGCGAGATAGCTCCACCGACACCGAGCGGCTCTGATAGTACATAAATCCGCAGATGTCCCAGGAAAGGAAAGGAAAAGAACCATTGGACTGCTTCCGTATGTGCGTGATTGAGGTCTTGAGCAGCGTACCAATATCTCACTCAAAAAGGGCTATGTTCCTGGCGCGAGAGCGTCGAAGATGGCCGGCAATGCGCATTTTAGAGGTGCCGTTCATTCGGGTGCTGGACAATCGAACTCGATCGGCATGTCTCTAAACAAAGGTAACTGTCGGTACCAAAGTAAATGAAAACTTCGCACAAAGAAAGCAAGAGAAAGAGAGAATCCGGAAAATTGCATGGTCTGCAAGTATTAGTACAGTTCCAACATTCCTCGTGAACAAGGAAGAGCCCCATCATCGGCGCAATTCTTCGTCTTCAAAGTTCATGCTCTCGGGAATACATACCGTACCGTACGTGCGTGCTCATCACTCTCATCGGCACTTCCCGCTAAACCCTGTCGCTTCCCGTGCCCGTGGTTACGGCAGATGCATGTCCAGTCTGGTGAACTACTCTACCTGTCCACGCTGCTCTCGATACCGTGATCGCTAAAGCGCAACTGAACCTGGCCAACTCGACGCGACTCGGAAACCGCAGCATTTACTCCTCGGCCAGTACCAGACGCGTCTCCATGGATTCCTTCTCGGACGATGAACGAGAACCCGGACACGGCATGGAGAACGGTACGGCCCACAACTCCCCCTCCCCCCACCTACCACGCGCGCGCTCGCTGACCTTTACAGGTGGTGGCTCCGACGAGGACGAGATAATGGAGGATGTGGACCAAGACCAAGACGAGGAGGAGGAAGATGAGCCGGAACCCGATGAGGAGGACAACGACAACGACGAGGACGATGCGCAGGATGACGAGCCGGATGGGGATCAGGAGGAAGGTACGTCTGTGAGACTCGAGGGGGGGGAATTGAGCTTGACTGATTGATTGCGATTGGATAGAGACGCAGCAGCAGCCACGTTCACGGTCGACTACAGATGCTCCTCCAAACCGTCCCCTCCCGTTACTACGTCCCGGCGCCGACACAGCGCTCACATACGACATCGTGCCGTACGTCGCCGCACCGATGTCGACGAGCATCAATGCGTTCTGCGCGACGCCGTGTATGCGGTGGATCTTTACCGGTGGGAGTGACGGGTACATTCGACGCTTCGACTGGTATGGGAGTATGAATGGGAAAGTGCCGTTGACGGTCGCGCAGAAACATCCATTCGTGGATAGTGTTACTCGCGCGGGTATACTGCTTTCTTACTGGGAGAATGAGGAACCGGCTGTTAGGAGCAGCTATTTACATGTGCCAGAGACCACCGACGATCTTAAGTTGAGCCCGGTTTATTCTCTGGCCGTGCATAACCAGAGCTTGTGGTTGCTAAGTGGGCTGGAGGTGGGGAACCCGCAGATATCCGAGATAGGAAGAAATGGCCGCTGACACGAAGGATTATAGAGCGGTGGGATCAATCTGCAATCGGTTCGTCACGACGAGGGAAAGATCATCCACACCCTGCGGAAACATACCTCGGCAGTCTCGGTCCTCGCTCTCGCCGCGGACGAGAAGTCCGTCATCTCTGGCTCCTGGGATAGGAACGTCTACGATTGGGACCTCAACACAGGGAAGGTGGTGCGGGAATTTGGAGGATCGGCGGGACAGATCTCGGCCGTCGCCTTCAGGCCGCACACACAGGGTGTAGCATGGGAGGATATTTCTCGTGAAATTCTCACGAACGGCGCAGGAGACTCGTCCGGTCCTACACCGGCGCCGACTACGAATGGTGTTGCGCCTCCTGCTCAGAATGAGCCGGATGCCCCTGGATCCCCTGCGGATAGTGCCCGCAGCTTTGGCTCCCTCTTTGGAGATGATGATATGGGTGATGAGATGAGCGAGATGAACCAGGCTATAGTCAACGGCCTCGACGGGGGCTCAACAAGTCACGAGCAGCAGCCACCAGACGACCACTCCGTGCCGAACCCCTCAAATAGCATAACCCCCAGGAGTGCTGCTGCCGCCGCCGCCACCACCCCCGCTGCCGCCGCTGCGGCACCATCTCCCCCACCAAGCGCACACCCCCCACCACCGCTCCCCCCTGGCCCCACAACTGACCAAAATACCTTCCTAGCCGCCGGTATGGACGGCACCCTCCGCCTTTGGGACCGACGCATGTCCGTCCCCATCACCGTCTCCCAACCAAGCCGCAATGTACCTCCCTGGTGCATGAGCAGCGTCTGGAGCACGGATGGTAACTTTGTTTACGCCGGACGTCGCAACGGCTGCGTTGAGGAGTACTCGGTCCACAAGGGGCTCTCCACTCCCACTAGAACCCTGAAATTCCCGCTCGGTAGTGGTAGTGTCACTGCCATGACGGCGATGCCTAACGGGAGACATCTCATCTGTGCAAGCTTTGATAATTTGCGCTTATGGGATCTAAGGTGGGAGGAACGCAGGGGAGGGCCTACAACGCCGTTTTTGATTATTCCCGGCCACCATGGTGGTGTCGTATCGCATCTGCGTATGTCTCTCATCTACCTTCCCCCCACTCGTGACAAGGGCTAATGAATCATTACAGACGTCGACAGAACATGTAGATATCTCGTCAGCGCCGCTGGCAACCGCGGCTGGGAAGGCGCTAATACCGAGGTGCTACTGGGGTACGAAATCATGTGGTGATGTCCTGCTTCCGATGTCTAAATGTACTGTTTTGCTTGTTGCCTGCTTGCTCGGACGGCGTTGGGGAATTACGGGATTGTATTAGTTATTTTGCAGGTGAAGACGGCGGTGGGCTTTGAATGTTGATGTCCCTGGAATCGGAGACGAGAACATAGCGGCTGGATTGTTTGAATGGTGAATGTTGATGTTAAAGTTGAAAGGAATGGGATGAGAAAGTTTGTGTTGAATCATGAATTGGCGCGACGCTCGACTCATCGTGGGCGATACATGAGTCATGGCATGGTTGTAAACTTAAAAGTTAACACCCACTTTCCTCCCACCTTTCGTCATAGCTCAGCTCAACGCGCTGCCCGCCACCTCCCAACCCCACCCAACGACAACAACCACAATGGCTGCCCCTACACAAAAGTCACAACCGCAGATGCAAGAAGACGAATTACTGAAGCGCCCGCTCTATGGTTTGTCCTGCATCCTCGCGAGAAGATATCGCGAATTAGAGCTAACGTTCCCAGTCTACGATCTCCCCACCACCCTCCTCACCACCCTCACGCTCAAATCCATCACCGCCGTCACCGCCGTCACCGCCGTCACCCCCGCGGCGGATCCCGAACCAACACCAACACCCGCCTCCGAAACCCCCGGCGGCGCAACCTCCTGCGCTCTCTGCTCCATCACCACACCCAGTGTCCAGCAGCAGCGACAGCACTACCGCTCGGACCTGCACCGCTTCAACACCAAGCTCAAGGCTCGGGGACAGCCCGCAGTGGGGGAAAACGAGTTCGAACGGCTACTTGAGCAGCAGCTTGAGGGGGAGAGCATCTCCGGCAGTGAATCCAGCGACGAGGAGGAGGGTGCGGGTGCGGACGATGAAGATCGCCTGGTTTCCTTGGTTAGGCGGAAGGCGGTGATTGTGGATAGGGATGGCGAGGGCGAAGAGGTCAGGGGGAGGAGGCAGACTGCCGGGAATGCCCCCATCGTCTGGTTCTCCTCCTCCAAGCTGGAGAAGGAGGTGTCGCTGGGCGTGTACCGAGCACTGTTCCCGCGGAAGGAGGTGGAGGATGGCTATTTGGATGCCTTGAAGGGGATGCAACTACAGGGCGAGACAAGTCCGCATGTCTTCATGTGCATGATCGGTGGGGGGCATTTTGCGGCCATGGTGGTGGGCCTTGCACCGAAGGCGGGGCAGGGCGGGAGGGGCGGCGAGCCCGTTGTGCTAGCGCACAAGACTTTCCATCGGTACACTACGAGACGGAAACAGGGAGGATCACAGTCGGCGAACGATAATGCGAAGGGCGCCGCACACTCTGCGGGAGCGTCGATACGACGGCACAACGAGATGGCGCTGACAGCCGAGGTGCGGGAACTCCTGGCGGGATGGAAGGAGTATCTCGACACCGCCGAGCTGCTGTTCGTCAGAGCTACCGGAATGCAGAATCGCCGCACGCTGTTTGGCTACGAGGACGCGCCGATGAAGAGCAATGATCCCCGGATTAGGGGGTTCCCGTTTTCGACACGCAGAGCAACGCAGAGCGAGCTCACCCGCTGCTTTACGGAACTCACGCGAGTCAAGATCAGCCGTGTCGACGAAGCCGCACTCGCCGCCGCTGCCACCGCCGCGCTCGCGCCCCAGCAACAATCGAAACTGAAACCTGCCTCTCCCGCGCCCCCACAACAACCCAAACTCTCGCCAGAAGACGAAGCGGCCCTCCTGCATACCACACAGCTCATCGCGCTCATCCGGCGCTCAAAAGCTTCGTCAGTAGTCTCGTACCTGTCATCTAATAAACTCCCAGCGCACTTCGCCTTCTTCCCCCCCAGCCAGCACCACCACTCGCCAACCCCGCTTCACCTCGCCGCATCCCTCAATCATCCCGCAGTAGTAACTGCACTCCTCACCAAGGCCTCCGCCGACCCGACGCTGAAAAACGCAGACGGCAAAACGCCTTTCCTCCTCACTGGCGATCGGCAGACGCGCGACACCTTCCGCATCGCGCGCGGCGAGCTCGGTGAGGAGAAATGGCAGTGGGAGCTCGCCGCCGTTCCCGCACCGCTGAAACGTGCCGAGGTTGAGCAGCGCGAGGCACTCGAGAAAGCGGAGGAGAAGGCGAGGAGGGAGCGTGAAGTGGCGAGGTTGAAGGAGGAGGAGAAGGGGAAGGCGAAGGGGAAGGTAGGGATAAAGAGTATGTCGTTGGGCAGTGGAGGTGTGTTCACGGGGTTGGGCAGGATGGAGGAGGAGAGTAGAGGGTTGACGCCCGAGGCTCGTATGAGGCTCGACAGGGAGAGGCGCGCCAGGGCCGCAGAGGAGAGGATGCGGAAGGCAAGGGCGGAATAGATTAAGTAATACGATTGAAGGTCGGGAGTTAGTTGGGGAATATAGAGGGTTTGGATGACTAGTGAAACGAAGATGCATTGCCGGGGAATACAATACGGAGTCTAGTCCTGGTGATCTGATGTCTCATTTAAACAGCGGTGCCTACTCTCTGTGTACCAGCTGGAGTTACCTTATCTATTCTGTCACGATCGAGGGTCTCATGCGGTCTTTGACGAGTGAACTGCCGCTTGCACCATCTCAACTGCTTCACGACATCTCACCCTTCCACACGTGCCAAGCCAAACCAAAACCCCCCACGGCGAGTTCCCGGCTCCTGTTCCAGGTTGCTTGCTTTCGCCATCCCATTTCTATCTAGGGAACGGAAGATGCGGCGCGGGAACTAGCGCTGATTGGCACGCCTGGTCAGTGGTGTGGTGGAGCGTAGATATGGTGTGGCGAACAGCGGGCAGAACGGGGCTGAGTCTGCCTGACTGAATCCTGACGGATCCGGAACCCTGGCTCGCTTGAATTAGAGTGAGGACCTTGTATGAGGAGACGAAGGTGGGTATGGGAACTTGGGAAGGGAGTGTTTGAATAGGCTGGTGAGACAGGATAAAAGCTGTCCATAGTGGTAGATGAAGCGGAGAAGAATCCATAGTAGGTAGGAGTTGACTAATTTCTGCGATTGATGTTCACGAAAATCTGCCTTCCGGTGAAGTCAGGACTCAGGTGTGTGGAGCGCAGAAATAGCTAAAAGTCTCAGCCTACGAGGTTGCGGCACGCCTAACCCGACAGGTAGCTAGGCACCGCGATATACGTAACACCATTCCAGACCGCCAGACTGCCAACCCTCCGAGAAGGACGGAATCCGACAACTTAGCAATTTACTCTACGGCCCATCTATGTACGGAGCAGTGGAAGGGACTTGGGAGTAGTGCACATTCAATTCGACGGACACGACCGACAGACCGAACGAGAACGAGGCGGGAAGAAAGAAAAGAGAGACAGTGAGAGTGTGGGGAGAGATCCATCGCTTCCTCATCTAAGGAACAAACCACCCCACCCCGCACAACAACGACAACATCAGCACCATGTCGAAAACGATACACCGCCAAATCGGCCGCTTCCAATCGCGGTCGGCCGACGATGCCAGCGTCTCCATGATCATGAAGGAGGTTGACGACATGGATCTTTTCCTCGGCAAGGTGAGGCCGCCCGCAGTGAGTTCGTCGGGGAGAAGTGGGGGACTGATCTAATGGGTGTTGGGCAGCTCCTCGAACACACGAAAACATGGCGCGACTCCTGGAGCGATATACTGGTGAATCAGACGCGGCTCGCCGACTCCTTCCACGACGTGTACCAGACGATCCCGCGCACCGGGGACTCCACCATTCCGCCGGAACCGACGCCGCCGGAGATCATGCGGAGGGTTGCGCTGCTGCATACGTCGTATAATGAGCTGAAGGACGACATGCTCGACGAGGTGGCCAAGGTCGAGACTATGCTCGTGCAGCCGTTGGGAGAGTGTAGAGTGCGTGATCCCATTGTGAGGGACTGGGGGAGTTTGAATGCTGATGACGACTGGGCTAGGCAATGTTGAAACCCATCAAGAAGGCCGTCGAGAAGAGGGAGCACAAGAAGTTGGATTACGAGCGGTTTGCCAAGGCAACTGAGACGTTGAAGCTGAAGAAAGCGAAGACTGATAAGTAGGTTATCACGGGAAAGAGTTTTGGTGTTGGCGGGGATAACGGCGTTGACGGGAATAGGGACTACGGGGCGCTGCAGAAGAGCGAAGCCGAGCTCGAGAGGGCAAAAAATGTAGGGCGAGCAAACGAATTTTGCGGATTTCCCGACTGACTGACGGTGGCAGGCCTACTCGATCGCGGACGACTCCATCCGAGAGAGCGTTCCTCCGTTGCTCGCGGGAATCACCGCATTCCTCCCGTTGGTGGTCGAAATCGCGGTGCAAGTCCAGTTCACGCTTCTACAACACTCCTACTCGCAACTGTACCACTACGCTACCGAGAATGGCTTCACCGACCCCGACAGCGCTGTTGTCGTCTCCGAATGGGAGGAACTGTTCCTGCCGGTCAAGCAGCAGGTCGAATCGGAGCTGCGGTTGATCCTGAAAGGCAAGGCCGTCACCTTGCCCATGAACTATACTCCCGACAAGGGTGTACTGTCCAAGTTACCACGGGTGCCGCTGGGGAAGGGGAAAGCGCCTCCGCCGCCGCCGCCAACGGCAGCAATCGCAGCGGACGGTGGGCGACCGCCGCCATCGAGGGGGAACGAAAACAGCCGGCCGGGAATCACAAAGCCCAAGTCGAGCACCAGCTTGTCCAGCAGATACTCGCGCGACGAGCGTGACCACTCGCCTCCACCGCCGATGCCCGGTGCCAGGCCATCGATTGGCGGCGGACCCAAGATCGGAAGGTCCGCGTCGCTAAGAGACGAGTCCCCGCCGCCCCCATTGCCCGGACCTCGGCCGGGCAGCAACGGCGTCGACAGGCCCCGTATCGGATCGTATGGCGGCTCGTACGGAGGCGGCTCGGTCACTCCTACACCACTGGCCGGATTGAGGCCGACGGCATTGACCGTTCCGAGCTCGAGAGGAAGCGTTCGCTCGCTTTCTCCCACCAGTCCTTCTCCGGAGTCAGCTAGGACGGGCCGCACTCTCTCGCCGCGCATCCCGTCGTCCGGAGGTAGATCACCTTCGCCGAGCCAACTGGTCAGTATCGTGGCGGGAAAGAAGAAGCCGCCGCCACCACCGCCAAAGAAGAAGTTTGCCGGGCCGAAGGAGGTGTGGGTTAAGGCCATATTCACGTTCGAAGGACAGGACCGTGGGGATCTCAGCTTCAGTGAGGGGGAGAGGATCAAGGTTTTGAAGAAGACGGATAATATTGATGGTGTGTTCTTCATGTCTCTTGCCTATGATCGCAAGCTGACTGACTGCATAGACTGGTGGGAGGGAGAATGTAATGGGAGAAAGGGACAGTTTCCGGCCAACTATTGCGAGCCGACTGTGTAATGCGCATATCGTCATCACGATCACGGAGGGTTCTTTTCTTTGCGAGATTGGCTAGTAGGGACCGTTGGGTTGGCTGATTGGTTGGAGTACTTGGACGTGGGCTGCTTTGGTTTTTTTTTCAATATCCATTTGGGGGGCTGGTGAGAGTGAAGAAAAGGTGGAACCTGATACAGGAGTTTTTTTTGATGTTCAGTAGCTTGCACATCTGTCTGTTGGATAACGTACGAGTTCAAATATCACGGGGTCTTGCGTTGTTCCGTGCGCGTGGCAAGGGCCATTCTCCGTTCAGCCACGCTGCTGCGGTGTCGACAGCGGCTTGGCGGACTAAAGCAACCGCAGCAGAGCTTACATAGAGTAGAGTTGGCAATTCCACATCTCGTCGTCCTCGTCCCTTCTCACTTCACAACCTACCGCTCACTCCACCCAACCACCTCTTACCCCAAATCTCTTCAGTCACAAGTCGCCGCCATGGATAGAGCTCTGGACGAAGTCGTTCGCGAGAGGGTAATTCGCGCTGAAGAGGGAGAAGAAGTGCCAGAGGTCATGCTAACGCGATCGCTCCCATAGCAGCAGAACAACAGGAATAGAAGCCAGCGCCGTAGCACGCCCCGTGGCGGAGGCGGAGTTCGAAAGGTATGTCTGCTTTCCTTACGCGCGCGTTTTGTCGGTGCCTCCCGCTGATTGTCGTCCTGTCGCGATCAGGCATGTTCCACCACCTCCAGTTCCGACTCCTACTCCTACTCCTACTCGACCCTCGGCGCTGACGTGTGCGATAATTTAGCCCACCTCCAACTCTGGGAGGAACGGTTACGACGAGTCTAGGTTTGTCGTCCTGTTCCGAGTGAAGTGGTGTGGACAGTCGAGTGCTAACGACATGTGCGCAGATTATGGGTCCACGACAAATTTGACGGCGACGAGGCGCCGCCGAGGAGACAGGCGGATCGCGGTGACAGGGGCGACAGGGGCGACAGGGGCGCGGCTTCCCGAGCGTATGTTCCGAGTACTCCGCGGTGTAAAGTGTTGACACTGACGACTCCTACAGTCCTTCCCAAGGCACCAAGATCAAAGTCTCGAACCTGCACTACGAACTCGGTGAAGACGAACTACTCGTACATGCTCCCTCAATCCGCCGTGTCGGCCGTCTTGGCTAACGCAAACCCGCGCAGGACCTCTTCCGCCGCAAAGGCCCCGTCCTAAAGCTCGAGATGGTATACGACCGCGCTGGCCGCAGCGAAGGCACCTGTTTCGTATCGTACGCGCGCGAGTCGGACGCGGCCAACGCGGTGCGCGACTTCGACGGCGCGAATGCCAACGGCCAGCCGATCACCGTCTCCCTCGTCTCGCTGCCTCCGAGGGGCCTCTTCGAGCGCATCAAGCTCAAGAATCCCGAGGAGCCCGTGCTCAAGGATGAGAGGAGGGACCCGACCAGGAAGCCGACGCCACCGGGTATCGACAGGTACGTTCCGCCAGAACGACGACGTGGCGGCGGCGGAGGTGGTGGCGGTAGGGATGGCGGTGGAGGTGGAGAGAGGACGCAGAGTGGTCCTAGACCTGTAAGAGAGGACAGGGAGAGGGAGAGGGGTGGTGGCCGTCGTGGTGGACGGGGCGCAGGAGCTACCAGTGGCGGCGGCGGCGCTGGAGGTGGAAACGTCAGGCCCAAGAAGACGGTCGAAGAGCTGGACGCCGAGATGAACGACTACTTTGGAAGTGCGCAGGATGAGGTCCCCGCAGCTCCACCCGCTGCCGCCCCGGTAGCAGACGATGCAGACATGATATTGTAAGGCGGGAGCGTGAGCGACTGTCGGAGAGCAAAACTGAACTGAACTGGAGGCATCATGGGTTTTGATTTTGTGTGTGGTTTCGATCTTTCGATTTTCGTTTTGTAATCTGGTGCTGTGCGGTGCGGGGCGGTGCGACTGGCTGGCTGGCTGACTATCTACGATGATAAATACCTATGGCGGGCGGAAATGGGAACGAGAGTATAGAGTTCCGAGAGGGATACCGTGCGTTGATGTGTCGGTTGTGATGTTGTACTGAATTGACTCGGGAGGTAGAGAGTGTGACGCCAGTCCTCGACGTGGATAATGGCCATGTGTGTGATGCGCGGTGAGGCCGGTTACCAAGCTCCCCACGCGTATGTACTGTCTGAAAGATCGAATATATACGTACCCGCCTCCATACACTCGCCGTTTTCCATCTGCAGTCCCGTGAATTTCTCGAGAGAGAGGGACAACCTCAATTTGTTGCATACAGCCATACGAGACTACCTATACCGACCAAAAACCCGACCAAAAACCCGACCAAAAACCCAGCTCCACAGGCGACGTGGCGGGAGTAGAGAGAAATCTCCATCCCCATCACCGCTTTCCCCTACGCAACAATTTCTACGCAACAATTTCCAGAATACACAGGAAGGAAGAAAATCTTCAGTCGAGAACAATAGGGCTTAGTTACACGATCTCGATATAAATGTACAATATCGAGTGCTTTCTCATGAGCACTAAATACCCATTTATCGCCGCTGTATCTCTGGCCACTGTCATATCCCTGGCCGCTGTCTCTCGCCGCTGTATCTCAGGCCGCGGGCATATATCTGGTCGCGGGTATATCTCTGGCCGCTGATGTATATCTGGCCACTGGCTGGAATATATCTGGTTGTGGGCGTATCCCTGGCCGCGGGGATAGCACTGGCCACTGTCATCTCAGGCCGCGGGTATATCTCTCGCGCTGGCATATCTCTCGCCACTGTCATATCTCTGGTTGCGGGCATATCTGGCTGCTGGTGTATCTATCTCTAGCCACTGGCTGGCATATCCCTGGCCGCTGTATATCCCTCGCCGCTGTATCTCTGGACAATGGCGTGTCTCTGGCCGCTGGCGTGGCTCTGACCGCTGACATCTCTCGCCGCTGTCATCTCTGACCGCTGTATCCCTGACCGCTGTATCCCTAGCCACTAGCATATCACTGGCCACGGGCATATTTCTGGCCGCTGGCTGGCATATCCCTAGCCGCTAGTGTATCTGGTCGCTGGCTGGCATATCTCTGGTCACTGGCTTGGATATCTCTGGTCGCTGGCGTACTGGAACGGAGGACGATCGGCACCGACTATTCGTCCTGTCAAACCGTCGTGCTGTCAAGCTGTCAAGCTGTCGAGCTGCCAAGCTATCAAGCCGTCAAGCCGTCAAGCAGTTGAGCTGTCGAGCTCAGCTCCCGGTCGGGAGGGAATCACCGGGAATCACTGGGAACCACTGCGACGAGACGAGACTTGAGACTTCAAAACATCACGACTTCACGACTAGACTTCAGGAATTCAAGACTTCAAGACTTGAGTCTTCACGACTTCAAGACTCCAGGACTTCGACACTTCAAGACTCCAGGCCCTCAAGGCTTGTCTACCAGTGAGACTTGAGACTCCACGACTCCAAGACTTCAAGACTTCAAGACATCAAGACTTCACGACTTCACGAATTCACGAATTCACGACTTCACGACTCCAAGCCTCCAAAACTGCAAGGCTTGATACTTCCAGACTTCCAGACTTCCAGACTTCCAGACTTCCAGACTTCACGACTTCACGACTCCAAGACCTCACGACTTCACGACTTCACGACTTCACGATTTCACGACTTGAGACTTGAGACTTGAGACTTGAGACTTGACTTCACGCCTTCAAGACTCCACGAATTCTAGACTTGCGAGACTTGTGAGATACGGTACCGCGTACCGGCCGTTGCAGCCCACTCCCGCACCCACTCCGGCACCCGTAGCTCTGGATACAAGTCCCTTCGCCGGTGCCGGCATCTACAAGTGTGTATAGTAATTCTTTGCCCCTGCGCTCCCTCAGGCTCCCTCAGGCTCCCGACAGCTGAGGTGGTAGATGCTGGCCGGATTGAACTCTGAGAGGTATCAGTGTCAGGATCGGTATCAGTATCAGTATCCACTTGCGGACTGCCACCACCTTCGTGCCTTCGTGCCTTCGTGCCTTCGTGCCTTCGTGCCTTCGTGCCTTCGTGCCTTCGTGCCTTCGTGCCTTCGTGCCTTCGTGCCTTCGTGCCTTCGTGCCTTCGTGCCTTCGTGCCTTCGTGCCTTCGTGCCTTCGTGCCTTCGTGCCTTCGTGCCTTCGTGCCTTCGTGCCTTCGTGCCTTCGTGCCTTCGTGCCTTCGTGCCTTCGTGCCTTCGTGCCTTCGTGCCTTCGTGCCTTCGTGCCTTCGTGCCTCCATGCTTTCGTCCGCCACTATCCACTAGCCAGCATCCAGCAAACCACATGTAGATCCGAGTGCTTGCTACGCTTTTGGGTTTTTGGCTTCCAAGCTTCTGCTCTGTTCAGTGAACTACCTATGCCTAGGGACGAAACATGCCTCCGTGTATCCACTACCTACACCAGCCTTCACAAACACTCGAGGACTCAGCCGAGTGAGAGCGTATGCACATTCATCATCGTTGATACTAATCTTACCCATCTCATCATCTTATCCGAGAACCGGATCTTCCACATCTTCCGTCCTTCGAAGGGTTCGATGCCGTGTTTCATTGTTATGCACTCACCAAGCGGATCATAGTTCCTCGCAGTCGTAAACGGTATTGAACACGGCGTTGCTCGACACGCAACGCAATCAACCAATCAACCTGAGCATCCGAAGCATCCGAAACCCAGGGATGCAGTCATGTCATGTCAAAACGCAAGCAAAAAAAAGGTTACACGAAGAATCAGCAGGTATACGTATGAGTACGGTATCGTAGGAGTATCAATGATATCAATATCGTTCATAACTAACAGCTACTAAAAACAGCAAAACAGCAGAACAAGTCCCTCCCATACCCAACAGAAGCCAAACAGAAGCCAAACAGAAGCCAAACAGAAAAGACAAACAGAAGTCAACAGGAAACAAACAAACAAACCACAAATCAAAGCTAAAACAGGAAGATCTCTTTCCATCTCAAAGATCATATATCCAACAAAAAAAAAAGAAAAAACACGAAGGCATGAACGCATTCCTCATCAATCGTATAACCTCGCCCGGCCAGCAACTCAAACTCGCCTGCAACTCAACTCAACTCATCTCAACTCAACTCAGCTCAAACGCAATGATTCCAAGCATATGTATGCATATGTATGATAGATCAAACTTTTCCTCATGACATCATCATCATCTTGACTCTTTAACCTTCTTTCACCATCAACTCAACGATGACTACAACGCAAAGTGTTAGCAACTGCACCCCCTCCCCCTCCCCTCATCCGCCAGACGTCTTTGAGTACTTACTAAACCCCACCCCTCGGCGGCTTCCTCGTGTACCCGACATACGTCCCCGGCGCATCCGGATTCTCTCTGAGTCCCTTCGTCTGCTGGACAGTGACGGGCGGCGGCCCGGGAGCACGCGCCATCTCCATCATGCCCTGCTCGCGTCCGGGCGGCGGCGGTGCCGGTGCCTCGGGAAGACCCCGCTGCGTGTGGACGATGGCGGGTTTGCCCGGGGGCGGTCGCTCCTTCGATGGGCCGGGGCCCAGGGGGGCACCGGGGTAGCCGTGGATGCTCATGGGACGTGGCCGCCGTCGGCTGGTGCTGCGTCTTCGTGCGACGCTGTTGCCCGCAGCACTGGCGCCGCCTCCGCCGCCGCCGCCACCACCACCACCTCCGCCGCTGGAGGAAACGCTGGGCTTGCGTTGGCGGCGGACTTCGACCTTGCCTTCGCGGATTTGCTCGGAGAGCTCGACGAGGTCGTCGATCTCCTCCTCGTCCAGTACGCGGTAGATGATGATCGCGTTCGGGACCTCTTCGAAGTCGTACCCTCGCACGAGGACCGCCCGCTTCGACACGATGTCACGCGAGATCTTGGTCCACAGTGGGTCCTCGGCCGGAGGGGGGTTGGATGGAGCTCGGCCCCGAGACTGCGCACGAGGCGATGACGCCCGGCCACGTCCCTGTGATGAGGCCCTTCCGTGCGATGGGGCCCTCCCGTGCGATGGGGCCCTCCCGTGCGATGGGGCCCTCCCGTGCGATGGGGCCCTCCCGTGCGATGGGGCCCTCCCGTGCGATGGAGCTCTTCCACGCGAAGGCGCACGAGGAGCTGGAGGGGCTTGCGGCATCGTTGGCGGGCGGCCACGTGTCGGAGGTCCTTCCTGCATGATGGGAGGACGCGGCGGGTGCTGATGATGATGATGATGGGGATGGTGGCCCGGTGGCCCTTCGATTTGCATGTTCGAAAACTCCCGGTACATATCGCGGCCGGGAGGCGAGTGCGAGTAGTCCGTGTCATCGCTGTCGCGCTCCGAGCGGGGTGGCCGCCGGGACGGTGGAGCGGGCAGTGCCATCATCATCTGCTGGCCGGGGTGGGCGCTCGCTGGCGGTGGAGGCGGGATCATGACGGGCTGGACACCCGGCGGGAGCGCTAGTGGAGCCGGCGGCGGCGCGGGCAGCGATGGCTGTGGATCCGGGATGGTGACGGTGCGGGCAGTGGTGTTGATGGTGATGTTCCCAACCATCGACTTGCCGTTGGTACCGGAGTATGCGATATCGATCGCCTGTCCGCCGTACTCGACGCGGATGGTGTTGTTAGAAGGGGCGGGAGCATCGTCATCGTTATCGGGACGACGACGGACGAGGGCCCCGCCCGCACTCGACGGACCCTGAGAATCCGAGCGAGAGCGAGAGCGTCGGACGAGGGCGCCGCTCGAAGACGACGGGTTGTGCGCGATCATCCTGCCTTGATTACGCATGAGCTCCTCTTGCTTGTCCTCCTCGGTCCATTCGTCGTAATCGGCGCGGCTCTGGCTGCTATCTCTGCCCCTGCGTCTCGGAGGGCCGTCGAGATGGTAGAGCGTGCCGGCATCGCGGGACCGTCGCTTGTAGTCGTCGCGGTTGCTGCTGGGACCACGCTGGTTGTTGCCGGCCGAGATCAGGTATCCCTTCTGTCCTCCGTGGCTGCGGATGTCGCCGCTCTCGTAGCTCCCGTCGGAGTAGCCGCTGCTGTCGGGACGATAGGTCTGGGATCTGTGCACGGCGCCACCCGAGCCCGGTATCACCATGAACGGGCCGCCTTCCGGGGACCGGTCACGAGGATGCGGCGGCGAGCTGTGGTGCGAGTGGATTACGGGACGCTGGAGCCGGTAGTCGCCGCCGGGCGGGGGCTGATCGAAATATTGGTGGATCGTGGGTTTTGCGGTCGCTGTCGTGTTGCGGCGACTGAGACTTCCATCGCCTCCTCGCATCGCTGATGGTGGTGGTGGTGGTGGTGGTGGTGGAGGTGGTGGAGCGGGGGCGGGAGCTGGGTGTGCTTGGGGCGGGGTCGGTGCGTAATCGAAGTGGTGCGGGGGAGGGCGGTTATAGTAGAAGTCACCGAGATTGTCGGAGGACGAAGAGGATGGAGAGGGAGGATGAGTTGAGTGAGGAGTTTGCTGGCCGCTGCGAGGAGGAAGAGGGGCAGCGGGGGGAGGACCGCTGTGGCTGTGGCTGTGGCTGTGGTGGTGGCCGAGAGGGTTGGGTGGAGGTGGAGGGGGAGGGGGGTGGTGATGGATGCTGGGGTTTCCATATCGCAGGTAATCGCTGTGCTGTTGCTCTCGCTGTTGCTGCATCATTCCTCCCCCTCCTCCCCCGCCCCTTCCAGCGCCTTCCTGAAAGCTGCCGCCAGGCATCATCATCATCCGGTCGGCATCCATCCTGCCGCCGCCGGGACCGCCCATGCCCAAGTCTCCGAGGCCCAAGGAGCCAGTGGATGCACGGTGCGAATCCATCATGGACGAGTTAGCCCTGCGAGCACGCGCCGGCGGAGAGCGAGCTCGGCGGTAGTCCATTGCGCGCGATGACTGTTATCGAACTTTTTGGGATCTGGGCTGTGTGTGTGACGGGACGTGGTGTGCGAATGTTTCGCTTACTTCTCTGCACTCCGATAGAGGGAATCCTGGGACGGATCGAACAGGGCCGAGTCCCCTCCTGGGTTGGTGGGATGATGCGAGGCTTGCCTGCGGAATGTTTCACTGATTGGTTGGGCGATGACAGTGACGGTGGCTGTTCGCAGCGGTAATATAAGTCTGCGATAGCGCCGGTGACGGTGACAGTGACAGTGACAGTGGCTGTTCGCCGCAGTGGATAATATGGGTAGTCTGCGATAGCGCCGGTTGGGAGGGGGGTGAGGTTGTGGTTGTGGTTCTTTTTCTTTCTTCCGTGGCCTTTGTCCGCAACGCTTTCTTCTGGGAGCCCTGACAAGCAAGCGAGCGAGGGGGATCGTGAGATTGCTTTATGAAGATGGAATTCCGCAGCCAACGCCGAGAAGTAGACGAGGACAACTCAGAAGGGAGGAGAGATGGGGTGAACGGGGTGGGGCGGTGGGCAAGAAGACAAAGGAAGGAAAAAGGAACGATAAAAAAAATAAAAGAAAAAGATGGAGAATCCTGGAGAGTGCTGGCAAGTGGCGAAAGAGGATGCGAGAAAAAAAGGGCGCAAATCCGTCAAATCAACAGAGGCAGGTGGAATGATGATGATGATGATGCTGATGCTGATGCTGGTCCCTGCCGAGTTTGTTGTCGTTGGCCGTCTCTCGACGGAGTTGAGGCCAGACGGAAGGCTGGACACTGCTTGCTGCACTGGCTGTGTTCGGCCGGGGGGAGGGGGGGCAGTGATCCTCCAGCTTCTTTGCTCTCTTCTCCTGCGGCTTCGATTTGGTAGGTGGATGATCGGGATGGCGGATGGGGGGACGATTGGTTTTCGGCAGCAGCCAGTAGCAGTTGCGAGGTGCAGCGAAGCTATCTCGAGATGAGACGGGCAGACGTAGATGGTGGGAGGTACTAGTAGCAGGCAGTAGGTAGCAGCAAGCAGTAGGTATCCCAAGTATCGGCGTGGATAGCAGGGAGTTCTTCAGGATGATGGTCGAGATGTCTCTCGATAGTAGTTACGGCACTCTACTCGTGGCACTGCTGTGCTGCTCGCTCTGGGCCCATCTACTCTACTGTGTCCTCCCCCTCTTCCCATCCATTCTCGTCCCCTCTTTCGGGGAATGGCAGAGGGAGGGGTAGCTGTCGAAGTCGAGCTAGCAAGCTCATTCTCTCTCTGGCGTTGGGCGGGGTCACTCGAGTGCGGTGTCGCCGTGCCGTGTCGTTGGAGACAAGGCGCCGGCAACGACCGACACGCCAGTAACAATCGACACGCCAGTAACAATCGACACGCCAGTAACAATCGACACGCCAGTAACAATCGACAACGCCAGCAACGACCACCTTTATTGCTTGCCACTACTACTGCTACTACTACTGCTACTACTACTGCTACTACTACTGCTACTGCTACTGCTCCTATGGCACATGACGGACATAACCGAATGGATCGGCCGGAGATATCCCGTTCTCTTCCGGAGGCTCCGGCTACTAGAGAATTGATCGCCGCCCGCGTCGAGATATCCCGCTCTCCGTCCGCAGGCTTGAAGCTCCATCTGTCGCCCGTCGTCCGACGCCTGCTCGTCAGTGTCGAGTGTCTTGGCGCGGGTGAGCATTCGTGCTCCAGCAAAGCACAGCACAGCTCGGCTCAGCCAGTTTCTTACCTAAGCACTTGGTCAACCAGCACGTGGAGTGGACCCCCCCCAACCAACCGGCCAATCTCACGTCTCGCAGTAACCATTGACTCTACCCTACTCTACCCTACGATAGACTTCACTTCACACCCGACCCAATGCCTCATGCACACTTCTCCATTCACAGCCGACCCAATCCCTCGCCCCTCGCCCACTTCTCCATTCACAGCCGACCTAATCCCTCGCCCCTCGCCCACTTCTCCATTCACAGCCGACCCAATCCCTCGCTCCTCGCCCACTTCTCCACCCTTCCCAGCCCCAGCCCCCAACTCGAGCCCCGCGAGGTTTCCATGCCAGCCAGCCCTCCCCCTCGACCGAGCTGTAACCCACGCTGGCAGAAGCGAATCGAGATGCAATGTATGTAGGATGTAGGTAATGTGGACCTTGAGATGGCAACGTCTCGACGGCGACAGCTGGTACGCGAGCTGCAGGATGACGGCGGCGGTGGAGCAGTCAAGTGAAGTGAAGGACGAGTTGCAGACCAGAAGTTCGACTTCGACTTCGTTCCACGTGACCACTACCTAGCGGCCCAGCCCCCCAACCACTGGCACCCCCGTGTCGGCGGTAAAAACTCGTCTCGAAACGACGTATGTGAGGTAGGGGCAACCGTTCTCGCTCGCGCTCGCGTTGGTCCGCCACTCCCGGCCGATCTGGAGACGTCTAGAACTCGGATGGAGAAGTCGCAAATGGAACTGGAAGGCCCCAGGGCCGTCGGAGTCTGGAGTCTGGAGGCCAAACAGTTTCCCGGATGTCCGTTCTGCAGAGTAGGTAGAGTACGATACTATTGGCAGTGCCGGATAGGTAGAGTACGATACTATTGGCAGTGCCGGATAGGTAGAGTACGATACTATTGGCAGTGCCGGATAGGTAGCGAACCCCACGGGCGGCGTCCCCCACCAAGGACCCTTCTTTCTTTGCTCTTCCTTCCTTCCTTCGGTCGTTGCTTCGTTCGTTCCGAAAGGAAAAAAGGGCAATGACGATGCCCACGACGCCCACGTGCTTCGTTCGTTCCGAAAGGAAAAAAGGGCAATGACGATGCCCACGACGCCCACGATGATGCCGACGACGATGATGCTGCTGCTGATGCCACGTCCGTGAAGCACAAACCCCACACCGCTTGTGGCCGACGTGCTCACTCACCCATAGTACCGACCCGTAGTGGCGAGAGGGGCAGAAGCGAGCGGCCTAGTTGGTTGGTTGGCGCTTCACCTTCACATTCGACGTTGTCTTTGGCTTTGGCTTTGGCTTTGGCTTTGGCTTTGGCTTTGGCTTTGGCTTTGGCTTTGGCTTCATAGGCATCCGTCGCGAGTAGACTCTGACTCTGAAATATCACCGCCCTACCTACACCGGCCGATGACGGTGCCCACTCACCGCCGCGCGCCGAGTCGTGTAACCAAGAAAGAGCGGGGGTTTCGTTTCGTTTCGTTTCAACACTCGGCATTCCAGCGCCCCTGCCGCCTTGCCCTTCTCTCTCGCCCTCGGTACTCAGTGCTCAGGGCCCACGGCTAACTGCCGAATTGTCTGCTCCGCACATGGAGACCAGCAATCCTCAGCACTGGAGTTTAACTGCACTAGCATCGACATAAATCCAGCACTTATCAAAGCACTTATTTACCTCGAACCCCCCCTCCCCCTCGAACCCCCCTCCCCCTCGAACCCCCCTCCCCCTCGAACCCCCCTCCCCCTCGAACCCCAACTAAGCATTTCCCTACCCGCCGCCGCCGCCACCAGTCACCCCCAGCACCAGCAACCACCACCACCACCACCACCACCACCACCACCACCACCACCACCACCACCACCACCACCACCACCACACTAACACGAGCACGTCAATGCGTCATGCTTATGCTTATGCAAGCAGGGTCTGAACTGTGCCGGAAGACCACGACCACGACCGCGACTATATATGTACGAATTCCATGTGCTCTATTCCGGTGTACGTGCAGTGTACATTGACACCTGTACACGCCAGCGCGTGGTGGGATGTATCGGGCTTGTAGATTTATGCGTAGGTATGTCGGAAGGTACACAAGTGGGCACAGAAGTGGGTACATTCCGTGTGTGTACTGTACCGTACCGTACTGTACCGTACCGTACTGTACTGTACATACATAAATACGTGCGCGATCATGCGTGATCATGATACATATACCTGGGTATGAATGTATGTGTAGGCAGTGCCACCGCTCGGCAAGATTCGTGGGCTGGCTGGAGGTGCACATTGCTGGATTTATTGCTGGATTTTGGCGAAGCGAGCGAGGCTGCCACGTGGCTGTGCGAGTGATCGAGCGTGTGCGTGTTCGTGGGTTCGTGATAGGGCATCTGGGTAAAGAGGTACGCCGTCATATCCGCCTATGTATCATACCTGTATGATGTTGGAGTATGTAGACTTTTCATCCAAGGCTCAAGCCCGCCATGCGTATTACTAGTCAGTTTGATCGCACGCACGCACGCCCGCATGCGCAATGAGCCGCGACTTCCATGCGTGCTTGAATGATATGATGATATCCGATCAAATCCAGCGCCAGGTTCATTGCTTCCCTTGGTTATGTAAGCTAAGGATGCGCAAAGCTGAAGCCTGGGATCATCGAGTCTGGTGCCTAGTAGTACCGGTATGTACACACCGGTATCGGTACCGACATTCAGATATGTAGGCAACGACCTATCGATAACGACCATCTCGCCCCGCCGTTGCTGGGTATAATCCCACCCCACCACGAGGCTCCGACGGCGGAACGTGCATACGTACTTAATCTCGCGATTGACTGTCTGCCAACCTGCCAGCCTGCCGAAGCCTACCGAAGACTACCACAGACCGCCATAGACTGCCGTAGAATCTTCCACCGTAACCCGTTCTACCATGCACATTGCCAACATTGCTTCCTACACGCGGGGGGGGGGGCACAGTTTGAACATTGAACTTTGTGGATGTTGATATTGATACGGTACATACCTGCTGATCCTTCTCCACCACCACCACCACCCACGACGAACACTGCAGCCGTCACCTGTGTCGTGGGCTCGATGGCCGGACTCCGGAGTCCGGATACCTATGTAACGATAGCGACAGCGCAAGGTGCGGTGGATTGAGCTGGTAACTAGAGCTGGTAGTTAACTAGAACTGGAGGAATGCGCGGTGCTGGATGATATCTACTTACGTATGTAGCAAGGAATTGGGCCCATGCGATTGAGTTTGTGTGCTGATATCGAGTCGAGCTCCAGCTCGAGCTGCAGAGCAGAGGAACGACGATGATCCGCAGTGCATTGCATTGCATGGAGGACGTTGCGAATATTCGCGAGTTCTTGAGTTCTCGGGGGGCTGTGTGCGTACATACATAGGTACTCTAGAGATAGGGATAGAGATTGAGCTCGCAAGGCTGGGAGGGGGGGAGGGGGCGGGGGGTGGACGAATCACAGCGGTTCTCACTCATGCATTAATTATCACTCGCTTTTTATACGACACCCCGCCGGTGGATGCGGATTGTTGGCGGTTTTGGCGGTGTTGGCGGTCAAAGCCTTGCTATGTATGTATGACTCCTCCCACCGCCCGCATAGAATATATTCCTTCGCGGCAGAAGTGGCCAGCATAGAAGTAACGATCGTCCACCATGGTGATGAGGAGCCAGGTCTACACTCACTCACTCACTCACTCGCAGCGCAAGTATCCGGCTGGGCAACAAGTAGCATGCGTAAAGTACGATCGACATGGCAGCCCTGAGCCTCGTGCCAAGGACTCCCGCAGACAACAGACCTCGACCTGAAAACGCAGCTTCAAGATGCCGATGCCGATGCCGATGGATGACGCATGACGCATGCACAAAGCACAAAGCGCATCACAGATTCACAGCAGAGGCGTGGCCTTTACATACTTTCCAGGCCTCTGCTGAGATTGGCGATTGAATTGCATGGGCGTGGTTGATATGAGAATAGGTATTTTTGCTCCGTCGTGTTCCACGTCATCGACTCATCGTTGCAGGCCGGCTTTGCTCCTCCACCTCCACCTCCACCCTCAATGCTTGCTAGGTGGGTAGGTGGGTAGGTGCTAAGAGCTGCAACACCGCCGGCTGTTGATCTCGGGGGAACCGCATAGATGATATTCTGGGTTCCAGTAATTGTAATAGTCCTAGTAGTACGGTAGGCTGCAGTTCATATCCGTCAATATTATCGATTGCTCACCGTACATATGTATGTACACACACGTCTTGAAGTTCGAACTTCAATCTTTAGCCATTTCCCTTTCCTTACGGCTGGTATTTGTACAACTAAGGTACACACGTGCGTTTTGGAGTTTAGACACGGGAATCGTTGGTGCTGTTATGACCCGTGGGATTGTGCCGATGGTGGGTGCACGCGATCTCACTCGGGCGCCTGATCACACGTCTCAATTTGTGTGGATGAAAGGCGATGGGATATTCGCGGGGCGGGAGGGGGGTGCGTCGCAATGGTCTGACTAAATAGGCTGGGCACGAGTGTGGTGCAATAGAAACACAAATACACAAACGGATAGGTACTTAGTGAGGGCGATATGGCTGTTCCGCAGATCGCTCCGTAGTTGAACGGGAATTGGAAGCTCGTGGGTTCACTTGGGCTGGGGTAGGGGTAGGGGCTGCTTTGCTAGGCTGGCGGGCGGGAACGGCTTGGGTGAGTGTACGATATCGATTGATTGGTTCTTTCCCTTGTGCGTAGATGGGTGCGTGCTGCCATTCATACTCGAGCTTGGGATCTACGGCGTACCAGAAGGAATATAATTGGTACCGGACTATTGGCAGTCATCAAGGGGCCATTGAAGCAGCTAATCAACCAACATTACCAGAGTCAATGAGAGAATGTCTCTAGTTAATCACTCGGAAAGACGGCCCGAGAGTCGATCTGCAAACCATCATCGAGCGAGTGATACTGTATCCGACGATCGCCCCTATCACTCCGGAGTGGCCTTGCCGCCGGTGAGAATCCAAACATCGCCATCGTCAGAATTGAAAGTCATATATGTATCGCGCCGACTTTGCGGTTGCATGTCAATTTTCAGTAGAGTTATCCCGCACTCACCAGGGAATTCCTTCTCATTTTAACATTTTCTATCTCTAGGTATGCGTGATCAACACAGCATGGTCTCCATCAATTCCGCCCGTCCACCATCCGCCACCATCCGCCACCATCCGTCCGTCTTCCCGACACTTAGATCTCGATCGGGAACCCCGTCTGCCCATCGCACTGAGTATTCGCGAACTCGACGACCGCAGGGGTCTGCTCGGCAGTGCAAGCGGTCGGCACGCAAGTCTTCACCTTCTGCACGAACGCAGTGTCCTTGCAGAGGCAGTCGAAGTCTGTTCACGTGTTAGAGTGGTGACTGGACATCGGGCAGGGGAAGCTGCGGGAGGAAGAATGTGTTCGTACCAACACCGCAGTTGGACGCGCTGACGGCGGAGATGAAGCAGCTGCGCGAGCTGGAGGATTGTTAGATTGTGCTGGCTGGGCTGGGGATTCTGGGGAAGAGACGCTTACCATGACGGAGGGAGCGAGATCGCGTTGACCGCGCCGAGCATGCTGACGATGAAGGCGGCAACGAGGGCGATGGAGGTGTACATGGTTAAGATGGGGGTGGTGGTGAAGTTGGGAAGTGGGAGTGGGGAGTTGGTTGTGTGAGGTGGTGATGAGCTGGTTGTGTTGTGGGGGTGAGGAGCTGGTGGTGTGAGTGGATGTAGAACTGAAGTTGGAGAGACTGGGCCGACGTTTATGTACTCCTCCATCGCGATATAGAGCTGAGGAGCTCTACCCCTGGTATGAACGGCCTCTACCCCACGTACGCCAATATTCACCGAGGTAACAATCGCATCGGCCGTTTCGTAGTAAAACATTTCTGACCGCTAAAGTGGTGGTCTCCATAAAACGTAATATATCAAACCATAGAAACGTGAGCATCAAAGACCTAGGTAGTATAGTTGCGTAGAGTGTACGATGCCAACAAGCGGGCACTGTACGTCTGTGCTGTTGGCCATGAATCCCGAATCCCGATAGAGCCATATCCGTGAGTCATGGGGTCCTCAACTACGCCTACAAGGCAGCACCATGTGAAGAAGCGTTGTCGAGCGTCGAGGCCCCCTGGTGAGGTCCTTTGCGAAGGAGGAGTAACCCGGGAGTAACTAGGGAGGATTCCAACGGTCTTTCAATACAAAACGAATCGGATGGTCGCATGTGACTGCGGGGATTCTGGCGAAGAATGAAATCGGTCTGAAAGAGCTGACGATCTGGAGGTAGACGTGAGAGAAGGCATGTTTCCGGTCGCGTATGCTGACTCCATTGTCTTCGACGAGGTACGCAGGGTCGGTTTCTGGTATTCTGTGCGGAATTCGGCGCCGTGGGATCTCTCGCAGGTAGTTACCTCAACTGAAAGCCCAGGGTTGAATCGGAGTATATGAAACTAGATTCGGCCTCTTACATGCTGTCAACGGCCAACTTGTTGTCGCATCGGAGCTGGACGGCCTCGGGACTAGACGACCTCGGAGCTGGACGGCCTCGGGACTAGACGACCTCGGAGCTGGATGTTTCCTCACTCAACCTGCGGGATGCTAGGGATCAGAAACACCGAAGATTCTGCGACGTCCGACGTATCACCTCCGTGACTCCGTCTCTTTAATCTTACCGGGCCAAGGATTCAAGGAGTGGATCGGCGGGATGGTTTGGAAAATAAGCTAAAATATAATCTCCGGATCTACCATGCCTCCGCCCCTCTCGCTTCCCCCCAGCCAGTGTTTCATGTTCGGGCCGGCATCTACATAGAAATTCGGAGGCAAATAACACCACACCAGTATACAGGCCCCTCCTTGCACAACATCACCTATAAGCCCGTGCTTTGTCACTCGAATCCAGGGTCGCTACGCGGCGGCCACTCGAGCCAGCTGGCCCCGCGAGACGGGCGAGCCCCTAGGTTTCTCTTCCGGACCGATGGTCCGTTCGGCACCGGCTTAAGATGAAAGATCGGAAACACCGTGTGTAAGAAGTGGCCGAGTTTAACCCAAATCACTTGATATCACTTGCCGTAATGCCTTCATTCGCCACTTTCCATGCTGCAATCTAGGCCCTCATGGTTGCCCAGTAAAGTATTCACTTACCCGGCCGCTCCTACCCGGCCGGACTTCCATTGCAGAGAAGAAAGAAGGCGAGAATCGAGATGGCAAAGCGGGGACATCGCCGACATATTCCCACCGGCGCCTTTCTAAAGTTTCTGCTGCGCTCGCATCCGTTGCTTCGTCGGCGACAAACAGTCTTCAAATCATAAAAGAGGCCTTCTATAACCCAACACAGGGAAATTGGGGTATGCGAAAAGGTATGGTAATAGATAGATTACACGTTGAAGTCTCGGGGTTGTGACAGCGTAGGAAAAGAGGACCGATCTAGGTAAACATTTCGATGCGTAAAGAGAGACTTGATACTGGGATACGGAGAGACGGGTAACATAAGGGGCTTGTAGAGCAGACATAAGGCATACAAAAACATCATACATTTCCCAATTATATGTCGTTCTGGATCACTCGATGATGTCACTTTTGCCATCGATGTCTTGAACACATCACTCAGTGCTTGGTACTTGAGGGCTCTCGAAGATTCCATCGCCGAAACTCGGATCATCGGCGGTTTGATGGGCATGGGAAAGGAGTGAATTATGGTGATGATTGGGTTTGTGGTCATTACAGAAGTACCGTGTGAAGCATAGAGATTACCCACAGCGTATGCATACCTCTTACTTAATGCTTCCGCCGATGCGAAACTCTCACAATCTGTCAATTGCGGAGAATGATAGTGATGATGTTATCGATGCTGTACAGATTCGTCGGCCGTATGCCCTCTCTAAGATGTATGTACCTATGTGGTCTAACTCTTATCTATCCGATCCGATTATGTGTAATCCCGTGATGAGTGTCGTAGACGCTGCACGCTGCACGCGGTCGAGAACGAGTGCGCAGTGCATTCAGCAATCGTATTGGATACGCTTTGACTGTTCATCGCAGTCTCACAAGGGTGGGGTAGCCGTACGTACCAGACATAATCCCCGCTTTTGAAACCATCGCCCTGAACTCCAGTTTCCCACCGGCTCCGTGAACCCATCGCCTGTTTCTTCTCCGATTGCGGATTCCGTGCGGCTCCACCAGTCTCCATACTAGCTCCTACATTTCAGCGCTACGGTCCAGGCGAGAGCGATCCCGATGATGGGATATTAGCATGAGCAAAAGGGAAGGGTCAAGAAAAAGTGGGAGCGGTTCGCACGAAAGGAGAGTCCTGTTTCAGCTTCGTCTTCGGTCTCCGGTTCCGAGCCGTCAGGCGTGGGCGGCCGGGAGGGAGACTTGGGGAGGCAAAACCTGGAGTCCAGCCTATCTCGGGTAGCCGATCACCCAACTCCGTGAGTTTGACCGTTTGTTGGTGCGCTCCGTTCGCCGAGCTGAAGAACGTCCCAGGGCTCCGGATCCCTGGGAGAGGGCTTATGTTCTTGCAAAAGAGAAACTGACGCCAAGGGAGCGGGAGTTATTGGATTCTGGTTCTCCTGCCGATTCCGTTTATTCGGTGTTGAAGGATGCAAAGGATGCCAGGAATGATCGGAATAGCAAAAAATGGCGGTACACAAAGGACGGTGGCGAGGTTGTCATCGTACGTGACAAATTCGACAGAATTGTGAAGGGCTTGGACAAGTATGCGACTACCGTCGATATGGTCGCCAGTAAGCAACCCGATAATATAGTTTCCATTTGCTGGGGTAGTGCCCGGTTTCTTCTCCAGGTCAGTGTTTGTTCCTGGGGGATTTATGAAGCACAGTTGGAACTCTGAATTGACGCGGGTAATAGGTTTATCTCAATCATATCGAGAACCTGCAGAGCCTGGAGGCTGCTCTCGAAACCATCATCGCAACAATGGCAAGATGCCAATTCTACGAGAGAATTGACGCGCAGTCTTTGAAGACGACCCTACCATCCCAGAACGCGACATTGGCACTCGCCAGCAGTTTAGAAGCGGCATTGCCAGAATTTTACAGTTCGGTTTTGGTTTTCGCCGTGAAGGCGAAGGCGTACCTTGCACCATCATCGAAACTTGGTGAGCAATGTCAACTGCCCGGCATCCATACGAGAGCAAGTACTGACTGAGGGCCGTCGTGCAGCGAAGGTATCTAACGCATTGAGAATATTTTCCGACTACCTCCATCCTCTCATCAGCGAGGTCGAGCAGAAAGAAGCCTTAGTGAAAGAAGGCGCCAACATGGCCACCATGGAGAAAATAAAGGGTACGACAGCATTATCCGTGTTCTCTGTGCTGCGTTCTGATGAGCAACAGGGCAATCCAGAGTCCTCCAGAACTTAGAAGATCTGACGAACGAATTGAGCACATTGTTTTCCAGCACCGTGCAAGATATCAAGGGGATGCGTTTGCAATTCGACCAAATTCGTGACGGTATTCGATCCTCGTGACGGTATTCGATCCTCGTGACGGTATTCGATCCTCGTGACGGTATTCGATCCTCGTGACGGTATTCGATCCTCGTGACGGTATTCGATCCTCGTGACGGTATTCGATCCTCGTGACGGTATTCGATCCTCGTGACGGTATTCGATCCTCGTGACGGTATTCGATCCTCGTGACGGTATTCGATCCTCGTGACGGTATTCGATCCCCTTCTTGACAGCCTAGAGACCGTTGTGCTAATGAGCACAAGAGCAAGTGCTCAACTGGCTTAACGCTACAGATCTAGAAGTGCTGTACGAAGTGAACCGAACCAACTGGTTGGCCGGAACTTGCGACTGGATTTTTCTGGAAGCAGAGTACCAGAAATGGATACGCGCCGAGGGCCAACAACACCTATGGGTGGTGGGAATACCAGGTAAGATACGTCAGAGCCTAACAGGGTCTTCAAGGATACCCTCCTTCATGCCCGAAATCCCGTTTCGAAATCGTAGCGGAAATGAAAGACCAGCTGACAGAATCAGGCGCCGGAAAGTCGATACTTTTCGCGAGACTCGTTGAAGGCTTGCTGAAGCTGGAGGGAGTAGTGGTTTTGTACTTTTTCTTCCGAAACGGTGCCATCAACACTACCGCGCCGCTGGAGATGACTGCTAGTATCATCTCTCAGCTCATCAACTTCGCTGGTCCTACGGATCGTGCGAGGCTTCTCGGAATTCTGAAACAGGTTGTTCATCGTGGAGCCCCATTTGCAGATCGAGGCAGGAACTTCAAAAACATGTGGAGAGCGTTCGGGGACATGCTCCGAGGACATTCATCCAGGGTGCTTGTCCTTTTGGATGCGCTGGATGAATGTAGCCATCCTCCTAGCGTATCCGGGGGTATGTTGCAAGCCGAGACCGGTGCTCGATTCCTAGTTACTGGACGCCCAGTCGTTAACCATTTGCTCGACGATAAGCCCGGTGTCTCCACCATCAAAATGCAAGTTGGCGATGATATCCGCAAGTTCATTACCGAAAAGGTAGTAAAGATCAAGGGCTTGGAGCACCATGCAGAGGACATCATTCATACGGTGAATGAAAATTCCGCTGGAATGTTCCGTTTGCTGGTGCGTATATAAAATGCACATACATTCGAGTTCGTAGGAACCCACTGACATCTGCCCGACCAGCCCTCGTGCTAGAAGAGCTACGCCAACCTTCGAGGAAAAGGATTTCAGAACGTCTTAGGACGATGCCGAAGGGGATAATTGGGATGTACGAATTGATCCTTCAACGTCTCGGTCACAGGAAAGAGGAAAAGTGTCTCCGAAAGCAAAGGCGAGAATTTGACTGGCAGCCCTGTCGGAGTTTGGGATTATTTCTCCTCGAAGGATGTTGTGAAGGATGGCGGGAACAAATGAGGGTTTCACAGAGAGAGATCTCCTAACGGTCGCCGGTCTTCAATTTTTGCTTTGTAGTTACCAACACGATGATTCCGATGAATGAAGACTCGATGCAATAGGTAAAAATCACGATACCGTCAGGAATTCCCCCAAACCAACCGCACATTTACCTCGTCTGCTCGCTGTTGCTAGCCCAAACAAATTAACAATCCATCGCAGCCACATGGTCCTCATCGACCGTGTAGTAGACAGCCCCTAGTTCCAACAGCTCTTCCACGGCTGTATAGACAGCTCCCACCGAGAGCCGACTGTTTTTGCCGATGGCGTGATACGAGATGCCCACGGGCGATTCCGACGCCATCTTAACGACGCCAAAGACGATTCTGGCGCCGGCGGAAGCTTCCATCGCAGCCGGAAGCTCGGCCCCGCGCATTCTGGCGGCGAGCTCCCACTCGTTCGCTTTCTGTATTTCGGTGTCGTCATTCCGGCGGATGGTGCTCTGCCAGTCTTCCACGTCCGTCGATTCGGGTGTGTCGAATGTTAGCGCACCGCTGCTGCTGCTGTCGCCGTCATCGAACACGTGGAAGGCTGCGGGTTTCTCTCGCGCGACTTGCAGCCTGCTCGTCGTTTTCCGCTTCGGCTTGTCCTGCCGCCTCGCACCCTCCTTAGCTGTTCGGGCCACCCCGCTCTCCGACGCCTCGCATGCCCCGACGCCCACCCCGCGAACTTTCGCTTTACCTCCCCCCCTCACGACGTTCGCGATAGCCGACTCCACCCTATTCTCGCCGGCGCCCTCGCTCGGAAACGCCTGCCGCGGGATTGGTGGCAACAGAACGTCGCGCCACTCGATGAGCGTGTTGATCCCCTCGAACGCGGCGAGCGGATCGAGCATGACCAGGTGGCGCACCACCGCCAGGAAGCCGTCGCGCGTCAAACGGATCTCGGTCGGGTTGAAGATGTGCTCCCAGCCGACCTGGCGGAAGACGTAGCCGATGTCGGCGAGGTCGTGCAGCGCGGTCGGGTTTAGGTGCGATGGCGTCTGTAGGCTGGTGAAGAAGGTCGATAGCGAGGCTAGCGACATGGTGGTGCCCGGAGTGGTGGCTGCCGGCGTGAATTGCGCGAACAGTGAGTCGGAGAGGAAGTGTAGCGTCGGGCTGGGAGTACCATCGGCGGCGAGGAGGTGGCGCCACGGAAGGTGGCCCGGTTCCGAGGGGCCGGCGGATGGCTGCGATTCTCGTTGCTGGTGGTGCGCGGCTTTGCGAGCGGTCTGGTAGCGAGAACAAGTGTCCTGATTGTCGTACGAGAAATGGTCGAAGCGTGAGGATTCGCGAGGTTCGGAGGACTGGCAGGACTTGCAGGCGCATTGACCGGTCATGGCGGAATGGAGCTTGGGATAGCACTGGAGCTGTGCTTGTAGAGCTAGTGTAGAGCTTGACTTCAAATTAAGAAAGTGGTGGGGGAAGCTTGGGTCTGGGATCGAGAAAGTGGTGGGTGCTCAAGCCTGGGAAAGCGGGGGCTCAGAATGGCGATCAGGGTGAGACGACGGCCAACGCAAATGAGTCTTGCCAGACCCCTCTGCACCACCTGACGGTGCCAACTTTTGACTTTTGACTTTCGACAGCACCTGGCCAATCCCATCGCCGCTTCCGGTCATGTCATCACCAGCCACGGAGCCGCTTGATGACTCCGGATCAATAAAGCACGCGCGACAGACACCGGCCACAGCCACACTCGACAGACAGACGGCAGTGATCCCACAGCCAGCGATGCAAAATGATTAAGTTTCCCCTCCGTGCCGATAGATGGTGCATTACTAATCCAGGAATCGCGTCCTCTTGTCTGTTTTTCGATCGAAGCGCTGATTTTCGAGTGGCTGTCGATAATGATGGCGGTGCGGATGCGAATCGTGAACAGCGCCAGTGGCGTCGCCGGACTGCGGCTTGCGGGATGCGGGTGTTCGTTGCGGGATGTGCTGTATGGGTGCCCCCTGAATGTAGGGAAGCTTAATCCAAGTGCGCACCACTGGTGGAGTGATTATCTAGATCATCTTGACATTTATGTGAGGTGGCATGGAAGCTATACAAATCACAACATATATCCACGCTATGTACAGTCTACCTAGATATTGTATGTACAGACTATTCTACACATTCACCACGAGGTGCAACCGATTGCCAACAGCTTCGATCCGGGGTTCCTGCAATGCGAAAGGGAACAAAATTCCTCCCGTCGAAATCTTATTCACAATTAGCCATCCCCCCGAGGCCCCCAAGCATACTCACCACGCTGAGTACACACCGCAGCAGCGCCAGCACGCAAAGTTCCCACGATCTACCCTTGAGTTAATCCATTCCAACCGGAGCTCCAAACTCCGCACTCCCCTGATCCACTTGGAACTCCTCGTACCCCTCGAACCTAACCTTCGATCTGATGGGCACGCCGGAACACCTCCACACACCAACGATCTCGCTATCGAACTGTACGGGGTTCCAACGGTCGTCCGTAACGTCGGTGCCGGTCCTGGCATGTGCTCCGAGGCGATAGTTACGGCCGAATTGCACCTCAGGGATGCAAGAGAGGTCGACGATACCCGTGCTGCTGGCGGAAAGGTTAGGCCCACCTTCCCACACATTCCCGCCCCCCGCTGAGTCCGCGATCAGGAAGTAGATCACGCCTGAGCTTGCGTTACGGAGTTTGAAGTAGCGAATGGGTTGGATGGGGGGGGGATGTCACCGGGCATCTTGTAGATTTCAAGAGTATGAGGGCTGACCTTGCGGACTGGGGATCGACGATTGACAACTCAGGTCTGAGGACTGAGGTCTGACGGTTGAACGGCATGGCCGGCGGGTTTTGTGCGAGGAGAATCACGACGGAAGGTTAGAAGGCTTCAAGTTGAAGGGAGAGGTTTATCGGCATTCCAGCCCAGCAGAGTCGGTGCTCGTCCGTGCCCGTGTGTACGATAAGATCGTGAAATCTCGAACTCTGTGAATGGATGCGGTTTTCTGTCCGAAAGTTCAAGCATCCGGCGGAACCGTGGATAGTATTTGGGAGCCGAACTGGTATCTCCTCCTCTGTTCATAATCACTCGCAAGTAAGGTTATCCACGCTGCCCATACCCTCGAGGAAGTATCCGTCGTGATGTAGATGGGTCTATTAAGGTTAGTGAAACGGAATCACTCACCACGGGGCTGCAACAGGCGAGAGCACGGGCGTAAGAGCGATATCGCTGTTCCCAACCCGGTTGGAGGTTTGAAGCCAGTGTCTCCAGAAGTCCGTCACAGACATGGACCTCACCGGCAGCAAATGCTATACTCCAACCGACGAAAGCCTGTAATCATAATCGCTGCTCTGGGCGCCGACTTCGGAATACGTAGATTGCGATGAGGGTGCGGGATATTCAAACTGCTGGTCTTGGAAGGAGCCTCGATGAAGCATATACTTGTATCAGCTGAAACTGCCAGTGCGCTCACTGGCCATAGGTCGCACTCCGTGGAGCCGTGCCTGTTTGTTGAATGCGCGTGTACATACGGCACTCAATTACCGCCCCCGCTCGTGCGAAACCAGCGAATGGGTCTCTCAGATTCGCATCTTGATTCGCATTGCGTCTTTTCCAAGCGGACACTTCCACTCCATGGGTTCCGGTCGCTCAGCTGGCCAAATCCACAGTTCTCCAAGCCTAATCGCGGATTCGCGGATAACCCACTTTGCCCAGTGATACCGTGCGCACGACACCACGAGCGTGCCTAAATTCACTACACGGTAGCAAAACTCCACCTGGAATACGCCTCCGAAATGGTACAGTATGATTTTTCCGAGCGGAGGGGGTGTGGTATCATACCGAGCATTCGGCCTAGATGGTTTTGCTGGCTCGAGTATCTCCAATACGATTCTCTTGCTCTAAAGTGGGTATCGTTGTTGCATGTCAAATCATTCGTGCCCAGTCTTGCTTCCGCCGGAACTTCTCCGGCTATCCTCGTTTCCGTATCATCATGACCTAGCGGGACCGTCGCACACTGATCGATAAAACATAGAGAACGAAAGCGAAACCCCACTCCTAACCCCACGCGCCCGCCCGCACGGTCTTATCGCCGCTTCGTACCCGTTCTCTCGCTGTGAAGTCCCTATGGAAGTGTTGAGCATGTCGTTGGGCGTATGCATATGGTCGCGGCGACTCGTAGATGTTGTCTACAAACGCATGTGCGATGGTGGCATATGGGACACTGGGGCTGTACAGCTTTCTCGCCTGAGACGAGTGGATAGGCTCTACCTACACACGCATTCGGCCGGAAAAACAACAGGATCGTCTATCCATAGCTGAACGACCCCCGGGTCATTTCAAATATCTCTCATTGATATGCCTTCCAGCGTATCTTCTAATCCGGAATGAACAACTCCTCGATGCTTCCGGGTCTTGCTTTCGGGTTGTGCTTCCTTTGGCTTTCAGCCACGGCCGCAATCATCTCTACCCGCCTGATCAAGCCCAGACGGCGCCATGCGTCCAGCATTTTCTCCTCCGATGATCCGATCATCTCCCGGGGAGGTAGCCACGTCCAGCCGCTCTTATGCCGATTGTTGTAGGGACTCGATATGACTCCAATCGCCCGAATTACACGTTTGATGAAGCGCTGGCGAGGCCAGCGGGGCCTGCCGGACTGCCGCTCCGGGTCTCGTCCATCGCCCGAAACTGATGCGAATACGTCGTCACATGCTAGGAAGTGCCATCCAGGCTGGTGCACTGCAATCCAAGCTGAGGCGTATCCGCCATCACAGTGCCAGAATTCACGTCCGCCGCTCGTTTCTGCATCGCGATGCGTTCGGCGTGCGCAGAGAGACCTGCATATGCCACGGGGCTTCGCCGTATCCTGGCATTCACCGCGGCGATCTCCTGGTCTCTGTCGAGGGCGAAGGGTGCATTTTGCCATGGCGAACGACTGTCGGCTCCGCCGCCCACGGGGTGTTATTCGCACACAGCAGGGAAAACAGGTCTCGCCTGCGCGGCGGCGGAGGATCGCGGTTCGATCTCGCCCCGCGATCCGCTTGGACACGGTGCGCGGCAGTTGCAAATGCGCGAAGACTGGCTCGGCAGCTGATCCCTCTATTAGTTCTGACCGTTGTCGGTGCAGCTGGCATAGACGGATGTTTATATGTAGGATAGTTATTAGAGTCGACTTAGGCCCAGTAGGATACGGTGGTAGGAGCGCTAGCGCATGAGTGGAAGGCATAAAGTAGGCCTAGTTCGTCGTGCTTTAGGTCCGAGTAAGCCAATGGGTGTCTGCAATGCTGTGTCATGGTTCACTTTACTGAGCATTTTTCTGCACGCAGTTGTGGTTCGACTCAGTCGGTTGCAGAACAGTGGAAGGACTAAGAATTGAGGGGCCATTCAGTTACATACGCCCCGGTGGTAAGAGGTTTGTCGCGGCTTTGCCGTTAATGCTCCGGTCAACAGCCTATCATCGAGTCGTCTATTGATTTGATCCGTACCTGTACTGCGAGAGAGAGAGAGAGAGAGATCATCCTGTTTTATTTCGCATGCAGCCTATCTAGACTATGGCGAACCAATGAACTCCTTTTCCTGCCCGCCCTGGCCAGTTGAGGTGAAAGTCCCGGTACCGACCAGTCCTATGCGGCCCCAACCGTACCTGTACTGCAGTGTGTAGCGGATCAAATGCTATCTAGTCCGAGTTATGATTGATGAATGGGCCTGGGAGGAAGCTCTGCTCGGACTCGCCGCGACAATGTAGGTGCTCCCGAACAGCCGCAATTTTGCCCTCCCAAGTCCTTTTCCCACAACCATACTCCCAGCCATGAATACCGAGTCTTCGAAGCTCCTCAGTATCATACCATGCCCGCCCACTTCGAGTGGCGACTGGTATCACGCAGTAGCGAGTGCAAGGTGCGTTCCTTGCAGGCCCTCCCTCCAAAACTAAGAAATACAGATCCCGCGACCGAGTGCAAATGAGAATAGGCGGTGGAGCTAGGTATTGCCGCCGAATATCATGTGTTGTGAGGAGAGAGTTCGAAATGCTGTGGACCAGTCACGGTGATTTACCAGCCAAAAAAAAGCCTAAAAATGACGACGATTACACAAGTTACAGGACAGATAAATCAAAATCTCCTCCCTACTCCGAACATCCGTAACAGTACCGACCAACATGAAACTTCCCGTTGGCCTCAGTAAAAACCTATGCGGTAAACCCTGTGGGAGAAACCCGCCATAGGAAAAGAGCGCCAACTAGCCAACCTGCCATCCTGAAAACCAAACGACTCACAGCACGCACTTTCTAAATCCACCCACACCTGTAGCACTTTCGACTTGAGAAATCTGAAAATCACAAGATGAGGTCAGCCATAGGGCAGTTAGCAATGTGGATTTATGCCCAGTTCTCTGGTCTCCTAAACCTAACCTTACTGTTCAATATCCTGTGGCGGTTCATTCGGAGTCACGACATCCCATATGAGTAGCTGTAATCTGAAGATGTATAGGCCGTATTAGCATCACAGAATAGTACTGAGTTGATTTGCCCTCCAACGTTGGTAAGTAAGGGCAACCTACATGCTGTCGAATGCGCCGTTCAGCTGACGTTAGCGATGGAAAACTACGTCATTGTGAGATGACACATACGGCCTATTTAGTCCGGCAATGGAGTGAAATTAGTTAGGATCGATCCTAGAAAACGTGGAATAGAACAGTGTGTAATACGCACGGGCTGTTGGTAAAGGGACAATCGAGTTAGGGTTAGCGATGTTGAAGAAAGTAGGAGGTGGAACGCACAGTCTTTTCATTTAGCATATGGCCAATTTAATGAACGGATCATGGGAACGAATTGCCCAAGAGACTCACTCGCTGTCGGATTAAGGCATCGGGATGAAATTAGTGACGCACTAACGGCTCATCCGAAGTTTTGGAAGCCTCACGCGCTATCAGATCGGACCAATAGGTTAGTTATTCACCTATCCATTGGCGATTTTGAACGGAGCATTACCGTCTATCGGACCAAATTAAGGCTTGATATTACTAGGAGAATCACTGCACAGTCGGGAGAAGAGTCACTTTCTGTCCAATTTAGCGGTTTGTCTGTAATTAGCGACTAATTGAATGTGATGACGCTGGTAGGTTGTGAAGACTAACATGCTGTCGTATCAAATAGTCAGGCTCCCTCGTGTATATTGGCAGCAGACATGATTTGCTGGGAGTTTACATCTTGCTGTACCAAACCGTCAGGCATGTACATCAATCGTGGGAGCCATACTTCATTTGCTGGGAGTTACCTTTTGCTATACCGAACCGTCAGGCACGTAAATCTGGTGGGGCACACGTCGTTTGCGGAGGACTGACTGGCTGCACCAAACCGTCAGGATCGTTCGTCTGTCGTGGGAGCCACATAAGGATTGCGGGGAGCCTCACTCCCTGCACCAAACTGTTAGGATTGCCCGTCTGTCATGGAAGCACCTATCATTTGCGGGAAGGCTAACAAGCTATACCAAACAGTTAGGATCACGCGTCTGTCGTAGAAGCCACATAAGGATTGCGGGGAGCATCACATGCTGCACCAAACCGTCAGGATCGTTCGTCTGTCGTGGGAGCCACATAAGGATTGCGGGGAGCCTCACATGCTGCACCAAACCGTCAGGATCGTTCGTCTGTCGTGGGAGCCACATAAGGATTGCGGGGAGCCTCACAGGCTGTATCACACCGTCAGGATCGTTCGTCTGTCGTGGGAGCCACATAAGGATTGCGGGGAGCCTCACCGGCTGCACCAAACCGTCAGGATCGTTCGTCTGTCGTGGGAGCCACATAAGGATTGCGGGGAGCCTCACCCGCTGCACCAAACCGTCAGGATCGTTCGTCTGTCGTGGGAGCCACATAAGGATTGCGGGGAGCCTCACCGGCTGCACCAAACCGTCAGGATCGTTCGTCTGTCGTGGGAGCCACATAAGGATTGCGGGGAGCCTCACTCGCTGTATCACACCGTCAGGATCGTTCGTCTGTCGTGGGAGCCACATAAGGATTGCGGGGAGCCTCACCGGCTGCACCAAACCGTCAGGATCGTTCGTCTGTCGTGGGAGCCACATAAGGATTGCGGGGAGCCTCACTCGCTGCACCAAACCGTCAGGATCGTTCGTCTGTCGTGGGAGCCACATAAGGATTGCGGGGAGCCTCACCCGCTGCACCAAACCGTCAGGATCGTTCGTCTGTCGTGGGAGCCACATAAGGATTGCGGGGAGCCTCACCGGCTGCACCAAACCGTCAGGATCGTTCGTCTGTCGTGGGAGCCACATAAGGATTGCGGGGAGCCTCACCGGCTGCACCAAACCGTCAGGATCGTTCGTCTGTCGTGGGAGCCACATAAGGATTGCGGGGAGCCTCACAACCTGTATCACACCGTCAGGATCGTTCGTCTGTCGTGGGAGCCTCATAAGGATTGCGGGGAGCCTCACATGCTGCACCAAACCGTCAGGATCGTTCGTCTGTCGTGGGAGCCACATAAGGATTGCGGGGAGCCTCACTCGCTGTATCACACCGTCAGGATCGTTCGTCTGTCGTGGGAGCCACATAAGGATTGCGGGGAGCCTCACATGCTGCACCAAACCGTCAGGATCGTTCGTCTGTCGTGGGAGCCACATAAGGATTGCGGGGAGCCTCACTCGCTGTATCACACCGTCAGGATCGTTCGTCTGTCGTGGGAGCCACATAAGGATTGCGGGGAGCCTCACCGGCTGCACCAAACCGTCAGGATCGTTCGTCTGTCGTGGGAGCCACATAAGGATTGCGGGGAGCCTCACTCGCTGCACCAAACCGTCAGGATCGTTCGTCTGTCGTGGGAGCCACATAAGGATTGCGGGGAGCCTCACAAGCTGTATCACACCGTCAGGATCGTTCGTCTGTCGTGGGAGCCACATAAGGATTGCGGGGAGCCTCACTCCCTGCACCAAACCGTCAGGATCGTTCGTCTGTCGTGGGAGCCACATAAGGATTGCGGGGAGCCTCACAACCTGTATCACACCGTCAGGATCGTTCGTCTGTCGTGGGAGCCACATAAGGATTGCGGGGAGCCTCACTCGCTGTATCACACCGTCAGGATCGTTCGTCTGTCGTGGGAGCCACATAAGGATTGCGGGGAGCCTCACTCCCTGCACCAAACCGTCAGGATCGTTCGTCTGTCGTGGGAGCCACATAAGGATTGCGGGGAGCCTCACAACCTGTATCACACCGTCAGGATCGTTCGTCTGTCGTGGGAGCCTCATAAGGATTGCGGGGAGCCTCACATGCTGCACCAAACCGTCAGGATCGTTCGTCTGTCGTGGGAGCCACATAAGGATTGCGGGGAGCCTCACTCGCTGTATCACACCGTCAGGATCGTTCGTCTGTCGTGGGAGCCACATAAGGATTGCGGGGAGCCTCACAAGCTGTATCACACCGTCAGGATCGTTCGTCTGTCGTGGGAGCCACATAAGGATTGCGGGGAGCCTCACTCCCTGCACCAAACCGTCAGGATCGTTCGTCTGTCGTGGGAGCCACATAAGGATTGCGGGGAGCCTCACAACCTGTATCACACCGTCAGGATCGTTCGTCTGTCGTGGGAGCCACATAAGGATTGCGGGGAGCCTCACCGGCTGCACCAAACCGTCAGGATCGTTCGTCTGTCGTGGGAGCCACATAAGGATTGCGGGGAGCCTCACATGCTGCACCAAACCGTCAGGATCGTTCGTCTGTCGTGGGAGCCACATAAGGATTGCGGGGAGCCTCACTAGCTGTAGCAAACCGTTAGGGACGTAAACCTATTGTGGCACCAAATTTCATTGGCTTGCAGACTCACAAGCTGGGATTCGGGAAATTAGGCATCGGTGATGACACTATTAGTTAGAGCTTCGTGGTCCCGTGGAGACACCCACCCACTGTTGGAACGTCAAATTAGCCCTGTTTAATCACATTAAACGCCGGCCACTCGATCTTTTGTCTGGTAATCAGGGAGAGCTCACTACAACTTAACGGCTATGTCTACGGGCGTGTTCCCATGATTATCGCGGAGCCCCGAAGAGGCCTGTGCATCTTTCAGCAGTCTAGCTATTGTCAGGTCCCCGTTCTCGACTGCGTGATGTAGTGCCGACTTCCCCGCCACGTCTACACCGTCGATATTTTCGACTCCTTTGATCAGTTCTCTGGAGGCAGCTGTCAGCCGCTTCCTGACACATGAAATCAGTAGAACCTCGTCCAGTGTATGCATGTGGGTAGACCGCAGCAACTCGAAGACTCGGAGCATATCTAACTCGGCGGCAGCATCTAGAGCCCTGTGGACGAAGTCGTCGGAGGCACTCTCAGGGGGAATTTTTCGTAGAGGCGTCCTGCTTGCCATGTCTAGTATGGAAGTGAGGATAGATTTCTTCTTTTTATGTTGTCTAGCCACCAATCTCCCAAGAGATGCGGTCCCTGGAATGCTAGTCAGCTTTTTGATAAGTTTCTTAACGAGATGTAAAATCCTTTTCCCCGTATCGCACAACCCTAGATGATAGTAGACATTGAATATTGCGTAAGTGATCAACGGCCACTCGTTGAGGTATTTGGCATAACGTTGAAACTCGTTCGAACCCCAACCCTTGGTATCTGACAGGGTATCTTTCATGGAGGTTTCTGGGTTTCCCAAACAGAGCATCAGATACTGAACCGAAGTGGTAGCGATTGCGCCATGGGTTTTCTGGCTGCTCAGATAGAATTTTGAATCGGGTTTATGTTGTTTAATTTGGAGAAAAAACTCGCGGGCGGTTTGATGCATCAGTTGAACGGTTCCATCTGCTGCACAGATCATTAAACGCCGGTCGTGTTGCATTTCGACAATGGATTACCCGTAATGTCTAAGAAGTTGCCGCCGCAGTGTGCAATCCTCGCCTCGATGGCGTCGCTCAGGTGTCGCTGGAACTTAATATGTGGAGGAGTGACCGAGGAATCGCAGTCCATAGCCTGGAAAGCAAGAACATGTTGCAGTTCGACAACATTCAGGGGACGAGAGGAGAATAGAACGAACTGAACGAGCGTTATTCCGTCCTGAACCTCATCATCTCTGCCCTCCCGCTCCAGCCTGTCGAGCATATGCTTGTAGAACTCTTCCAGTTTGCGAGGAAGACACTTGAGTTGATGACTCAATTGCATATCGCTTAGGCCAGTTGATCGCAAACGGGTTAATTCGGCTTTAACCAGGTGAACCCACACAAAAACACCCTCGGCATTGGCTTTGATATATTTACCAGTATCCAGAAGGATCTGTTCGGATAACCCGAGTTTCGTCAGAAAAGTATCGGTAAACGTGCAGATATCGCCGTAGTTCTCGTGCTGAAGCCTGATGACATGCATCGAATGACGCCATTCTGTGAACAGGAGATTGAGGTCGGCAACCGGGCGACTGGCAACAAACGCCTTTACACGAAAGCCTTTTGCTGAACACAGCTTGCAGAGTAGCTCCACAATCTCGGTTCTGTCTTCTTCCATGGATTCGTCCATTGCGTCAAGAATAAGGTAGAGCGGTTTCGGTGAAATATGATCCACGAGAGAGGATAGGATCGATTTGAGAGATTCGTATGGCCATTCTTTGGCATATCGAAAGTGCCGGAATGCGGTCTGGAAATGATGGAAAACGGACTCGTCCTGCGTAAGAATACTGTGCAGAATGGCCCGCAGCATGTTCGCATGCTTGGCCTCCTCGGTGGTGCCTCGAAGGGTGTAGAAGTAGTAGGCCACAGTAGCTGACGTCGAATCTGGTACCTTCTCTGCTAGGTTGCTCTCGAAATATTTCACAAGAGTGCTTTTTCCACTACCAGGCTTCCCCTCGATGTATAGGAGCTTTGACGTCGTCGATTTCTCCCAATTCCGGTATTCTGCATTCTGCCATAACCACTCAAGCGAACCGCCATGCTGTCGGGTGATATTTCCATATCGTGTACCGTCGTGGTCTTGCAGAAGACGAAGAATCTCTGGGTTGCCAGGCTAATCAGCTGCTGTTCAGTCTCTGGAATCATGGACAAACAACCTTCTCGCTCTTGGCGAAACTGGATGGACGGTAGATCGCCTAGAAATCCCTTGAGCTCAGAGTACTGAGAGCTTGTGAGTAAAGCCTTGAACCTTGTAGCCCCCACAGCCCCCACAGCCCCCGCAGCTATCATATGGTTCACCAGGAGGGAAACGTTCCGAACGAACACATCACCCTTCATTGCCGCAATGCTGATCCCATCGATGATGAGCGATAGATGCTGGGGTCCCGCTTTCGCAAGCGCATTGATCAACGCGATGTGAAGGTCATATGAGGGAGCGTCTAGGATCCTTTCCACAGTTTTAACCAGTGGATCGTCCTTCTTGAAGCCCGACAAACTTCGCCGGATATGACCGTCCAAGAGTGACGTAAGGAAAGTTGTGGTGATAGCTTGAGCCGTCTCATCGCCCGAAAAACCGACAATCTGATGGAGCAGCGTATGGACGAAGACGGTGGCAATCGAATCCCGAGATTCTGTTGCGGTTGCGCAGAAAAAGTACAAGACACAACCGTTCGACTGAGTGGCTTTCTTCTTGGCGTTGTATATGACTTGGGAAGACACCTCCTTCGTACCGGCGTCACAGGCTCCAGATAACCACAGAGCTTGCTGCTTCTCGTCCGACTCCCATTTCGTGAAGTCGATGTTCTTAGTGACCCAAGGGAAATCCGGCGAGTTTTGGTCGACAGGTACGTACGTGGATCGGTAGGTGGTGCCTTGGTCGACAACCGACAACTGACGCGAAAGGATGGACCAATCGACCTTCGTAGCTACTGTTGCCAGAGAAATCGGAAGTCAGCCATCGGTACTCATGCTAACCTGCATTTCTGACGGGATCGCTCACCCAGATTCTCCAAGAACTCGCGTGTCTGTGCGTCTTTTTTTCTGCCGAAGTGGTAGTTGGTCGTATCTCCTACCCAAGGTCAGCCCCACGCGATATCACATCGGAACACAGCGCAGTGGCGTACCGAATGTTGTCTGCCCATGGAAAACCGGTTCATTGAATTCGTTGTGCTTGGAGGCATTGTAGGCACGAGTATTTGGCGTAGCGGTGTTCATCGTGTTGGCGTTGTGGGCGGTGTCTCCAGCGTTGATATCAGCGCCACTAGACATGGTATTGCAGGGCGTTGGGGTTATGTGTTAGCCGAACACCGGGCCAAAAAAAACGAAGCTGGAGATATAGGTATCCACCTCAAGAATCTTGTGTTTTCGTCTGATCACGGCTAGGTTTCAGAAGGCGTTCCTAAGTCAGAGGATATCGAAGGCGATGCGTGCTGAAAGTGGGAGTGAGACGGTGAAGATAGTGAACGTACTGGTGGGTGACGGTTGCGGGGCCTGTGGTTTTTTTACTGAGCCGGGAATGCCTCAGCGAAGTATGCGGCCGAAGGTTTGCGGCCAATCGTGTTCTATGAAACCATAAGTCAGTCACACCTCGATACAGAGCGGTGTTGCCAATAGAAACGCACATCAATGTCGACCACTCTATCGATACGGACCAGCGTCGCCACCAACAACGAAGTTGACCTTCGACAATTGGGTAAAAACCGAAGCCGCGTACAACCGTGCATTGTGCTTCTACACCTACCTATACTCCATCTGTTTATGTTTTCGCGACGGCCAGAACTGACGATTCGCTTGGAGTGGCTCTGTCGATAGCGCCAAGGTCCTGCGTGTCTCACATCAGCCATCACTTTGTACTTTGAACCGTTCGCCGCTCGAAGGAGAACGTCGACGGTAGGTATCATACTTACTTGTCTAACTCCACGAGGCCAGCTTCGCATGCCGGTGGCCAAGGGTGCGGACGATCTCTTCCTTCGGCAGTGTCGGGGTTGGTTGATCGGTCCGCGGTTGCAGTCGGGTCTTTCATACCACAGAACACCGGGAAAGAGACGAAGTTGCATCATGCTTGTGCAACTACCTCCTACTTGGGTGCGGAGAGGCCCAAACACGGGTGAGGAACAAAAACATGATCAAATGAACTAGAATTCTCGGTCGATGATGAAGACCAGAGACCGACCCATGAACAAGAAGAACAGATAGAGTGACAACAAACAATTTAACGTTTAACGGCAGGATCAGGTCTGCATCGGGTCCCACCAGCATAGCACATCGGTCCCACTAGGTCTCACCAATGTCTCCTCTCTCCGGTGCTCACCGATGACGCCAAGCCGCCTCTTCCTTCGCGTCCCTCAGTAGGTACTCGTAGAGTATGTACCTGGTGGTGGAGGCGGCCAAACGTTGGTCCGCCCCGTTAAACTAACTGTGACGTAGCGTCAGAAGGTGGCAGGGCATATGTAGTGTGTGTCACAGCACGGCCCGTGTGGATGGCCCAGTCCCATGTCGCCACTACTCTAGTCTGCGCTTTACTCCGCTTAGCGCCTTGGCGCGGAACGGTCTTTGAGTTCGGCCTAAACATCTGACAACCCCGCAGTTGGTGTGAAGCCAGTTGGTGGAATACCGTATTCTCCAGCCCGCACCTCGGTAGAGGCGTTCAGAGATCCGCCGTAATGGTTCTGGTTGCTCTGCTATATGGGAAGGACCGAAGGCACCTGACCCGGTTGCGGACATTAGGACTGGATACATACTCACGTATTCACGCTGAGATTCCATCAGTCATTGGTCTTGAAGATTAACATGAACTTTCCGCAGTCACCGACGTGTCAATCGCTTTCAATCGAACGCATGTAACCAAGTACATCGTAAAGATCTGCCCGGTTCACCGTCTCCACCATCGCAGGCACTTCAGTTTTCTGTACGGCCTGCACCCGATCAACTTCGTCAATTTCATTCGAGAGTCGGCTAAGTTCTTGGAGTTATATGGATTCATTGGGAATGCGAATAAGCGACCACAGGCAGTGATGGACGCGGAGAGTCAGTGGCGACCCCGCAGGCTCGAAGCCTACATGCCGCATGATTGTGTAGCTATCCTGATATACAGATATCCTACGAGGAGTAGACAACTATCCGGGTATCTCCCCAATCGGGTCTCTCCATACGATACTGGATATTCTACACAACCTGAGAGCGTCTCTACTGGCGCGAATTCGGCACGAGTACATATGTACCTACGAGATTCACTTCCTGGAACCCCGTCCAAATCTTGATTTCTTTGACATATCATTCTGTGTATAGCGATTCCATTCTGAGGCGTCACGGAACTGCCTACGCGACCATTAAACCCAATTACTCTACTTCAACGCAGTAATCGCAACGATCCTATGGCAATGACATAGTGGAGAGGGAAACAAAATGGAATACCGCCCGTTACGATTATCGCTGTACGAAGGAAAACAGCTTCAAGCCGCTCAATCTTCCCTGATGTGGTCGAGCGGATCAATAGTAATATGTAGACGAATTGACATGAATGTTTATCTAGACCACCGATGTCTCTGATGCCGTGCACCTCATTATATATCACTCGTTTATTTGCTCAAAACGTTCCGATTGATTGACAATTAGATCACGGAATATCACTAGAAGTTGCCTTCGGCGGATATTTTTTTCCCTTGTGTTCAAGTGATCTATTGTACATATTGTATTAATACGATGGGATATGAAGTGTCAGGAAAGATGGCAGGCTGCAGCTGCGTCAGAGCCTTGCGAGAAAAGCGGGAGGCTCCTGCTGTGCACGTGGCCAAGCATAGAGTAATATGTTACGACAGATACCGTGACTGCATGTGATGGTTGCGTTAATCAGCTGACGGGAATCAATTGTTCCTACTTAGAGACGTTGACGTACCGACTGGATTCTTGCTGGGTAGTCTCTTTTCCCCGCCGTCATGATCATCTGATTGTTGGACCGAGTCCCGGGCCTACCATTACTGTTATATGCGGCCTCACCGCCACTCCAGTTTTCTGAATGAGAGTGAGTCCAATTGCAGTCGGAAGTCTCCTTCAGATATCCCTACCCTGGGTATAACCTTCGATGGTTCCGCTCTTTTTCATCTGCTCTTTTTCATCCGCTCATGCACTGATGCATTCTCTAGTTCATGGCGCACGGGAATGTGATTACGATACCGTGGTATTAATTTAAGGCTCCGACATCATCACGCATGTTAGGACGGCATTTTTAGAACGGGAGGAGGGGTCACATAAGGCTTCCACATCTCACAAGTACCAGAAAAGACCGTCAGAACGAGATTGAGCTTTACAAATATAAATTTGTTGTTTGATCCTTGTTATAACGTATCTACCTACATAGGTAATGCCAGGTCATCTACACTTCTGATTCCTTTGATTTGCCGTCGTATGATTGGCCTTGATGTCGAGGAGTTGAAAGTTTAGCTAGTCGGCACTTTTGCGTTGCGCATTTAGCGGCATTTCTCTCGTTCGTCAACATTGGAACATCCTCGCAGTAGTTGAAAACACTCGGCGTTCTCACATCGCCTTGGCTATTCCCCTTTTCCGTCACAACTACTGGCATTACTCCCATTCTCGTAGCGATGTCGGGGTCAATGAACTATAGTTTCATAAGCCCGTCAGTGCACCGGCGTATCACATACAATCACTGTAGATCACTCGCAAGATCCCACTTTTTTCTGTGGAACTCTGACATCCTCGAACTTGATGAACCTCTGCAAGATTAAGCAATACGTCATGCAAAGGTGCTCTCCTCAAGAGTGACAGACAAAAATTTGAAACACTAAGATATCCATAACCGGCGAGTGACAATGGTTATAGTAACGCCCACTAGTATTACCTAGCTTTTGCATCTCGGTACACAGCACCATTCAAAACGCGAACTTCAATAACTTCTCTCTCGGGGCAATTCATATCCCGAGGGGACGTGCTTTCCCAAACGGCTCATCCGAATTGCCGGGCCGATCGGCAAGGTGCTGGATAAACTGGAATTACAAAGGTGTATTTCTAAGCGATTGCGTGCGCATCCATGTAGAGCAGCTGTTGCGCGATCGATGAATAATCATCCTCTGAAACGTCAAGCCGCCTGCAGATATCGCGAGATATTGGTTGATAATCTACCTCTTGGAAAGGGCTTGTAAACCATTTGCTTGGAAATCATGAGAGTGAGTACGTCGTGTCGTGTCTGCTACAAAACCGACCGCGACGGCTGGCATCCATTGAACTGAATATTCCCAATCATCCAACTACTTCCACTTCAATCTGTACCAGCATCAAGAATCTACACCGAGTCCGTCTAGTAAAGCAAACATGTCCACCACCGCTACCATCACCGCAACCGAGACCGAGTGGGTTCCGTCGGGCGACGTCGTCGCCAACCTCAACTTCTATACCCCGCCGGCCGACGGCAGTCGCCCCTACAACATCATCGGTAGCGAGTCAATCACGAAGAACTACGGCAGCGAGCCCCTTCCAGTCACGATTCACGATCTTCGTGGCAATGAATCCTCGCTCTCGCTCGACAAGGAAGCCTTCAGTTTCCACACCATCCCTACATCCCTCAAGTACAACGATTTTGCAGACGACCAGAAGATCGAGACCGTTTACTACTCCGAAATCAAGGACATCGTTCGCAAGCACGTTTCCGACGTTAAGGAGATCTTCATATTCGATCATACCGTCCGGCGGAACACCCTCAACGCTCTTAGGGGACCAGTGCAGGTGACCCATATCGACCAGACAACCAAGTCCGGCGATGCTCGGCTCCGGCACCATTTCCCCGATCGCGCAGATGAACTGATCAGGAATGGTACTCGGTATCAGATCATAAATGTCTGGCGGCCGATCAACGGCGTTGTCGTCAGCCACCCACTGGCCTTCGCGGATTCTTCGACGGTGGCGGATGACGACTTGGTGGCAGTGGCGCATAAGTACCCGCATTACGAGGGAGAGACGGCAGGAGTGACGCACAAAGAGGCGCAGAAGTGGTGGTATGTCAGCGGGCAGAAGGACGACGAGGTCACCTTGATCAAGTGCTTTGATTCGCATGTTGGGAAAGACGGTTCGCGGAGGAGGGTTCCGCATTCTGCGTTTGAGCACCCCAGTACTCGCGAGGGGGCAAGAGGAAGGGAGAGCATCGAGGTCCGGTGCCTGATTGTGGGGTAGTTGTCGAAGTTTCGGCTTGTGGTGTGTTTGAGTTTGAGTTCTGTTGAATATGGTTCTGCTTGGATTTGTTTGTTCCTTATAGACGAAATGAATTTCAGTGATTTTCGTGTGTTTGCCCTAGTCCAGCATGCGACATCTCTGAAGCATATAGGTTTTCCATGGAAAAATATGAGTGTAAAATGTAACGACATATTATGCCTCATAGACTTCAATTCCTCCCGAGCTTCGATAACACAATCGCCTAGCCCTAATTTGCGGTCGGGAATCTGCAGCTTAGGACTGTGGAAGGTAAATAATTAGGCTGCAGCTCATGATGCGGACGGAAGGGAAAAAAGAGAACGAGAGAGAGAATCTGTCGGTGATCCCGCGCCGGGAGTCGCGACTAGGGCTAGATGAAAGGATGGAGCAGTGATAATCAGATAATCGGCGTGAGGATGCGAGCATCCGTCGAAGCTCAGGCACCGGGAATTGAGAGGAGGGCCATGCATACTTAGAATATCAATAATTAAACAAAAATACACTGATTGAGCGCATATATGATGTATTACTACTCTCCGCAAAACATGTAAAACATGAGACAGTGGCCATCCGCCCGACAACAACTTTCCAATTAACCTGTAAACCAGAGCCACCGTCGTGCATACCTCTCGGGGGTAAAGAACAGACCCGAATCATCAAGTAAAGACAAAACGCCACCTACGTAGTGACATTTCTCTTGCTCGTCCGTCGCTGGGCGAATAGTGATGTAAAACCTATGCATCACACCGTTGCCATAGCTGTACGGGCAATGACACCAAGAAAACAACCAATCCAGACATGTCGAAGCAGGAAAATTGTCGGTCAATCCCGGAGTGGATCCGGGTGCTCGCCGAAGCCGTACTGACCCACGAGGTCCTCAGACAACTAGTAAAAAAACATCGGTTGCGGAAATGATGAGCGGTATGTCCGCTTCGTACAACGTCCAGAGTGAGGATTTGCCGGGTTAGAGCAGTCCAGTCCCCGGGACTAAAAGCCCGGTGCCCGGGAATCTTCACTGCGGAAGTTGGCTGACTACCAGTTGTACAGTGATGAATTCTCCCAACACACCGTAAGGCACCGTATCAATTCCACATCGTATCCGCACGAGCCACTGTAGTATGTATCCCCAGGTACCATGAGGATTGGTGACGAACGGTAAAGTGAAGTGAGCCGCCGGCACAGAAACAGTGGCAGCCTGCTGCGCCACCGCCAACGAGTAGTATTACTAACTGCAAACTTTCCGGACCCCAATAGGACACCAGTCCTCCTCTGGCTTGCCGGGAGCCCCACGGTCCTTGAGAATCCGGGCTCGACAAATTTGGTTCGGTCCGGGGCATATCCCAGGACGGACTAGACGGACGACTCCCAGGCCTGCAGCGGGCAGCTCATCCGGCAATCAGCCACCACACAGTTGATAACTACATTTCCGGTCATCGTTGTCCTGCCGGCCGCTTTCGCTGCGGATGAAACAAATCCCACTCGGCTTATGGTTCTCTGGGTCTGACGCAGTTTACTGGTCGGCCGTAGGCGATCTAGGTGCTCCGCAGCCCAGCAGTACCAAAAACTGCTATATCGCAGTCAGTATCCACCTGTTTCTCTCGATTAGACACCCGTTGGGACCCCCAAGGTATGCATATTGAACTCGGCTGATCGTCCTCTGGGTCTGACGACGTTTACTGTTCAGCCGTAGGCGATCTGGTTGCTCCGCGGCAGTTCTCTACAGCCCAGGAGCACCCTCAAATACTGCTATATCGCAGTCAGTATTCACCTGTTTGTCTCAAACAGACACTCGTTGGGACCCTCAAGATATGCTCATTGCACTGGGCGTATCATTCGCTGGGTCTGGCAAGGTTTACTGCTCGGCCACTGAGGGAGACGTTGGGGGTGGACTACAAGGACGCAGGCCGGGGTAGAGCACTCCCACCACCGAGCGAGACGAGACCACACGACTGTGGCAGACCGCTCACACCTGTGAGCGAGAAGTTGAGGGTGATGTACGAGGCCACACGACTGTGGTGAGTACTCCCGTCACCCAGCGAGACTAGGTCGCAGGACTGAACGCCCGTAGCGGCGCCCTCCAGTACCACCAAAACAGCGATTTGGGCATCCCCAGCCCAGGAGCACCTCCAATACTGTTTTGACAAAGAAATTTATGACAGAAAAGATTTTAATACGCGTGCGAATGCATGGCGTTGCGGTCCCGTGCCAACCGGTTGCAAACTCGGGGAGCGGTGGCCTCCAGTACCACCAAAACGGCGATTTGGGAATCCCCCAGCCCGACAGCGCCATCAAATAGCGGTCCCACAGAGAACTTTCTATGACAGAAAAGGTTCCCGTACGTGCGGACGCAGATGTAGTCGTAATCCGGTTGCCAAACGATCTAAATTCGCTGAGCAGCGCCTGTAGTACCACCAAAACTGCGATTTGATCATCCCCTAGCCCGAGAGCTCTATCAAATAGCGGTCCGACAGAGAACATTGTATGACCAAAGATATTCTCCTATGTATGAAAATAGAGGACGTTGTCCTCCTGTGTCAATCCGCTCAATTCCCATGGCCACAATTGGTGGATAGGTCAAAGCAGGCGAGTAATACAGAGTGACTACACATCATGGTGACAGTTCATGACGCGCTGTGTGCTGCGTGATAATCAGTGATGTAGAATATATTGCGTGATATGTGATGGAGGAGGATATCATTATCAACATATAAGTGAACAACCGGACTTGTGGTGGAATAATTTGTAAACATCACAGCACTATACCAAAGAAATAATACTTGTGGGAGTATTCACTGCCCTTGAGTTCTGCCCTGAGTTCCACTCTGTACAGTAGGTATCTGTCGAAGTTCAGAAATCATTGCCTTGAGTAGCTACTTGGACAACAAGGAGTTCGTAAAGACGTCATCGATGAATTCGGTGCAGAAGCTGTCAAGGAACGGGCGTAGCACATCGTTGATCAGAGCTTGGAAGTACGCAGGGGTGTTGGTGAGGCCGAAGGGCAGGACAAGAGATTCAAAAAGCCCATAGCGTGTCCGGAAGGCTGTTTTCCACTCTTCTCCTTCCGTCATCCGTACAAGGTTGTAGGCACAGCGGATATCCAGGGTGAAGTATTTCGCCCCTGATAGCCGCATCAGGGTTTCTTGGAAGAGTGGGAGTGGGTACCTGTGAGACTGGAACGAGTTTGTGTCGTCGGAGTCTATGGTAATATCGAGTGTAGAATAAAAGTCAGGGATTTCGATAATTCACAACGGAATAATCTTAAGGGTGTTTCTTCGATGGTTTGTTCGGTGCGGTGATTGTGGTTTGGTTCGGTTGCCCGCTCGGTTCGACTTATAGTCGTTCCGATCCTCAGCACGTGATTCCTCTAGAATGCGGCCTAACGTAGCTGCGTCGCTTCCTTTGCATCGGGGTTCCACGGCCTAGCCTCGAGTCGTCGTCAGCTCTCTTCGGATAGTCTTCTCGACTAGGCAGGTGGTAAGCACCACGCGCCCAAGATAGATCGGAGTTTCCGAGCAATTATCTCCCTCATGCGCCGGCAGAGTTCTTCACTCGAAGTTGTCTGCCCCCATCGGTCGATGTTCGATTCTCTCGTCATAACAGTTTTTCCCTGGATCGGAGTTCCTACTGCGGGGCCCTATGAACGGAGATCTCAAAGTCCTCTGGACTGTTATCCCGATCTCCCGCATCTCCGATCACTGTCTAGACTCTAGAATCCGTTTGCTCCCTCCTTCCTATCTTGTCCTTGATCGCTTCTAACTGTCCTTTCGGCTCGCAACTCTATTCTAATCACCCGGACTATTCAATCACATTTCATGCGACCGTCGTGACCTCCGATACCTATCGGGGTGTCACATCATCAGAGTCGTTGCAAGCATTAAGGATAGTTTATACAAACTAGGCAGGTATGGCGCACCAATCCTTACCCGAGCATAGTCCGGTTTCAGCTATCTCTTCGCTGGGCAACGGCTGCGCCTTTCGGCACGGCTCTTATTTGCTTAAGACGCGAGAAGAGGGGCAACACTCGTCATAGTGGTTTGTCGCCGATCAGAGTTTTCTCTGCGCTTGTTTCGAGATTCGCCTGTCTCAAGTCAAGCATGACTGTATCGGACTTTTCGTGCGTATCGCTGCGCCTCTGATCCCACCTAGACTCTGGTCCCGTTTGCTTCCTTCCTTCCCATCTCGTCTCTGACTAGCTACGACTAATCTAAAGGTTTCCTCCTGCTCCCCGGTCTATCTAACTATTTTTCCCGAACTTCCGTTGGTAAGAAGCCGGACCCTGAAGTCGGGCCGACTGCGACCAGGGTGTCACACCCTGCCTCTGTTCTCAGTTGCTGTCTGCACTGAGCCCTGCCTTGCCTTGTCCTCCGAACCCTTGTTGTTTCTGCCGAACCCAGTATCCAATCCCCCGCCCGGCTTAGGTACCTGGATTCTTGCTCGACCGTGCCGTTACAAGCAGTACATATCTTCATGTCGGCACTGATAACCGGCCCGGTAATACAGGGTTCCATTTGTCAATACATTGGAAATTGCGGGTTATGACAGGTTCGATGATCGGCGTGTCTCGCTACGGGGTTTTATGATGCCCTGCCTCGGGCGCTCTCGGCCGTCTCAGGGTTTGACTGTGCATCGCCTTCATCCCCAATCGCTGTCTAGCCTCTCGATCGCTGTCACGACTCGCAATGAAATGACGAAGGAGGGGTCGTAGCAAGGATCAGAAGATTTGGGAGGCAGTGCACCGACAGCGCAAGGTTGTCTTGCATAGGAGTGGGGCTGTGTGCAGGCAGCAGGGGTAGCGCAGGAATGCGTCACAGATGATTGGGGCTGTGCGCAGGAAGCAGGGGTGGGGTGGCTGCGCAGGGTACCAGTCACAGAAGCGGGGTACTGGCAAGGTGGATTTCTCAGGGTCTGGCACACGCCCACGGTCATTGTCAGGTTGCGGCAAGAAGTGGAGGATTTCCAAATAAATGGCCGTTGCCCCTCTGTACTTAGTTCTTCACGCAACCACTTGGCAATTCAACCACTGTTACCTCTGTCCTTGCCTCGGCTGCCATCTGCACCGTAGTTCCTATCTTCACCCTTGATTCTCAGTTGCCGTCTGCACTGAGTCCCGTCTTGGCTCGTCCTTCCGGCTCGTCTCGTCCTCGCCCAACCCAGTTCCTGTCTAACCGTCCACCCGTCTTCGCTAACTGGAGCCGAGCCCAACCGTGCCGTTACAATCTTGTTTGCTCACTCCTACCTAACTTGTCTCTATGCTATAAGTCTCTATTCCTGTGTTCGGATCCCTTTGGAACGAACCGCTCTTGCTGTGACTACCCCAGAGTCTGTCGGGGTGTCACACAAAGTGCAGCTCAATCGCAATGGCAATTCAGGCCTCTGCCCATAAATCACCATGTTTTGATAAGTTGTAACTTTTATTTGGGCGAAGCCGAGTCAATCGGCGGTTGTAAGTAACTGCGGCCAGTTTACAATAGTCAAATTGGTCTTTTACACTCAATTTGGCTGTCGATACTCAATGTGTTTAATGGACAGAACCCTGATTTGGCGTTGTGGTGTAAACTGGCGATTGTCAGTAAATGCAACGTCGCTCCACCACTCTCTTCGGCCATCCGTTGGTAGAACGATACCTTACCGCTCATTAGGCTTCCAGCTCGAGTGAATAGCCTTCGACTTATAAATGGAGCATTTCCTCCTTATTCGGCCGAACCACCATGCCCATCAACGTTGATTCCTACTACTAACCACATTCGCTTCCTTCCGCCAACGTCTCCTCTATCACTATGTCATCCTCCCACCGGTACCCACAGCTTTTACATTTCTTCCCCATCCTTCACTTCCTCCTCGATCACTTCCTCATCCATCACTTTCTCATCCATCACTTCCTCATCCATCACTTCCTCATCCATCACTTTCTCATCTCGCCAACAGCTCTTCCTCCCCCCGGTGCTTCACTGACAGCTATTCCATCACTTCCTCATCTCGCTGACAACTCTTCCATGACATCCGACAACCTCCCCCAGGTGCCTCGCTGACAACTCCTCCATCACATCCTTCCCTCACCAACAGATCCTCCTTTCCTCCTTCTCTTTAACAGCTACTCCTGTCCTCATCTGGCCACAGCCCTTCCATCACTTCCTCATCTCGCCACAGCCCTTCCTCTCCTCCCCCACTCTTCTCATCTCGCCAACAGCTTCTCCATCACTGGCCTCCCTCGCTGACAACTCCTCACACCTCTCCTCCTCTCCATGACCGCTCCTCTATCACTTCTTCCCCTCGCTTATCCTCTTGCTCGCAATTTCTCTTCTTACTGACAGCTCCTCTTCTCACTCATCATCTTGCTAACAGCCCCACCTCCCGCCGGCAGCTACTCCATCAATTCCTTCTCTCGCCGAGCCCTCCTTCTCCGTCACTCCACCACACGGTATTCCCCTTCGCTATCCTTCGCGCTTTGTCTCTGGTCTTCCTACAGTCGGTATGTATTGCGCTTCTAGACCTAGCTCGCTGCGGATACCTCACTGTCATCACCGGTAAATATGTGCTAAGGTAACTGGGTGAAGGCCGGAGAGCGGGAAAAGTAGGAAGAGCGGTGGGAGCGGGGAGGGGAGTGGGGAGAGCGGGGTTCAGTTTGCGTATGCTGGGAGGGGAAGATATATCGGGCGAGCAGCAGTAGCTAGAACCACAGAATTCTCAAGCAGCAGTTCCCGCTCGTATATCAGCCATATGAGCTCCTAAAAGCCAAATATTATCAATGCCAGTTGATCAACTGTGCCATATTATTGCCGGAGTAGAGCCCTATTATGGCCGGAATATGGCCGGAATATGGTCGGAGTATAGGCGGATTATAGCCGGAGTATGGCCGGAATATGGCTGGAGTAGAGCCGGAATATTGTCAGATTGGAGCCTATTAAGGCCGGATTAGAGCACTACGTTTAACTCGTGGCCATTGAGTGTAAATGTAACATTGCCGCATTACTTGTACCCTAGGGCGGACCGGAACAGATCTTGGCAGACCGTCCGGTCCAGACTGCAGTCCCGATCGGACTATGTAGAACACTGTGCGGGATGAGTCGCTATGTCCTGTTACGAAGTTGTCGATGGTTCGGAGGGTCGAGCTATCGAAGGAAAAGGGTCTGCGTAGCATCGGATGTTGGCATACCTCGCATTAGGATGTCTGTTTCCGTCTTCGGCACGGCGGACGAGCCGAGTACCGTATTTTGGTTCGCGGCCTGCGAATCACCCGTAATGCCGTCGCACCCTCACATCTGGTTCCGAAACACGCCGTATCTCCTTGTCCGCGACGAGTGCCACCTGCGCCCCGGGAGGTTCCTGTCAAGAATACGGAGATCGACAGGACGACAGGTACGAAGACATAACTGTTCTGCTGCTTACGTCTTCTTGTACTCTGGGCCGGTGCGCTTCTGTGTTCATAGAATACGGCGGCCATTGGGAGATCGCCCCGCCGGCGAGACTAGACAGAAGAACATATCTCCTACTCATAATAAAGTTCGCATGACCGAGTCCGTGACCCCATCAAAACAGTGCTCCTTGTAACTTCACCAGCGCCTTACAACGGACATGAGGACAGATCCTCCAGGTGCTCCAGATGCCGTAAGATGACAGTCCGCACGCGCGCTGGGGGTCTACTGCCACTGTCGCTCCCGCATCGGGTCGTGACACGCGAGAAAACGCGTGGTGCACTGATCGTTTCGAGCTGTGCAATGCCCGGCTTCGTGAATGGCAGTCTTCGCCGTACACACTCGTCCGTGTCCCCGTTGCCGAGGAAGCCGCTGCTTGCTGCGGCACCAGTGATGCTCCGCTCCTGGTCTCGACCGACGGACGCTAGCAGCATTGGACTCTTGGAGCCGTTGTTGCGCACACACGTGACACACCAGGGCGCCTACTAGGTTTACGCAATGAGCGCGGAAGCAGCGGGACTTTGTCGGGATCTGGGTGGGACCAGCTTTGTTGGGGGTAACACTGATGTCAGAGACCCGATGCGGTCGTTCAGTGTTTATTTGCATTTGCTGCGACGATTTCTGTTGCAGCTTACTCGCCTAGTGTTGTTATCATCATCCTCATCATCATCATCATAGTTTCGTTCCTCGTCCACTTTCGTCTTGAAGCAACCAACTAGCACTTAGTGTATCACGCGGTTGCTAGCCGCGGAGGAGGTCTCGGCCCCGCGGAGTTCATTACAAGAGTAAGTTGGAGCGTTACCGCTCAGCGCGATAATTATTTCATCTCTCACCTTACTCGGAGAGAGAAAACGGATCTCTTCGCGCAGACAGGAAGTGCGAGCGGTGACTGAGCTAATCGGAACGATTAGATCTTTACGTCACGTGGTACCGCCCAACCCCCGGCTCCCCCATAAACAAAAAAGCAAGAGCCACCGACCGCAAACCCTCAATTGTCTCTCCGTAGCTGCCGCATGCAATCATACGGGTGCCTACTCCACACGCGTGATGAGTTCCGCGGGTGAGATCTGCCAACGGCGGAGATGAATCGCACAACGGCGGAGTGGTACCGGTACGCTACGGATGAGGTGATGATCGAGAAGCGGTGCGCGTCGCTTCGTCCAACGCCTAAGCGAACCGCTCGGACCAACAATTCCTCACCGCCCGGCACCGCCCGGCAACCTCTGCCGACCGGTCACCGAACAGTCAGCACTCCCACTCCCAACTCATCGCTCTTATTCCTGACTAGCAATTCCCCGGTCGACACCACGTCAGTGGCACTTGGCAAGGGTAGGCGCAAACGTTATTCCGGTTCCTGCGTCGCCAATCTAGTCTATGTACCCGTTTAGGCAAGGCGAAGCTTCGGTGGTCGGCTGTGAGATTCGGCACACGGCGGTAAGCTTCCAGACCTGCGATAAGTTTGCCGGGACTCGGGAGGATGTACTTTTCACGACTGACGTGTGTACGCAGGGGTTCCTGCAGGACAGCAGGTAATAAGTAACGGTAATAGCTGGCGGTAATATGTAACAGACGGATGCCAGCCGGTGCTGCCAGGTTCGCCTCGTTTCGACGTCGCAGACCTTCGCTGGGCTTCGCCGAGCTTCATGCATTCGGGCTTGACAGCGGGTTACGCCCTCCAGTGTCGGAATGGCCGATTGATCGATTCGCTCGGTTCCAACACGAAATCAAAATGTTGAATTCGCAGCATCAGAAGTGGACCGGAGCCCGCCGAGACCGCGCTGGAGCACTGTCGGATCTCGGTGTAGTGTTCCAGACATATCGATGATCCGTCGTGCAGCTTCATGTGGATCGGGGGGATTACAGCGAACTCGCTGGCCATCTGCCCTCGCTGTAGGTATCTGCGGAGGAACGGTGATCGTCGAGCTATGCCATTGACCCACTAGGAACGGAAAACCCGGGAGTGAGCGGATATTTGGATGGATCTGCACCGCTCTGTTGGCGCCGACGGACGGCGCCGACAACGCCGAACCGAAAGAAAGGTCTATAAAAACCTCGTGGTGCTGGCTCCCTCTCCTCACGGATCATCACCGCAGACCTCCTCGAACCAAGGACACCCGCATCCCACCTCCACCAGGACCTTCATCAGCACCACCTCCACCACCGCGAACCCTCTGAACCATGCGTCTCCTCACCCTCGCTTCTGCCGCCCTCATCACGCTGGCCTCTGCCGCGCCACCACCCGGCTCGCTGGCCGCGCGCGCCAGCAACAGCGCCAGCTGCGTATACACGGACTCGTCCGCATCGATGTTTCTTCTCGACTTTGTCGTCCGCGCGTCGGGAAGCTGGGTCGACGACTGGGGCCAAGGGTTCCTCGACAACCTACGCGGCCAGTGCGGCACCATCACGAACTGGGGCTTCGACTTCCCCGACGGCACGGGTCGCGCAACGTTCTCCGCGTCTAGCCTGCTCAAGGCGGGTTGCGTCGAGGACGCGATTTGGCTCGCGAGTAATCCGACCGGCGCTATTAATGGGGTTAGTTGCTCTTACAATTAGGTTGGGATCGAGGGATCGAGGGGGGCGGCGGGGCGGGGAAGGGGGAGAAACGGAGAAAACGGGGGGGGGAAGTGTTGCTTGTCGATAGTCATTGAATGTAAACAGTCGGCAGGATAATGTATGCGATGTATGTCATGGTATCGTTGAAGCATACGTTTCCCATATTGCGGTGATATCCGTGAAACACGCGCCACACTCGACCCTCCGTCCAGCGTATTCGGATAGACCTTAGACGTCAAGATCGACAGTGATCTAGCGAGACCGATTCACAGTGATGTCCAGTTCTAGTGTTCGAGGACAATCGACAGGATTCCTTCACCGACAATTCTTACCGAGAGGAGAATTCTGAGAATATGTCGGATAGTGAGCATTCCTTCCATTCGCTCCATGGCCTCAACACGTCAACGCAGACCGGAATGCCACGCTGGTTACAGCTTCTCCGGGACCGCATCAAAGCCAAATCTTGGGACGGGAAGCTGCGCAAGACGTCACCTCCGGCCGACGTCTCGATTAGCGGCATGTCTGCTGCGCAATAATCCGATCGGCTGCTACGTATCGTTGGTTCACATCAACTAGAGACTTCATCTAGAGAACCCTCCCTATGTGGTGGACAATCACATCGCACGGACTCTCACTACTACTCAGGCTACCGGAAAGTATGTCCCAGTCCGAGCAGATGATCCGATTAGATCCGTGGCTAAGGTGTGGCTTCACCACCAGCCGCAACGCCACCACCTTCCAGGGTTGGAAGGACAGAATTCCCGTGACGACATTGCTGTTCAGCCGCAACACGTGACAACGCGTAGCCCGACATGGGATGACTGTCATATCACCATCGACTTCCCTACTAACGGGGGCCAAGAAAGCTCCGCAGCAACCCGTTTCGCCTCGTGGTAGACGGATGACGTGTCTTCCTGTAGATATGTAGATTCCGGAAACGCGAAAGCGATAGGTACTCAGCTGCGCTTTTTCCTCCGTAGCAAGTTTTACATATCGCCTTGCCCCTGTTGTACGTGATGGCCGGACCGACATTTTTCGCCTCCGCCGTCCCTCCATCTGAAGGGGCACTGATACAAACATTCTAGCCCAGCAGGAGCATCTTTCCGCCCTCCGTGTTTGCAATTGTGTTAGAACTTAGGATAGCTAGATGCGTCCGTCAGAAGGAAACCTGTGTTTTGTCTACCACCCACAGAGATCCGATCCGATAAGATGCGATAAGATTGATAGGATATTGCGCAGATGGTGGATTAGATACGGAGAGACATAAAACGAAACTGTGATCAATCATAAACGAGGTTTGTGATGGTGATGATGATGGGATGAAAAGCGAGATGAACAGGAAGAACAGAAATAGTGACGGAAGACACAGTTCAACGTTCAACGACCGCATCGGGTCTGCAGCGGGTCCCGGGTTCATAACGCATGCGTTCGGCCTGGTCCCCCTGCTCCCAACAAGGTCTGTCCTCCCAAACACAAGGTCTCAACCATGAGATGGATCCTCAGCCGTAGTTGGAACCTCAACCTCTAAATCTTCCTCATCTTTATTCAACTCCGCCCCCGGCGTACATCACCAAGGGGCAGTTAGAATCGTCACCGTTTGATCCCCCTCGTTACTTTCCGCGTGACCGTTCGCTGTGTTTATCACATGGCCGGTCAGCTACGGTTCGCTACAAACCATGCGATGCTGCATGCGGATCCTGGCGAATGGGCCAATCATTGATAGCAACTGTCTGTTAAAGTGGTTGGCTGGCCACTAGGCTCCATGGAAGAGGAGTGCGTTGTCTTAGGGACTGCGTCGGTTAACCGTGTTCGCCCTCGCTTTCTTCGCATCCATTTCTGCCGCCCTCCGCGACGTTCCCTACGACTGTTGCAGTTTCTGCTTCGAAACCTGCGCGACTACACTTCGTACCGATGCCGGACTTCTGGAGACTTGATCTATGGCGCTGCGCACCGGTCCGTGAGCCTGCGGGTGCCGCATCGCACTCGAACCGGCCACGCCAGCCGCCGACTCGCTTCCGGACACTCCGAATTCGCTCCATTCCGCTGGGCGTCACGGAGGATGAGTTGAAGACCCTTTTGAAGATGATGCTCGGAAGCGATGGTTTCGTGCTCTCGTTGAGCGGCGCCATGGCAACCGTTGGTTTTCCGAAAGGAAATCCTGCGAATCTTTCCGATTATTTCCCGGGAGCAAGTTACTTTCTCGGAACTCCGAGCTTGTTCGGCGCGCAAAAGCCCGCAGTAAAGTATGGACCTCCCTCCCTCTCCCCCTCTGTTCGTTCGTAAAGTTTGTGCTGAAAAGAACTGCTAGTGTTTTCGCTGTCGCGGGCCTCGCTGGTCGTGCATACGGATCACGGAGCGTACGGGGCCAACCGAGGATGTGGCTACGGGAGGCATTCCCGATCGAAATCGGAGAGCACATGAGGGTTCTCACGTTCGGCTACGACATGGGTCTGCGGGACAACATTGTCACCATCCCTACCCTCCAAACCTATGCGAGATCCCTCTTGCAGAGTATATGCCTAGCGCGGACGGAAGCGAATGTACGTGTGTGTCTCAGAAACCCAACCGCGGGCTCCAGAGTTGACGGATGTCTGCAGGAACGCGGCCGCCCTGTAATCTTCATCGGCCACAGCCTCGGGCGTTTGGTGATCAAACAGGTACCCAATACGGTGGCGCTTCCCGTGGACGCGATCGATGCTCATTGTTTGCAGGCACTCGCGGATGCATCTCGACTCTCGGTCGGTGGCGATAGCGATCAAGCGAACTTGAGCTTGTGTGTCGGCCTCTTTTTCTTCGGAGTGCCAGACCGAGGTGTTGACCCCCAACGCTTGAGGACATTGATACGGGACCAGAATGATGTACACGTCATCCATAACCTTTCGGAAGGCTGCGAATTCTGGAGGTCCTCTTACGATTGTTTCTTAAGAGCGACCAAATCGAACCTCGATGGTTTTCAAATCGTCTCGTTTTTCGAAATCGGTGGCGCCGAAGCCGTGAACACACTACCAGATGTCGGCTGGATGGCAAGTGGCGAATTGATTGGAGCTATCGCGCGGAAAGGAGCGACCCGTGGCCTACCGAACGAGGCCAAGCATCAGCACGTCACGATCGACGTCGATCACTCGGTAGAGCTCCCCGACAGCTGCGGCCATGACTACGTGATAGTCAGGGAAAGGCTTTCAGAATCTGTCCGGAATGTTCTGAAAAGAAGGAACGACATGCAGGCGCACCGATCCGAAGACGAGCAGTCGGTTTCGCCATGTGACGAACTATCGAATCCATCCGGGAAACAGCAGGAAAACTTTCAGGGGGGGGTGGTGGTCAGCATGCATTCCCGATATCAAAGATCATGACGGCGACTAACGGTGATTTGTGCAGATGATGGTAGAGCAAGATGCGTTCGATATCGAGGCAGTAGCCTCAATGAATCCCTCCAGGAACGAGCAGAAGAACCTTCAAGGAGGTGTGGTGGTCAGCATGCATTCCCGATATCAAAGATCCTGACGGCGGCTAACGGTGATTTGTGTAGATGGTAGTAGAGCAAGATGGGTTTCATATCGAGGCAGTAGCCTCACAAAATCCGTCCAACCTTCCGAGCATCGGTCACCAAGCCAGCCGCTGCAGCTCGAACAGCAGCTCGCACACGACAACACAAATCAGCAATATTCTCACGGGAAGCTCTCGTGCTTACAAAAACGCGAAGCACAACGAGTTGAACTACCCGAAAATCCAAGGGAGTGTAACATTTGGTTCGTCGTTCTATTCTAGACGGGACCGGGCAACTCAATGGGCCGTTGGCTGACAAAGTGTTTGCAGGAGATACATATACGAACCATTACCACCCCCCAGAACCTGACTCCGGGAGAGATGCTCAAAAGGAAGAGATGTTAAGAAGTTTTGGTATGTTAGGAAACAGTCTTGTGGTTTTCATCGACTGATTTGCGTGAATAGCCGCCGAGTACTGCGCCAACGACGCCCCGTTCGATTCGTGTGGTTCGAACGGCAAATCAAAATGCTTAGAATATACGCGAGTCGACCTCCTGGAGAAAATTATGGAATGGTCAGAGGCCTCGGATGGTGCATGCATCTTCTGGTTGAATGGAATGGCTGGTACTGGAAAGTCTACTATCGCTCGTACGGTCGCCGGCAAGTGGGCTAGTGAAAGACGGCTCGGGGCGAGTTTCTTCTTTTCGAGAGGTGAAGGATATCTGGCGCGTGCTTCGAGATTCTTCACTACAATCGCCTACCAGCTGGCGCGGTCCGGCCTTGCCCCTGCTGTTCGCGAGGCTATATGCGCCTACCCCGACATCCCCCGGAAGAACATGAGCGAGCAGTGGAAACATCTGATCTTGGAACCATTGTCGCAGCCGTCTCAAATGCAATCGTTGATACTTGTTATCGATGCATTGGATGAATGCGATGATGAAGCAGATGTTGAGCAGATCCTTGGACTTCTCTCCCAGGCGAAATCTCTCACCCCTGTGCGATTGCGGATATTTGTCACCAGTAGGCCAGAAACCCCGGTTCGCTACGGGTTCCAAGATATACAGGAAGCTACACGGCAGGAGTTTGTCCTTCACAATGTTGCCAACGCAATAATCGATCAAGATATATATGTTTTCCTCCTCCACGAGTTATCCAGGATCCAGAAGCGGCGCCGGTTGTCGAATGAATGGCCAGATCGCGAAAAGCTCCACCGTCTCGTCCAGAAAGCGGATGGACTGTTCATATACGCTACAACGGTCTGCCGATTCATTGGGTGCAAGGACAATGTTCCTCAGGATCGTCTCGCTTCGGTATTGGAAGAAAGTGTGGAAGACGGATCGTCGACAAAGCAACTCGACCTGATATATACGACGGTCTTGGATCATGCGGTTATCAAAGGCCGTGAGCCCCAGACGCAACAGATACTGTTACAACGATTCAGGCGGATCGTCGGTTCGATTGTGATACTATCCGACTCCTTGACTGCTAGGGCTCTTGCACAACTCTTGGGCACTCAACTAACGGAGGTGGAGCAAACATTGGACTCACTGAGTTCTGTATTGACGTTTTCGGTTTCAGGAAGTCAAGAATCTCCGATACGGCTTCTGCACCTGTCGTTCCGGGACTTTCTCTTGGACGACCAGAGATGTCAGGATCCACATTTCAGCATAGTTGGAAACGATGCTCACAAGGACCTTGCATTGAGCTGTCTCACGCTCATGTCAAGATCTCTAAAGGAGGACGTATGCTCTTTACGACATCCGGGTTCTCTTACCAGTGAAGTGGATCCTTCGACAATACGGCGTTGTCTTCCCCAAGAGGTGCAGTACGCGTGCCGCTACTGGGTGGATCATATTCGGCATAGTAACGTCACGCTATGCGACGGCGGAACACTGCACGACCTGGTCCACGCTTTCCTCAAGCAACACCTTCTCCACCTGTTCGAGGTTTGGAGTCTGATGGGTATTATGCATGACGCTGTTCTCATGGTTAAGCTTTTAGATTCAATGCTTACGGTGAGCCATCCGAATATTTTCGAGCGTTCCCTGTTTCTGGACCTTCATCGTCTGTCAGTCGTCAGTCGCAAGTGGGCTTCCAGTATATAGCATCCACGAAAGTACCGTTGGTTTCAGCGGATGGGCATTTGGAGTGGATACACGCTTCGCTCTTTAGCGACGATGGCTTACCTCCAACAGGCAAATTGGTGTGAATCTTGTTCCGAAACATGCTGACTTTGACGTCCAGCCCAAAGCCAATCATAGCTTACGCGCGATGTCGCGTGACGCAGTGCGATTCATTCTCAATACCAGAGCGATCATCGAGATTGCGCCTCTCCAACTATACTGTGCAGCTCTACCTTTCAGCCCATCAGGAGCCATCCTCAGGAATCATTTTGCAGACAGTGTCCCGAGTTGGATAATAGACCTTACGGGTGTCCCTGAGGACTGGGATTCCTTGATGCAGGTACTGGAGGGCCATTCAGGGGGTGTCAGTGCAGTGGCATTCTCGCACGACGGCAAGCTGCTGGCATCGGCATCGGCCGACAAAACCGTCCGGCTCTGGGATCCCACGACGGGAACCTGCCGCGCCACTCTTGAGGGTCATTGGGATAGGGTCGGGGCAGTGGCATTCTCGCCCGACGGCAAGCTGCTGGCATCGGCATCGGCTGACACAACCGTCCGGCTCTGGGATCCCGCGACGGGAACCTGCCGCGCCACTCTTGAGGGCCATTCGAAATGGGTCAGTGCAGTGGCATTCTCGCACGACGGCAAGCTGCTGGCATCGGCATCGGCTGACACAACCGTCCGGCTCTGGGATCCCGCGACGGGAACCTGCCGCGCCACTCTTGAGGGCCATTCGCAATGGGTCAGTGCAGTGGCATTCTCGCACGACGGCAAGCTGCTGGCATCAGCATCGAACGACAGAACCGTCCGGCTCTGGGATCCCGCGACGGGAACCTGCCGCGCCACTCTTGAGGGCCATTCGGATTGCGTCAATGCAGTGGCATTCTCGCACGACGGCAAGCTGCTGGCATCAGCATCGGACGACAGAACCGTCCGGCTCTGGGATCCCGCGACGGGAACCTGCCGCGCCACTCTTGAGGGCCATTCGGATTGCGTCAATGCAGTGGCATTCTCGCACGACGGCAAGCTGCTGGCATCAGCATCGGACGACAGAACCGTCCGGCTCTGGGATCCCGCGACGGGAACCTGCCGCGCCACTCTTGAGGGCCATTCGCAATGGGTCAGTGCAGTGGCATTCTCGCACGACGGCAAGCTGCTGGCATCGGCATCGGCTGACACAACCGTCCGGCTCTGGGATCCCGCGACGGGAACCTGCCGCGCCACTCTTGAGGGCCATTCGCAATGTGTCAGTGCAGTGGCATTCTCGCACGACGGCAAGCTGCTGGCATCGGCATCGTACGACAAAACCGTCCGGCTCTGGGATCCCGCGACGGGAACCTGCCGCGCCACTCTTGAGGGTCATTCGGATTTGGTCTGGGCAGTGGCATTCTCACACGACGGCAAGCTGCTGGCATCGGCATCGTACGACGAAACCGTCCGGCTCTGGGATCCCGCGACGGGAACCTGCCGCGCCACTCTTGAGGGCCATTCGCGTTTCGTCAATGCAGTGGCATTCTCGCCCGACGGCAAGCTGCTGGCATCGGCATCGTACGACAAAACCGTCCGGCTCTGGGATCCCGCGACGGGAACCTGCCGCGCCACTCTTGAGGGCCATTCGGATTGCGTCAATGCAGTGGCATTCTCGTTTGACGGCAAGCTGCTGGCATCGGCATCGTACGACAAAACCGTCCGGCTCTGGGATCCCGCGACGGGAACCTGCCGCGCCACTCTTGAGGGTCATTCGGATTGGGTCAGGGCAGTGGCATTCTCGCCCGACGGCAAGCTGCTGGCATCGGCATCGGACGACACAACCGTCCGGCTCTGGGATCCCGCGACGGGAACCTGCCGCGCCACTCTTGAGGGCCATTCAAAGGGTGTCAGGGCAGTGGCATTCTCGCCCGATGGCAAGCTCCTTCTAGTAACATCTTGGGACAATACCGTCCACTGCTTCGATGTCGAGGAAATCCTTTCAACAGTGAACACCGTGGCGGTCTCTAATCCATTCATTCCTATTGTTCTGCATTTTAACAGGTGTGAAGCACTCATGGAGGTCGCTCCTGGTACTGATATTGGGTTTAATCTGGGGACGAGTTCACAGAGTATACTGAGTTTGAGTGGGGGCTGGGTAACCTTGGGAAAGCAAAAATTGCTTCTCCCTCCTTCTGATCTCCGGCCGCACGTTTTCGCAGTATACAATAACGTTGTTGCTCTCGGGTGTCAATCAGGTAGGGTTTGGTTCGTGAAACTTGATCTGGACGGGATTGCATAAGGTGAGTACTTGCGACGGGATTCGCACGTGACAGGTCGCTGACTGCGCATAGGTCTCGGTGCTGAAAACCGAAGTGGGAAAGGCCTTGAGAGTGCTCGGTTTTCTTTCCGCTTTAGGAAATTGATCTTGTTTATTAGACGCATTGAGGTCAACATAGATGATGTCGGCGTGGGCGGAACTGCTTTACCATCATCGTGGTTGTCGTTCTGTGTTGACAATCATACCGGTCTTCCGCCGAGGTGGCCGAGTCAGACGTGGTGCCTGGGGCGCGGTGGCAGCGGCCGGGAGCCGAAGGGTGAACCGTCAGCTATCATCTGGATACATGCACATATATTGAGGACCTACTGCTATCATGAGAGGAATACTATTCAAGTCTTTCTATCTTCATACTCCGGTATCTCACTGGTTTGACCTTCGGAATAGGACTGCCGGCTAAGTACATCAGTGTTCTACACAGACCAGTCCCGACCAAATTTGGGCATGGTTTGGTGGGTCGGGCTATATTCCGACCAAAACAAAGTCTGGTCTGGTTGGGATAAGTCGCGCTAAGAAAGTATAAACGTTGCAATTTGTACTCTTTATGATCACCTACCTCAACTAGATCGTCCTCACATACGGCGGCCAACATCTCACCAATTTCCTTCAGATCCGCCTCGTTCGCCGCAATCATCCGCCTCGTTCGCCGCAATCATCCCATCCCTTTTCCAGCATTCCTGTGGTCTCCCGGCATTTCTGCCACAATTATAGTAACATTCCGGGTGCTCAACACTTCCAGCATTGCTTCGGTCGTCATTGACACATTCCGGACGCACAACTATGACAGAAACATTGGCGGCTGATACACTTCTCTGTTATCCCGTCCAGAAAAAAATCGGATCCGGTCGGCCGACCGGTCTGGTCTATGTAGAACACTGAACTACATGCATACCTATCGCAAATACCACAACGATATATCCTTTCTGTAACCGTTCTACATGCGAAAGGAAAGACTCCTATGGCCACCACCATCATTCCAATGGCTGCCGATATCTCACCGGTTGCCGCGCAGGCGCCGTTGGCGTGCGCATCCCACAAGATCGGCCGTTCTCAATAGCGCGGGTCAACCATCGTGTGAACGCGCGATCATGTGTTCCAGCGCCACCATCGTCGCCGCGACGGCAAGGGATTTTCGCGTTTTCGCATGTTATCGTGTAGTTATTTTCCTTCCGGCAAAAAAAAACACCCCCGAGCCTGCCGTGGCGCGGCCGGGCCATGGATAGCGATGTCACCGCCGTCGCCGGCCGCGTCGTGGGGAGACTAATGGCAGCGGATTACACATTTACGTCGGGTGTCGTCGGTATAAGCCTCGTCGGCCCCGGGGGGCGTGGTTTGAGTACTGTACTTCAGTAGCCGAAGGTTTACGTGCTTCTCGTGTGTCATGGATTACCGTTGGGTACTGGGGAAGCCGATATAGGGTGCCGGCGCCGAATACGCGAGCCATGTCCCGTCATGTCGCGTATTGTCGGATAATGTGACAGAAAGGTAAAATTCGAGACGTTAGATAACGATTATTGCCAAGTGGGCTAGGTAGCAGTGGCTAGTGGTGGTGGTGGTGGTGGCGGTGGTGGTGCGGCTGGTGGTGCCCACTCCCGTCCGGCGTATCGCCTCTCTGCATTCACTTTCTCGTCCCGTAGGTGGGCTACTAGTTTTGTTGAGAGCATCGAAGGGAGGAGGCCATGTACAGACCTCAATCAGATCTTGTACTTGGGAGAATATACTTTGTTGGGACATCGGGTGATCTGGTCAGACCTATGCGTTTGCGAGGTGGGTCCCGGCGCAATACTGTGCTTGAACTGTTGGCTGTTTCTGCCGTCACTATTTCTGTTCTTCTTTTTCGTCTTGCGTTTCTTCACATCATCATCATCATCATCATCATCATCATCATCATCATCATCATCATCATCATCATCATCGTCATCATCATCATCATGTTCATCGTAGCTCTGAGCATCGAGCTATCGAAGGTGAAGGAAAGTATGGGTAGTAACACTACCATTCGCTATACCTATGATGTAGAGCTTAGCACAGCTCGGACGGGCTCATAACCAGGCGTGGTAAACACAGTGTACGAAAAAAGACCCGGGTGGCGAGGGTTGACACATCGACTGTGAAGGTGGGTAGTAACGCTACTGGCGAGTCGCTGTGTTAGAACTTACCAGAGCTCGGACGGGTTCATAGCCGCGCGTAGCAACTACACAGCACGGAAAAAACCCGCGTGGCCTAACGGTCACGCACCCGGCGTAGTTAGTATGGACATCGGTCCAGCTATCGAGGTTTCCAAGCCAACCCACCGCTGGTGGTGATGGTTTTGTTCTTTGTTCGGTGGCCACGGTGCGAGGCCGCTTCGGCACGGGGTTATCACATGCCGTGGTTCCTTTTTTTTTGTTCAAAGATCATTGCATTCGGCGTTGGTAGATCATGGCAGATTGCATGTGCTTTTCCATCAGGCCGTCATCAACCGCCGGCCGCGAGCTTCATCTTCGCCCGCGATTGCTGCCCGCCTAATCATCCCCACCAAGCTAAGAATTCCAGTTCTTTGTCCCTCGAATTTCCACGCAAGTGCTTTTCATCATGTACGACAGATTACGAGTGACCTTTGTGTCTCCGTAAAAATTACCGCCGAGTTCAGCGCCGATGCGATTTCAGGTCAGCGTTCCTCGACGGAGACAAGCATCTTTAGTTGCCACTAAAACTACCCGTAGCGATGTGTGCCTCTTTTAGAGCTATACGAGTTACTGGCATAGATCGATCATCGAAAGCCACGCAGGCCAGTCACGTGCTCATTAGCAGCCACCACACGGATCTCACAACGCCATGCAAGGTTCTGAAGCACCCCGTCCCTCGCAGAGAAACCTCACTTTTATCTTCAACATAGCTAGGAACTGGAGGGATCTGGGGTCATCGAGTGTAAAAACGCACTGCACCCGGATGGATTCTGTACCACGGGCTGCTTCTCGTTGCCATCACGTGACGTCATCCTGGATTGTACGTGAACCCCGATCACGCGGTTATTCAGCTTCATGTCGCTGTGGGAACTGGTGTGTTCCTGTGAGTAGCCCACTAGCCGTCGGCGGACTGGTGGTGGCTGCTAGCGAAATTTGGTTCGTAGCGGGTCGAAGGTCTGTTTTCTTTCTCTCTCTTAGCTATACCCCTAGACAAAAACACAACACCTGTCCCTATCTCGATGGTTCCTGTAATCTCTACCAATGATCCTTACAACAGTCACGTCGGTTCGGGCCCGACACGGAAAAGCTGCCGTTTGATGTATCAACCCCCTCAAAAGGAATCATACTTCACTTCGGTATTCTTTCTTCAAGCTCGTCTGTCTCGTCACCTGGATACCGGTATGTAAATTTATTCTTCTTTAGTCATTTATGAGAAGCAAATGGATGGAAATGTGGGGTTTTCTTTCATCATTTCGCATTGGGGCCAAGATGCCGGGCACCGAAATCCTATCGCTACATGTGGCAATAAAGCATTCAAGCAAGAGCGCCTCCGAGCTCCGGACAATTCAAGACGTTCGAGCGCATGGCACAAGTGTGACGATTCGAGATGAACGCAGGCGTGCGCGCCTCACTCCGGCGTACGTATAAAAGTGTGGCACCCCCTACCCCGGCGAGCGCTTTCACCTGAGTCCGCAAATCTCATCCGGCCCTCGAACCGCGCCACCAACCATTTGTACCTCCACCTGCGCCTGCGGCACGGACCACGCGTGCGAGCTAGGGCAGGACCGATCCGCACCGACGGAGCTGGGCTGCATGAATCGCGAATGCGGCCAATGGATGTATTACCGCTGCACCATATGGTTCGCCGAGGAGTACCTCTACGCTTTGGACAACAGCCAGCGAATGCCGTGTGGTTCCGAAGCTGACAGCTCATATCTCGTCGAATCCTATTGCGAATATATCCGGTTCACTTTTCATATGGGCGGCTTCATGTCGTTCAAGAAGCTCCTCATCCGCACGAAGCACGCGGCGGGGGGCTGAGCGAAAACGTTATCCTGGCCGGGCGCAACGCGTCGCCAGTTGCGGCTGTCTTTCGAAAAGTTGTATCGCTGTATGTACCGAGGAATAGGCGCTGGTTCTCGCCTGGAGCCATCGAGGTCACAGATATAGAGGGGTTGATGGAGTCGGATAAGTAGATAGAGAATTATACTGTTGATCTGCATGATTATTGCCAGGTGGGTAACTGTCCATATGGTTGCTCTCTCGGTTCAGGACGGGACGCTCCTACGTGATTCGGGGGCTTTCAGAGTGCACAGAAGCCCAGGGAATATCGCCGTGCTCCATTGTCATAGTATTTCAATCACCGTCATCGCCTCCGGCCTCATGAATTCCATATTTTTTTCCATGATGGAGGGCAAGGTGATGGTGCACATACCCACATTAGCAATATCGACCTCGAATGCCACACAAACCTAACCGCATACAAAGTTCAAGAGTGGCTGAATCACGGAAAAGAGCTGGAACCATCACTGCCCCGGCGGATTCCTGTGTACGTGGCTTGGAACAGGTGATCCTATCGTAAATAGTCTGGACACGAGCTGGTGTCAGCCACAGGATCTGACGCGGTGGATAATCAGGTAATCAAGTGATGACCGGCGGGTCGCAAGCATTTACTGATTAAACCAAAAAAAAGCTAGAACCGTGGGTTGTACCGCGGTCCCCAAAAAACATAAAAACCTTCATCACCCCCGGTGGGGTACCTTGGAAACCCTGATAGATGGACCGATGTCCATACTAACTACGCCAGGTGTGTGACCGTTAGCCCAGGCGAGGTTTTTTTCCGTGCTGTGTATTCATTACGCGCGGTTATGAACCCGTCCGAGCCCTGGTAAGTTCTAACACAGCGACTCGCCAGTAGCATTACTACCCACTGTATACCTTCACAGTCGATAGGTCAACCCTCCGAGCCACCAAGAACGTAGTGCCTTCGTATCTGTGTAAATCACACCCGCGAGGTGCCGCCCGAAGAGTTTTGATTCTGATTATAACCATTTTTGGCAGGTTGAGCAACAGACTTATCGGCCACGCCGGAAAGTGTGCTATCGCGGTCGCCATATACCCTAGGATACGTGTAATGCGGCATAATGAGTACGTACGCCCCTACCTGTCGTCCGTTTTCACGGCGAATGGCAGTGTTTGCGGATGTCAGTGTAATTCACTAGTAATTGCGGTAATGGCACGCCATGCGATCAACGAAGGAACTTACAGTTGACAATAACTGCTCAAGGTAATAAAGTTTTGGATGTTAGTAAAGGAGCTATTGTCGGTCATTGTGACAGAGTCCAATCAATAGTACAATGTCTTAGCCGCGAACAACCGCTGGCCTCGCCGTGTCACGCTATTTTTGATCGTCTATGCTGTAGATGACGGTGATGAGAGAGTGTGAGATCGAGCCTTCGATGTCGCTCGTCTTCCGGCGCCATACCGTAAGGAAGCTAGCAATCATAGATTCGTAACGTCTGCGTTGCGAGCGCGGGCTCCCTTCGTACCCCTTATGAGCCGGCGGCTACCGGCGGTCGCCCGGGAGCCGCCGCTCACACCGGAAGTCCCTTCTCCTGTGCGGAACATCTTGGTGCAGATGGCCAGATTCTGCCACCTCACCCTCTCCTCTAGCCAGATCGGACGCAGGTTAAACTCTCGGGGGAGCCGTGCGCGTACGGTTTCGGCGGGGGCACATGTTCGAGTCTCGTTCGCATCCAAGACTTTCTGGGCGGCTTTCTGTGCTGGCTTACCCTTGGACTCAACGGCTGCCCCCACGAAACGTGGAGTTCCGTGCCATCCCATAGGCGGCAGACCACCAACCCAAAATTCTGGTTCGCTTCGGTATGCATATGTTAACATATCACTGTATCCGCCGGTCGCACTCACTCGACGTCACGTGACCAGAGTCTTCTTATCGCTACCGTCATCCACAGGACCGTAGCACAACCACCTCATGAGGACCCAGATGGTGTGACCGCCGTATGTGGGTCTTCCGCTTTCAGCCCGCACGGCGAAATGCTGGGTACCCCAGGAGTGCCTGAGATCATCAACGGGCTCCCCCGATCAGTCTTCATGGTCTGGTGATTACCGACGACGGGGCGGCGAATGCCCAGTACCAAGGCGAGAGAACCTGAGAGTAGGTTCTTCCCAGGTCTTCCCTAGTCTATCCTTTCAAAAACAAGGTCTCAACGATGTCTCAAGAAAGTCTTTCTCTCTCCGGTACTCACATACCTCGACCCCGCGCTCGCCCGGTACCTGCATACGGGTCTTAATCCATGCGTCGGTTAACTAGCCTCCGTCATGCAGGGCAGCGGCATTGGCCGTGGCTTGAAAGTTGCGCCACGTGTGTTGCACAATGGATCACCCAAAGTGGTGCAGCCACAGCCCGAATAATCCACACGTGATCGGGGGATCTCAGAGCAACATCCCGGCCGAGGCAGCCGAGCGTACGCGTTGGGAGGCACCAAGGAAGAGATTGCTTCGCCGCATGGGAAAGCACCGGAGGGAGGAGAGACCTTATTGAGACCTTGTTGAGACCCGGTGGAACCTGGTGAGACCTACTTTTTTGGCGCGTAGACCCGATGCGGTCGTTAAGCTTTGCACTGTTTCCTGTTCTTTCTCGTCTATTCGTCTTGTCGGTCCGTCACCCGTTCAACACATTTGAGATTAGTCATCATCGTCTTCATCATCATATAACTCCTTTTCGATTGATCATGTTTTTTGAGCAAATCCGCCCCTGTATATCAAAGCTGGTGCGACAGATCACGCCCCAAGCCGCTATTAGTGTCATCACCCCCGAAGACGCAATTACCACCCCAGACGGACCGGAAATAAGCTACTACACCCAGAGCGAACAGCTACATGCGGTAGAGGATGAGGAAGCCGATCTTCACCGATCAGTACCTAAACCCTCGTGCGGCAGCGATACCTACCCACTAGACTTCCATCAGTATCTGCCGTTTCAGAGGGCGTCCGAACGACAGTATCAAAGAGTTTCTCGACTATGTATCCTTAGTTGCTAAGCTGGAGGAGGGAAACTTGACGGGTCCGGCGGATTAGGCCAAGGCAAAGAAGGCAATATCAATTTTTAAGCTCGGCTCTCAGGTTGCGCATCCTCGGGGATACATGAACCTATTGTCAAATGAGCGTTCGGAGATGTGGCCTCAGGGTAGAGCCGCCGCCGGAAGAGCGATCGCCTGAGGTAACTAACGGGTGTGTATATATGGAGGCCTATCGCCGTGGGTATCAATGTTCTCTATCGTCTGGTCCGTCCGTCCTGGACCTCGGACATGACGGCCGTCCTACCGCGGTCCAACGCCAAGCCTTGAGAAAACCCAGACTTCGGGCGTGGACCTTAGGCGTCCGAGTCAGAATCCTGCTACGTTTCGCCGCAACACCGTCGGCATGACGAGACAATTTGTGCACTGTAATATACTCTACGACCTCCTCATAAGTCGCGTTAAGGATTTCTAAATCAATAGAGTAGTAGGTGTAGAGTGAGCAAGGTAAAATATGTCGCTATAGTAAGTCATGACCAGCAATTGCCAAAGGTCGTTGATCAACATACAAATGACATCATAATGTCTCACTCGCACATCTGCAAACAGATAGTGTATGCCCCTATTGGGACTGTGTTCAGAATAGTATCACGTGATATGGACAGTCGTCTTCCACCATCGGACCGGGACCGACCCTTCCGTCCCAGAATCGGACTTGACAGAGAAATTCTGCAACCGTCAGGCGTTTTGGCCGTCCGTCCCGTCTGGACGGCCCTCCGGATCGAACGATGGATAACACAGGCTCAGATCGGTTCACAACCTCGCATAGTAGATTGATGGCACGGAAAAAAACTCCGCGTGTCGTAACGGCCACGCACCCGGCGGAGTTAGCATTAACAGCGGTCCATCTATCGGGGTTTCCAAGCCAACCCACCCACCCCCGGGGTGGTGAAGGTTTTTGTTTTGCTTGGGACCGCGGTTCGAGCTCGGTTCGGCACGGTGTTATCACACGCCCCCTTCCAACACCGGCACGCAAGAGAGAGAAAGGAGGAGAGAATGATGGAAAGAATGAATGGAGTTATTCGCTAGTCCAGCCCTAGTCCCGTCCCGTCTAACCTCCTGTGAGCTCAACCAAAAATCCCAGTTCTTCGTTCCTAACACCCGAGTTTTTAACTATGTTCTCCGGCACGACTGGCCGATCGTCCTGAGTTCGATGTCTAGCTCGGCGGAGTTGGGAGCAAAAGGGGTAGGGTCTCGAGTGACTCGCATAATGTGAGTGCAGTGTTCTACATAGACCAGACCGGTCGGCCGACCAGACCTGATTTTTTTCTGGTCGGGATATTTCCCGACCGACCAGACCTTGCCAGGCTGGGTCGGCCCAGGTCGGCCGACGTCGGGTTAACTGCTAATTCTATCTGCCGCAAAACGTTCCTTACTTTCTAGCGGGTTTTAGAGCATTTCCGGCTTCAAATATTGTTTCTTAGCCCCACCTCTCAAGACCTATGCCTAGTCGGTCGGGATATATCCCGACCGGCCCGACCAAACCCAAATTTGGCCGGGACTGGTCTCTGTAGAACACTGTGTAATAGTGAGTGATTGTTGCGCATCCTCGTGGAACGAATGTTTATTTGTCAAGTACGCAATAACTGTATGGAGCGCACAGCTTGAACAAAATTGGAAAAGAACAACGGAAAGCAAAGCTTGTAGTACAATCCATACCTTATGCCAACGACTACTTGACCCACTTCTCGAGGAACGCAACAGTCTGATCGTCCCCTTGATCTGCGGGCAACCCGATCAACTCGTGCGCACCGCCGGGGACCTCTATAAACTCCACCTCGACACCGGCAGCGCGCAACCACTTCACGAACTGCCTCGAGTCCTCAACAGGCTCCACGCCCATCCTGCGCTGACTCGTGTGCCATTCCATCAGGAAATCCAAGAACAGCCCGTTCGCGAACTACCAGAGGAAGAATTGCGATCTGCCACCGACGGCGTAGGGGTCGGCGTCAGCCTGCTTGACTTTGGAGCTCCCTAGCAGCTGTGAAATCCTCCTCACTTAGCACCGCCGTGTCGAAGACGCCCATGACAGGCATGGCATCCCTCTTTTTCGTGTACCAGTCTCCCGCCAGATCCAGCATTCCGTAAAAGTTCAGCAGCGCCTTAGGCTTGATCGTCCTCCAGTGAGCAGCAGCGAGTACAGCGACGATGACGCCGCCGCTCGCGCCTGTAACAGCGATTTATTCGTATCTATCCGCATTTCCTCGGCGTTCGCGAGGATCGACGCCTCGAGCTGCGCCTGATCCCGCAGCAGCGACAGCCCGCTCACTTGCGGCAGCAGCGAGTAGTCCGGCGAGATGACGTTCCACTCGCGATGCAGCATCGAGGCCAAGACGGCGTGCGGGTTCCACATGTCGCGCGTTCCGGTGGCGACACCACCCCTTGGAAGGTGATCACCGTCTTGCGCGGGACGGAGGTGCGAGAGTCGACGGAGGAACGCGCGAATATGTCGAGTTCGGTTGGAGGCGATGACTGGTACACGTGGCTTGTCCACGAGAAGTCGGCGCGCATCTAACAGGAGAGGAAACATGAATGACCATGACATGATAGAAGCAGCAAGCCACAAGTCGGCCATGTAGAAACCAATTACGTGACAAGGAGTGAACACGCGAGTGACAACCAAAGAAGAACCAACGAAACACACCTGACGATCAACACACATACATGCAAGCGAATGAGTGATCCCCGATGAATATCCGGATGCCAGCGATTGTTCACATGCCAAAAGAGTGTTGATTACTAAGCGACGGACAGTATGAAACATAAAGAGAAGAAGATCATGTAGACAAAAAGAAAGCACCTGAGCGTATTACCGTTGCAAAAACTTTAGTTAGCCCACTTCTCGAGGAAAGCGACTGCATGATAGTCCCCCTAATCAGCCAGCAACCCGATCAATTCGTGCTCCGCACCAGGAATCTCTATGTACTGCACCACGACGCCGGCACCTCTCAACTCCTTCACGAACCGCCTCGAATCCTCCACCGGAACAAACGTATCCGCATCCCCGTGTATCCCCCAAGAGGGTGGCATCTTGGACACCAACTCCATCGGCAGGATTTCAGCTTCTCTCTCCTCGGGCACCCGCTCCACTCCTATTCCGCGCTGACTCTCGTGCCTTCCCATCAAGAAATCGAACGTAAATCCGCACTTGTTCGCCCACAGCAGGAGGCGCATCCTGCCGCCGACAGAGAAGGGGTCCGCATCGTTCGTCAGGACATGAGAGCTCCCCAGGAGCTCCGCAAACTCCTCCACGGCGACTTCATGGGAAGTCATCCCCTCCACGACCGACAGTGCTGACGTCGGCTTCGCCGTCGAGTACAAGTCCGAGCGCAGATCCAGCATGCCGTACAAGCTCAGCAGAGCCTTCGTCCCGAGTTGCTTCTAGTGGGCGGCGGCGAGCACAGCGACGAGGAGCCCGGCGCTCGTGCCGCCGACAGCGATATAAGCCGTGTTGATCCGCAGCTTCTCCGCATTCGCGACGATCCACTGCTCGAGGTGTGCCAAATCGCGCAGGAGCAAGATGCCGCTCGACTGCGGAAGCAGCGAGTAGTCGGCGGAAATGACGTTCCAGCCCCGGCCCAGCAGCGTCGCCGCCACGCCGTCGGGGATCCACATATCGCGCCGTCCAGAACCCAGACCGCCGCCGTGGAATGCGATCAGCGTGCGTCGGGGCGCCGAGGAGGAGGACTCTACGCTCGGCGGCGCGAAAATGTCAAGTTCCGTTCGAGGCGAGGATTGGTAAACGTGGCTTTCCCACTTGAAGTTGCTGTAGAGAGCCATGCTCTGCGGTGTGAGGTTCGATTGAACGGAAAGGATGTACGGTGGATACTTAAGTTCGAGAGTAGCGTTTGATGAATGGTGTTTTGAGACTGCAGGATAGTGGAAAAGCTTTATATTCGGGGGGGGGGGGGGGGGGGGGGGGGAGGTGGTGTTGATGATGTGGATAGAGGAGTGGCTTAAGTATGCACGCAGCCGACGATCCCGGGCTGGCTGTGCCCGACGGAGGACACTCTCTCCAGGCTGCGTGTTCGTCATGAGGTACCCATGTAACCGATACAGGGTTCTTCCCGAACTCCGGTCGAAAGCTTCCCGGTGAGAAATCAGGACCGAATCTGCGCAGCTGCATGCGGAACCCTGGGTAACTACACGTATACGCGGAACCCCGAGTACGTACTTGCCCGCGAATGAAGAATCCGATGTGAAGCACCAGCTAGCCGAATCCCTAGTATACGGTCAACAACGGATGCAACATCACGGTGCCAGTATTCTACATACCTAAACCAAACCAGTCGAAGTCGGTCCGGATATATCCCAACCAGACCGTGGCTTTGGTCGCATCTGCCCGCCTCCCCAACTAATCCAACAGCGCGCAAGCTAAGGGGATGGCGAGTGATAGCGCATGCAGGCACTCATTCAGCAAGCCCATGGGACACCAAAAAATCGCCGTAACTAAGTAAGTAGCTGTCGCCGAAAGAAACACGACGTGGACTGTCTTCTCCAACGGGACCAATATTTCGCGACCAACGGGATCAATGTTTACGGGATCAATGTTTCGTGACTAAACAGTGAGTCCAGGTCGTGGTCGCTAATAAAGATCCGTGCCTGAGACCCTCGACAGACTGGCGATGTGGCGGGTACACAACTGAAATATAAACCTCCCCAAGTCCTTCATGGAGTGCCTGCATGCGCCATCACTCGCCATCCCCTTAGCTTGCGCGCTGTTGGATTAGTTAGGGAGGCAGGCAGATGCCTGAGATGAGCTATTTGATACACAACATATATATAGACTTCCGAATTCTTGGTCCAAAGGTTATTCAACCCAGGTGGCTCAGAAGGTTGCTCGCCCCAGCGGCACTCGGTTGACCGTCCGTCGCAGAATTCCATTCGCGCCAACATCGTGTTTGTAAACTGGTCACGTCACCGACGGAGAAAGTCACAGCTATAATAAGCATGCAACCACAATTCGTTATGGCTGGAGTACGCCAAGGTACGGCCAAAACCCGGGACAAAATCCAAATGATCTCCATTCCTCCTCACATCCACCGCTTCACCCCACACGCTATGACGCGTAGCTCAAGCTGCGCAGCAACGTACATACTAGAACCTAACCCAAAGCTAAGCACCAAAAGTGACAGAACAACAGCCCAACGCAGAAAAAACCGGCCACAACTCCCATTGAAACCCCCGTGATTCCAACTTGAGAAAAATCACCCTGACCATGTCAGAGCCGAGTCAGAATAAATTCGCCTTGGAGAGCTCACCGAAAGGAACCAATTCCAAATCAAAGGTAAGGAAACAAACTGTCCCAGAGCTTTGCCCGAGAGCAATTGTATTGTTTTTGACGGCGAACCAGCAAGTGAAATAGTCATGGGGAAGGTAAAGCAGTCTGCGGCCGCCCGAGTATATCCAGTCTTTACTTGCGCTCAACATGAGCTCTGGATACGAGACCGCTCCCGGCTTCACTTCCAAATTGCTATTCTGTGCAGAAATTTCGTAGAACTTGGCAGCTTTATCGGCCAATGTTAATACGAGCCCCTTGCCATCAAAAGAGAATGCCACAGCCCTGACAAAATCCGAATGGCCCTCAAGAGTGGCGCGGCAGGTTCCCGTCGCGGGATCCCAGAGCCGGACGGTTGTGTCAATAGATGCCGATGCCAGCAGCTTGCCGTCGGGCGAGAATGCCACTGCATTGACCCAATCCGAATGACCCTCAAGAGTGGCGCGGCAGGTTCCCGTCGCGGGATCCCAGAGCCGGACGGTTGTGTCAGCCGATGCCGATGCCAGCAGCTTGCCGTCGGGCGAGAATGCCACTGCCCTGACACCCTTTGAATGGCCCTCAAGAGTGGCGCGGCAGGTTCCCGTCGCGGGATCCCAGAGCCGGACGGTTGTGTCAATAGATGCCGATGCCAGCAGCTTGCCGTCGGGCGAGAATGCCACTGCATTGACCCAATCCGAATGACCCTCAAGAGTGGCGCGGCAGGTTCCCGTCGCGGGATCCCAGAGCCGGACGGTTGTGTCAGCCGATGCCGATGCCAGCAGCTTGCCGTCGGGCGAGAATGCCACTGCCCTGACACCCTTTGAATGGCCCTCAAGAGTGGCGCGGCAGGTTCCCGTCGCGGGATCCCAGAGCCGGACGGTTTTGTCGTACGATGCCGATGCCAGCAGCTTGCCGTCGTGCGAGAATGCCACTGCACTGACACATTGCGAATGGCCCTCAAGAGTGGCGCGGCAGGTTCCCGTCGCGGGATCCCAGAGCCGGACGGTTGTGTCGTACGATGCCGATGCCAGCAGCTTGCCGTCGTGCGAGAATGCCACTGCACTGACCCATTGCGAATGGCCCTCAAGAGTGGCGCGGCAGGTTCCCGTCGCGGGATCCCAGAGCCGGACGGTTGTGTCAATAGATGCCGATGCCAGCAGCTTGCCGTCGGGCGAGAATGCCACTGCACTGACCCATTTCGAATGGCCCTCAAGAGTGGCGCGGCAGGTTCCCGTCGCGGGATCCCAGAGCCGGACGGTTGTGTCAGCCGATGCCGATGCCAGCAGCTTGCCGTCGGGCGAGAATGCCACTGCCCTGACCCAATCCGAATGGCCCTCAAGAGTGGCGCGGCAGGTTCTCGTCGCGGGATCCCAGAGCCGGACGGTTTCGTCGTCCGATGCCGATGCCAGCAGCTTGCCGTCGGGCGAGAATGCCACTGCACTGACCAAACGCGAATGGCCCTCAAGAGTGGCGCGGCAGGTTCCCGTCGCGGGATCCCAGAGCCGGACGGTTGTGTCAGCTGATGCCGATGCCAGCAGCTTGCCGTCGGGCGAGAATGCCACTGCACTGACCCATCCTGAATGGCCCTCCAGAGTGGCGCGGCAGGTTCCCGTCGCGGGATCCCAGAGCCGGACGGTTGTGTCAGCCGATGCCGATGCCAGCAGCTTGCCGTCGGGCGAGAATGCCACTGCATTGACGCAATCCGAATGGCCCTCAAGAGTGGCGCGGCAGGTTCTCGTCGCGGGATCCCAGAGCCGGACGGTTTTGTCGTCCGATGCCGATGCCAGCAGCTTGCCGTCGGGCGAGAATGCCACTGCACTGACACCCTTTGAATGGCCCTCAAGAGTGGCGCGGCAGGTTCCCGTCGCGGGATTCCAGAGCCGGACGGTTCTATCGCCCGATGCCGATGCCAGCAGCTTGCCGTCAAACGAGAAAGCCAGCGCTCCGATCATGGCTGAATGTCCTCCCAGTACCTGCAGCGACGCGCCCCAATCCTGGGGAACCGGTAGTGCCACTTCCACAATCCAGTCCGGGATTTCATGACGAAATTGGTCCTTCAGTAAGCTCCGCCCCGGGCTAAAGGACAGAGCTGAGGAATACAGTTGGAGAGGTGCAATCTCGATGATTGATCCGAAATGTAGCATAAATCGGACTGCGTCATGAGCCATTGCTTGCAACGAATAGTTGGCACTGGAAGGCTTCAGCTAAAGTAAAGTCAGCAAAATTCCGTGGCAGCAGTCACACCTTCCGCTGCTGGAGCGATAAGGTCATTGACGAACAGTCCGCTTTCATCATACACCGATAACCTCGATTTGGCGACTTTTGCCTTCCGAGTTTCTGCAAATTCCATGCACTGGAATCTGCTGAATGTACTCGACGGCAAATCCGAAAAACAGAACATCAACAGGCTGGAGTACTCACCCTGAGCATGGAGGCAATGGCCTTGACCATGAGAATGCCGTCATGCATATTCCGCATCAGGCTCAGTGCCTCCATCCAGTGAAGGAAATGTTCTTTGAGGAAAGTATGCACTTGGTCGTGAAGTGGCTCGCTGTCGTGGAGTATGGTTTCACTTCGCTGGAGATGATCGACCCAGTACCTGCAGGCATACTGAACCTCTTCCGGAAGACAAGGCTGCACTATCCGAGGATCGATCTCCTCGATGAGGCTACCAGGGAGCTTTAAGGAGCACACATCCTGCTTGAGATGGCGTGACATGAGCTGCAGGCACCTCATCGCAAGTTCCCTGTGTGCGTTATCCGCAATGATGCTGAACCGGGGATCGTTGCACCTCCGGTTGTCAAGTAGGAAGTCGCGGAAAGACGGATGTAGGAGCTTAATGGGGGTTTCATCGAATTCGGGATAACGCAATATAGAACCCAGAGATTCTACTGTTCGGTCCACATCGTACGGTTGCATGTTTAAAAGAGCAGATAGGGCACCAACAGTCAATGCTTCGTTTGATACCACAATAGATCCGACGATCTGCCTGAACCGTTGCGAAAGTCGCTCTTCTGAGGTCGACGACGCCTGACCTCGAACTTGGACTGCGTATCGTATAATCTTCAGGTACATCAAATCGAGTTGCCGCAAGGTTGACGACGTTCCGTGTTCATTGCTGTCGTCCAATACTAGGGCGAGACATTTCTGTGGAGAGCGCTCCTTATCCCTGATGAATCTGCATACTGTGGAAGCGTAGATGAATAGTCCCCCAGCTTTCCGCACGAGACGCCCCACACTTTGCTCGTCGGGCCAAGGTTCGGGTAAGTACCGGCGACATTGCCTGATTTCGTTTAATTCGTGGTGGAGGAAACTGGATATATCGGCATCGACTATGTTGTTGGGGATTTCATGGAGAATGAAGTGTTGATATACAGCCTTCCGTATTTTGACGAAACCGTGGCGGATCGGGGTTTCCGGTCTGCTTGTGACGAATACCAACAAACGCACCGAGCTTTTGAGGAGAGTTGCCTCGGAAAGGATTTGAAGTATCAGTCCGGTGTCTTCTTCGTCATCGCATTCGTCCAACGCATCAATGACCAGCATCAACGACTGTGGTTGAGAGGATACACCTTCACCCAGCCGAGAAAGCGGTTCAAGGATGAGATGTTTCCACTGCTCTCGTAGGGTTTGCCGCGGGATATCGGGTCGGTCGCATATAGCCTTGTGGATACTAAACGCAAGACTGGGCTGCGAATACGCAAGCTGGTATGCGAGAGTAGTGAAGAATTTGGAAGCATGGGCCCGGTCACCTTGACCTTTGGAGAAAAAGAAACTCGCACCAAGTCGTTGCTTCTTTGCCCAGTTGCGAGCGACCGTACGCGCTATAGTGGACTTTCCAGTACCCGCCATTCCATTCAACCAGAATATGCACGCATTGTCGGGCGTGTCTGACCAGCTCACTATGTCGGCGAGGAGATCGACTCGAGTTTCTGCCAAGCATGTAGGCTCGTGATCCGAACCCCGCGAGTTGAATGCGGCGCCATGAGCGCAGTACACAGCGGCTGTGTGACACGGTCCACGTAAGCTATTGAAATCGCATTACAGCTTCCTCTACGTACCAAAAGTTTCCAAGTCTTCCCGGGTTTGAGCGTTTGCGGCAAGGCCAGGTGGCGGGATGTAGTAGATCGTTGTATTTCCTAAATAGAGACAGTCCGTATCAGTCAAAATGATGCCTAGTCGTAGAACATAACAGGCTGACGTACCTATTCCTACGGGCCCATCGAATTGTGGGTGCACGAGTTCGTTGTGCTTTGAGTCCTTGTAGCTGCGTGAGGCGTCTGTCGTCACGTTCACGCTATCTCTGGTGGTGTCTGCGGTAGAGGTGTTGGCGATGTTGGCGATTCGACCGATGTTCGGACTGCCAGAAGCATTCTGAGAGATGCTGTCGGAGTCAAATCGCTCCAGTATCGGCTGTGTGAACCACCGTTAGCAACTGTCCGGGTCCCTCTAGCAAAAGTAAGTCAATTCGGATCTCCGCCCGTGGATTACTAACATCTAGATGGTTCTCGTGCTCATTCCCGGTTGGACGCTGGTGCTCGTCGCCGGCTACATTCTGGTGCTGGTTTCCGGACCGCTTGTGATCCTCGTTCCCGGTTCGAATCTGTTGCTTGTTCCCGGTGCCACTGGTGTGCTCATCCGATCGCGGACCCGACCGCACTTTCTGTGACCAACGCGCCTTCAACCTTTCTAATTGGGGCCAAGGAGACATCTTGAGAGATGCTCACGATTGGTTAACTTTGGAGATTTCCAGGCCGTAGCACGATTCCTAATTCCGAACGAGGGGCAAGGTTCGTGGGAGGATGGTGGGAATGACGTTCGATTCCGCGTGCGGGGGTGATTATCAACCGGTTGCGCCAGGAGGAAAGGCCGCAAGTGTGTCCTCCGGCATGTACGAGGATCTGCGAAACTGCGCAGACGAGCGAGATGGCAAGAAAAGCGGATGGGGGGATGGATCGCAATGATGGTAGGGAATGGGGGATGAGGTGGCGAGGCGTGTCGAGCTCGGGCGGGGCTCGTCTAGAGTAAGGAACCCTAGCCCATGTCGCAGCACAATGCGGGGATGTCAAACGTGATGTGTCAGCCATGTCTTGCCGCGTATCGTCACGTAAATTGCAATGTGACCGAAAAGCAACGTTCTTGACGATGAAACGCTACGGAACGACGTGTATTGATTCGAAATCTGCCCACCCGAGAAGCAGCTGCAACTACACATTCTTCTTCCTGGCCAAGCCAGCCAAGAAACTCATGAGATCGCACTCCGAACTGAAATCGAACAATAATTTCTCCATCTACCGGTTTCTCGGCGTGTCAGTTCTGCAGATACGAGAGGATGCCACGGCCGCACCAACGACTCCACAAATGACGAGGTGTAGAAGCCGCAAAGCTGATGATCATCCAGCCACCGGAGGAGACCGGACGGAATGAACATAGCTCTCAAGAGGACATCTCCATGCGACACTTATCGGTATCGGGAAATATAGTTGAGCTTCGTACCACCAGCGGCCCGGGAATCCGATCGTGCAGTCGCATCCGAGTTGACGAGTGAGAGCCAGTGATCCCAAAGTTACCGGCAGGTACATGTTTTCCTTCGGCAGACTTCGGAACAGCGTCTGTTACCTCTACAGCGTGGGTCCCACTACATCCTGGAGCCAATTACCGTCGCAGGAACGCAGTTCGCTGATGAATGATGTTTCCCTATAGCCAATTGCTATCCACCCATGATATGACTCCCGCAGACAATCCGCGCTTCGGCCTTCAGGCTTAATGAGCATAACCGGATGGCTACTCTGGTGTGCGTGTATGTAGTATTACAAGAGTCTGTGGAGTGTTGGTCCACATATCAATAATAGACGTCCGAATGGCCCTAGAAGGCGATCACCATCGGCACGCGGCGGTAACTACCGCTATGGGCACGTTTTCCGTGCCTGGTTGCAGTACTGGCTCCATGAATCATACACCTGTATGTGCATGTAAAGCAACGTTCTCTAGTCTTATGAACGTCAATAATACCATCACTCTTGCTCTCCATCGTTTTCAAGATATAGTGCACATGACACGGAAAACGGCGTTAACGGAATTCGATACGACCGACACAGCACCACCCGGATAAGCGATTCACCCCGAGTATATACACCATTCACTTTACGATGAACCCCCACGCAGGAAACCACCGCTCGACCGCAGCCCGGCTTTATGTACGTGCACACATACCCGGGCCCATCACTTCGGAACGTTTAATCGGAAAGAGGGTGGAAACCATGTGGCGCCGTGATCCCGCAGGACACGAACCAATGCCTGGTGGCCTCCACTCGATGCGAGGTGCAATGGTGGCCGCGCCCAATTATCGGCCGCCCAGATATCTGCTCCTCGGTCGATCACCAGGCTGGCGAGCATCTCGTGTCCTCCGCTCGAGGCCAAGTGCAGCGGTGTCCTGCCGTCGTGGTCGGCAGCCGCGACATCGCCTCCACAGTCAAGGAGTGGCCGGGCAACCGCCTCATCTCCTCGCCCTGAGGCCACAAGAAGCGGCGTCCGGCCCGATCTATCCACCGCCGAGACGTCAGCTCCCCGACCAACCAGCTGGCGCACCACCGCCTCGTATCCCCGCTCTGTGGCCACGTGCAGCGGCGCTTGCCCCTCCTAGTTGACGGAATTGACGTCGGCTCCACGGTCGATCAACAGCCGGGTTACCAACGGATGTCGTCGCCGCAAGGCTAGGTGCAGGGGTGTACCCGACAGAGTGGTGTGCGAGGCACAGACGTCGGCTCCACGATCGACGAGTAGCCGAGCCACCGGCTCAGACCCCATCTCCGCGGCCACATGTAGCGGCGTCGTCCCGCACGTTGCAGTAGCTGATACGTCGGCTGCTCGGTCGAAGAGCAGCGCGACCACCGCTTGGTGTCCTCCCGCAGAGGCTAGGTACAGTGGAGTGCGGCCGGATACGTCGGCGGAAGAGACGTCCGCCACCGGTCGGCCAGCAGCCGCACCACCGGCTCGGAGCCTACCTCCGACGCCATATAGAGCGGCGTTGTACCGCTTGGGGCCGTAGCCGAGACGGTGGCACCGTGGTCGAGGAGGAGCGCGACCATCGCTATGTGTCCTCTCCCAGACGCCAGACGCAGCGGTGTTTCCCCGTTCTGATTGCCGGCGTGGACGTCGGCTCCCCGGTCGATCAGCAGCCGCGCCACCGTTTGATACCCGAGCTGTCGGAACAGGTGCAGCGGTGCACTTAGGCAGCCTCCGGCCACGACGTCGGCACCCCAGTTGACGAGCATTAGGGCGACGTCCGCGTACCCTTTCTGCAGAGCTACGTAGAGCGCGGCACTCGCGTTTCCGTCGGCGGCAAGTAATTCTGCACCGCGGTCGACGAGTGGGCGTACCACGGCCTCGCCCCTCCTTCCCAAAGCGACCTACAGCGGCCTCGCTCCGTTCTTATCGACGGCCCAGACGTCAGCTCCACGATCGATGAGCAGACCAGCTATCGCATTGTGCCCGCGCCTCGATGCGACGTGAAGTGGTGTCCTCCCAAACTTGTCGGCTACCGTGGCTCCGGCGCCACAGTCGAGCAGCACCCGCACAATCGCCTCGCACCTCTTCTCCGCAGCGGCATGCAACGGCGTCTTTCCGCTCCCATCGGCAGCCGAGACACTAGCTCCGCGCTCGACGAGTAGACGCGTAGTCGCCTGGTGCTGCGCGCTGAGCACGGCGGGGCAATCCCTGCGGTGGAGCTGCCGCGCCGCCAATGGCGAGGGCCGGCACCCCAGCGCCATGTGCACGGGTGTTAACCCGTTCTCGGTGGCGACCGAAACCGCGGCTCCGCGGTCGACGAGCAAGCGGACGACGGCCTCGGACCCGCTCTCGGCAGCCACATGTAGCGGCGTCTCGCCGCTGGGAACGGCAACCGCAATGTCGGCTCCCCGGTCGATCAGCAACCTCGCCGCCGCCGCGTGACCCCTCTCCGCCGGCCGGTGCAGCGGCGTCTCTCCGGACTTCGCGATGGCCGTAACGTCGCCCCCCATGTCGGCGAGCAGCCGCACGATCGCCACGTTTCCTCTCTGCGCCGCCTGGTGCAGAGGTGTTCGCCCGGACCTGCTGGCTGCCGAGACGTCGGCTCCTCGCTCGACGAGCAGTCGAACGATCGCCCCGAACCCCTTTTCGGCAGCCAGGTACACCAGCGTCTTCCCGTCCTCGTCGGCGGCCGAGATTTTGACTCCCCGGTCGACGAGCAGCCGTGCCGTCTTCTCCTGCCGCCGTTCTAGTGCAGGTGCAGTAGGGTCTTCCATCGGGGATAATCAGATGCCGAGACATCGGCCCCCCGGTCGGCGAGCCACCGCACCACCACCTCACTCCCTTCCATCGCTGCCAGGTGTAGCGCCGTGCGCCCGCATGCGTCAGCGGTGGTCACGTCAGCCCCCCGGTCGATGAGGAAGCGCGCCACCTTCTTTTCGCGTCGCTGCAGGGCGATATGCAGCAGCGGCTGGCCGTCTTCGTCGGCGACCGCAATGTCGGCCTTTCTGTCGAGTAAGAACCCCGCGACATTCAGGTCACCAACGCTGCAGGCTTGCAGGAGCAACCAGTCAATGCGGGCCTTCTCCACGAACACGGACTCGAATACCGACGTAAGCTTCGATACCAACCCAAACACGCAGACCGAAGTGAGGACATCGTGTCCTCCTTGTTGCACAGCATACGCTCGACGCCAGAAAGCGTCCCTACTGTTTTTCCAGGTCATGACGTTCCTGCGGAGAAGGTCGAGCCAGCGCCGGCAGTGTTCGCCCAGTAGGAATCTATCCCAGAGGCCAGCCAAGATGCGACAGTCATTCCCAGCATCACGGGCAAGGTGCCACGGCCAGAACACCATCGCGTACAGCAGCAGGTGCCGGCCGCGGTGTTCTCCTTGTTTGGTTCTCTTCGTCGTGTCGTAATACTCCCATGACGGGGCGCACAGAAGCCCAATGCAGACCTTCGCGATTTCTCTGTGGGATTCGGCCTCACACAGCTTCGTGGCGAGGTACTCATCGACGGAGAGGTTCGCGAAGCGAAAGACATTCAGGCGATCGTCCAAGATGAGAAAATTCTGGCATACAGTCTAACCCCTGCTTCGGTGCCGACCGAGGCCATCGCCACCGCCGCAGAAAGCCACATTCGCCAGCCACTGGTGGGGCTTAACTAGGTAGGTAATCAGTACCTGAGATGTGTTCTCGTTATGCCTGGATCAGCAGAAATGGATTAAGGAGAGACGCCGCTCAGGGAGGAAAGGGGGATGGAAAAGCCGCAGAGGAAACCGGCAAGCTACATCCCCTCCGAGCACTTCCACTCCGAGCGCTCACCGGCGTGAAAATATCGGATGATATATGATGAACAGACAGATCCAGCATTCGTTCCGAACCATCGAAGTCGTGAATGGCCGTGCTGCATATCGCCATAGAGAGATAGAACATTAATTATTTGTCGCATGCGGCCGCATATCGCTATACCAGAAGCCACTGGAGGGTTGCAAAATTGGCAACGAGTTCTCGGGCGAGTTCACCCCCCGGGCGGCATGGATGTTCATGCCAAATTCGGCTACTACTACTACTACTACTCTACTGCTACTGCTACTGCTACTGCTACTGCTACTGCTACTGCTACTGCTACTGCTACTGCTACTGCTACTGCCACTGCTACTGCTACTGCTACTGCTACTGCTACTGCTACTGCTACTGCTACTACTTCTACTACTACCACTACTACTAATATATATTAGGCTGATTAGTTATCTACTGCGGTATCGTCGTTGTGATTGGCCGGCGCCGTGCTCGCTTCGACTACTATTACCAACCGGGGGTACAAATATTGGGACATCAACGCTCCTACTAGTAGTTAGTAGTCCGGACTACATTACAGGTGCAAAAGTACCGGCGGCAACAGAGATACAGACATTGTAACAGCGACTGGAACAGCGACTGAGCAGTGAGAGGAACATGGCGATCGATAATCTCGAACTCTGGCTGGTTCAAATGTATCTACCGTACTGGATGGCGATACTGGTAGTTATGGAATAGACGACACGAGTCAATAGATCTCTGACCGGCTACGCCACGTATCGTGCCTGTTTCTTTCCCGGTTGGCATGCGTTCCGGACTCGAATCCTCGAATCCTCAGTCACGTCGATAAGATCATAGTAGGCTCCCCGGTAGTATGCATGGCTGATAACGCGACCATGCGCGGCGATGGAGGAATCCGCGAGACTCCCGAAGCCGGAGCCACAGCCACGATTCTCGGGTAAGATCTGAAGCAATCCCCTCCAGATACTAGCTGCAATATTGCCTCCATTGCCCGGCTTCCTCCCTGTGTGTGCCCCCCTTCGTGCGGATTTTCATAGATGTGGCAGCTATGTATCACACCATAATACGATGCGAATCCACTCGTAAGGGCGGTTCCTACTAGTAAAGTGCGCACACAACCAGCGGAGTACTAATATCCACAGCGAACGGCAGGGATAAAACCCCACTGCGCAGGCATGTCGCAACCGTTGCAGCCAGCCTATCATGCCAGTCAGTCAGTCAAGCCGCCCAGTGAAGCCTCAAGGCACAAGGCACACTGCCGGCCAGTTCAACTGCGCGTTGCAGTGCGAATTGGAGACAGCGCTCGGTTGGTAGGTGCGGAGCGAGTCACGAGTGCGTGGCGGAAAACACGCAAAGTTGCCGTGACCACACCGTTAGTCATCTTCTGCCGTTTGCTGCCAACTGCCAGACTGTAGTACCGGCACTAGCTCTGGTACTAGCAGCACTGGCAGCATTGGAGGTTGTGGAGGTTGCGGATGTAGTGGACTGTGGAATCGCCGTGGCCGGCGAGGGATCTGCCTATCGAGCCTCGACCAAGGCCGACGCAAGTAGGAATTGCATACAGGCCCCATTGGCGACGTAGCGACCGTCTGTTTCATGCCAAAAGGTGACGGGCGCATGCGCCACAGGTCCACGATGGCAGGGTCGACAAGGTCTACTCTGGATCGAAGTTGGAACAGAGCTTTCCGCTACCATCTGCCATGCCCATCTCGCCCATCGGCCCGGCGGCGTCGGCGGCAGCGACTGCGCCTGACCAGCGCCCCCTCAGGAAGGGAAGCGAGTTTCCGCGCTAACTACCCCACGCAGAATCCATCATACGTATCCCAGCGCAGCCTGCGTTTCGGAACGGTCACCGGTGGCACCTGCCAAAGTCGCCAGAAGTCGCCCACATCCGAACTATCCGCAGCCCTGCATATTTATCTACATAAGCCTTCCGTAAGCCACCGTCGCGTAACGGCTACTAGTGGGATCGGGCTTGAGATCTGCACCAAAGCTGTTACGTAACTTGTCGATGCACCGCGCGACGCGGTTCGCAACGACCGGGGGCCTATGTACGTAGAGGCAAGTGCGATATCGGTCAAGAATTTGCACTGGATAACTACTAGTACCGGTATGTGAGATGTTTCCGGTGTGCTTGTACATACGGCGGATCTAACCAGCCTTCCGAGTGGAGTAGACTCCAGAGTATGTACTCTACCTGGTAGACGTTCCAAAGCCCTAGAGTTCGCTTCCACCAGTTCTGCGTCGGTTATGTAGCTCCAGTAAGCCGCCTTAAGTGCCCATAAGCCCCCACGGTACCGGTAATCAGACCGAGGGATCGAAGCATGTACATATGAAGAGTATGCACCTATATACATAGACCTCCGGTGAGCACCCCAGCGCAGTCAGGATGTGAATTATTTCCTGATGCGCGTTTTAAACGTTTCCGTCCTCTGGCAGTGCGCACTGCGCGCGAGATTAGATTTGTTGGAGAAGGGAATTTCAAATGAGAGCTGCTTAAAGGGTGACGCAATAGATGGACAGGTAGTCTTTCGGCCTGGTGACTGTTTGCACGCAGCCACACCTCAGGGTTCACAGCCGACCCTATTTCGTGGTTCGGCGTTGAATTGGTGAGCATCGGCGGCGTCCGAGCGAGACCGATATGGACACTTCTCCGCCTCTCCGCTTCTCCGCTGCCGTGCATAAGTCAAAGTTGCATAACGAGGGGCGCGGATGGCGAGGTGGCCCAGCTTCGGCGATGGGCCCTGGAGAGAGAGACCGTATTGAGACTTATATTTGGTAGGTGAGATCTTATTTGGACGAGAGGAAACATGGTGGACCCGAATCCGACCCGATCCAGTCGGCAAACGTTTTTTTGTTATCACTATTCCAGTTCTTCCCCTCCGGCTTTCTCTATTCGTCTTCTGACCATCGTCATCGGACTCATCACAATCAATTGGTTACGTTTCTGAGTCCCTCAATGAGTGCACTCGGCTGGCGCTCAATCGAAGCAACTCGCCCGCGGTCGTGCCGCCGCGGACAATAGTTATTACCACCTATATACCCTCATTCATACAATGTGGTACGACTACTGCCGATATAGGTAGGTAAACTAGGTACTCCGAACAGGTGCCGCTCAACTCGAGCACCGCGTGACGAGGCAGTTTTGTAGCGTATATCCATCGCCCGCCTCCTTCTTCTCTGAGCCGGCCTCGAACTCCTCGCTTCCGCATCCAGTAGTGCTGCGAACAGCGCTAGATGAAAGCCACACCTAGTCCTTAGTCAACAGTTCCGCAGACCTGTCAACGCCGCCAAAGAAGCGTTGGTATGGCAGTGACTGTGGCTATTCGCGTTGTCGTCGGAAGGGGGAGCACTACTCGATAGTAATATAGTACAGTGCGCAGCGGGACCATCAGGTGCCAACGTGCGAATATAGACCCGCGAAGATGCGCGCAGTCAAATGCAGTGTCGTTCGAGATTCCTCGGAGATAACTAGCCTAGCACCAATTTTCCCCGCCAGCCAACCAATTCACAATATCGCAGAGTAGTTACTGGGTAGAAGAAACACTTGACCTTCGGAATTGGAAAAGGAGACCGCAGTGATTCGTTGAAGGACCTCCGCCAGCGAATTCCTACCCGTGGTGGGCATGAACTCTTCACACCCTCTCGCGCTCAGGATCTCCACGACTTCCTGCTCAAACTGCAGATCTGGATGGAGAAAAAAAACCACATACTACCTAGATCTAGCCCCTGGGCGAGCCGAGGCATTCCTCTAGCTACATTTTTGTTCTCAGAACCTCCACGCCCAGTTGAACACGAGTTACAAACGGGTATGCCATCCTGTATGTGGACGAGTGGAACAGCGCCAACCCTTGAACTAGGTTGATACTAGTAGCTTTTTAGTTGCTCACACCCTCACTGCGCGTGTGGGGGCCGTGATTTACGCATCTAGCGTGTTCAGGCAGATACAAGATACGAGTGCTCGTTCGTGCGTGAATACAGGGGATCGGCCTGTCGCCTCGAAGGGTGTACGCGCATAATGCACTCGCATGGAGTAGCATTCTCTATGAGAGTGAGGCCCTTATGGGTGCTGCTAATGGACAACTACTGTCATACCGTCTACTTTCTCCGCACGCTGGACCGCACCCGAGATGTGTGGACGGTCAGTCAAAACCGCAAACACGAAAAGGACGAGGCTCAGTCCCTGCAGCGTCTCCCTCGACTCGATACATGGGTAGGCCCTTGCGCGCTGCGCGCAGAATTAAGCATAGGTAGGAACCGTTGCCGATGAAGCGGAGATAGGGGCTGCGCATCAAAAACTGGTAGGTGCTTACTAGTTTCAAGGCAGCGGTCGGATCAGCGCGGTTACAAGTCTGGCAATCAATATCGTATCGCCTATACACGGCGGAGTGGCATTATATAAGGTCTCCCCGATAGCCGTCTCGATCTGGCACTGCAACTCCACTGTTCCGCATCCAGTCCCTCGTTCGCTCTCCGGACCACTCATTACTGTCTCGCCGACACTAATCCGTCCTTTCGGAGTACATTCGCTTCCTCCACCACCCCACGAACCTAACAGACGTCCCGTCTGCTACGATGACGTGTACCATCGCAGAATGCGGTGATCCATCCAACATCATCGAGACAAACGCCGACATCGCCGGTATCGGTGTAAGCCCCGTCTATCAATCCTACACCAGCTGTCCGTCGCTAATCTTTGCAGGTCGTGTGCTCCTTCCTCGTGACCGCCGGGCTCACCGCGATTCTCTCGATATGGCTAATGTTGACCCACGAGTCCCACGCGAGTGGCGGTCGAAAGCACGTGAGCGAGATGGGCACTCAGCACAAGGTGCTCATCCCGATGGTGATGAGCGTCGGCGACATCCAGGTTGTCACGTCAATCGCGCTGCTCACCGCGGGACTGCTGCATCAGTGCGAGCTGAACGTGTACCACTACTACCTGATCGCGATGATGGCCATGGTGTCACTTGGCACACACTGCCTCACGTGGACGGCGCTGCACGGCCGGCTACGGCAGAACCGCTTCAGCTTCGTCTTCAGAACTGTCGGCCAGGTCACGGCCGTGATCCTGTTCGTGTGGTTCCTGTGTCTATTCGCGGAGGTCAACACCACGAGCATGGCTAGACACACGGCGTGCTACTTCCTTGAAGACATCTCCAATGCAACCACAGCCGCAGCCTCCTCCACCGCCATCGCCGCGGCCTCCGCGACCACCAGTGCCGTCCGAAACACCACGCTAGACGCGCTCGCCGCCTCACTCGGCCGCCGCGCCGCCGCCGCCGCGATCCTCGACTCGTCCACTGTCGCCAGCGCCAGCGCCACCATCGGCTCCGCCGTCGCAGCGGCGACAGCGGCTGCTAGTAGCACGGCTAGCGCACTGGCTATGACCGCCACCTCCGGCGCCACCTCCACCGACAGCGGTCCGGAAAACAAGGGAGCCTACGGCTTCATCGCGCTCATAGTGATAGCGATCGTCACCTCCGCCATCAGCCGGTGGAGGGATTGGCACATCTTGCCGAAGCACTCCGCAACGCCGTGGTATTTGTGGCTGCCCTTCTTTGTTTTCCAGATATTCGCGCCGCTTGCCGTCGCGATCTACGGCACGGGCAAACTGCTCCAAGTCCGTGGCAAATACGCCCCGCTCCCCGACGCGGAAACCACCGGCATCCTCCTCAACGCCACAGTCAGCCTCTTCAACGCCACCGCCGCTGACGGCATCACCGTGCTCGTCAACACCACCAGCAACGCCTACACCGTCGCCGCACAGGATTCCCGCGAGTGGCTCTCCGACAATTCGCATGCCGAGTGGGGCTTTGGCCAGATGGTCCCGCTGATCCTCCTGGTCACGACTATCTACTCCGCGTGCGAGGGCTACGACCGCATCCGCGAGAACAATCGCCAGAATCGGAAGGAGGAGTGAGCCGCTACTTGCGCTTCGCTTCCCATCCATGTTCCGGCTCACCCCGCGTCCATCGTTTCTATTATCCAGTTCGACTGTATGTTTTTATGTGTACCCGATTCGTGTGTATGTATGCAGGGTAGGCCCTAATTTTACTCGCCCCCTGAGCATTTGTGTCCGTTCGTCCCTTTGACTGTACCTTCACGCAATGTTTCCGAGTATTTTTTTAGCCCCCGCGTGTAGTGCGTAGCGATGTGGATTCACCGTAGGGTGCGATCAATGGCGTGGCCGCCGTGATGGTTGGCAAGGGAATGTGAGGATAGGGCCGATATGGGGGAAAGCGGGATGAGGGGACGTCGACTCTCGAGTTAACTGAGATGCGGCTGGTGGCTGGTGGGTGATGGCTGGTGGTTGGTGGCTGGTGGCTGTAGACTGGATGCTAGAGTGGCTGGAGTCACTGCGCGTAATTACTAGTACCGTATTTGCAGAATCTGCCCCTAATTCTAATTCTCTCTCACAACCATTTTTGATTCCTTATATTTCGCTTGATACTGCTTTATTCTCCTTCTAAGCTCCCCGACGAGTCTTGTATCAAGCTGTTTGAAAGAATAGGTATTGCTGGAGAACGACTCAACGAGAGACTTTTCCCCAGCGCCGGAGCCTGTTTTGGCGTGTGCATAGTAGTCACCTACCTGAAATAGCACTACCGGCAAGATGTGCCTCACAGCAACGGAGGCGACAGCGGTTTTGTGTTGGCCATAGCATCGACTGATCAGCGAGTACTGGCGGAGTAGGGAGAGAGGAGCGGAATTTGTCTCTTCTTAGTGCCATTTCCATGGCGCGCTCTATCTTCATTGTTGGGACAGGCCGGGGCGGAGGGCAGAGAAAACCACACGGGGCGGCTCGATGAAAGTCAGGTCGGACAGTGGTGGTGTGCGTATGGCCAAGAACGTCGGCCCTTCGCTAGGTCGCATGCCATGGATGATTGAAAAAAGAAAATAAACTCGACCGTGAATGGCATGTGCGTTGGCTTTCGATGGACATGAGGATGTAGTTATGAAACAGACCTGGGAATCGTCTGTCCGTGGTCGGTTAGGATATAACTATATAGACCCGACGTAGGCTTTGGTAGCTCGGAATATATCCCGACCGACCAGACCTTGCCAGGCTCGGTCGGCCTAGGTCGGCCGACGTCGCCTTAACTGTCAATTCTATCAGACGCAAAAGTTTCCCAAGTTTCCGGCGGTTGTTAGAGCTCTTCCGACGTCGAATTTCGTTTGTTAGCCAGACGTATCCCGACCTATGTCTGGTCGGTCTGGATATATCCCGACAACACCCGACCAGAACATACCCAAATTTGGTCGGGACTGGTCCATGTAGAATACTGGGGTCTTATTCTTCTTCTTCTTCTTGTTGTTGTTCTTCTTGCTCGTAATGTACAAAATAGACAGTCAACCCCCCCATTTCCTCTCTTTCTACTGTGACCCTATGGGTGCTCTATTATTCATCACGTCCGTCGGCCTGGAGAGGCAACGGCAAAGTGTCCTCGTAAAACCACCAAGACCGTGAAAAAGATAAAACATCCCACGGCTAACCAAATAGCCTCTTGAATAGCCTCTCGATGACTACATATACAGGTAGGTCCTAGCGAGACGCAGTCGACATACATGGCTTCTCTGTTCGGATACAGGCAATACCACTCTATTCGCTCGGAAATCACTCGCCCCACCGCCCACCACACTTACAGCCACATTTTGACTTCATTCATTTCTGAGTCTGATGGGTTGTATCTTCGGGAGAGGGAGAGCTGCTACGGCCCCTAAGTCTGGATCTCTGGTGCTCCACAAAATATCGGCCGATACGACCAACCAATGGCAAGAACTGAATTGCGAGCCTCACTATCCTTGCTCATGGGGGGGCATGCATGTGCATTGGCAAGAACGGCTCCGAGAGGATGAAAAAGCATATCTGAGCGAAATCTGACACATCAGCAGAACTAGGTCACGTTACCTCCTGTGCCGAGTGGAAGCGGGGCAGACCAGGGGTGCTTGAACCGACTGGACAGATGGATATATCTACCACGTAGTGCCAGAACAATCGATATCAACAACCATCCATCCAGAAAACACAACGTCAACGCTAGATCCTCCAGCCCACGGCAGGATACTTCTCTCTATACCCCAAGTCTTCATTCAGACCAACCAACATCCCTAGCGACCTGCTCGTCACCACCGTCAGCCACAACATGACAGACAGACCCCAAGCGAACTACGAGCGCTCCCAACACAACAGTTTCAAAGGGTCGACTTTGAACGGTGGACAACGCTTTTCAGGGTTCTCCCGAGTAAGTTCCTCTCCGATATACGTACCGGGGATGTTCTGTTGAAGCATGGTCCTGCTGGATGGCATTTACCACGATTCGCTAACTGGTGTTCGTTGGCAGGTCCGAAAGTAAGCGCCTCCATTGAATCGCAAATACGATAACGTCGATCTGACTTCACGCTCCAGCCCCCGAAGCGCTATGCTTGCGCTCTCTCTACACTCCGGATTACGAGTCCTATAAGAGCCGGAATCCCTCACGAGTCGAAGGAACCCTTGGCTGGTTCCTCGGCCATGAGAAGTATCGGCAGTGGCTGCAGGAACAAAGGTCGAGTCTTTCGTGGGTGTCGGCGGATCCAGGATGTGGGAAGTCGGTATTGGCCTTGTTCTTGGTCGATGAGCTCGAAGATCGTCAATCGGAACCATCCGCTACTGTTTGCTACTTCTTCTTCAAAGGTGACAACGAAGAGCAGAGAAGAGCAGAGTTCGCTCTCTCCGCTCTACTGCACCAGCTTTTCACAGCGAAGCCGTCCCTTATCCGACATGCCACCAAAGACTTCGAAAGCAAGGGCGATAACTTTACGGAGGATATCGGCACGTTGTGGCGTATCTTCACAAGCGCAACAGCAGACCCGGACTGCGGCGATGTGATCATTATCTTCGACGGCTTGGACGAATGCGAAGTATCGACTCGAGAAAAGCTCATCGACTCTTTGGCACTGAGTTATGCCGTGTCGGCAAACCGCACGATCCCCACCACAAGAGACACGTCTCTCAAGTTCCTCCTCACCAGCCGCTCCTGTGGCTCGATCGAAAGAAGGTTCAGAGGGCTTCCAATCATCAGACTGAGAGCAGAGGCGGAAACGCTTGCGATCGGTGCAGACATCGAACTTGTCGTTAACTCCGTAGCCGAAGAACTTAGGCACATGTGCGGGCTCACTGAGCTTGAACGAGCACGTCTTCGTGACCACCTCGTCCAGGACGCCGATGGGACATGTCTTTGGCTTTCGCTAGCCATCGAGAAACCCAGCGACTACGGGGAAAGCCCCCTGAAGGATGTTCTTCGAATCCTTAACACACCAAGTAACATGGATGCCGTTACAGATGGTCGAAGCCGTAAGCTGTGGAGCACATGGTGTAACCGCGGGACCGGCACACTGGAATCCGCTTCGTACCTGTGTATTCCATCAGCTCGTCCTTCAGTGCCATGCAGCAAGAATATTGGCCAACAAAGCTCTGGATTTCTTTGTTAGCGAGTTTTTCTTTTTCTTTTTATTCGTTGTTGCGTTATTGGTGCCGAAGGTGTTCCGGTCGGGCGCTACGGAAGTGTGGCGGTGTATGGCTATCGCGGTGGCGGTGGCTACGACATAAGACGGGGGCATTCGACTGGGAGCGTGATCGGTGCGGACCGTATCTATGAACCGACGTAAGCTCAGAAACACGGTCCACTAGTGCGTAATGGCTTGGCGCCTAGACATCTCAAACATCTGTTCGGCAACACTTACACCCATATCTCGTCTTGTCGTCTTGTTCGCCTTGGCCGCGGACCTTTGAGAGGCTTGTCGCCAAGACGCAAGAGCAGGGGTATGTGTTGTGTCCGGCCGGCGTAGACTCGTTAGTTTTGCTCGCACATTTCGTCTTTGTTTTGATCGCTGTTGTCGGTTTGGGCGGTGTTGCTTCGGTGGAAGGTGTTAGCCTCGTCGTCTCTGGTGTAGAAGGGGTCGCCGCGCTAGTGACACCGCGCACTGTTCAAAGCGGGGGGGTGGTCCGCACTTTGGTTCTCTTTTCTTTCTTTCTTTTCCTTGCCGCTTACTGCACTTGTTACAGTCAGTGCTTGGTCAATTTACTTTCTGTTCCTTCTACTGGTGTGTGATCTCTAGTGAGTCTGCTTGCCTCCTCCTGGATTCCACGGGGAGGGTCTTTAGTGTGTCTCTGGCTCGCTGACCTCCTGGACTCGACAGGAGGTCGCTCTAGTGTGTTTCCTAGGACGTTTGTGTCCTATTCCTGTTCTCTCGCTGGCAATCGGGTGGGGTCGAACGTTGTAGGTAGAGGAAGGGAGCCATATCAGATCGCCCTCGAAGCTGAATAGAACGTCAGCTTCTCTATCATTCTTCTTCTCACCGCTCCCGTTGCCAGACGCCATCACTCTCGCCACTGAGCGCCCTGTTTGTCCCTTCGCGAAGGCGCCATGGTTTACTGGGTCCAAGTCTCCATCGCCGTGACAGCCGCAGTCTCAGGCGCTCGGCCTCATCGGCTGTCAAGTCTTCTTATGACGCCTTCGGTGCGCCTGATGCCGATTTCGCGTCAGAAATTTGAGAACCGAGACACCCTGACAATCTGGCCTGCCCCTTTTCCGGCGCGGCGACTCGCAACAGACATCACTTATTCCAGTGGCGTCGAGCGGATTCCTCTCGGTCGCGTCGCGGACGCTTGTTCTGGTGCCGGATGGGTACATGTGGCAAACTGTTGATGAGTCTTGAGGAATTTGCATCGATCATAACATCAGAATATAGCCGCAGGACGCTCGGCTGATTAGGTGCCCAAACACAGTTCGGGTCAAGATAGGGATCTCGGGGGT